GACAACATTAGTCATGACGTCATGTGTAGCTCGCCGAACATCTCTATTGTAGTCCAGTATCAGCTTCTTGTATTCAAATGACTGGAAAAGTAAGCAAAAAAAAAAAAAAAAATCAATGAACAACCATGTGCACTGAAACGTGAGGAAGAGATTGATCAACATGCTGCAGAGCAAAGAATAAGTTGGGACAATTCCATCAGCGTGAGTAAAAATCCTCAATCCTGATACGATATGCATGTCTCTGACATCAAACTCAATACAACTTATGCCGCTAAGGCTTTCTTCCTTATTTAAGAAAACACACCCTTAGTGTGTTGAAAAAGAAACATACCCATTGTGGGATTATTGGCAAAATTTCCTTCCCTTTCTTCTGCTTTATCAGTTCTGACAGGGAAGTAAGAGCTTTAATCTGTTGAAACAATGACACAAACAAATCACAATAAAGAAAAATACTTAGAAGAACAGGTCTTGTAGTAGATTGAATACCCAGGAAAGCCATTACCTTTGTTGTAGGGTCTTTCCTTGAGAGACGTTGCAAGTGTTGGGCCACCTCAGTATCCAAATCCTACAATACATCCACAAAGATGAGAGACTGGCAAGCAAGCAAGCAGAATCAAACAAAGAGGCACGAACATACCAAGAAGGAAGCAGATTCTTCGTTTGACAGAGAAGTTTCGAATCTAGAGCTGCCGACATAGCCGCCAAAACCTACGGAAGCGGCTGCGGAGCCAGAAGGCAACAGAGAAGCTGCCAAGCTGTTCAGAAAGCTCAATTCAGTACCGAACCAATGAAGCATAGACTCGAAAAGATAAAAGATCGTAATCAAACGCGAATAGGGATCGAAGGATAATTTCACCTGCTGCTGGAAGGACGAGCCTTGCTCCTTGCAGCATCTCCTTTGGGTTTACCCATCTCTGTCTACTCTAAACGGGAAAAAGACTGCGTCTTTCAGATGAATTTTGAGAAGAGAGAGAGAGCCGAGAGACGAGAAGTAGATTTGATCGGTCTAACAAGGAGTGGAAGTCAAGGATCGGAGGGTGAGGCGGTGGCGGTATGGTCGCCGCCGTCGCAGGAGGAATCAAAGAGAGTTTGTCGGGTCGAGGGTGTGCCTGTTGGTATTTGGGTTCGCTGACTAAGGCCCAACTCTTGACGGCCCAAAGCGATACTTTTTAGACTAAAAAGAGAAAGAAAAAAAAAATAGCACATCAAAAAGATATATTTACACAGGTGATAACATTTTTTTTCTTTCTAAGAATGTAAATATTCATAAAGTTTAGGTGTTACAAAATGTGTTAACAATTTGATCTATCTAATGTTTGGTCTTTTAACAAAAAAAAAAAGATAAAAAACATGGAAGCATAATCAATCGATACTTTGTTGAAACCTTAGCTTGATAGCATTGGTATCGATTAGTAGCGATAACAAACTTGAAACTTGAAACCCGAATACAGTGGACGCCATGAATAAGTCGAAAGGACAGAACATTGTTAACGTAATAACAAATTTGGAGAAGGATTTGAACCAGATTTAGAGATAGTTCAAGATTGTTAATAATAAAACAGGCAATAGAGATTGTTGCGTGTTTGGAAAATAGCTGAAAGTTTAACTGAATGAGTAATTACTTCTACCTATGTTGATTTATACTTGATTAAGAATCATCTTCAAAGATTTTTAATTTATCAATTTTTTGTTGTTAGATTTAAGATTTTAATATTTTGAATTTGATTGTGATTAAGATGATGAGTTTTAAAGTTTGACAACATTAATGAGGTATTTGTTAGCTTAAGTATGAGAAAGTTTCAGCAGATATTATACCTTACTCTGATTCTATTGGTCTTTTTCATTTAGACCTCGATAATGTTAAAAAACCACATGTGATTGTTTATCAGTGTCATAATTTATAATCCACAGCTTTGACTTTTTGTATTATCACTATTTGTAATTTATGATTGAACACAAAACGTACATTTTCATAATCACAACATGATTCGATTGTATATGTACGATTTGTCAGCTTACATTCACACAAAGTAATTGTAAAATTGAAAAGTTTTTATTAACATGTTTAATTTCAGTAATTAATACTCAGTAGTGTATCATGAACTATTGAAGTTAAAGTATGAAAATATCAAAATATATAATAAAATCTGGACAAAAAACGATTCCTTGTTGCTTAGATGTTTGGCATAGACTCTTTATACAGGTAAAACGTTTACTCTGTTAGTCACAAAAATTTGTAGATTGAAAGAGTTGTTCCCTATCGATATAGAGTCTCAGTTTCTATAATTTTATAATTGGCTCTGTCCAGATTCGCCAAAAATGTGTTGAAAATTAAGTTAAAAATGTATTCCTTCTGTTTTACAAAAACTCCTTTGGCATCGAATCACTGCTGCAAGTAGTATTTACAAAAACTGTTTGATAATGAATAACGATTTGACTATATGATGGGAAATTGGGAAATGTTTGTTATCAACTTTAAAGTGACTGAAGAGATAGAGGTAGGCTTATCGGGTTGGTTGTGTGAATTTGATCGTGTTTTGACGTGTCGTGTTTCATTCAGATACTCCCAAGTCCCACCTTCTCTTCACTCTCGTCTATTTAATTATTCGCTTGTACCGATGGGATCTATTAATTATTCTAGTGGTGATACGTAAGTACGATTATGAAAACTTCGATTCTTTTTGTTGTTGTTGGTCAAAGGAGAATTTCGATTCTAATTAATGCGATTCCCGAACGAGAAAGTACAGCATCCCTCGTCATGGAGAACACTTATTTTTATACATGTTCTTAAAATTTCACCATCATCGAGGTGTTTTTTTTTTAAGGGTTTAAACATGTTGCTTAATTAGTATCAAAACACATCTAAAGTAGTCCGGAAAACAAAAGCAAGTAACAAAAGAGTAAACGAGTTTAACGAGTATATAGGCTTATTCATTGGACAATTCTAACTTCGCCAAGATTTAACGAACGTTTCTCTCCCAAACTACCTATATTTTTTTGTTTTCGAAAAACCATAATATTCTATGTTTAGTTACATCTCTAGGCTCAATACATTGCATACAGCTTTAGTCCTTTCAATCATTTCAAAGATATTTTATATATTCTATGTTAAGATGAGAAAGAAAAGGTTTTACATACTCGCGATCTACCATTCCTAAAAAGCGGACCTCACTTACGAAAATTACAATATTTGTGGTTTAACAATAAATCTGTTTTTTTCTTATATATTTGAATATGGTAACTGGGAGAGGCTAAAAATGTAGCGGCACAGTAAGAGAATAATCTGATAGACCACTCCACCTAATAATAGTTTGTTTGTTAACCTCTCACTATCACTTTCTTCTTCTTCTTTATTTTTTTCTTCTAAAAAAACTGTTTTTTTCTCCCATTAATCTTTGAAAATTCAACTTCTTACTTTTCAGCAAGCCAAACATCCTATTTACCTTGTGACTTGGTCAGAAATTTGAGGTTTTTATCTTGGATTTGAGTTGCCGTGCGTAAATCATTGATTTTGTCACAGTACTATCAACGCTATATCTTAATTATTCGTTTTTGGCATTCTAGTTTCTCAGACTAGTTTCAAACAACATATCATATAGTAGTTGCACCATAGTCAGTATTTTTTGTTCTCCATTGGTGGGTGTGGCAACCTCAAAGTTTCAAACGATAATACTGATAAATTATATGAATTAAAGTCAGAGCAAAAATTATTATAGGTTTAACTAATAGAACTGATGTCTCTATATTCTAACGGTTATGTGGTGTTAGACTGTTAGGCATCTTTTTGTTTTTCTAGGTTTGGTAAGTATATAACAATATAATTTCTGGAGCATAGTAGTTGTAACAAGATTTGTATTTCCATTATCCTCCAGACTTTTGTGTTTAAACTGTTAAATTTACATATATGATGAAAACGAAAGCTATGGGCTGAGATGAAGACACTTTAACAACAGCAACCAAAAAAGAACGAAAAGGGCTGAGAATGTCGTGGTTGCATGCATGGAAGGTCAGCTGCTTTTGCCTAACTTATCCTCTCCCAATCATATGACTTATGTGCCCTCGCATTCTCTCGGTTGACACATTTTTTTTGTAGGAAACAAATCTATTATTAGACCGAAAGAGATCGCAAACTGAGATGTGCGGAATCACAAATTGATATCAACCAAGATTGTAGAAAGACTTAGAAGATAGTTTCTTTAGCCAAAAAAGGAAGAAGACTCAGAAGATAGTGTACATACTTGTGAATTTAATTATGTTATTTAGCTAGTGAAGGTGTTTTGTAACTTCATTTTTACAAGAGGCTAATACAATATTATTTTGCAATCTTTTTTCGTATTTTTAACACTCGGCATCGGATATCCAACACGTGCCGATCCAACACGAAACAAATCTAACCTGATTACCTGAAATCAGTACGACCAATCCAATTTGAAATTGATTTAACTCAATCATCATTTCAAGGGAGCGTGTTAAAAATTTCATATCGGACACAAGATGAAGTACTTAAGGCAATATGGATATACGTATAAGAGTTAGTTTTCTCATTAACAATATGTTTGTGTTATAAATCTATAAAAATTTAACATGAGTATATATGAAACTTTTGATCAAATGGCCTATTTCATTTTCGACCTGAGTTTCATAACAAAAATGAAGAAAGTAATGTAAATTATATGTATCACAAATTTTGATATGGTGGTGGGGATATTATATTAATTATAATAAAGTATATGCAAATTAAAACGTGATAATATAGGAAAAAAAAGGGAAATGAAAGCAAAAAAAATGGTAAAGGTGGCGTAAGGATCAGTCTTATTGATGTGTTTGTGTTTGTTAGAAAATGAAAGGAGTGGATATTTGACAAGAAACTTTTCTCCTTAAAAGATAAATAAATATGTAGCTGCGTGTCTAAGTAAATAACTCTCTATAAAACCCTCAGCCAGTTGAATGCTTTCTTGACCACAACTCCAATAACAAATAAAAATAGAAGCAAAGAGAGAATGGAGTACAATAAGCAGAGAATAGTGTTAGTTGTGGTGTACTTGATGATGCTAATGTGGAGCTGTTGTTACAGCCAGGCCCAGCTGAGAAGCGACTTCTACTCGGAAAGCTGTCCCTCACTGTTCCCTGCGGTGAGACAGGTGGTGCAACGGGCGGTGGCCAAAGAGCCCCGCATGGCTGCTTCTCTCCTCCGTTTGTTCTTCCACGACTGTTTCGTAAACGTAACTATATATATATATATATATATATATATTTACTTCATTTTGAATGAAAAAGAAGCATGTGTGGCATGTTCCCATAAATTACTCCACCAATTTAGAGAATGCTAAGCATCAGTCTGAAATGGTTTTACAGGGGTGTGACGGATCCATATTGTTGGACGACACTTCCTCTTTCGTGGGAGAGAAAACCGCAGGACCAAACAATAACTCTGTGAGAGGATTCGAAGTGATCGACAGAATCAAGTCGAGGGTTGAGAGACTCTGCCCAGGCGTCGTCTCATGCGCAGACATTGTCGCCATCACTGCTCGTGACTCTGTCCTCCTCGTTAGCACCTCTGCCTTTACTCTTTTAAACACAATCATTAATTTGCACATGCACAAATATCAGCAAAACGAATGATTAAAAGAACATTTGTCCAAGTTTAAGATATGAAAACAAAATAGGTGAATATTAATTTCGGATTACACCAAACAATATACTATTTTTTTTGACCAAAGAATATAACGATATCAAAGACTATTTTTTTTTTTCTTACTGTAACCCTAAGCGGTAGCTTGTACCACAGACTTGACCTGATTATATACATGCTTTTGAAGTTTGTGTATATAATATAGTGTACGCGAACGTATAATATAGACAATATGATCTTACAGTTACACGTTTTTTGAACTAAACAGCTAGGTGGGCCCAAATGGAGCGTGAAGCTTGGAAGAAGAGACTCCACAAAGGCGAACTTCAAGGCGGCCAACTCAGGCGTCATCCCTCCTCCGTCCTCTACTCTCAAAAACCTCATCAACCGTTTTAGAGCACAAGGTTTGTCTACACGTGACATGGTCGCCCTCTCTGGTGCACACACCATTGGACAAGCGAGGTGCGTCACTTTCAGGAACCGTATCTACAACCAAAGCAACATCGACCTTTCTTTCGCCTTGTCTAGACGGAGGATCTGCCCCGCTGCGTCTGGCTCCGGCGACAACAACGCAGCTGTTCTTGACCCTCGTTCTCCTGGAAGGTTCGACCTCAGCTACTACAAGCAGCTAATCAAACAGAGGGGTCTGCTTACGTCAGACCAAGTCCTTTTCAACGGCGGTTCCACTGACTCACTAGTCGTAGCCTACAGCCGCAGTCTCTACGCCTTCTACAGCGACTTCGTAAGAGCTATGATTAGGATGGGCGATATCAGGCCCCTCACCGGATCCAATGGTCAGATCCGTCACAACTGTCGCAGGCCCAATTGAATATCTTTCGAATATAAAGCCCATTGGGTCCATATCAACTGTTATTCGTTTTGTTACCTTTGTTTTTCTCATGTCTTCTTCGCCAACTGTGTAATTTTAAATATATAAAAACATAAACGCAACGCAATGTTGAGCAGGATAGAAGTTTGTGGCTATGCAGTTTTCATTTACGTTTCCGTCTCTTCTCACATAGACTTGGGCACAATACAATAATATTCAAAGAATTAAAGTTTAAATGCAACTGTGTAGCTGATTTGGTCTATAACGAGATTATTTCGCCCAATCAAGTATATTAATGTGTTTACATCAGGTAGATAAAAAACATACATGGTGGCAAAAGGAGAGCCGTTGGATGAAAAGCAATTAGGGGAATGTAAGGACAAATGTAAAAGGACGTGGAAAGTCATAAGGTGGAGAATGGCACAGAGGAACAAGTGGCCTTCTCCTGCCTAATTAACCATTAGATTTTTATGTGCGTGGACCGCCAATGACGTTTAACTTCGTTTTCATCCTTTCTTCTCCTTCTTCTTCTTCTTCGTCCTCTTCATTTGTCATTTTTTTTTTGTTCTTAGAAAAAAAAAGCAGAGAGAAATAAGGAAGAAAAGGAGCCGCTGGTAAGGACTCAAGGGTCGGTAGTGAGATCTGCACGTCTTCGTCCGAGATCTCGGATTCTTTCCCAGAATCCGTTTCATCAGCGGTGATTGTTTATTTTTGAAATCATATTTTTATTTTTGAACTCTTGCTATCTATCGTTTTCCCCGTGCAATTGAATTGTCGATTACATGATGAGTTTTGGGTTTCGCTGATTGCCGATCTATGATTGTGTTCTTCACATAGAGGAAATGCGGTAATGTGGGGGATGAAGGTAAACCGGAATGATCGGTTCTGGTTCAGGGCTTTAGAGTTGGGAGTTTTTTTTTTTTGATTCTGTGTGGATTGCGTTTTCAACTTTGTGATCGATAATTTCTTATTCGATATAATCAGCTTTTCCTTTCTTACTTCTGTTTGGGCGAAAGGGTTATTCCTTTGGATTGATGAGTGATTCTCTGGAAAAGAAATTAAAATTTTTTCACATTTCTGCGAGCAGCTTTTTGTATGTACATTGAAATCTCATTGCTTTGTTTCATTCTTTTTTCATAGGCTCAGGTTCGGCCAAGTTTCTGTTTGTTTGGTATAGTTGGCATACCGCGTCGGCACACTCATCTATAGAAAGAAACTCAGAAATGCTGGAAGATGCGTCCTATCACTAGGCCATTAGTTGCACAAGCTCATGAGGTCATGGCTCATGAGCTAGCACAAACTCTGAGCTAGCTGGAGCTACTAGTGTTTGTTGTTTTTTTTTTGCTGCCTGCTTAAGTTTGTAGATTAAATGGAAAATAAACCGAGTGTCTTGACCGATAAATACGAGGTCGGGAGGTTACTGGGTCAAGGTACTTTTGCCAAGGTGTATTATGGAAGGAGTGTTGATACTAACCAGAGTGTTGCTATCAAGATGATCGACAAGGAAAAGGTTATGAAAGTTGGGCTTATGGAGCAGATCAAGCGAGAGATATCTGTTATGAGGATTGCTAAACACCCTAACGTAGTGGAGCTATACGAGGTCATGGCGACAAAAACGAGGATCTACTTTGTTATGGAGTACTGTAAAGGTGGAGAGCTCTTCAACAAGGTCGCCAAGGGGAAGCTGAGAGATGATACTGCTTGGAAGTACTTTTATCAGCTTATCAACGCCGTTGACTTCTGCCACAGCCGGCAAGTGTATCATCGTGACATAAAGCCGGAGAATCTGTTGCTGGACGACAATGAGAACCTCAAGGTATCTGATTTCGGGTTGAGTGCTCTTGCTGACTGCAAGCGCCAAGATGGTCTCCTCCACACTACATGTGGTACGCCTGCGTATGTTGCTCCTGAAGTGATCAATCGAAAAGGCTACGATGGCACAAAAGCTGATATTTGGTCTTGTGGGGTGGTTCTGTTTGTTCTATTGGCTGGGTATCTGCCTTTCCATGACTCCAATCTGATGGAGATGTACAGGAAGATAGGAAAAGCAGAGTTTAAGGCACCAAGCTGGTTCGCCCCAGAGGTACGGAGGCTGTTGTGTAAGATGCTGGACCCCAACCCTGAAACTAGAATCACTATCGCAAAAATCAGGGAGAGTTCTTGGTTCAGAAAAGGTTTACACATGAAGCAGAAAAGGATGGAGAAACGAGTCAATGAGACGGCTTCCGTGGAAGCTGGTGCTGCAGGTCCAAGTGAGAACGGAGACAGGGCCATAGGGGAAAACCATACGGAACAACAGACCACAAATATAAACGCTTTTGATATAATTGCCTTGTCTGCTGGGTTTGATCTGGCGGGACTGTTTGGAGATAAGTACGACAAGCGAGAATCTAGATTCACATCCCAGAAACCTGCTTCAGTGATCATATCGAAGCTGGAGGAGGTGGCGCAACGATTGAAACTGAGCATAAGAAAGCGAGAAGCAGGTCTGTTCAAACTGGAACGTTTAAAAGAGGGAAGAAAAGGAATCCTATCGATGGATGCAGAGATATTCCAAGTGACGCCAACGTTTCATATGGTTGAAGTGAAGAAGTCTAATGGAGATACTCTGGAGTATCAGAAATTAGTAGCAGAGGATCTTAGGCCAGCTCTGGCAGATATTGTTTGGGTTTGGCAGAGCGACAAAGATGAGCAGTTACTGCCTGGTTCACAGCAAGAGACAGAACAACAACAGGAGGAACCATTGTAGTTTTTTGAATTTTCTTATACTTCCAAGTTTTTGAATTTTCTTAACAACGTACATGGGAGTTTCTTACATTTTCGTTTGTGAGAGAAGGGAAAAATCCTGCATAATATAAAGTCGTTTCCAGAGCTCATTGGCAAAACTTGTTGAGAACTTTAATTGCTTGCTTTTACTGACATTATAACAGGAAAGTACCAGAAGTTTTGTCCAACCCAACACTTACAAGAACAAAAACTCTACCATCCTTTAGCTTGATTCACCAAAGGGATTCAGCTATAAAGAGTGCTTAGAAACTGGTAAAAAGACTCGACTTTTATTGAGATTTGGTGGTGAAGACGAGATCTATAATATATAGTACAGAGACAATATGCGATTTGGTGTGGTCCATTGCAACAATTAGACAGTTACAGGCAATGGAGAAAGAGATAGAGAGTAAGTAAACTCAAGAAGAGCGGTCGGAATTCGAACAGAGGTGGTTCCAGAGATAGCGGCCACTTGCCATGTCAACGCATGTCCAAAATCCAGACTTCATTGCCATTCCCACCTGAGTCCAGAAATGAGAAAACAAAACCCATTAATCCCAAATAGAGAAAATGATGATCGGAGGAAAAAGAAGAGACCTTAGAGAATCTGGAGTCGGGCTCGGAGTCTGAGTCTGCGGGATCAGCGTCGGTGAGAGGGTCGGCGAGAGGGTCGTCGTAGGGAGTGTTGAGCTTCTTGAGAACGAAGAACCCAGCCAGAGTCGCCGACAAGAATATGAGAATCAGCCTTAACGGACACATCTCCTTCTTTTCGTCTTCTTCCTCTCTTGATTTTGCTTTTCCAGTTAAAGAAGGCAATGAGGAGAGAGAGAACGAGGAGTTGATGAAGAAGAGAGAGAGCAAGGTGAGGAGGGAAAAAAAAAAGGCCAAATAAGAAAAAAAAAAAAGAGGAAAGAGAAAAAAGATGAGAGAAAAATTCAAAGGGTGCGGTTGAAGAAGTGTCAAATTAGGTAGGCCACTCCCGAAAGTTATCTCGAATTTCGATTTCAATTTCACCTACTAACCTTAGTTGTCTTATGGTCACACCATTATTTTATTTTAAAACTGAAAGTTGAATTTCTTTTTTTCTTACAAGACATTATTGTTTTCCGGCATATAGCCATCATCCTAATATTTTTTTTTTTTGCTGACCCAATTAAAATATGAAAAAAGAAAAAAAAGTTAGTGGTTTAGGCAAACCTAATCTGTCAGAACGTGAAAGTCCATATTATTTATGCTCATTGCTCTCTCTTAGTGACGCTTTTGAGTTTTGACAAGCAAATAGACAGTAAACAAATAAAATTCCAAAGTGATTGTTGACACTTTTCACTAACTTAGTTGAGTCTTCATCACACCATTCACCACCATTCTTCCTTATCTCAACATTTTGACTTCCACACTTCTCTCTCAAAACACAATTATCCTTTTTACCTTCATTTTTGCCATCAAAAGTATTCTTCTTTTGTCTCTGTTGAACAAAGGCAAAGTAATTCTCTTTACAGATCTTATCTTAATTGATCATTACTACTACAGAAAGAGGATCCTGACCTGGCTTTGGGGACTGTTTTCTTGATTTGAGAACCTAGAACTTGGCAAACTTTGCAATTTTAGCAAGGGCAGTTCTTAAGCTTCCTATGCCAGCTCCTGATCTTGAGCTCACCATCATCTGTAATCATCAAAAATATTAACCACTTCCTTCTTCTGCAGCCATATACAATCAAAAACAAACTTTGCTAAATCATAATCAAACCTACCAGAGGCTGGACAATTGACCTGTTTGCCTTCAACTTCTGCAATTTTTCAGAAAAATACATGTTGGTTGGTATAAGTAGAGAATGAACAACAATCTTTCATTATATTAATTTAGAGCATAGTGACTAAGACCTCTTCGATTTGCATTGCCCGACGTGCCACATCCATTGGGAAAACCACATCTGTCTTGGTTAAGACTATCTGATACTTTGTATTCGATCTGCAATTCAGTTTCGGCTGTAAGGACGCTTGACTACACGACACAAACAGAGATTAAAGAGCAGCACCAATGATTGATTTTACCTCTCCATCAGATTAATAAGTTCTTGGTCTCTTGGCTTCATACCCCATTTGGTGTCAACAAGAAGGCATACCCGTTTAAGACTACTTCTTGTTGAAACATATTCCTTTACCTGCATTGATCCATGTTTAACAGACGGGGATCATTGACCTGCTTAGTAACACATAAAATCGAGCAAGCAAAATCAACATTATCAATTCTACTCAGAAGCAGATGCTTACAAGATCTTCCCAGGCTTCCTTAACTTCATCTTTTGCAAAGGCAAAGCCGTAGCCTGGCAAATCAACAAGGCGAACCTTCGGACCAAGATCGAAAAAATTGATGGTCTGCAGTGAATAAACCCTTTGTTATTACAGGGAGATGTAAGCCGTAGTAGCGAGTGACAATTCTCAGAAAGAAGGAATACCTGAGTCAGTCCTGGTTTGTCAGATGTCCTCACTACACCCCACTGTCTGGTAAGAGCATTTAGCAGAGACGATTTGCCAACATTTGACCTTCCTGATAAGTTCAGACACCAAATATCCCCGCTCTTTTTTATTAAATTCTAAAGTAGTTTCACATGCATTCTCTTAAACCAGAAAAGTTTATTTTTTGTTGATCTTTCTATGATCCTGGTGGGAATAAAAATTTGAACGCAGTACCTGCAAACGCGATCTCAGGTACATCAGGAGGTGGAAATGACGATGAAACATTTGCAGCAGCAAAGAATTCCATTTTATTCCTAAATACCTGCAAATACGGAATTGAAACATTAGCTTACTAGACTAGCAAGGCAGGATATTAACTCTAGGTCTTCGAGAACTAGCATGAGGAATAATAAGGCCATACACTTTCTTCTATACGCTCTCTCTCTGTGCTGGTAGACTGAGGAATATTATCTAACGGAGCAGGAAGCTCTATGTTGTAGCCAGCCTTCTTTAGCTCAATCAAGCGTCTACGCCCCAACAGCTGCCGAAAAAATGTATGTTACGAGCCAGGTAATGAAAAATATGAATACAAACGTAAGATACCACAAAGATCTGGTCATATAAATTACATTTTCTTCTACATAGGAAAGGATCGACTGACTAGGCTGAATTGCACGAAACTGTGCATTTTTCGACATTCCAACACTTTTCTCTTCACCGTTCTTCTTCTTTTCCATACGACCTTCTAAGCAAAGGAAAAGAAACAGTTTGTTAGGAAAGCAGCGATGAGATGTAGCAAGTGCAGCTGATTCTTACTCCATTTTAGAGAAGAAGCACATAAAACTAACCATCAAGAACGACATCATCATCTATTCTTTTATTCGAGGTATCATAGGGATCTAGTCGTATCCTCTTTCTCTTCCTTGGTTGATCCTCCTGACTATCCAAACCATCGTCCGAGACTCTCTTCTCTGCAAGTCCATGCCTTTTAGCCTTAAACGACGGCACTTCCGAGCTTTTCCTTCGCCTAATATCTCCAGTTTTATCCATTTCATCTCTCTTCCGGTAGCTTTGCTTTCGAGTAGCATGCTTTTCATCATCACCCCTCGGTGACTTTGTATTAAACACACCTGTTGCAGCTTTTGCAGAACCGTTAGTGGCCTTAAAACTAGAAGTAGAACTTTCGTTTCTCTTCGTGGCAGCCCAAATTGTGCGTGGAATTTCGTTCACATGGTTATGCTCAGTGTGCTCATCCTTAGTGGCGTAGGCCCTCTTCTTCTTCATATACGAAACCTTTGTTTTACTACTATTCCGAGGGTTTGTTTCATCATCACTTCGGCGAGTACTAGATCTACTGCTTCCTTTATAAGAAGAATTGAGAGACGAAAGCTTCAGTCTTTTCTTGAGCTTATGACCTAAAGCAGCATCTAAAGACATTCTGTGATAATCCTGCCGAAGCAGAGAAACAACTGACTCAAGTCACCTGCAAATTGAGAACCCTGATGCCATTAATCAGTGTAGCACTTGAGCAAGAGTGAGAGTAGCAGAGACTGAAATGGTAATGGATAAAACCCAGAACCATCACCACATAACAGAATCGTTTCCGCTTTACAAGAATTAGGAATACGCAAATATATTTGGTCGAGACAAGGCAAAAAGGTGAAACCTTTTGCGGATTGTGCGACAAACGCGATCAGAGAGGAGCTTGGATAGTTGGAAGAAATGGGGATTTCCAGGGTTTAGCTGTTAATTGCTCTGTGTCTCTGAGGGTTTTGGAGGTTAACGTCTCTTATTGGGCCTTTGATTATTTTTCAGTAATATTGGGCTTTATTGGGCCTATAATGGATTGTGGACGAACACTTGAAGAAGAAAGATTTATCATACTAATTAGAGAGTGTGGAGTTCACGTCATCTAATTGTGGGGATCCATGATTCCTCGATTCGACCGTGTTAAAAAAGTTATCTTAGATATCTCATAAAACTCTTTTTGTTTGCTTCTTTACAGATTCTAGAAGTGACATTTGTGGGACAGACAGATAATGATTGCACAATTTCAAAAGAAATGCTTTGTTGTTTTTGGAATTAGTCTTGACATGGAAGCCACTCTTAGCTTTTGAATGCTTCAAGGAGCGAAATTTTATTAATCACTTTTTGATTAACCACTTTTTTTTTGTTTTGTTCTGAAAGAGACAAAACAGAGGAAAAGCAGACAGAGAGTGGACCCCAATTTAGTTTATCTTTTACTTCTTTCTTTTTTTTTGACAGAGTTCAAAATCATATGTGAGAAATGAAAGAGATGAATCAGAAAATGGGGACTCACAAGTTCAGACTTTCAGACATTATGCCTCACTCATGGCTCTATAAGCTGAAAGGCATGAGCAGAAGCAGCAGAAAACACCATCCTTCTTCTCCCAAACACCTCTCTTCCTCTGATGCTTCTTCCTCAAGAAAGCTCCGTGACACTCTTCGTCTTTCTTCACCTGCTCATCATCCTCAAGCCTCTTCTTCACCGCCGAAATCTCCTTTCAAGAGAAAAACCAAACGTAAAACCGTTTACAAGCCTTCCTCTAGGCTCAAGCTCTCTTCCTCCTCTCTCAACTCTCATGTTTCTCTCACCACTTCTCGGAATCATCGCTCTAAATCATCATCCTCTGCAAATACAATCATTCTGGAGCCTTCCCTCAACTCTCAGGTTTCTCTCACTTCTTCTCGGAATCATCGCTCTAAATCATCCTCTACAAATGCAATCTCTGATTCCACCGTTGGAAGCTCGTCAGATCCTGTGTCATCATCACCTTCTGAACAAAACCATGGCTTTTCTCGTGATCATGAATCGCATTCAATTGACATCAAGGACAAGAAGGACCACTCTGTGAGGAAGCTCGATGATGTTTCTGAAGATCTTTCAACAATATCAGAAAACTCGAGTCCTGTTCTGGTTGAGAATGTAAAGGAGCCACCTTTTGAGATCAGGACACAACAGAAACTGAAGAAGCCGAAAGCTGGTTCTTCAGGGATAAGGATTCGGACGAATTCTCCGAAGATCGCTAGAAAAAAGACAAAGGGAAGAAAGAATATGGGAGCTGCAGAGAGTTTCGCGATAGTTTTGACTTCGGTGGATCCTGAAAGAGATTTCAGAGAATCAATGGTTGAGATGATCGTGGAGAATAAGATAAAGGAACAGAAAGACCTGGAAGATCTTCTGGCATGTTATCTTTCGCTGAACTCGTGTGAGTATCATGACATTATCATCAAGGCTTTCGAGAAAACATGGTTTCATTTGACTCACTTCACCTGAGATTCTCTCTGTGTAACCCAAACGCAGCCTCTATTAAACAAGTTTTTTTTAATATATATTTACATTTTTGCTTATCTTTTCATTCATTTCAAAACAAAGAGAGTCAATGGAATATTGTAAGAATTGGTTCCCTCAATCCTCACTACAAGGATGACCAGTTCTCTCTATTACCACTGAAGCAAGAAGCATATCTTCTTCTATTGGGTATATACTCTGGTTCGGTTTGATCATCTCCTGTTTTGGTTCTTGAATCCCAAGTAAGCATTTGTTAGTGGAAGAAGAACCTGCGCCGTTTCCACTACTCATCCTCTGTAGAGCTCTTTTCTGTGATACCCTCAGATATGATTCTGCATTTCTTCCCGTTAAGAGTTCCCTAAAAACATTTGTGACAGTTGTCTTTGGTAAACCGTGATTCACCTCCATGTAATTGATCATCTCGGGAAGACTGTAGAAATTCTCACAGCAGAACAAGTAGCCATCTCTCACTTTCTTCTGTTCCCCTGTGAGATTGGGACTCTCCTCATAACATTTTTAAAAGAAAATGTTGTCACATCAGTCCCTAACATATATGTATGTATGAATGAAGCATGGAGAGAATCACAACATGTGTAAACCAAACAAGAGTTTGAATTATTATTTACCTTGGACATGATTTCATTGTCACCTGAAGATTTCACTGCCCCTTTGTTGGATGCGCCAAACGTTCTTTCAGATTCTTTACTTGGCTGAGTCTCTACATCGTCCTCGCGTCTCAGAGTTGTCGCCATAGATCGATCTCTACAATGCACGATTTTCAGGGTTTCAGAGAAGAACGATCCGGATACCCTATTAGTAACGGCCCATTAAAGCCCAATATAGTTAAATGGAACCTGTCCGAGTCCATCCACGAATAAACCGCTGGTTCGACTCATCAGTAAGCAAATATCAGATGGATCACTCTTCCCATTGCCGTATAATCCAAAAATTGATACGTTAGTGACAAGCGATCACTCTTCGGATGTGCTGCATTATCTGTATATGTAATCAGATAATATAGCCAAAGATATTCATCAAACTTTATTTGTACCCAATTTTTTTTTTTGTTAGAAATAGAATTGTGAAACGGAATATGATCCAATCACTTTTATCCCATTATACTTGTCCCCAATCAATTTTTTTTTTTTTTTTTTTTGGGTAAATGTTTCAATTCTTATCTCTGTCCTCTCGATTCTAAAAAGGTTGACTCACATTCACCTGTAAACCAAACGCAGCCTTTGCACAACTTTATTAAACACACATTTAACTTTTTACATTTTTTTGAACCAGCATGTTTGTTTTACTTTACACATAACAATAGAGAGTTTACAAGAATAAATTTACAGTGTTTCCAAAATACGGGAGAAGCTAGCGCCTTGAGCCCCGTGGATTCCGGGAAACCGCATAAGGTGACTGAAACCCAACTGTTTCTACGTCTCCAACAGTTCTGATCAACCTTCTTCTTCTAGCCTCTTCCACCAGCGACCGCTGCTGTAACTGGCTCTGCACGTCTACAAGCGATCGGTTCCTTGTAAGTGACCGGTTGTCTGAAGCCAGTCTCCTGTGTCTCGAACTGGAAGCCGCATACATGTTGCCTTGTCCTGGCTGTGGATGAGAGCTTTCTCCGGGGAAAAACCTCGTCACGTTGTGAGCTCTGGTCGTAACAGGAGTTTGGGAGCTGTGCTCATCAACAGATATGTAGTTGAGGTTGGAGTAAGACCCTGAATTGGAAGAACTTTGAGAATGCGTCTCATCGTGAAAATCATCTGCAGTTTATGAAAAACTTTTGTATAAAAAAATCTGAATCACAACACCACACGTTTGATCTGGTGTTACTTTCCATACCTTGTAGCCAATCTTGACGGCCTCTTGCCATATAGTTAGCGAGTGAAGCTTGAGAGGATGATGAAGGCGATGAAGAAGAGTGATAATGAGTGGTATGATAATCATGAGGGGTTTCATCATCTTCCTCGTAAATCCAACCAGGCACCAAAGAAGAGATCTCTCCATCAATCATTTTTGCAATCTCGACTGGGTCCCATTCTGTGATATCGAGTTCTCTTACCATCTCCGTTGCAACATCAATGGAAGTATCATTCGTGATGTCAAAGGGGAAAGACACGTTTTTTGCCATACCTGCAAAAAGAAAGAAAGAAACGATTATGTGACCGAATAACAAAATGACCAGCTTAATCAATCAACTAAGTCCCTTTTACCATTTTCATCAGCGATTAGTACATTCAGATGGATTGTGTTATCTTCAGCGTTCAGCTTCCCCTTGATTGTCATCTGGGTCCTTCCTAACTCATCCTCCTCTTCCAACGTTAGTGTGTCCATTTCATTCTCATTCAAGAAGGGCATTGGATTCCCCCCACCTCTCGCGTACACCATCCAAGACTCATCAGACGCGAGAAATGGATCTTGCAACAGTTCTTCTGCTGATACTCTCTTTGAGGCAGGCACAAGGCATTTCCCGATGAACCTCTGTGCCTCGACGTCTGCAACCCTGTAAAAGGCTCCTGGTAGCTTTCCCTGGAAAGAAAACATTAGCAGGCTCATGCCTTGTTCAACTGATATATAGCGTCATCATATGCTCACAGATCGAAAGACATACCGCACTAACTTTCTTGTAAATCTGCACCGAATTGTTGCACTCACTATACGGAAACTCAGAGGTGATCATCTCCAGAAAGCACATACCAAAGGAATAAACGTCAATGAGTTCATTATAGTTCTCTTCATATAATTCTGGAGCCATGAACTCGGGAGTGCCTACGCAAAAGTAGCACAATGAGGCCTAAACATATGATATGGACAAGTGAGAGAACAACCAATTTTAGCAACATACCGATGACACTATGGGCAGAGTGGCAGTCCCGCAGCATCCTTGCAAGACCAAGATCGCCAATTTTGACTTGCCCAAGATGGCCATTAACAAAGATGTTATCACACTTAAGGTCTCTATGAATTACAGGAGGGTCGTGCCCGTGGAGATAAACAAGCCCTTCCAAGATCTGCCGAGCCCAGGACTTGATCGCTCGGATATCTATCCGCAAGTACTTATTTTTGTATCTGCACAAGAACGGGACAGGGTCATACACAGCAAAAGCTGAGTAATCTTTTCAGAAGAAAAGGTGTAAGGGAATCTTTTTAGAAGAAAAAGGTGCAGGGGGATTACTGTCGGAGGGTCCCAGAAGTGAATAGCTCGGTGATGAAGTTGAGAGTATGGGAATGAACATCGATCCAAGAAGTGTAGAAACGAATGATAGATTTGTGGTTGAGAGTGCTGAGAAGATGAACCTCGGAGTAGAGCCTCTGTAGATCAACAGAGGAACGCAGAACCTCTTTTAGCTTCACCTGGCTCCACGCTACTTCTATTCCCAGCATCTCATCGATTGCTTTGTACACTGTCTTCATCGCTCCCCTTCCAAGAACTTCTGCAAACTACTCGAACACAAAACCAAGTGTTACAAAAAGGGTTTGATCCATGAACAGCATGAACACAGAATCAATCTCACAACTTACACGTCCGTAGCGACCTGTAGGATCAGTTTCGACATACTCTAAAACTTGATTCATGTTCATGGTTGACCAAAACTCGACTAATGATCCCAAAAATGCTTGAGACGAGGCAGTTTCGTTTTTATGCCTTTGAGATATTTCTGGTGGCCAAAAGTCGTCCTACTTACTTCTTCTTCTACTACTTCATCAATGAAGCGTCAGCAGATAATATGTTGAACAGTATTTGGCCTCAAATCAACCCATTGGTAATAGAATGAATAAAGACAAGAGCCTCAACCTTGCTTGCATCACATATATTATACATAATAATATAATTATTTTTATTGACCCAATTGTAAAAATATATATATATATTTTCTGAAAATCCAAACTTTGACAATTCTTAGTTGCCATAAAAAAATACTCAAGCCACAGCATTGAAACAACAACCAAACGTGTACCACATTATAAAATACACATGGCTAAATAAGCTGAAAGGGAAAGGAATATGCCCTGGTTTATTTTCTGAACCACAAACACAATAGCAAAGAGGATAAGAAAGTGTGGTTTCTTGGAAATTTTGATACCGGGGAGGAAAGAGTTTTTTTGCTTGAGGAAACTGCACGACTCAATCGAACCAATTATTAGTTTGGTGGACACAAGAAATCCAAAATACTGAAAAAAATTAAAAACGACAAACATAAGAGGAAAAGTCAGAACAGAAGTGGGGAACATGACGAGAATAGAAGAGAATAGAGTGATAGTGACACCACCGTTGAACATTTTTTTTTGTTGGCGGCTACTTCCTTCAGCCCTCAAGTTCAGGTTCTGTAATAGTTCTGTAATAACACATAACAAATATGCAATAACCGATATAACGTTCATCATCTTCCTTAGCTTTGTATCTAAGCAGGGTCCGAAAATTAACAAGCAATCATAGATCTAAAATGGTTATGTTATGCATACTTGACTTCTGTTTTGTTCTGATTCAGATGTTACTTGACACGTGGAAAAGGAGAGAGAGAGAGAAGAATGGTGGGAAAATGAAGATAAGGATGGAATATATCCGAAGCAAGAAAAGCCGTATAAGTTTGACAATGACTACAACAAATGTTGCAGCCAGAACTGTCGCACGAGCATATCATTATATCATTATATTCTGCTCATTCATTATTACCACTCACCACACAAAATGTGAAAGAGCCTCTCTCCACCATCATCTCCACGGTTGATATGTCACACAGGAAAAACTCCACAGCAATTCTATAGCGCAAGTTTCACGAAAGATGTACCTCTACCGAAATAAGTTCCTCCATTTATCCTTCAGATCAACCTACCAAGTTACAACCTCTATATCACTCACACTTCTCATATATAACTTATTCATGTAAATGGTGAGTATGAATGTTGAAAAGGACATGCTCACCTCTGTCCTCTCCCTGAATACTGCAGGGTTTGCATTCTTTATATCTTTCCAAGATCTACCATACCTGCACAACAACAACAACAAAAATTTGACAATGCTATAAACATCTAAAGTGAGCCAGGTTCAAGATTTTGAAACTTGATGAGGTCCTAGATGTATCAGCATTGAATATTGATGATAGAGTACGGGACTTGGCAAAGAGTGTTGCATACTCTTTTACTCCTTCCCTCAGAGCTTCCACTTCTTCAGGCGTCCAGAATTTTTTTGGCCTTCTGGCCGGCGACTTCACCATCTTCAACGGCGATACATTAAGAGGTACAGGGGTTGCTAGACGAGGCCGAGCTCTGCCAGACCATGTTCCCTGACTACCCGAACCTTTCGCATTTACATTATCCTGTTGCTTCACAATTAAACCATAACTTCATGAACCAAAGAACAAGACTTTTAAAAATGCATATTGAAGGGAAATTCACTAACACTCACCGGTTCTTCGTTATGGTCTTGATCGCCTCTTCCAGTCCTACTAACCCCAGCAGGCTGAGGAGTGACATCTACCGAACGATTGATTGCACTGTTAGGTTCTTGCCCTTGCCTAATCGAAGCGCCGATATGTCTTTGAATCTTTAGCAAATAATCCTTCAGCTCTCGAGCAGCCGTCTTGTCCCCCTTATCAAGACTTGGCTCATGTTCCTGCTCTTGTGCACACATCGACTGCCCCTCGTCTGCTGCATGCTGTTCAATCACCTTATCAACCCCATCATTCTCCAGACATCCCACTCCTTCAACATCTCTATTGTTCCCATTTTCCTCCTCACCTTCATCAGCTCCACGCCGCTCGTTGACGTTATCGATGGTGTCATTCTCCAAACGCCTCGTGCTTTCATCAACAGCATTTCGAGCCCTTCTGTTGTCAACACTATCGTCCTCTACGTTGTTCTTAGCCTTGCGCTTAAGAAACCTCCTCTGGGCAGACTGGGCTACTGCTTCAAGAGAGGAACTCCCAAGCAGTGCCCACTGTTCTTTGAGAAGCTGAGTGAGAAAGGAGATGGCAGTGTACCTGATGTTAGTCTCGCGAATCCGCTGATAGAGCTCAGGATCCTCAAGGGCCTTCTTCAGATCATTCTCCCACTTCAACAAGTCACTGGTCACCAAATCGCTCCCACTTTCCTTCAAAATCCCAATCCGCTTCTTCCATATCCTCTCAAGGGCGTCGGTGAAGAAGCCATCCGAAGCAGACAATGGCCACATGAATCTAAGCGTGCACTCAGCAGCCGTCCAGCAATAAGCAGACTTATGAGACTCCATGATTAGCGAATGCTGCTGCAGTAGAAGCTTCTCAAGAATCTCGAGGAGGTCAAGCGTTCCCTCGTCGAACGTACCTCGGATCAATGAATTGGAGATGTCCCGCAAAACAGAAGACATCTTGAGCTTGAGGCAGTCTGGAGAATCTCCAAATTTCAGCGCCGAGAGCAGGTTCATAGGGGCAGGCCTAGGATTGTGTTGGCGACGGAGGAAAAATTCGGCAACCCATTTGTCGATAACATCCATTTGGAAACTTTTGCGATCAAGGTTGTCACCTTACGTTTTGTCCCCGCCGATGCAATTTGGCCGGAGAAAACGAAAATCTCCGATCAGCGCTTGATTGGGGATTACGAACGACTTCAGTTCAGATATTCAGTAAATGGGCCTTGGTTGGGCCTGAAGTCAAACAAGATTATTCGGTGATGGATGGCAATAGATTGACAAGTGTCGTGAGCTTGAGCCTTATCCACAGATTCCCCAATCCTCTTTGTGTCTTTCTCTCTGGCTTGGCGCGCGCTCTCTCTCTCTCTCTCCATAGTTCCATTTTCTGAGTTCTCACTTTCACAGTCTGTGTTTGTGCGATAATGGCCATGGCTGAGCTTTCAACCCCCAAAACGACGTCGCCTTTTCTGCACTCTTCGTCTCGGCTTCGACTCTCCTCCAAATTGCATCTTTCAAACCACTTTCGCCATCTTCTTCTTCCACCTCTCCCCACAACTCCCAACTCCAGAATCTCTTGCTCCGTTTCTCAAAAGTAAGTCGCTTTACACCTCGTAATCATTTTATGTCTCTAGAAAAATTTCAACTTTATCTGATCAGATGGTTTTGTGAAATTTATGATAATAGTAGCCAAGCCCCTGTTGCGGTTCAAGAAAACGGGTTGGTGAAGACGAAAAAAGAGTGTTATGGAGTCTTCTGCCTCACCTATGACCTTAAAGCTGTATCTTACTCTCTCCCTGTTTCCATTTTCCTTCTTTGGTCTCTCAGTTTCTTCTAATTAGCTTAAAAACAAACAAATATTAAGTTATAATCAATCTTATCTCCAGAAGAGTGGAGATAATCCTCTGCTTCACATGGCGATAATAGTTTTTTTTATAGTTATTCCAATGTTATTTTATCTAAATCTGAAACCTTCTTTGATTTTGAGTGACCAAATGTGTGTGGTTTGCAGGAAGAGGAGACAAAATCATGGAAGAAGTTAATCCGTATTGCAGTTTCAGGTGCTGCAGGCATGATCTCTAACCACCTTCTCTTCAAAGTAAGTTATTCATGATCATAGAGGATAAGGTTGCTTACCAATCATTTGGTCGAATCTTCATGTAAACTTGTTTTTCCTGGTGTAGCTCGCTTCAGGTGAAGTGTTTGGACCAGACCAACCCATTGCTTTGAAACTGTTGGGATCAGAGAGATCACGCCAAGCTCTCGAAGGTGTTGCAATGGAACTTGAGGATTCGTTGTTCCCGTTGCTGAGAGAAGTTGATATAGGTACAGATGCATATGAAGTGTTCCAAGATGTGGAGTGGGCTCTCCTGATTGGCGCAAAGCCTCGAGGCCCTGGAATGGAACGTGCTGCCTTGTTAGACATCAATGGACAGATATTTGCCGAGCAGGGCAAAGCTCTCAACGCAGTTGCCTCTCCTAACGTTAAGGTCCTTGTAGTGGGAAATCCTTGCAACACCAAGTAAGCTACATACATTCCTTAGTTCACTCCTCTTCATCTCTCAATCAACGACCAAAATCTTAAGTATACTTTTTCTCTTCTATTCAGCGCCTTGATCTGTCTTAAAAATGCTCCCAACATTCCCGCAAAGAATTTCCATGCCCTCACGAGGTTGGACGAGAATCGGGCCAAATGCCAGGTACCACACATTTCACACATATATGTGATTATATGCAACTTTTACATACATATGATTGACAAATCCTTTTTGCAGCTTGCTCTTAAAGCCGGCGTCTTCTACGACAAAGTGTCTAATATGACCATATGGGGAAATCACTCCACGACTCAGGTTTGCCTTGACTTGCTTTAGTGTCATTTGTTGTTTCTCTATATTTTGGGATGTTTCTCTTATTTTTTTGAGAGGTGAATCAGGTGCCAGACTTTTTAAATGCTAGAATTAATGGCGTGCCTGTGAAGGAGGTTATTACAGATCACAAATGGTTAGAAGAGGGATTCACTGAGAGTGTGCAGAAGGTAACATGACACTTCCACTGATATTGTGATGATTCCTGCAACGACATATGTATAATAAAATTTGGCTGATTAAGTTTCTTTTGCGTTTGTTGTGCAGAGAGGTGGCTTATTAATTCAGAAATGGGGCCGATCTTCTGCTGCTTCTACCGCTGTCTCCATTGTTGATGCTATAAAGTCTCTTGTAACTCCTACTCCTGAGGGTGATTGGTTTTCGACTGGGGTACATCTTCTTTTACACACTGTTCGATAACAACATGATAGATTGGTTCCAGACTTTGATAAGGGTTGTGTTAATGTAATTTTTAGGTGTACACAAATGGAAATCCTTATGGTATTGCAGAGGACCTCGTCTTCAGCATGCCATGCCGGTCAAAGGTATGTTCTATCGTTAATACTTAAAAGCTTTTCTCTAGTGGTTACTCTCATAATTGAGTTTGTTTCCAGGGAGATGGAGATTATGAACTAGTCAAGGATGTAGAAATTGATGACTACCTTCGCAACCGAATCGCCAAGGTACTGCCTTCATTGAGATTAGTCTTTTGCGGGTTTTGTGTCTAAATTGCCAGAAGTTAAACTGAGACATGAAAATACTGCAGTCGGAAGCGGAACTGTTGGCTGAGAAGAAATGTGTTGCACACCTCACTGGAGAGGTATGTATCTGTCTTGTCTGTATCAAACAAAACCATTTTCTTTAACAGAAGCTAACTTTAGTTGTTGCTTCATGGATGTATGTTTCAGGGCATCGCCTACTGTGATCTTGGTCCAGTAGATACTATGCTTCCTGGTGAAGTTTGATTTTTGGAGGGCTTTGAGCGTCTCAAGTAAGCATTCTCTTCTGGGTTGTTAGCTGTACAGAGCACACCCACATTACTCATGATGATTGTTGAGAATAAGTGAATGAAACTCTTCACCTTTTTCTTCTAAGTTATATCTGTATTTGATTTTATTTAAGCAAAATGCACCAAAAGTCAAAGTACAATATAGTGTTTGTAAACACTTGAAACGATCCACTGCGTTATCCCAGTTCCAGAACTCAAACTAGATAAATGCATATCTAATGTCAAAACACACACTGTTGACAAATCATATGAGCTTTTTTTTTTGTTTTTTTCCAAAACCAATTCCAAAACAGCTCCCTATATGTGAAAAAGGTAAACAACAAACAAAGTTACAAAGAGTATGTATGTATGCTATACATAAGAAGAATCAGGATGCGAGAACGGAGGGTCTTGTTGTTGGTCGGTGTCCTGGAAAGGCGTTGCGTAGTCTCTTGCATTCGTCTTTGCAGTAGTCCAGTGAAAAACAGAGCTGTCTTATCACTTCCCTCTTCTCTTCTGCTACTTCTTCTAGCTCCCTCCTCTGCTTCTCCACTTCCTTCTCCATCTCTATTGTCCTACCGTCTTTTGCTTTCAATTCATTTCCAAGCCGACTCATCTCTGATTCTAGCTCACTCACCTTTTTACTTACCCTCTCTATGCATCTCTCTTTCTCTGTCTTCTCCACTGTCAACACCTCGATTTCTCCCTTCAGCCTTTCTTCCTCTTCCATTTTCTCATTAACCACCCTTCTTATCTCGTCTTCAAGGTAACGCACATTAGACTCCAGCTCCTTGAACTGCTCATCGCGGTGTGTTTTCTCTTCCAACAGCTTGGATATCTCGGCTTTGACCTGTGCCTTCTCCGGGAATATCTTCTCTTCTGCGTCGGACACAGCTGTCTTCAGATCCCTGATCTCATGATCTCTACCTGCTAAACTCGATTTCAACATGGAGACTCTATCCAGCAGCTTCACCACCTCTCTTCTATCTGCACTACACTTGCTTTTCCACGCTGCAGTTTCTTTCTGCGCCGAATCAAGCATGTTTTGCAGGCTCTTGAGCTTTGCGTCATCGGATTTGCATTTTTCAACTTCTTTTCTCATGATGCCGTTTTCTTTCTCTGCCTCCCTAAGCCTCAGGCTTGTAACTCTCAGCTCTTCAGACAACGTCTCAATGTCCAGTTCTTGGGTGGAAGCTGCTGCTCCTTCACCTTGTTCGTCATCCAACTCGGATGGCAGATATCTAGCAAGCTGGCTCTTTAACATATATATTTGGTCCTCTGAGTTCTGTATCTTGTCGTTTGCATCTCTCAGTTCTTGCTCACAAGCAGCAAGTTTCGCGGGAAAATCAACGAATTTGCTCTCACTTTTGACCCTTGTCAACAACAAGCTCTCAGTGTTTCCTTCAAGCTGCATCCTGAGCCTCTCTTTGGCTTCACGGAGCTCAATCTCAAGATCAGCGATCCTCTTGCTCAGGGACTGAAAGTCAGAGCCGATGCTCACATAACCGGGATAATTAGTCACGGAGGAATCGTCAGATTCTAGTTCGGAATCGGTAATGGAAGCAGAATCATCTCCATCTTTGTGAGAAAGATCAGAGGAATGTCCTCCAGTGCCAAGGAAGTAGTCAAAACCAGGAGCACGACGGGAAGGAGGACGGCCTAACCTATTAAGCTCAGTGGTGAGGTCAGAGGAGGAGATGTCGGAAAAGCCAGAGCCCTGCGACTGAAGCTCTAACGGGGAGCTTTTTCTCAACTCTCCGGTGATGTTCTCGTAACGCTCGGCCAGAGAACGGTACATACGGTGAAACTCATCGACAAGGCTGATAAGCTCAGGCCTCTTTTGGTAATACATCTCCGCCTTCTTGGCAAACGAATCTGCATCTTCCTCTATCAACTTCACCATCCGTTTCACGCTCCGGTCCATCTCTGATCGATCACCACACAAAACATATATCATTTTACAACAACAAGAGTTCGCATATTTATTTTCTCTATGAAAAAGACTACACACCCAATTTTTTGATAATTACCCTAAGAAGCTAAAAAAAAAGATGTTCCATTACGAAAATAAACAAGAAAAAGACACAATGAGATGGAGACTACTCACCATCGAGATTATTCTCGAGCCACTTGGAATTTTTGAGGCCGATATGACTATCCCACCACCATGGATGTGATTTGGTGGATTCTGCTCGCTTGATACTCTTCTTGGAACGAACCTGGCAAAACCCAGAATCAAAGAATCAGAATCAAATTGCTGTTTATTGGTATGAAAAAGACAAAGTTTTTTTTTTGGTATGTACCAGATCATAATCCATGGCTGCAAAATCGATGGACCCTATGCGAAGCTGGAGACACACAAGAGACAATCATGAGACCATTGTGAAAAGACGACTTCTTTTCGAAGGAAAAGAAGACAAATAATACAGATTTTGTCTGTCAGACAAATAATAATAATACAAAAGCGTCGGTCTTTTCTTTTTTTCCCTCCTCAAATCCAAAAAAACAAAAAGGATTGGGAACTGTTGAGAGAGAATCATGACAATATTCGCAATACACAGGAAAAGACAAAAGTTAAACCTGACAAGAAGAAGTAGAAGAAGCTGATGCAAGGAGGAGAAGCAGAGAGGAAGATGCAGAGCTTTTTGAGATTGTTGTTAGAAAACAAAAACAAAATTAAAGTCAAAAAAGAATTTATACACTTACCTTTTTTAAGACAGATATTGCGGACAAGTCTAACTAGTACTTAGCGATCAACGTGGCCAAGTGATTGGTTGTCTCTCTGTAATTATGAAATTTAATATGTAATTTGGGGGACTAATTCCACAGTGTCCATGTGGAGAGAGGAGAGGTTATATATACTTATATCAATGTGGGTTGTAATTTGACCTCTCCCTCCCCACTAATCAAACCGACCATTCATATGAGTAGTGGTCATCCTGACTCTTTCCTCTCGTTTTTTTCTTATTTTGCCATTCACATTCTTCTTCAAGGTTTCATCACGCAGTCAAATCTTTGCAGGCATTGAATTGCCTTTTTTTCCTATTTTTGGGTCTGAAAATCTGGCCTTTTCTGCCATTTTAAAATGTAATTAAATGTCAAGACTTTTTCAGAATTTAGTGGAGTAATCGCGTTATCGGTGTCTTTAAGACCCAAAAGGCCAACACAAATTTTATTTTGTGGCGCTCCACTTCCTAATGCATTAAAAATTACATAATCTTTTTTTTTTTATAAATAATTTGGTTTCTTATGATGTGTCAGCACCTGATTAAAATTCAACTGATTTACCTGCACAAGTCATTACACAAAATACAATTTTCGACAACTGCAATTTTTTTAAATTAAAATTTAATAAATATATATTTTTTCTGAAATCCTCTTACATGTACTTGCTAGATTTACGACTATTTTAAAATAATAATAATTAATGCAAATAGAGAATATTATCTTCCAAATCTTATTGTATTATAGTCAGAATCATATAACCAAAATTTGAAGCATCATAGATCTTATGACTATTTTGTTTCATATTAATTATAAAGATGTTTTTTTGTTAATATTGGTTTGAATTTTCAAAATTCTACTGAGTTATTGTAGAAGAAACAAATATATTTATGTAAAAATATCGTGATATTGTAAAAAATATTCAACAATTTTAGTTAAGTTTATTTATTTCAATATTACTATTTAAGCTATATAATTTGGAAACTATAAATCTCAATAAAAAAAACTTATAGCGTAAAAAAAGAATAAAGAGTCAATATATTAGTGGCATAGTGATGTGGACTCATGAGTTTAAGGAGACTACTCATATTCAAACAAAAGGCATGTAGATATTTTCCTAAAGGATCAAATAAGTTATAAGAACAAAAAATGTAAAATGGTAAATGTTGCATATCTTGATTTGGTCCTCTTGTTAGGTTTAGAAGATGTGTATGGGCCTCCAAAGTTGCTCCTACATGACTGGCTCATCAAGAAGAAAACAAAACGAGACTGGCAAGGATAATCTTTTCACATGGTTAGAATGGAGAAGAATGTAATATTCGTTGTGAGCTTGGACAACGCTGCATTTCACAATCGTTCTTCTAAAGGATAAAGACAAACATACATGAAGATAAACACATCACAGCCATATACAGAAATATCTCTTAGGCTACAAAAGATAATTGTAGGAAACAATGTATGAGAAGAACATTTGAAGATGAGTGAGCAGCACTTTGTGTTTGTGCACGGTGCAGGACATGGAGGATGGTGCTGGTACAAGCTCGCCAATTCACTGAGGGAAAATGGACATAAGGCCACCTGCATCGACCTCAAGAGCGCTGGAATCAACCAAACTGATGCAAACACTGTCTCCTCTCTTGATGACTACGACCAGCCTCTCTATGACTTCCTCTCTCAGCTTCCCCTCGACCAAAAGGTCATTCTTGTGAGCCACAGCGTTGGAGGAGGGAGTATGACGGCTGCCATGTGCCGCTTTCCTTCCAAGGTTTCCATGGCTGTTTACGTCGCAGCAGCCATGGTCAAACCAGGTACCGTGGTTCCTCCAGTTCTCAGGGAAGTAATGAAGATATGTTCGGGGATGATGGAGGATGTAGCTGAGAAGATTTGGGACTTCACTTTTGGAAACGGACCCCAAAATCTCCCAACAAGCATGATGATGAAACCTGAGTATGTCCGGGACAAGTTTTACAACGAGAGTCCCATGGAGGTTTGTCCTTTATTACCAAACTCCTTACTATGATCTCTGGCTCAGAAACTTTTGAGAGAATCTCCATCCATTCATGTATGATCAGGATTACACATTGGCCACCACGCTTCTGCGTCCGGCCCCTGTCACGGCATTCCTAGGAATAATGGATATTCCGGAAGCAGCAGAGACGGACAGAATCCCAAGGGTGTACGTGAAGACAGGCAAGGACCATATGTTCCAACCAAAACTTCAAGACATAATGGTGGCTCTGTGGCCTCCTGCTCAACAATTCCTTCTTCCAGAAAGTGATCACTCTGCGTTTTTCTCCCAACCTCAAGATCTTCATAAATTCCTCCTTCAAGCAGCCTCCTCTCTCTCTCCCTGAATTCTCTTTACATATATTCCTTTGAAATAATTTACTTGCATAAAACTGGATCATATTCATATATATCATGAGACACAGAGAAAGGAGCCTACAATAACTGCTATGTAAATGTCACCCACGCCTCCAACTACGTCTTACTACTCAGGCAAGTGATCTCAACACAATCAACATGAAAGACTTACAAACTCAAAAGCATAGATTAAAAAAAAAGGGAAAAAGAAATCAAGGGGTGGTTTGAACGTTGGAGTCCTTGGGTTTGCTATTGTCATCCGAAGATGGCCGTGTCTCAGAAGAGTCTGAAACTCGTATCTCTTCAATCATCCTAACAACCTCGTCCATGGTGGGTCGTACCTCGGGCATTTGAGCCACACACGCCATAGCAATCTGCAGCATCTGCACCATTTCTTCTTCAATGTTGTGGAACTTCATCAGCTCAACATCAAACACCTCGCTTGTCCATTCCTCTCTCACCACTGACTGCACCCACCTGGGGAGATCAACCATGTCTTCCCGACTTGGCGACTGCACCGGAGACTTCCCGGTCAACATCTCGAGTATCAGTACACCGAAACTGTAAATATCGGATTTATGTGTGTGTTTCCTTGTTTCTATTACTTCCGGTGCGCGGTAGCCTGCTCCTCTCGTTGGGGCAATGGGCACAGCCATCAATGGAGCCAGGCCAAAGTCAGAAATGCACGCATCACTCTCCTGCTTCATAATCACATTTGATGACTTTATGTTTCCATGACTGAACTTTAGACCTCCAACTGCGTGGAGGTGAGCTACACCTTTTGCTGCTGAGAGTGTGATTTTCACTCTCGAGTCCCAGTCAAGAGGCGTTCTCTCACTTCCACGGTTACCTGTAATAGCATCAAAGAAATCAAGATACTCTTAAGTAACACAACAAGGTGAAGATATGGCATTAACCAGAGATGGGAAGAAGACTAACCGTGGAGGAGTGATGATAAGTTACCAGCAGGGTAGTAGTCATAAACCAAGAGTTTCTCATCCTTGGAGTAATAATATGCACGGAGGGGAACCACGCTAGGATGTTGTCCTACCCGACCGATGATCTCCATCTGCTGTTCAAACTCTTTCTTTCCAGCTGCCACTTCCTTCAACCTTTTGACCACAACAGTGGTGGATTCCTCTAAGACAGCCTTGTACGCTGTCCCATAACTACCTTTTCCTAGTACTTCCGCCGAGGCCCTCAATAAATCCTCTAGATCAAAGTTGTAGGAGCAACCTTCAAAGAACACCAGCTTATTCTTCTCATGTTCTTGCACCCCACTTCCAAATTCTTGCTTTGCTTTCTCAGTTAAAGTCTTTGCTTTCACGATGCTGTCTTCTCTCTTGTCCTTCTTCTTGAGACAGCAACATAAGATAATTGCGGTGATTAACAGCAGCAGGGCAGCCCCGCCAGCTGCAATAAGAATGATGCTGCTTACATGCAATTTCCTTTTTGGACCTTCTTTGTGAGGAAACGGCGGCAATGGAGGTGAGGAGATGGGCGGGGTAAGAGGAGAAGGGCGAGAGGGAGCGGCACATGGTTGCAGAGGAAGTCCACATAACAATGCGTTTCCAGAAAAAGATGAACTTGGAAACCCACCAAGTCCAGAGGGTATTGAGCCATCAAGATGATTGTTGCTCAAGTTTAAACGTCTCAGGCTTGCAGTATCAAGATTAGGGATTGGTCCAGAAAGATTGTTATTTTGGAGGCTCAACACTGTCAGTTGCTTCTGGTTTTGTAAAGTTGCTGGTATCTTCCCGGTGAAAGAGTTAAATGAGAGGTCTAGGATATCGAGCTGTGAGGACAAGAAGGAAGGAACCTCACCGGAGAAGTTGTTATGTTGGAGAAAGAGGTAACGTAGTGAAGTGAGAGATGGAATATCAGGAGGAAGGCTACCACTGAGGAGGTTTGATCTCAAACTGAGAATCCTTAGTGATTCTAGTTTGCCAAGTGTGTTTGGAGGAATTGATCCAACGAGCCCAATTCCAGGAAGGCGAAGAGCGAGAACACGAGTACCATCAGAAGTGCAGGTGACACCAACCCATGATTTGCAGATATGGTTAGTGGAATTCCAGTTGAGCCTTCTAAGATGAGGAACAGAAGCAGCAAAGGCAAGAAGAGCTTGCCTATCTGAGTTCAGGTCCGCAATAGCAGAAGAGCAGAAAGTAGTTGTGGCAAACAAGAAAGAGACAAGACAAGCAGACAAGAAGCCCTTTGATGATTTGAAGGTAGTAAATACTGAACCAACATCGAACTGGAAATGGAGCTGCATCATCAGCAAGACTTTCTGTCCCTCCTGCTTCAAAAAGAAAAGAAGATGATGAGGAGCAGTGACTTTCACCACACAAGCCAGTTCCTTAGAATAGATCACAACATTGAAATTTGATAACTAATATATTGTTCTGAAAGAAATAAGCATATCAGCCCAAAAAATAAGCTACAAATGGGAAGAAAAAACAAATAAAGATTCTAGTTAGATCTTCAAGAAAAAGTATACCACTGCCTATCTTTTATCTTTATCATTGGGATATTAAACAATCCAAGAGTGAAGAGGCCAAGATAAGAGACTGAAGCATCTAGCAAAAAAAAAGCAAAGCAAAAGGAATAAAGCTAAAGAACCAAACTTTAACACAAAAACGTTGATGTGCTTAGAAAAGCAACTCCTTTTTACAAAGATATAGAGAAAGAAGCAGAGGTATGTCCATCATGTGGACAATGTCACTAAGTAAATAAAGATGAGTTTGAGTGTTTAATTTTATCGGAGTTGTTGAACAAACAACCTGTATCCAACAAATTGGAAAAGCAAAACCAAGGAACTAATACACCACGTCACTAGAATGTGAAGTCTCTAAACTTTCCTACCCACCCAGCCCGAAATAAATGGCGATTTTAAGTATAATTCCACAAGTAGACAATTACAGAAAGTTACAAGTAAACTCACAAGAATAAGAAGAAACCTGAGAGTAGAGTGGCGAGCTAACGAAGTAAGAAAATTGTGGGCATTGAAGAGAACTCAAGAAACCGGAAGGGGAGGAAGAAATGAAGCTTGTTTTGAGCGGCGCATAGCTCAATCTTGAAATGGCGAAAGAGAAAGAAAGAAGAAAAGGCAATGCGTGTGGGGGAGTGGGGGCTAGTGGGAGAGACGGAGAGAAGAAGAAGAAGAATAAGAAAAAGTGTGTGGTGAAGTTAAAACAAAAGAGGCGTATTTGTTAAGGGTAAGACAGTCTTGAAAAGGAGTCGTTAGATTAAATCATGTTGATGTGTTAAGACCGCAACAAACGCTAGAGTAGAGAGAGACTTGACCAAGCTTAAGATTCCATGAGATTGCAAAATGACAAGTACACTCAGCCAAACGCAGTTTTTTTTTGTTACAAAGATAAAGCCTAATTATTTTTAGTTGTAAAGTAATCATTTGCATATGGTAATTATAATCCTGACCTGTCCAACCACTCTTGTTACTGTTTTCTCTCGATTTGCATCATTCTTGATTTGTGGATACTATGTAAAAGTGAAACTAGTCATGTCATCATCTACCAAATCCCAAAACAAAAATCCAATCCCTTTAGACATTTTTGATTTGCGATGTTGTCCACAAAAAATATTAGGTCTTTGATGCATCTCATCTATCAACCACACTCATGAACTTTTGTTAATTATCAGACATCATCCACTGTGAAAAGCTGGGAGACTTAACACAACCACGTAAACTTGAGCTCCACAAATTAGAGATGCATCTTAGATAATATATTAAGCTGCCACTGTTTTTCTTATAAATTGAACTATAAAAGCTGATAGACTAAACACAAACAACAAGTGAACTTGAGCTTCCATAAATTAGACATGCAACTTAGTTTACATTTAAACTGCAAATCCATGTCCACGAAAAAAGAAAAAAACACTGGAATTTTAACAACACGCATAATCTGATTTTCCATCTCTGCTTTCTCCTCACTTGTAAAACTCAAAGTCCGTGTCTGGCTTCTTCACATTTGAGCGGTAACCCTTCTCGAAATCTTTAGGCAGTATCACATATCTGTTCTTACGCACCGCATGCATTCCAGCTTCCTGGCAGATTGCTGCTATCTGCATTGTTCAACATCATCGTATTGAATTAGTGTGTAATTTAATATATATTATCTTTGGCTACACAACACGCAATATAAGGAGTTCCATGTAGGGTCAGGACAATGATGAATAAAAGACTGGACGACTCAGCTAAGATCCATAGATAGTGCTTAAAACAAACATATATGGTACACATTTCGCAGATTAGGTGGTGACAAAGAAACAATGGATGCTATATCAGGGTAGCAGCAAAATCGAGTAAGAGGCATAAAATGATAAGCAAAGTAAACTAACCTCAGCAGCGCTAATTTTATCAGGCCGTGAAACATAGTCTTCCAAGTCAACCTCATCGCTGAGGTTCATCTTGGAGGTGCATACCTACACAAGGAAAAACCAGTCAAATTAGAAGAGGAACTTCGAAAAACCTTAATGTGTTGTAAACACAATCTTTTTCACTAGTTATTCAACATTCAAGTGCTCGTAATAATTAAACTTGCCTGGAAAACAAGCCTCTTTTGACGTCTATCAGGAAGGGGGAACTCAATCTTACGATCGAGTCTCCCAGGACGTAAGAGAGCAGGATCAAGAGTGTCTGCCCTGTTGGTTGCCATTATAACCTTCACGTTCACGGTCTGGTCAAATCCATCCATCTGCATCGAATTCAACATACCAAGTTAAAACACAACTCAATCTGAAAGTCAGGTATCAGCAAGACCAGCCATTTATAGACCACAAGTCCAGTAGTCAATGTCACCAGATCTAAATTACATCTTAAAGAGGATATCAGAATATCAAGATTCACTTAGTTGTTTTCTGTTCTCACCTGGTTAAGCAGTTCCATGAGAATACGCTGAACTTCCCTATCAGCTCCTGTTTGAGCATCAAACCTAGCAGTAGCGATGGCATCTACCTCATCAATGAAGATGATAGCTGGGGCATTCTCTTTAGCTAGACGGAAGACATCACGAACCATACGAGGTCCCTGCAATTGAAGGGCACGTTGGTCACTAAACAAACATAAGCGCGCGCCAAATAAGACCTTAAACAGTAAAGAAAGCTGTAATTTTTCCGTACCTCGCCGAGATACTTTTGCACAAACTCGGAGCCAACAACCCTAATGAAGGCAGCGGTTGTGTGGTTGGCAACAGCCTTAGCCAACATAGTCTTTCCAGTACCGGGAGGTCCATAGAGCAGGACACCTCGTGGTGGGTCAATACCAATTTGTTTGTAGAGCTCGTGGTGGGTAAGTGGCAATTCAACAGCCTCGCGGATTTCCTGTTTCTGAATATCGCATCCTCCAATATCCTACAAAAAGCCAAGATCTTTCAAAAGCCAAACCCTAAGCTGGACCAAAAAAAAGGGATATGATTTGGAAAAAAGAGGAAACTTTACATTGTAGGAGACGTCGGGCTTCTCAGATTGGCTGAGTAGGGAGATGCTAGAATCGGCCTCAGGGGGCAAGACATCAACGAGGGCGTTGGAGTGACGGTGAAGGGCTACGGAAGCGGAAGGCTTGAGGAGCTCCCTGTTGATGGTGCTGAGAATCCGGACATAGTAATTGGAGCCAGTAGTGGATCCGACGATTCCGTTGTTTTGATCCACCATCTCCATGAACTGGCCAATCACGAGGGGCACGGATTGAATGCGTTTGACCTCCTCTTGTGCCCGTGAGAGCTCCCGTTTGAGATTCTTTTGCTCGTCTTTCACGTATTCCTCTTGGATATCGGTGAATTCCAGTTGCCGTTCAAGCGATTTGAGACGGCCATAGAGATCTTCCTCGTCCGCCGTAGATAGATCCATCAGTGCCGGGGATGCTTTAGGGTCGAGAACCATTGCCGCTGCCATCGTTTGCTTGTCAGATCTTTGAGAGTTTTGGAGTAGGGAGAAAGAAAACTGTTATTGGGAATAAAATAATATATAGACGACGATTGTGAACCGAACTATTTACTGGTGGGCTTCTTAACTGAATGATTTGATATGGGCCTGTATATTTGGATTTTTGTTTCCTTTTTTTTGTTGGCCTTTTTTTGTTCTGATATAGGCAAACTATTTCATTAATCGTAGTGTTTAAGTAAATGTTAAATAGTAAATTAACATAACCTATTTGGTGGAGACAAAGGAAAGAGATTGGAGAAAAAAGAAAGTGATGTTTTTCTTTCTTGAGTCCCATCATCAAATTACGAAATCATCGAATTAAAGGCTTCTTTTATTTTTTTTTAGTTTAAGTTGGGCCAAATTTGAGTTTTGTTTTAATAAAAAATCTCAGTTTTACCATAGTAAGCTCATTTCATTGTTAGTACTTGCTTCCCATATCATCTGAACATTTCCTTCCACTCTTACCAAAAATCTCAAGTCCACAAAAACTTGTGTTACATACATATCATTCACCATTTATTAATTCCCTTTGTTTCGTGTCCATTGGGGAACCTATTCACTACATGTGCTCCATTACACTTGAAAAGGAAAAGAATCAGTGAGGTAAATAAACAAGTTTACACTTTTTCCTCTGGCCTCTTTGGATTCACTCCTCCAGTTTGATAGCCGCATCAATCATATCCACAGTGCTGTTTTGTTGCGTCCATAGCTGCGCGTATCTCCCTGCCTTCCCTAACAGCACGTCGTGGGGGCCTTGTTCCACCACTTTACCGTTTTCCAGTACTACTATCTGCAAGCACACAGGTTTCACTTATGAATCATCAACATTTGTTTCTTTGCCTTCTTATGCCCAAGTTAAACAACAATGTTTTACTACAAACCTCATCACATTGCATCGCAGTGGTCAGCCTGTGGGCTATGAAGATGGATGTCCTGTTACTCGCCAGTGCCTTGAGTGCGTTCAGTATCTCTGCCTCTGTTGTGCTGTCCAGCGCACTCGTTGCCTCATCGCACAACCTGTGCCATTTTCTCATCTAATCTCAAATTTCTTATGTATGTGAAGACTCTCAACACCTACTTAATCACATACGCAAAGTCAATGCTGCTTCTGTGAAAATTTACTTACAAAATCGCAGGGGATTTCAGGAATGCCCGAGCAAGTGCCACTCTTTGTTTCTCTCCACCACTCAACTGCATACAACATAACAACTCCATGGTTATCACCACCACCAAAAATACCCATCAATATATCACTCATACTCAAAACTCTGGATTGTCACTCGCCAGTGTTACTATTCGCAATTATATAGAAAATTCTGTCGGCTAATCTTTCTTTCTCATATTTGTTACAGTTCCGCATCGAATCATTTTTTTCTTCCTCCAACTTTTTAACAGGTGAACTTTGATACTGATCTATGCAAAAACATTCCAAAGATAACATCAAAATACTGACCTTTAGCCCCCTTTCCCCAACAATCGTTGAATATTTATCAGGGAAATTACTGATCGTTTCATGAATTGCAGCATGCCGAGCAGCATCATACACCTGGAATAAAATATGTGTTAGATAAATATTACTGAAATTAAACTTAACGTCTGCACCTAGTATAAGGTGGTTGGTACCTCTTCTTCTGTAGCTGAAAGACGTCCATAATGTATGTTGTGATATATTGTATCGTTGAAGAGCACCTGCAGTGCAGTAGAGGTTACCCTTGAGAACAACAAAACTTGGAGTTTTCTACATATATAGAAAGCTTAAAATGATAATTATGGAAAAAAGAGAAGAAAAGTGAAAAAAGAAATCTAGTGTCTTGAATGAATAGAAAGGTTACACTGAGAAGAAAGGCGAGAGAGCAATGCATGCAGGTCCTATTGTTGTATATAAACAAAAACTTACGACGAGAGTAGAGAAAAACAAAAAACATATAGTGAATGCCAACTTACAGTATCTTGCGGCACAACTCCTATGGAGCTTCGGAGGCTATCTAGTCTCACTTCCTTTATATCTTGCCCGTCAATCTTTACCTGTTAACCAACATGAAAAAGATGTTATCTACACACCAAGCTTTTTCTTCAGTGAATTTTTCTGCAGCAAGGTTTACTTTTGTTGCAACAATGCTTCACAAAAACTGAAAAACAAAAGCTTACATTTCCGGAATCTGTGTCAAAGAATCTGAATAGCATTCTAAGAATTGTTGACTTGCCTGCCATAGAACAAAACATAAGATTTGTAACAGCATGGCAGAATAATAAATTTTAACTTAGATGCTTAAACAGACGAGGTTTTTAGGAATTACCACTCCCGCTAGTACCAACAATTGCCACACTCTTTCCTGCCGGTACCGTAAAGGAAATTCCATCCAAAATTTTTCTCTCAGGAGCGTAACTGTAATTGTAAAAAAAAAGAATGATGATGTGACATTAGACATAAGTAACCCCTTTCGTCTTCGGATCACAACATGAAGCTTATCCAAATCATGCAATGTATCCAATATGTGGGCACATGATAAATAGAGCTAGTAGTATAACAGGTTGCTATTGGTTATAATGATTTGGTCATGAGGTAATTAATAAAGACTTTCTGGGGTGTAATGAGTTTATCAAAGAAATAAAGTTTGAGTTTCTAGTACTTATATTAATCTTAACACACTCCCAGGCCCGAGATAACATGGCACTTACAATTAGTATGATCATGTTCTACTAAAAATCAACACCTACCTGAAGTGTACATTTTCAAACTGAATGTTTCCGCCTTTCAGAACAAGAGGCTTTGCGTCAATTATATCTGTGATATCAGATTTCTCCTGCAGTCAGTAAGAGAATACCAAATTATCATTTCAACATGCCAGGTGTCCATACTAAAAAGGATGCATTTGATTGAAGCATTGCAATTTTTTTTATTTTTAAAAAGCTGTTAAAGGAGCTTAACCAATCGTAGAGTTTAAAGTACCACTGATAAGATCCTCATATACCTCTAACAACTGGAACATTGATTTCATGTCCACAAGGCTCTGAATGGTTTCACGGTAAACACTACCCAAAAAGTTCAGAGGAAGAGATAACTGAAAGAGAAGTCCATTCACCATAACCTGCAGCGCCAAAATATCCAAAAGCATATTTGAAAACAGATTGCATCGAAAAATGAAGAGAAATATAAGATACCAATGCAGATGAAAATCAAAGAGGCACTAACCAAGTCACCGACTGTCATCTGGCCATTCAAGATACCCTGAGAGCACAACACCATTGCTGTTGACAGAGCTGTACTAAATATGATACTTTGCCCAAAGTTTAAAAAAGCAAGACTTCTTTGAGTTTGCAGGGCAGCATCTTCATATCCTGGTATAAGCAGCAGAACCAGCACACGATGAATCAAATTAGATGGACTGAAAATAAAATGTTTTCAGAAAAGAACGTCTAAATAAAGATGCAAAACAGTCAACAGCGCATTTCCTTATCTGAATTGGTTTCTTTGCAAAAGTAAATCTGGAGGATTTTGTGGAAACTTAGAAAAATCTGTTTTTTGTTTTTCTTTTTCGTCAAACCATGCTAAACTGCTAGTACAATTACTTACTTTTCAGGAACTGGTCATACTTTTCAGCCTCATAACCTTCATTGTTAAAATATTTAACGGTCTGAAACGAAACAGAAATTCTGTCAAAACTACAATTCAAGCAAAAGATAAAAATAAATTATGAAACTTTTACCTCATAATTTATCAGAGAATCAATGGCCCTTGTGCTAGCATCATTATCAGCTTTGTTCATGGCCTTTCTAAACTTTGTTCGCCACTGTTTAAAGTAAACGACAACGTGAGCACATCATCTGACACCAAAAATATTTGTGACAAGATAATGAAAGACGAAGAGAATGTACAAAGACAATCATCCTTCTACAAAAAATTCACACCTATCAGATCTAGAAAGAATTTTCAGCCCATGCAAATAGTCGACACAATTACGATCAGAGAAGCTTAGAAACGAGTGCAAGACCACTCTACGGTGGTGTCTTCAGCAGATTATCACTTTCAGTGCTGGATTATCATGGTAAAAACGCAAGTATTGCATCATAGTTGGCAGTGAAAAGAGTTCACCAAAGAATGCAAAGTACCTGTGTCACAGCTAACGTAAAAGCGATATACGCTCCAACTGAAAGAGTAGTAATCCAGGCAAAAGGAGCTCCGAACTTGTATGCTAGTATACCTGATACCATAGATATCTGGAAGATACATATTAATTACGTCGACTGTTTTAAGAGACAATAGAGTAATCCAAACAGGAAAGAATCCGCAGACAACAATCAGTGAAAATGAGAAAAACTCCATGATCATGATAAAGCACTAAGCGGGTCAGACAAGCTTTACCTCCAAAATGGTAGGAAAAACATTGAAAACCATAGCCGAGAGGATAAAATTTATTGCACGGCTACCACGATCAATAATTCTGTTCAAACCACCTGTTTCTCGACTGGACATGAGCAACAAAGAAAGCTACGATGAGATGAAATGGAATGAGCGAGATGACCTAAAAGAGTAGGAGAGGAGAGATGGATACCTTAGGTGATAACGAAGGTCAAGATCATGTAAATGTGAGAACACCTGCAAAGGCATCATGTGAAAAGGATTGATACATGAGAAAGAATACACCCTAAATCCCCATCGGCAAGACTGTTTAGAGTAGCAGCAGCATACCTTTCTAGAAACAGATCGTATTGTGCGGAGAGCAACCTTGGAGAATACAGCAGTACGAAGTTCTGCGATGATGAAAGTAGCAAGACCAAGAGTGAAAAGAGCTATCATTTCGTTTCGGGGTTTCAGAAAAAAAAAAGAGCTATTCCGAGGAGTTACCGTTAAAAGCAGAAGAACCCGTCCGAGCAATGCCATATCCAATGAGGACGGCAGAAGGAGTAGCGAAAGCAGCAACAAGAGAAGGGTTTGCAGCGGCGAAGGTGGTAAGAGAGGCGCCAGTGCCGGTGGCTGAAGCCAGCCAATCAACAGCCAATTTGAAGAGGAAAGGGACCTGGACATTCAAGACCTTAGCCCCTACGAGAAAGCCCAAGGCAGTGATGACCCTGAAGCGGAATTCTGGGTTGTCTCTCATCCACAAATATCCGGCAAGCGTGCGGAGGATCTTCATGTCAGCCATAGCCGACTCTGAGTCCGAAGAAGTCTTCTTGATTTGCTTAGACTTGGTGGCGTCTTGATTGGGATTTGGAGTGGACGTCGAGAACTGAACACCCCCGTTAACCATGGAACTCCGTTGAACGAAACGAATTGGGGATGGTGATGATGTGGGATCGGAGAGGAAGGCGTTAATAGCCGGGGATGTCCGAACTGAATTACGTCTGATGAAACTGGAGAAGCCATGATGATGAAGAAGATAATCAGAGCGAAGACGGTAGGAAAAAGACGGTGTTCTGGGATGAGGGCGAAGATAAGCGTGACGTAGTAGGAGGCCAGGAGCCCTAAGGAACCGAGATCCCCTCGACATCCCTTCTTCTCCGAAAGTATTACAGACAGTTTGCTCCGGCAAGTTTCGGGTTTCTGACTTTTCTCTCGGATTCTCACACTCCGGAGCTAGATGCTGCCATATCTCGATGTATTAAATGGGCCTAAGAAGTAAAGCCCACTAATGTAGGAGCCCAGTCGGGTCTATCCCCTTCTCGTGTGTGAGTCATCATCATTTCTCCACCGTTCTTTCATCATCATCGTCGTCGTCAAGCAATGGTTATTACGCGCTACTCAAACATATCATTTTTAGTAAGGAGATGGGAAGCCGTGCAGTATGCATTCAACGCGTGGCGGCGCCGCCGTGTTTTGAAGCCTCATCGCGAGTGAAGAAGAGCAAAACAGTTAGTCCCTTTTTTGTGAATACAAGGAGGAAGAGAAGAAGCAATGGCGTGAGGTGCAGCAGCATAAGCGACTTCATCGGAGGAGACCTGGTGAAGCTGGACATCGGGCGTTGGCTTGAGGACGTGGAAGAGCACAAGGCACTCGCCATCTACACTCCTCACGAAGGTGGCTACGAAGGTCGTTATCTTAACCGTCTCAAATACCAAGGCTACTACTTTCTCGACATCTCTGCTCGAGGGCTTGGTGACCCCGAGACCACCCTCCTCAATCCCTACCCTGTTTGCCCTGTATGTCTGTCTCCTTTCATGTTCTACAGTTAATGGTCTTGTTTGAATAATTTAGTATTTTGAACCATGTTCTCTCTTGTTCTAGGCTCACCTTGGGAAACAGCCTATAGCAAGGTGGTATTATCCACCAGAAGTGGACTACAGGCTCTCTGCTCTTCCCCCTGATGCCAAGGGTCTTGTCGTCTGGGTCCTCGAAGCAAAGGTTTGTGGATCTCTCATTTGGTTTTTGTCTCACACATGGCTGCATCTCATCTTCCATATACCGTATGTGTTATCGACACTCTCAGGTCCTGTCCAAGTCTGAACTCCAGTTTCTCGCTTTGCTTCCCTCTCTCCGTCCTAATGTCAGGGTTATTGCTGAATGTGGCAACTGGTGAGAATATCATCCCTTTCCGTTTAATAACCAAATCTATGTTTGCACTTTGCTTGACCACAACCCATTCCCATTCCCCTGCAGGAGAAAGTTCATGTGGAAGCCCCTTGCGGAAATTGCAAATCTAGCTGCACAAGAGTAACTTTAAGGAACCCAAGCACCAATGGAGCTTGCCGTGTATAGTTTTCATGAATACATTCCCTGCAAGTGTAGCAATATTCACCACATCTGTAATTTGTGCTTGTTACTTGGTAATACATACCCTTTCATTCCCATGAAGTAGTTAAAGTAAACTTCACACTCTCATTTGTCACAGATGAATTAGCCAAATTGATGGAATAAAAAGGAAGCTCTTGATTGATCAGAAATATGTGCAACTAACAAAGTAGAAATAGGCCTTGATCAATTCTGGTCACTAGACTCAACAAGTTGCAACACATTTGGAGTACACATAAAAATAAGAAGCTCAGTAACACTAAGACAAAGCTGGAATTGGAGATTTTTCAAAAAAAGAAGGAAGGACAAGTTCTATACTACAGATTCTTGAATTTCTTTGGGCAAGAAAATTTCCCACCATCCAGATTCATACTTGGGGTATGGCGCCACCCAATTTTTAGGCTTATCGAACTCCAGACTGGTAGGAGTGGAGGCCAAGGCTTCATCGAGAGAGGTAGCTTCAAAGGATTCAGCTAGAACTCGATCCAATCTTAACTTCATAAACCTGCCATCAAGAGAGAAAAATTACAAAATTGTGTGTGTGAAGGAAGGTGAAATATAATAATTCTGTAAAGAGAAAAAAAATTCAGGGGTAATGGTTCTAACGTGATCCATGGGCCATTGGTGGAAACAAGAGCGACGGCAGGACGACGGAGCCTTTGAGTGATTTTAGGGAACTTATCAAGGAATTTGGGCTCGATGACAAGCCAGAAGTCCTGCTCCTTGTCACGCTCTCCGTAGTATCGAAGACGTTCAAACAATTGCTCCTGGAAGTGTTCCTCTTCGTCAAGCATGAATTTGGCATTCGCAACCAGGAAGTAGTACTTGGTGCTCTCTCCCTGCAATCATCGTCGCGTTTATCCAAGGGAAACGTAAGCGGCTTGGTTTGATTGTCGAGAAGAGAGAAAAAAGATGAACCTTATTATCCGATTGTTGTTGAACGGAGGTGGTGGCAGCAGTTCTAAAAGTGGAGGAGAAATGTGATGGTGGAGCCAGAGGCAGTGGCGGGGAGAGATTGAGCTTCTTCGTCTGTTTGGGAAGAGAAGAGGAGACGAGAAACGGTTTCGGACGGCTAGCGGCGGCGGTAGGCACCGCCACACCCAGTGCTCCGGTGACGCTCCACATTTGCTGATTTGAGAATTATTTGATCGAGGTGGAATCTGCAAAAATCTTATCTTTTTTGCCGGGGGTAATCCACTATCATCATCATCGTCTCTCTTTCTCAGCTCTTTTTTTTAATTGATTTAATAAATTATTGGGCTTGCAATTTCAAGAGTTCACAAGTAAAGGCCCAATAAGTCCTTATGGGCCTATGTAACCCATGAGGAAGAAAGGGGAAAGGTTGTACCAGTGACTCAAAATGGCGATGGAGGCGGAGCTGAGATGCTGAAGCTGCAAGTAAGCGGGAAGACGATCTTGTCCAGAGTTCGTTGTCGGAGAGAGGCGAGTTACCAAACGATGTACCATTTTCTCGACATTTTGATCTTAGAAAGGATTGATTTTTCAGTGTTTTGATATTGATGCAGATGTCGACTGCTTCCTCCTACGTCTTTGGGCCTTACAAGATCGATCCTCGTGAAGTGTTCTACGCAACACCTCTCTCTTATGCCATGGTTAATCTCCGCCCGCTTCTTCCTGGTATTACTCCTTCCTCTCCAATCATTCATTCTATTTCTCTTCTTCGTCTTTCTTCTTACCTTTTTTTAATTTTCTTTTGGCAGGTCATATCCTTTTTTTCGTTTTCACTGTTTTGAGTTTTTGTTTTCGAATTTGAGTTCCTTTGGGTGACTTTGACCACACGAGCACATGTTCTTGTCTGCCCAAGACGCCTTGTGCCGCGCTTTACTGATCTCACAGCTGATGAGACCAGCGATCTGTGGCTTACTGCTCAGAAGGTTGGCTCTCGGATTGAGTCATTCCATAATGCAACTTCTCTCACATTAGCCATCCAGGTAACTAAACATCTCCTATCTTAATTTTCATTTGTTCTTCCTTGAGTGTGACTCTGAATAGATTGGAATTGGAATGATTGCTCTAAAACTTTGGTTTCTTTAAAAAAAATGGCATAGGATGGCCCTCAAGCGGGACAGAGTGTTCCCCATGTACACATTCACGTCTTGCCTCGTAAAGGCGGTGACTTTGAGAAGAATGATGAAATCTATGATGCTGTAAGTTGCTGCATTTTGACCACATTGCAAGCTTTGAGTTTATACAAAACGCTTATGGTGGTTGGTATCTTGTTATAGATTGATGAGAAGGAGAAGGAACTGAAGCAGAAGCTTGATCTTGATATAGACCGGGTTGATAGAAGTCTTGAGGAGATGGCTAACGAGGCTTCCCAGTACAGGTCTCTTTTCGATCGCTAGTTATATCAGATAACAAAGCAAAGCTATCCAGTAGCTTTAAATGCCTTTAATAAGACCATTGTGACAAGCGACCCTCTGTTGAGGTTGATGTTGTTGATGTTAAGACTTCGATTTAAACTTGTAATCTCTTTCTTGTGCCATAAATTAAGCGTTTTAGTTTTCGTTGCCAATTCTTAATGACCACTCTTATGTTTTATTCCAAAGAAAAACCCCACATGTTTCATGAGTTGCCAAAAAAAACAAAATGGTTTCAACAGAAGCAAGAGAAGTGCTGAGTGAAAAAAAAATAAACTCCTCTCATGTCTAGCGTTTTACATAACTTTTACACTAAATACTTGAACAGATCAAAAGCAAAGATGTATAAAACATTGTTCAATAAAATCAGTGCGGTATGGATACAGAAGCTAAGAACCTTTTACTGTTTCTTCCACTGGAGCTTCGTCCTCGTCATGGTAAATGTTCTCAGCCATCTGCCATATTTGGAGTATGTTGTCCTCAGCTACACTGGATATAACCCAATCTTCACAAGGGTTCCACGAGAAATCTGAAATCTTGCTGGTGTGACCACCATGAATAAACAGCAGCTCAGGTGGGCCGTCCTCTGCATCCTCCGCTGTCTGTTCCTCGTCGATCCTGTCATAAGACACCCTCAAACACATCAATATTGCTTCTCCATGACCAAACATAAACATTTTATAACCAAGCAATAAAGTCTAGTGCCCAAACCTGCTAAGGTCCCAAACCATAAGTCTTCTACCAAGGCAACATGAGGCTAAAATAGTCTCGTTCTTCGGGTTCCAGCCAACTTGGAAAACCTCCTCTCTGCGGATCAAAGTAAATAACTTAAGTTAGCGATGCTGCTTTTACTTGAGCTAAATAGTGCTTAGTAACGAAGAATCGCCAGAAGCCGGATCATTCTTACTTATGGCTATCAAATGTGTGAAGAGCGTGGTGCAGCTTCCGAATATCGAATAATTTAACAGTCTTATCAGTTGACCCTGTCGCCACAACCCACTCATTAAATGGATTGAAGGCTAAGCAATTAACCTGAGGCATTTCAAACAACCCAATAATTAGCAAATACAGAGGACGCTAAGATTCAATGGTTTTAGCGTAACATGGAACACGTAGACAAGCCTTAGATTCAAAAGTTTAATGTGCCTGGTGCAAACTCACCTCCATCGTGTGAGCAACCACGGTCTGAGCTGGTTTACTGGCAGATGTAGCACGCAGGTCCCATATAAGAAGGTATTGGTCATCCCCAACGGATCCAAACAGGTGTTCATGTCTCAGATGCCATGCAACATCTTCCACGACTCCTTCATGAGCCTTAAATTTAGCAAATAATAATAATCATCAGCAGCGAAAACACAGAAACCACACTTCATAATCTCTCTATCTATGCGATGCCGAACAAACAGCCAGGAGGGATAGAAATCCAAGCATACCTTGAAGATCTGCTGAGCGTCAAGAGTCTTGTTTTTGGGTGCGGCGTTAATATCCCACAAGCAGATCTGAGCGTCATCAGAGCCGCTGAGCAAATGACCTTCCTTGAACTTGCTCCAGGAGAGGCCATATCCCTCAGAGCTGTGACCCCTCAGCCTCAAATCAGGATTGCAAACGCCATCGAGAGGAGGCTTAGATGGGTGCTTGCTGTAATCGAATACGTACACCTCCGCATTAACGGTCTTGGTGGCAATCATGAAAGGGTTTTGGGGCATGTAGCGAGCACGATTCACCTCCCCTTCGTGATTTATTTGCTGGATGATTTGCACCTGCGCAAAGTAGTCGACTTTTGTCATTCAATCAACTCGACTGAGCCCTAGAATCAACCTGAAACTTGAAGATGAGAGAAAAATAGAATAAAAAGGGCACCTTTCCGGTGGCGGAGCCGAAGCCGCCGAATTCGGAGCGGTCGTCGTCGTACTGACGTGCTTCGCTCTCTGTGTCGTCAAGGGGAAGCTGAACCTGGGCTAGCATCAGATAATTGGGCTCGTTCTCGGAGGTGTGGGTACCGAGAATCATCTTCTGGACCGAGTAGTCGTGACCGGAAGGCTCCTCACGGTCGGGAAGCCATTCGACGGTAAGGGAAGGCCACTCGAGGGCGTGAGTAATGACGAGATCGTAGAGGAAAGGAGTGTTCTTCTTCCAGATCTTGTACTCTTCGTTGATTAGACGCTCCTCGATCTCCCCTCGCATTTCCTCTTCGTCTTTCCCCATTCCGGCGATATGCTTTGTTGTTCCCGCCACAAGCAGAAGAAGGCAAAACCCTAAACAGAGATCTCTTTTGTGTGTAAAATTGTTGGTAGCTGCTGCTCTCGCTTCTGTTCCTGTAATCTCTTTACATATAGAAGAAGATGAAGAAAAAGGAAAAAAAAAAAAAAAGACAAGAAAAGGCTTTGTTTTTAAAGGCCCATCTTTTTGAAGGCCCATCTTGTTAAGGGCCCATTTTACACACTTTCATTTTACACCAGTCAACAGAACTAGGATCGGAGAAAAAGAGGAGAAAGAAAAGAAAAAAATGGCGATGGAGATCAGGGAAGACGACTGGGTGGTTTGTTGCGGAAGCTCCGATTTCGCGAAGCTGATGGTGAAAGCATCTCCGTTTAGCTCATTAGAAACAGCGATCGATGTTGCAAGAGAAATCTGGTTCAACCAAGTTAATGTTCCAGCTTGGCTTGAAGCCTTCGCTGCTCATCCTCAGATTGGGAATTCTCCTTCACCTTCTAACAACTCCGATTTTGCTCGTCGGAGCGTAGCAGAGCAGTCCACCGCCTTTGCCACAACTTCTGCTTCTGCTTTAGAGGTGATTGGATCTCCACATTTCTTTTCGTCAGTCTCTTCACTGTATTCTTCTTCTGACGATGACGATGATGAATTTTCTTGTGTTTCTTAGGAGCTTTCCGAGTGGAATGCACTCTACAGGCAAAAGTTTGGCTTCATCTTCATCATTTGCGCCTCCGGCAGGACTCACGCTGAGATGCTCGCCGAGTTAAAGGTGTCAACTTGGCGTTTCCAAGTCAGTTTTTCTTGTTAGTCCCCAGAAAGTTTACATATTCTCCAAATCGCCTCTTTTTCAGGGAAGGTATGCAAACAGACCGATAGTGGAGCTCGAGATTGCTGCTAAGGAACAGATGAAAATAACAGAGCTCCGGATGGCAAAGCTGTTTAGCGAGAAGGCTGAAGTTGTTTCACAAACTGAGTCAACAAAACCTCAAGGTATTTTGGTGATTGTCAAAGTTTTTGTGTGGGGTTTGAGTCTCCTAGGAATCTGTTGAAATACCCTCATGGCTATCTTTGTCAACTCGTGTTAATATGTGATCTTTGTCTACTTTCTTGCTTGATTTAGAAGACCGTCTGAGAATCATAGGAGAGCATTTGAATGCTGCTGCTGAAGCAAAAGCTCCCAAGAGAAGTAGGCCACCCATCACGACTCACGTCTTAGACGTCTCGCGTGGTGCTCCAGCTGTAGGTGTTGAAGTGCACTTGGAGGTGTGGAATGGTACGACCTGTCCTTCCTTTCGACAGGGAGGTCGTGGGGAGTGGTCCGTTGTGGGAACCTCAGCTACTGATAAAGATGGGCGTAGCGGGCCGCTGATGGATTTGGTTGAGGCTTTGAATCCAGGGACATATAGAATAAGCTTCAACACTGCAAAGTATTGCCAAGGTTGCTTCTTTCCCTATGTTTCCATTGCATTCGAGGTTACAGAATCTCAGAAATGGGAGCATTTCCACGTCCCGCTGTTGCTTTCACCATTTTCTTTCACCACATACCGTGGGAGCTAGAACTGCTGCTGCACCCGGTCTTCAATACAATTGGCTTTGGTGGACCGGTACTGGGACTGGGCCATCTATAAAATTGCTATAAAACAATCTGTATTTGTGTATTTCTTTGGATTTGTGACCTTGTAGTGCCGACAATGAATTAACGAACAATAAAAAATGTTGTATTTTGTTCTAAACTCATTGCAAGCAAGACAGTGTAATAAAAGAAAAAGCTTTAGCTTTCATTCACATTAGGAATCCTCGGATCAGTAATTGTTTAGATTATCAATTTACAATGTTAGACACCTTGGGAGAATCCAAAACTTTTGCACAAAAATTTACCAGGTTCTCATTTTGAGAGATTCCAAACTTTTTGCACAAAATGGTCAACAACGAAATATATAGCCTCTACATAATGGTCAAACACAAACGTGAATTCTAAAGCTTCCGCACTAAAGCAGCTTGTACGCCTCCCTGGCTATATCTATTACTCTTTTCTCCAAAAGTTAGCAAAATCTTTGGCCAATGACATTATATTGCTCCAAGCGCTTGACCTTTCTCCTGTTTTCACTTCACCATCCTTTTCCGCTGAAACTAGTCTGCATAAATAACAGATAAGAAATCAAACTGATATTGTGCCTATATAATACGACTTGAATTGACTTTTCCTATTACGCAAAAACAAGAGATCCATCGATGAAATAAACTATCTGTATTATACACGAATCCAACCAGCTAGGGAGAGACCTAGTTTTATGCACACGAAATACCTGGTCTCAGTAGGCAAAATATTGGCTGAAACGGCAATTTCTTCGAGATGGTCTGCTTTTGACTCTTGACTACCCAATTTCGTCAATTTTTCCTCTTCCTCACCCCCTGAGTTTTTAAAACATTCCTCTGATACCAACGTCTGACTTTCGGGAAGATGACTATTGCTATCGCTATCGCATTTACTGTCAACGTCATCGTTAGGAGCTATCTCCGTTGCTGTTTTGTCATGTGTTGCAGCAATGACAAGATTGTTTCCCTGAAGATCTATTTCATCACTTCCTGTCTCAATTGTACCCAGACTCTGATCACTTCCTGTCTCAGCAATGACAAGATCGTTTCCCTGGAGATCACTTTCATCAGAAATAGGGCGAGAGAAATCTTTTGTACTCGGACCCTGATCACTTCCTGTCTCAATGGTATCGGGGCTCCCATCCTGTCACACATAAGAGCAAGTGTAACTGAGCCAAGTGATAAATGCAGCTCAAGGTAATTCAACTGAGATCACGCAGAAGCAAGATATTTACTTGAAACACAGTGTCAGCAACCACAGAAGAGACATGCTCTGTATCTGCATCATACAAAGTCTGAGAGGATGTATCAATTGGTACAAAAGCAGGGGCTTGTGAGAGGGCTTTAGCTACGATTGGCAACGGTGCATTTGGTTTGAGTTTCAGCTCTTGAAGGATATCCCTGACAACGTAATAACTACCTCCCACTTCCTTGAAAGTAGCGTAAAAGGTAGGGAATTTGCCAGCATTAGCTGCTCTGTACCTGCATACAAAGAGTTAGGTATGTTTATGATTTTGCAGGTTCAGGTGCCTTCGCTGCAAAGATTGCTATTCTAGTCGACATGTGCCTATACAATTGCACTTATACGAGAAAAGAAAGACATAGAGAGTAGGAAGAGAATTACTCGTTGACAAAAGACTCAACCACAGCTCGCCGATCATCTCTTGATAGTCTTTTGCCAGCCTTAGAGGTTGTTAATGTTTCGGCAACAGCAGGAGAGCTATAGAACCTTGCAAGGAATACAGCTTCAGCGTTCCTGCGTGTGGCAGACACTGCAGAAGACATCATCAGGATAATAGAAACATTCAGCAACGACATTCATAAATTTGGTAGGAGTAAACACATGAGAAAGGAAGTGTAAAATAGCTCTGTTACAGGTAAGTTGTTTCAGCTGTTTCCGAATCATCGTCACTGCACCAACCACCCGTCGTTCGTAAAGATAGATGTTACCAGGTTCGGTTCAGAGACTGTGGCACTTGTACGACGGCGCGATCAAATCCACGCAACAACTCCATAACTTGCTTCTGTTTCCTAAACATCACGATAAACTTCGATTAATTCATTTTTATGACGACTGATCTAAGTGCAGCAAGTTTATGCGAGTATCAATTTCTTAAATTAATTCATTTTATGAGGATCTGGAGCTTAACATAGTGGTGAACCATTAAAAAAATCGGTAAGAAGAAACTTACGCCCAGAAAGGAATCAATCACACCACAGTCGGAAAACCGAGAAGATTGCTTGGAGGGGTTTAAGAGAGACGCTAAAAACACGGCGAAGAGCGAGGAAAATAAAAAGTAGGGTTCGATTTCGTTTTTTCTTCAGACGTTCTTCAGGCAAATGTAATTTCTCATAAATAATCGAAAATGGGCTAATTCATGCGGCCCATTGATTTATCTCTGTTTTGCGTGCTGGTAAAGACTTTTATCCTTCCAGAAGATTAATTCTGGGTCCCACACCTCCCAGAAAAACCAAAATTGTTTAGCAAATGAAATTACAATTAAATGCCAAAATTCTATAAAATATACTATATAACATTCACAGTGACCTTTACTGTATTAAGAAGCTTTTATGGCTTCTCCTTGTAATTTTATCATCTAATTTTCTTTTAATCTCAAGTCTAAGATGAGATATGGACACTACACACACAGCAATTTGAAATGTGTACATGGCAACTGACTACAGACATTGAACAAAAGTGCACCGGTTCAAATCAGGTTACATCTTCGAACAATGTCTTTTCTTCCACAATCTTGGCCATAGTTCCGATTACTTGTACCCAACTTTCTGCTACTTTCTTGATTTTTCCATCTAATATCTCCACCAATGTATAAACTCTTACTGTGCCACCACTCTCAGACGACGTTTCATTTTCCCCAATTCCTCTCCCACAGTTTTCCTCCTTTGTCCCTTTAACTCTTGGAACTACTGCACCATTCACATAAACGGTCTGGTTGTCACTGTCTTGCACAACCATTTCCCGATCTCCTTTCCCAGACTGAAGCTCCTTATGCATGTGTCCAAACACAACTAAAGGAACAGACAACTTCGTGGTCTCCTTCAACTGGCGTATTGCCTTCTCTAGATCTGAGACGTCAAACTAACTACAAATCAGCAGTTTGGAGTGTGAAGCACTGAAAATGCCACTAAGGCCAAATTAAAAAAAAAAAATGGCAGCTTAATTCACCTGGATCACCATGGTCACCTCCTTCGACAAACCAGTCTCTTCCACATATATTCTCTGCTTGAGAACCGAGACCTGCAAGACAGAGAATCCACTACTTAAATCTTTATAAGTTTAACCTGACTTGGCCTAAGACTAGACCAATAAGAGAGCTTTTCCAAGGTCGATGCACCTGTTGGCCCGTTATGCGCAAGAATTATAACCACATGATCCTCCGGTGTTCCATGTGCAGCTCGACATATACGCCCAGCACTGGAATCCATATCATGAACTCCGTACCTAGAAAGAGATCAACAGTGTCAATGAATGATAGCTTTCTCTGACTTTGAAACCAGGGTGTATATAAATTGCTGCCCCTAATCAACAGACTTGTACGTTCACAGAGAAGCTAGTTTGACCAATAAGCACTTAAATCTAGAACACACATGAAGATGCTTTTTTACGATGCAAGTCAAATGCTAACCTCTGGAAAAGCAGTTTTTGCCGAAACAATCGATCTCCCCCATGTGAAAAGGGCCGACCACCAACAATACTGAGCTTATATGAGGGGAAGTCCATGCGTTGATATCCTACGTGCTCATCACCAAGGCTGTTGGTTGCAGCCGGAAACCAAAAAAAAAATGACAGAGCTAAGGATCACAAGAAGAAATACCAAAAGCTCTTTTTTCTATCAAATCCGATGAACAAATCAGGAATACCAAAAGAAAACATTTCCTTGGGTTCAACCAACAAACCCTTTTCCCAAATCTATTTCCCGCAGATGGGTCTCATGACGAGTACTCGAGTCCTAATTAAACTACGAATAGAGATCACATATTATATCAATGAGTTAAAAACCTATTCGAACTACCTGATAATCATCACGAGAAGCCTAACATAGACTTTTGGGTTTGGAGAAGATGCTCATTAATTATCAGACATGCTACCAGGTAGAAAAACTCGAGGATCAAGTAGAATTCATAGGTGAAAACAAGCGAGGGGTTTTAAAGGCATAAGCCTGAAAGCAGTAAGCGATCATAGGTTGTTATTAGAGTCAAAAGCACAAGCAAGCAGTGGTCAAACTCACATATCGAGCTGCATTTGAACACGATTTTGTTTCCTGAAAGAAACAAAATACAGAAAATGGAAATCCAAGATTAAAAATCAAAGCACAAGACCAAAAGTTGGAGATCAGAGAAGGGTTAAGTTGGTGGCAAGACACTTTGATAAGTCATGGGTGTGCCAAGCATCATGATTGCCCAATATAACTGCTTTAGGGAAAGGAAGAGCGGCAACACTTTGCACAAGTGGCACGTTTTCCTCACCAAAATCACCTGATAGAATTATGAAGTTGGATTGAAATTTTCTGAATTAATCAAAGTCATGGCAAAATATCGAAAAGATATCAATTCATAGAGAGCCACGGAACAGAGAAGCTGCCTGTGAAGAGCACCAAATGCGGCTGCAAGTCAGGTTTAGAAAGAGTTTTAGGGTTCCTAAGCCGAAGTGGTAATAGAATAAGAGATGAAAAATGTCAAAGGAAAGGGTCTAGAATAATGAAAGGGAAGTTCAAAGGACCTGTAGTAGCCGAAGAGCCTTCCGATCTTCATCTAGATCCCAGAAGCCATGCTTCAACGGAAGAAGGAATAGATAAACAAATTAAGAAGATGAAAGAAGAAGTGAGAGAAGGAGAGAGATAGAGGGAGGAAATGATATTACGATGTCTCCGACAACAGCGATTCGGACAAGGGAAGAGGACGCCATTGGAGCACAGAACGACAGACCAGAATTGTTGTTTCGAGGGAAAAAAAAAACAAGAAACATGATAAATAGTTTTTTCCTTATAACCTTCAAACGTCGTCGCTTCCACGACTTATTTGCTACTCAATTTTGTTTCTTCTTAGAATTAGACTTTAGAGACCAGAGAGAGATCTGAAGAGACACCTGAGGTTCATTCATTGATGGAAAAATAAAACGCATAATGCTACAAAGTACAAGGAATTGGAGTTTGATATCTTCTAGACATTTAGTATACAGCCCCCACCCAAAAAAACCGAAGAAAAAACAGAGTATCCACCCTTGTTTACCAAAAAGAATGCTTCTTCTTCTACTTAACTATTACTGTATCAATCAGTTTTTAACTCTTCACTTTCCCCCTCCTTTCCATCTACTACTGTCACAACTTGAAGACGCTCTGTTAACTGCTCCACAGAAGAGGTCTCTTCTTCCCCGTCTTCTTTCCTCTCTCCATCTTCTCCCACCTTTGGCCTCTCTCTGTCATCATAGTAGCCAAAATCATCCAGGATCGATGTGTGTGCCTCGTATTCTTTGAAAATTCTGAGCATCTCAATCCCCTGACGTAGCTTCACCTGTTTCATCAATCAGTTTAAGTCATTTCATCACAAAGTTAAGCTTCCAATTAAAATGCAATGCAACCACCCAATTTATGTATTCAAAATCTCTTTCCCCTACCACTAATACCTAACTCTTCTCTGTTCCATGTTTTGCTTATTATCCCACCCAAAAAAAACATAGTAACAAGTGCAAGCTATATTCTACCAAATCTCACATGCCCCATCAGTCTAGTTCCACAAGAGACTACTGAAGCAGTCATACAACTCTTCCTGGACCTCTTATTTAGCTTCCAAATTCCTAAACCAACAGCTATAACGTTTGACCCAATACACATATTTCCCTATTAAAGCTCGGGAAATCCCTCCTGTTCATAAATGATAATGCCAAAGACTTGTCCACATATAACCCAACACTTGTGAACAGACGCAAATCACAATGGCACGATACCTAGACAGCAGTGAATGAATGATCATAAGACAATGACATAAGTAAGGCCTACCTCCTGAGAGTCTCGGCTGTGTGTCACCGGCTTGTTGTCATTGTTTTGTAAGAGAATATGACTAAATCGGTTATTCGGTACATCTTTCACAATATGCCATTTCACTGGGAACTGCCCACTCCACCTGTCTTGCTGCCAGTAAGCAGCATCCTTTTCGAAATCTACAGGTCCGACCATTTCCGAGACCCCACAGAACTGTCCACTAGCATTTACCTGCAACATTTTAACTCTTATTAAGCGGACTGTTCCCTTGAAGCAACAGAGGATTGATTACTCATTGCTAGAAAGAAAACTTATCAATTACACATTTGGTTATTGCCGGAAAATATATAAACTACTAGATCGACTGAAAAATCCATACCGAAAAGAACAGAAAGATTGGACATTTTCCACCCATCTTCTCAGCATCTCGATAAGCAGTATCCAATTTCTTGTTGCCATGTGGCGTGCTGGCCCAGACATTATACTTGATACTTTTGTGGACATTGTCTTCACTAAATGACTTGACGATAAAGAACTTGGCATTCTTATAATCCGTCACAAATTCTGGATGGTTGTACAGACTAGGATTTGGTCCAGCTGTACTTGAATCATTTGCTGAATCACCAGAAGGAGAGCAAATTCTGGAGCTGTTCTTGCTCTTTACCCTGCTGGATGCCCTTGGTCCTCGATTACCATACATATCACTGGTGATGGAAACAGAACTGAACTCCTTCTCTCGCCGTTTACCTATGTCAGGGGTTAATCTGACTGGATTATCAGCTCCATAATATGAAGCGGTGGAGCTAGGATTCTGGTAAGAAGATGCAACAGGATAATATGCTCCCAACGAAGAGCTTGAAGCAACCCCACTCCCATGCAACGGAAACTGATAGAAAGTGCCAAAAAAAAACGCGATAAGCCCATGAACCTGTGAACTAATTTGAATTTAAAGGAGTATGCCAAAGACGCTAGAGATATTAATAATCAGTGGCACTTTAATGCAACTTTCTTCCTTTCAATCAAACGTTTACTTGAACAATCCAAATAAAGGTTTTGTGCCCAAAAAGCGAAAGAGTTTTAACCTGTGAAGCAGTGTGGTCGTATGGCCCAAGTATACCCATCGTTTGAGGATACGGTATAGGGGATGTCAAAGTGTTGCCCACTTGATTCCCGGATAAATTGCCTCCACCATATCCACCAAAAGGAATCATGTAAGCAGATGTTGGGTCAAAACGGGAGTTATCACCACCAATTTCCGACTGAGTAAAATGCATAGCTGATGGTGCACCATAGTGTGGGAAGTAAGATGGAGAGACAGGAATTTGGCCTTCCAACATTATAGATGGGTAAGGGTTGTAGGCAAAACCAGGTTGGTACATAAAAGATGAGTTTTCACTGTAGACAACCTGAAACCAAAAAAAAGAATATGTAAGATAAACTATGTAGCAAGAGCAAGATACAACATAAAAGGGTAAAAATATCCTAACCTGTGGCACATGCAGGCCTTCAGGGGTAGTGGCATATGGTGAATATCCATCCCAACCAGTGATGCTTTGTGCATAGCCTAGAAAAAAACGATAACGCAATGAGCACTCAGAGTGGTTTGATTGTTGCCAAGAGGGGTTAATACGAAAGAGGGAAGAAAACATATGTATTTACCAAAATCGTAAGGATAGAGATTGGTAGGGGTTTGAAAGACGTTATAATACGGAGAGGGAACCGGAGAAGGACCAACGGAAGAAGAAACAACCCTTTCATCTTCGGGAGAAATCTGCTGGTGAAAGGAACGACGCATTTAATACCTGAGTGGGTGAAAATTGCTTACGGAAATCAAAATAGACAAAAAAGAAGGAATGAAAACCTGCTCGACGCCATTATCCGCCATCGCCGACCTTTCCACTGCGAGAAGTCAACATTATCTCGTCAGAAGTAGAACCAAAGGGAGGAGGAGGAAACGAGACATTGAAGAAATTAACGGCTCTATAATGCTCTAGGGTTTGTATCAAATTGGGGATTTTGTCAATCGAAATCAGAGAGATACGAAAGGTAATGAGAGGGGGGAAGAGAGTGTACCAGAAGAGGCGATTCGGTTGCGGTGATTCCTGGAAGAAGCGGGATCCATGGAAGGAGAGAAGATCTGAGAGAGAGAGAGCGAGATCGGAGGTTTTTTGATTGTGAGATTGGAGAATTTTGAAAGACTTGCTGCACTGGTGTGGGCCCCGTGTACTTAAATACGAAAATAAAAAGGATTCGTTTTTAAGGCGGTTTCAGCCCCTTTTCTCCATATGTTTTTCAACTGTATTATACGAGCGAGCCACTTGCGTCGTATCATCGGAAATGTGCGAGGGGCTTTCTCTTTAAACTCAACCAACTCAAACGTCTTCTTTGCAACAATGGCGCGTTGACTATCATGTAAAACGACCTCGTTCTAGGCCTGACACCAATAGTCACCACCATAGACGAGAATCCGTGGGGTCATCGCGGTTTACCCCCATTGCAAACAACCGTTTCACACAATACTCTATCTAATTGTCTTTCTTTGATAAAATTATTGTCTTTCTTTGAAAATTAACTAGTATATAATAATATGTTCTGTTTTTCTCAAATTTGGACAAAACAATCATTTTTAAAGAAATTAAAACATGAAGAGTCCACATAGGCACATACTATCCCATAAAATTTACTATCACGAACCACAAAATTTGGCAGACGGATCTACTAAGCAAATCTCTATAAAATGATTAGTTTAACGGGGTGATAGCATGTAAACAAAATCTCTATAAATATCTAAACCCGTTGCATGATACTCACCAACATTCAAAATTTACTTAATGTGGTTTTTTTTTTGGTTATTGTTGTTTGTGTCATGCATGTAATGGAATAAACTGTAATGAACTCACACATATACGTAAGTAAATAGTTGACTTTGGTCGAACGTGCTAGTCCTCACTGAATGGGCCATTTAGAAATCGCTAAATGTTAGCTTTTGATGCCACGTTCAAATCTTAACTCTTCTCCACTAAGCTGTCCAGCTTTTCACCTCGGGCCAGGACACTATACATTAATGGTTTTATGCTGTAATATACAACAAGTAACCATCGTAAATGCAACAAAACTTCTTTCCTCATTCTATCTCTTGACGTGAGTTTGAGGATGCTTTATGAGAATATACTTATACAAACATTGACAAATTAGCAACACCGTGTGTTTATATATGTAACTTTAAGCGATCTTGGAATCAATAGACTCTGTACGTATGATTTCACTGGAATGTAAAAAACGAAGCAAAGCACACAGATTTTTATTTTGACATTTAGTTATAGGAGATGGAAAGATTTTTGTGTATTTCTCATTAAAATGTTTGTAAAAAAAGTGGAGAATGGAGGGAGTAATTCATCTCTCTTTTTATTTTCTTTGTCAATATCTTTACTTCTTTTTGCAAAGGAAATTAAAAATAATGGAATAGAAAAATGTTCCTCATGGCTCCAACTGCAGAAATAAAAAAGAAAGAAAGAAAACAACAAAAACGGCAAAGATAGATAAAAATAGGTGTAAATGGGTGTTTGAGCCATAATTGGCTTAACCATTAATTAAACTCCTTTTCTCCATTCCAATTTTATAAACCCTTCTTTCTTTGGCTCCAAGCTTTCGCTTTTCTTCATCTTCTCTTTTTCACAATCTCAAAACCCAAAGGGGGAAAAGAAACACAAGAAGGCAGAAGAGGAAGGCGCATATGTTCTTGATTTCTCGTTGTGCGATCTCTTACTTGTCCCTCACTTCTTTTGCATTTTCGTAAATGTATCTAACAATAGCTTCCCGTTGTGGGTAAACACATGCAGGATCAATTATGCTGAGGTTTTTCATCCTTCTGTCCCTTTTCATACACTCTTGTGTTGCGGCCCCTAAGATTCCTGCTGCTGCCGCAGCTGTTCCTGCCAAGAAATGGCTCACCCTTAGCGGTATCCATTTCCATAACTTGTCTCTATATTTTGGGTGATGGCACATGTCCATATTACATAACATGTTGTCTGTTTGTATTTAAAAACCCATACTTGTGTTTTCTTCATATGTCTTTCAGGTAAAGAGCCTGCTGTTGTAGCGAGAGGCGGCTTCTCAGGACTTTTTCCCGAGTCGAGTGCCTCTGCAAATGACTTGGCCATTAGCACCAGCTCGCCTGGCCTCACAATGTTGTGCAACCTTCAGCTGACAAAGGACGGTGTGGGCATTTGCTTGTCTGATATTAGGCTTGACAATGCAACCACCATCTCAACGCTCTTCCCCAAAGCCCAAAAGACCTACAAGGTCAATGGCGAGGACCTTAAGGGCTGGTTTGCCCTTGACTACTCTGCCGACACCATCTTCTCCAATGTCTCATGTATGTCTTTTTTCTATTCTTCCTCCTTTCCATGCTTCCCACCATTATTACCACACAGTTTTCATGTTTTGTATTATTGAGCAGTGGTCCAGAACATCTTCTCTCGCCCTAGCATCTTCGACGGTCAGATGCCCGTTTCTGCCGTGGAAGACGTCCTCGGAACCAAGCCTCCCAAGTTCTGGTTGAGCGTTCAGGTTTCTCTTCTTACTCTATTTTAGAATCTGATAAACCAATTTATAAAGGTTTCTTGTTGATTAATCAAAAAATAAAAAAAAACAAATACAAATGTGCAGTATGACACCTTCTACATGGAACACAAGCTGAGCCCAGCTGAGTACCTGAGAAGCTTAGGATTGCGCGGCATAAGTGTCATTTCATCTCCGGAGATCGGTTTCTTGAAGAGCATTGGGATGGATGCAGGCAGGGCCAAGACAAAGCTCATATTCGAGTTCAAAGACCCTGAGGCAGTTGAGCCCACCACCAGCAAGAAGTACAGCGAGATTCTGCAGAACCTTGCAGCCATCAAAGCCTTTGCTTCAGGCATTGTTGTCCCCAAAGACTATATTTGGCCCATTGACACAGCTAAGTACCTTAAGCCCGCCTCCACCATTGTGGCTGATGCCCACAAAGCTGGTCTAGAGGTCTACGCTTCTGGATTTGCCAATGACATGCAGACCAGCTTCAACTACAGCTATGATCCCTCTGCTGAGTATCTCCAGTTTGTGGACAATGGCCAGTTCTCTGTTGATGGCGTCATCACCGATTTCCCGCCAACAGCATCACAAGCCATCTGTGAGATAACTACTTGCTATCTATATGTCTCCTCAATGATTTGATTAATAGGAGAAGCTCATGATGTATATGTATTTTTGCAGCTTGCTTTTCTCACCAAAAGGGAAATCTCCCCAAAGCAGGGCATGCGTTGGTCATAACTCACAATGGAGCAAGTGGAGATTATCCAGGCTGCACCGATCTGGCTTATCAAAAGGCAGTTGATGATGGAGCAGATGTGATCGACTGTTCTGTTCAGATGTCCAAAGACGGAATGGCTTTCTGCCTTGACTCTGCAGACCTCACAGCAAACACCAATGCCATGACCACTTTCATGTCTCGAGCCACCAGCGTTCCTGAGATCCAGCCTACCAATGCCATTTTCTCTTTTGACCTCACCTGGGCCGAGATCCAGTCTCTAAAGCGTAAGCAACTAGTTTCTTTTCTAAAGATTTATGAAACCATCTTATTCTCATCAGCCAAGTCACTGAGAGATTCCAAATGCCTTTGTCTTCAGCTCAAATCCAGAGTCCCTTCTCAGCTTCTGGGGGATTCCAGAGAAACCCAGCAAACAAGAATGCCGGGAAGTTCATGACTCTCGCTGACTTCCTTGAGTTTGGCAAAGCAAAGGCAGTCACCGGAGTTCTAATCAACATTGAGGCAAGCTTCCTTTTATTAATAAATTTCTAAATGCTCCTTGACTTACTCAATAGAGCTCCATTAACGCCTTGCTTGTTGACAGAACGCTGCTTATTTAGCATCAAAGAAAGGTTTAGGAATCGTAGATGCGGTCAAGTCCGCTGTGGCTAATTCGACATTGGACAAGCAATCAACCCAAAATGTTTTGATTCAGTCAGACGACAGTTCTGTTCTGTCCAGTTTTGAGGCTGTCCCTCCGTACACTAGAGTCTTGAGCATTGGCAAGGAAATAGGAGATGCTCCCAAACCATCTGTTGAAGAAATCAAGAAGCATGCAGATGCTGTCAATCTCAAGAGAAGTTCCCTCGTCACCATCTCCCAAAGCTTTGCCACAGGGAAGACCAACGTGGTGGAGGAAATGCACAAGGGAAATATCTCTGTCTACGTCTCAGTGCTAAGAAACGAGTTCGTCTCCATAGCGTTTGACTACTTCTCCGATCCTACGATAGAGCTTGCCACATTCATTGCAGGAAACGGTGTCGATGGAGTCATCACAGAGTTCCCTGCTACCGCTACCAGATACTTGAGTAAGTTTATATATTTACAAGATCATATAAGAACAATATATATACATAATCAAGATAAGTCTGATAATATAGATTTGATGCACATACAGGGAGTCCATGCTCAGATCTGAACAAAGACCAGCCCTATGCCATCTTACCTGCAGAGGCCGGCGCTCTACTTTCCGTGGCAGAAAAGGAAGCACAACCACCGGCTAGTGCCCCGAACCCACCTCTTGATGCCAAAGACGTGATTGATCCGCCTCTGCCTCCGGTTGCAAAGTTGGCATCCACCAATGCAACTGGAGAAGCTCCGCCACATGGCCCTGCTCGTTCAGGCACTGTTTCCACCGCTGCTCATCTTGGCCTTTCTTTGTTGGCAATGCTGGCGTTGGGACTATTATGTGTTGCCTAATAAAGATTGATGCAGATTTTGTAATATTTTCACCTTTGCGTTATCTCGTTGAGGCACTTATGCCATATGTTTTAATCATATATTCATATGTTACGACGATATAAATATTTATATAGGCACTCCGATCAAAACTCTAAAGAAGCATTCTTTGTTGTGTAGGGGTTTTGCTTAGAACAGAGTTTGGGAACTTTATAACCTACTAATGTAATTTTTTTCTTTCTTTTTTTAAAAATTTCTGACTAACCTTCTCCACCATGGGTTCCTGCATCTGATGCTTTCTTAAGATAGTAAAGCTGCAAAAAAACAAACATCAAGCAAATGCAAAAGTAGTAGCCTCTTGCATATTTTTAAAGGACACACATGGCCTACATGCGACACATGAGGTAAATCAAATGACATTTTCTTATTGCAGCAACCTGAATCCCCACAAAAAGAGATTGGCCATACATGTATCATGTATGATGTGTTTATGTTTTATTGCTTTCTAATTACAATATATTATGCCCCTTCCTGTTTTGATACAAGCTAGCTTTGCTGATAGGTGACAAGTTAAAGAAGACAAAATCTTGCTGTCCTTAACATCCCACTTTTCCTCTAGTCTGTAAACACCATTGTAAACAAGTTTTTAGCACAGCCGTCTTATCTTCACCGGTCCAGTCCAGTCCTAGACCGTTTCCTTCCTTTCCGTCTAGAAAACAGGCAGAAGCGGTTTTTCAAGCAGCGGTTCCTTCCTCCAGTGGCTCATTCGTTTCTTTACCTAATCCACTTGTTTACGTTTTCTCCTTTTCAGCATTCTTCTTGGCTTCCTCCTCGAAGTGTTTTTCGTTTTCTTCACGCGCACGATTGAACAGTCTTACAAAATCTAGAAGAGTCGCCACCACTACAATTTACAACCACTAGCTAAATTCAAACAACTTGTTTCACATCAGGCTACATATATATATGTACATCTTGTATATGCATACCTTTTTCAAAATGGCACTTAGCAGGGTCTTCACCAAAGTAGCGAATTAAGCCATCCACGTTTCTTCCCTGCAAATACATCATTTATTTATTCTGACCTACGATAGAGAAGAGCAGTTTCACATTGGATTTTTGGGTACATACCACTCCTGAATAGAATGAAGCCAAGGACCTTACTTCTGCTTCCGCATAATTAAGAAATTCCTTCACTTTCTGAGAGAAAGAAGAAGAACGTTGATATATATATATGATCAAACAAAAATGAAATGAATCCGTGCACCCGCATTTTCAACACATGTGTGTATTTTTTTCTTTCTTATGAGTTATGAGGCTTGATTGTTCTCCAAGTCAAAGGTCTGCGTTTCTTAAATAGACCTAGTTCTGTACATATTATTCTGTTTCCTTTGAGAAAGCTTTGAAGAGGCAGCAAGTAATCAATGACAAAGATACCTTGTTAAAGTTGTCTGAGATTGGGCCATCTTTTTCGGACGTGGAGAGTTCCTGTACGACAATCTCCAGCCCCTTGTTTGTCGCTTGCATATCCTCTGTCAAAAACTTGAGTTGAATCTGTATAAAAGTTCTGAAAATTAACACAGTTTCAAGTTTTTTTATATCCATCTAGGCAGAAACTGGACATTACATGTGAAAGCCAAGTACCTTTGTGGCGGGCTCCAGTAAGAATAGATCGTCTGCGAAATCTAAAACTTCAGGAATTTTCTCAGAAAGAATCTGCAGAGAGTCCATCAGATCTCTATCTTTCTCTCCATCTAGTAAATCCACAAAGCTACAGAAGGGCATACTATAATAGCTTACCCAGCATAGGTAATGCATCAGATTCTTATGGAAATTACTCGACCGTGTTTCACTGAGTTTTGGCAGACTGTCCAATTTAAACCCAGCCGCATTACCTAGACAGAAACTACTTTCAGAGCAGGATAAAAGATATAAAAAAATACAGAGTTAATAGGTTCCATTTTCAAACTCACCCCTAGTCGTCCCCTGGTTTAGAGCGTTCCCAATGGCCAAAATCGTCTGCATTATTCTTTTGAATTTTTCAGAATTCTTTATCTGATGGAAAGAGAGGCAAAAGAGTATCGGTAAGGTATGATTTAATCATGTTGGGTGGTCACATAGACAAAGACTTACCTGTTCTGCTGCAGAGTTCACAACACTTAGACTATCACTGAGCTGAGAAACCTAAAAAAGTATAGCAACCATAAATACCAAAATCAAAGTTACCAAATAACGTAATTAGCAAGGTATCGGTTTTTCAGACCTGAGAAGAAAACTGAATTTTGAATGAGAATACTTTCAGCTTTTTTTCTACTCGTGGGACTTTCATCATCTCTAAGCAGAACTGTTCAGACAATTTCAAGAAGCATACTCGGTGTTACGCTCTAATAGCTACTCCAATGAAACTGAAAGGTTTTCTAAGGTTTTGTACCTGTTCGCATTTCCCAAGCATGTTCTTGTCACCATCGTAAGCCTGCAAAAAATGAAGATAAGTCAAAGGAACATACAAAAGCCGGATCACAGAACACCAAAGATTTGGAAATCAAATCACTTCTTATACCTTTAGTGATTTCACTTCGTCTGGTGTTGGGCAAAACTTGATCAGGTTCTCAACCTTATCAGCATCAAGAGCCGCTTCCTCAAGGTTAAGCACTGCGTCCTGCCAATATTTTGGAAAGACTTAGACAATTAGCTTTTTAGTATCATTGACATTTTACCAGATTAAACTGATATATTTTTACAATACATCCTAAAACAGGTAGAGCTTGATATTACCATCAAAAGCTGCAGAGGTACTTTCACATTTGAAAGCATGATTTCACAATTTTGTGCTCGCTTGCTATCTATCTGCAAAAACAGAGTTTCCCATAATAATTCGGTTGGCTCAACCATAGAGAAAGCAATCCTATTATGAGAGAAGAAACCGAGTCAATCATGATATACCAGTCGGACGATCTTGGGTTTAACTGGTACTACTGTTACTGCCTTCTTCAATGGAGTAGCTGCGGCGAAACAAATTTGAAGCTGTGCCATGTCAATGTCAGGAGCCCTAAACAAACATGTTAAGAATTAGCGGCTCGGAAATCATACAAGAACCCCAAGGCATGAGAGAAATAAGTGACAACACGAGGGACAATGCCTACTTAGAAGCTCCACCACACATTAGTGTTTCAGCCCAAATGCTCCCGGTTCCAATGACAGCTTTTGTCAGTTTCAACCAGTAGAACGGCTTCAACTTTATGGTTGGTACCACAGGTTTCGAGGGGACAATAGGACCTACCTTTTTAAAAGGAGGTGGTGGTACTGACCGTGGCCCAGGCGGACCTAATGGTGGTGGAGGTGGTCCTGTTGGCGGCGGAGGAGCTTGTGGTACTGACCGTGGCCCAGGCGGACCTAATGGTGGTGGAGGTGGTCCTGTTGGCGGGGGAGGAGCTGGTGCTGGGGGTGGGGGAGAAACTCTAGCGACTGTATTCTGGTCTGAACGCTGCAGTGGAGGAGGAGGAGGCAACGCAGATGTTTTGTTTGAGTTAGACACGGACGGAACTGGCGATGAACTTGTTGTTTGAGAAGACTCCTGAGAAGAAACATGGGATGTTGGAGGCAGTGTAATGGGAAGTTTTTCGTTTGGAGTAGTTTGTTGTAATGTTGATGCAGCTAATGACACCCAGGAATTTCCGTGCGAAAGAGTCTCTGCCGGTTGGACAAGAGAATGCTGCAGTTGCTCTGAAGGTTGAGAAGCAACAGTTAGAATAGGAGAAGGTGGAGGAGGAGCTCCTGATGGAGGAAACGACGGTTTAACTGTTGCAGAATGATGCACAGGCTTGAGAGAAGGTGACTCTTGACGTAACAACTCTGTTGCATCCTGGTTAGTTGTGTTTGTAATAGCTAATTCCATCAAGTCGGCAGACGAGGCAGCATCCATATCCGAGAAGAGAAGCTTCACACAGAAACTACACTTTGTGAGTAATGAGTTGCAAAGGAGTAGCTATATACTATGTAGAGACAATATGAGACACGTTGAGTACATACCTCAACTTTGAACTCCTTTGGGAGTTGTTCTTTTATATGCCATAATGTATCTACTTCGTCACGGTTGAGCATCAAATTGTTTGATCTAATAAAGGCTGTGTTGAAAACAACTCGAAACAGCATCTCCTCTCTTTCCATGTCATCGTTCAAACTGATGCACTCAATCACGACATCACCTTGCACATGACAATTAATGTCAATCTTGACTAGTTCACATTCTTCCTGCAAAACAGAGAAAAGCCATTCAATCAAGTTGCAAAGGAAAGCTAAAACACAACAAGAACGAAAGGCAACAGAAAGCTAATCAGCGATTAGAATTATCACTATTGCTAAGACCTTAAGATGCAATGTGAATTTACTAAGCACAGGCTGAGTCAGAGGCCATGAATAATGAAAGAACGCTATGAATCTGGCGTGAAAAGTACCTTCTTGTAGTTCTTCAGGTGTTTCCCTTTCTTGGGAGTCAAGTACAAAAGCTTGGGCTTTTTATCATCTACAGAGAACGGATCCTGACCGTACACGCGGAAGATTGGACGACAGCCTCCTTGTCCACTAACATCAGGAATAAATCTCAAAATAACACAGTCCATGGTGAGAGCCTTATCCAGAGGAGGCCATTCAGAAAACAGATTCCTTCCCGACACGTACTTCAGATAGCGTAGCTGAGAAGGAATTGGGTTCAACGGTGAGAACAAATGCAGAAGCTCGCGCGGAGCCTGCTTGTACATCATGTCCAAGGTCTTGTACTCACCACTGTACTGCTTCTGGTATATAAGGAGTGCAGCTAGAGTGAATGCTAAAACTGGCCAAGCACCGCGTTCACAGTGCATCAGCAACAAGTTGTTTGGGCCGAGGGAGAGCCAACTTTCACTTGACCGGAGAAAATGGTGCATCATTTCCACAGGCAACAGTGAGCAGCCTTCGTAGTGGCGAGGATAATCCATTACGGTCAAACCATGTTCTGACAAGACATCATCGATCGCACTTGGAGTACCAACTTCACGGAAATTAAACACAAGAGAGGATGCGTCAGGGGAGTGCTCCTGTAGCTGATTGACTACTCCCGCTATATAAACTTTGTAGTTTTCTTCTTCTAAAGAATCAGTGGAGAAGCAGCAGTCAAACACTGCAAACGCACAGAGAAACTAGGTCTTTAGATCCAATCTTTCTTTAAGAAAATCTTGATAAAATGAAAATCATGACTTTTTAAAGATATATCCAGCGTTTCTTTGCTTTATCACAGACGCAAACAAGTTGTACACTCCAACTAGAAGAGCTATCAAAAAGATTGTCAGAAAAATGAGATAGAAAATGAAAACGACATAAGTTCAGACAAAGCAGTGTCAAGTCGGGATCTTTCGGACAAGAAGACCAAAAAGTAGAATCAACAAGGCAAAATAGAGTCAAATGAAGCAGGGAACTGGGAGAAACAGACCGTAGACTCTATCGCATATCTCGAGCAAACCAAGTGGAGGCTTGCGGTAGAACAATTTGCGAAACAAGGCCATGTCTCAGAATCCTAAACCCCTTTGCTCGCTCGCGATCAAAATCTAAAGTTGCTTTTTTTTGTATATGTCAGATGTAAAATCGGGAAAGGTCAACTGGCGCGTTAAATGTCGTGAATTCCACCATCAGCCGTTATCTCTCTCTACCTGACATGACACGTTTCTTCTGAACTGGCGCATTTATTTTCTAAATCTCACGTTTTTGTTAAAATCTTTATGGACTGATATTTTCTGGTCAATTTAGCCTTATTTAATTGTTAATTATATAAATCCTTTCTGTAAAGGAAATGGTTTAGAAAGATGAAAGGAAATCAAAGGATGTGCAGTAGCCGAAGAGTATTATTATTCACCGAAATATAAGAAAAAACAGAGGACCCAATCTATCTTGTTTACCAAAAAGAATGCCTCTTTCTTATTAACTCTTTTCTTTCCTGCTACTGTAACGAACGTGTATGATGTATTTATCAACTCTTTGGTTACAAGATTTTCTTATACCCTTTCCCTATTTTACAAGTTAACTTTTCCGTAAAAGCCAGTTTTTAGCACAGCCTCACACCTTCACCGGTCCAGTCCCGTCGTTTCCTTCCTTCCCGCCTAAAAGAAGAAGCTGTTACTTTCTCAAGTGGCGCTTTCTTCCTTCTGTGGCTCCCTCGTTTCTTTATCTAACTCGCTTGTTTTTGTTTTCCCCTTAATTTCTTCCTCCAACGGCTTTCTGCTTTCTTTATCTAATCCACCTGTATTTGATTTCTCTTTTTCAGCACTCTTCTTAGCTTCTGCCTCGAGTTGTTTCACGTTTTCTTCGTGCGCCCGATTGAACAGTCTCACAAAATTTAGAAGAGTCGACACCACTGCAATTTTACAACCGTTAGCTAGATTCAGACAACTTGGTAGCACCATGTTTCACATAAAGCTACGTATGTGTTACATCTTGTATATGCATACCTTGTTCAAAAGGGCACTTAGCAGGGTCTTCACCAAAATAGAGAATTAAGCCATCTACGTTTCTTCCCTGCAATACATAAATTAATTTATTCTCACACAGCTCTGAACCAACGATAGAGCAGAGCAGGTAATATATATCTATTGCACATTGGATTTTTGCGGACATACCACTCCGGAATAGAGTGAAGCCAGGGACCTCACTTCTGCTTCCGCATAATGAAGGAACTCCTTCAATATCTGAGAAAAATAAATAAAAAAAGACCTCGATCAAACAAGAGTGAGATGAATCATTTAACACCCCCCTAACTCTCCACGGAGCCACAGTGTCCAACACATGTGTTGCCCTGTTAGTTGTTACAGAGTACATTCCATTCAAAATTCACTAGCCACACATGTGTTGGCCTACTTTCCTTTCTTATGAGACATGATTGTTCTCCCAATCAAGTAAACGGTCTGCGTTTCTTATGTAGATTTATTTTTGTACATATTTTCTGTTCCCTTTGAGAAAGCCTCGAAGAGGTAACCAGTGATGGATGACAGACATACCTTGTTAAAGTTATGTGAGATTGGGCCATCATTTTCGGACAGGGATAGTTCCTGTACGACTTTCTCCAGTCCCTTGTTTATAGCTTGCATCTCCTCAGCCAAATACTTGAGTTGAATCTGTATCACAGTTCGGTAAATTAACACAGTTTCAAATTTGTATGCAGAAACTGCACATGAAATGTGAAAGCTAAAGTACCTTTGTTGCAGGCTCCAGTGAGGAAAAATCTTTCGTGAAATCTAAAACTTCTGGCATTTTCTCAGCAAGAATCTGCAGAGAAACCAATCAGACTAAATCTTTCGCTCCATCTGGTACATATACAAGGCTACAGAAGCGCAGAATGTAGAAGCTTACCTTGCATAGATAATGCATCAGAGTCATACGGTTATTACGAGCCCGTGTTTCACTGAGTTTCGGCAGACTGTCCAATTTAAATCCAACCGCAGCACCTAGACAGAAACTATTTTCAGAGTAGGATAAAAGATAAAACCGAGAATTTTATGCGCTCAATGTTCAAACTCACCCCTGGCCGTCCCCTGATTTAAGGCGTTTCCAAGGGACAAAATCGTCTGCATTATTCTTTTGAATTTTTCAGAATTCTTTATCTGATGGAAAGATAAACGAAAGAGCATTGGTGAGGTATGTTTTAATCATGCTGGGAGGTCACCTAGACGACCAATTGAGTCTGGCTTACCTGTTCTGCTGCGGAGTTCACAACACTTAGACTATTCTTGAGCTCAGAAATCTACAAAAAGTGGTCAACAGTGGCCATAAGTACCAAAATCAAAGCTCCACATAATCTTAATAAGCAGGGGATCAGTTTTTCAGACCTGAGAACAAAACTGAATTTTGAATGAGAATACTCTCAGCTTTGTTTCTACACGTGGGACTTTCATCATCTCTAAGAAAAACTGTTCAAAAAAATTTCAAGAAGCATAGTTGGTGTTATCGCTCTAATGGCTACTCCAATAAAACTGAAGGGTTTTTTCCAAGTTTTGTACCAGTTCGCATTTTCCAAGCTTGTCCTTGTCACCATTGTAACCCTGCAAACCGCGCATAAAATGAAGATAAATCAAACGAACATACAAAAGGTGGATCACAGAAATTTATTCTAGGGATTTGGGACGTCTTATACCTTCAGTAATTCCATTTCTTCTCTTGTTGGACAAAACTTAATTAGGTTCTCAACCTGATCAGCATCAAGAGCCGATTCCTCCAGGTTAAGCACTGAGTACTGCCAAATATATTGAGAGACAATTTAGCCTTTCATAGTCACTGACATTTTATCAGATGAAACTGCTACGATTACAATACATCCTAAACCTGTAAAGCCAGATATTACCATCAAATCCTGCAAAGGTACTTTCACTTTTGAAAGCATAATTTCACAATTGTATGCTCGCCTGTGATCAATCTGCAAGATAGAGTTTCTCATAATATTCAGTATGTTCAATCATAGAGAAAACAACCATTTCAAGGGAAGACATATCAGGATCGACACGAACAAGGACAATATGACACATTAACTATTGAACACATAATTTACCAGTTGAACTTTCTCGGGTTTAGGTCCACGAGAGCTATTTAGTCTTGAATTTCCTGCCTGCTCTGGAGCTGATGCGGAGAAAAGACTTTCAAGCTCTGTCATGTCAATCTCAGGAGCCCTAAACCAACATGGAAATAATTAATGGCTTGGAAATCATACAAGAATCGGAGGCATCAGAGAAACAACTGACGACAAGGTGAACAATGCTTACTTGGAAGCTTCACTAGACATTTGTGTTTCAGCCCACAAGCTCCCATTGACAGCTCTTGTCAGTTTCAACCAGTGGTATGGCTTCAGCTTTTTAGCTGGATTATTTTTTGAATTTACACGTAACATTCGCCCTTTTCCTGATGAAAGAGACCCAGTTGGTAAAGCAGGTATCGGAGGCACACTCGTACCAGAAGATAGGGATGAATTCGTTCCTAACTTTGGAGGGGGAGGTGGAACCGATGGTGACCTCATCTGACCTAAAGGTGGTGGGGGTGGTGCTGACGGTGCCTTCATCTGACCTAACGGTGGTGGAGGTGGAGGTGGTGCGGTTGGAGGGGGAGGAGAGGCAGAAGAGGTAGGAAGCCGTGGAGGTGTAGGAGGAGCTGGGGGAGCGGGGGGGGGGGGGGAGGGGGGGAGGGGGAGAAGATGCAGGGATAGCTGGTGCCGGGGGTGGGGGTGGTATAGGATGGGAAACTCTAGCGACAGTGTTCGGGTCTGAATGCGGCATAGGAGGAGGAGGGGGAGGAGGAGGTGGTCGAGGCAACACATGTGTTTTGTCTGAGTTAGAGAGTCGAGGAGGTGAAGTAGGAGAAGAAATAGAACCTAATGTCTCAGTTTGGGATGGTTTAGCAAGAGTAGCTGACGATGCAGGAGATGGCAGAACTGACGATGAATTTGTTGTTTCTGAAGACACCTGAGGAGAAACATGGGATGCTGGAGGAAGGACAGGAGATGTTGGAGGCAATGTTATGGGAAGTTTTTCGTTTGGAGTTGTTTGATGTAATGTAGACCCAGCTAATGACATCCAGGAATTTCCCTGCGAAGGAGTCTCTGCCGGTTGGACGACAGAATGCTGCAGTTGCTCTGAAGGTTGAGAAGCAACAGTTGGAAGTGGAGGAGGTGGGGGAGGTGCTCCTGTTGGAGGAAACGACGTTCTTGAAGGATGAGGTGGTGACGGCGTGGATGGCGAAAATGCGACCTCTTTCCGATTGTTTTCTGGAGGACTCTGCAGAACATTCTCCTTAGTATTTTCAACAAAAGGTTTAACTGTTGCAGAATGATGCACAAGCTTGAGAGAAGGGGACTCTTGACGTAACGACTTTGTTGCATCCTCGTTGGTTGTGTTTTCCTGGCTACTTATCTGAATGACAGAATGCATATCTTCTGCTATCAGCTTCTTGACTGAACCGGTAGGGGTCTTTTCTGGTGTGTCCACCGTTTCAACCTCGGACATTGAAGACAACTTGAACTTTCCACTATTTTCAATTGCTGCCTGTTTCATTATGTCCTGGATATTTTTGGGGCTTAACCCTTGTAGCCTTGGACTTGAATTCCCATCTGGTCTTTCCTGGACAGCATTTGCAATAGCTAAATGCTGAAGCATATTGCGTGTGGCATCCGTCTGATCAACCCAGTCAACTTGATTAAAGAACTCATGAACTTTGGAAAAAACTTCTATTGGAAGACCATCTTTCTCCTCCAAGCACGAAAAATCCATCAAGTCAACAGACGAGGCGGCATCCATATCAGAGAAGAGTAGCTTCAAACAGAAATTACTCCTTGTGAGTGCTTAAGTTACAAAGGATTAGCTATATACCATGTAAAGAGAAAATGAGACCCGTGACTACATACCTCAACTCTGAACCCCTTTGGGAATTGTTCTTTTACATGCCATAATGTGTCAACTTCATCACGGTTAAGCATCAAAATGTTTGATCTGATAAAAGCCGTGTTGAAAACCACTCGAAACATCATGACCTCTCTTTCCATGTCATCGTTCAAACTGAGGCACTCAATCACGATATCACCTTGCACATGACAATTGATGTCAACCTTGACTAGTTCACATTCTGCCTGCAAAACACAAGGGTGTGTCAAGAAAACAAACGGAGAATACCATTGGATCATGTTGCAAACAAGGGCAAAGAAACCTAAAAATACAAAAAAAAAGGAACAGAAGGCTAATCAGTGACCAAAATTCTCTCTCTTTTGCTAAGACCTTAAGATGAAGATGCAACGTGAATTTACTAAACACAGGCTGAGCCAGAGTTCATGAATTACGAAAGAAGGCTATGAATCTGCGGTGAAAGATACCTTCTTGTAGACCCTCAGGTGTTTCCCTTTCTTAGGTGTCGAGTACAAAAGCTTGGGCTTTTTATCATCTACAAAAAACGGATCCTGACCATATACTCGGAAGATTGGACGGCAGCCTCCTTGTCCACCAACATTAGGAACAGATCTCAGAATAACACAATCCATGGTGAGAGCCCTATCCAGTGGAGGCCATTCAGAGACCAAATTCCTTCTTGACACGTACTGTAGATAGCGAAGCTGAGAAGGAATTGGGTTCAACGGTGAGAACAAATGTAGAAGCTCACGCGGAGCCTGCTTGTAGATCATGTCCAAGGTCTTGTACTCACCACTGTACTGCTTCCTGTAGATAAGGAGGGCAGCTAGCATGAAAGCTAAAACTGGCCAAGCACCGCGTTCACAATGCATCAGCAACAAGTTGTTTGGGCCGAGGGAGAGCCAGCTTTCACTTGACCGGAGAAAATGGTGCATCATTTCCACAGGCAACAGTGAGCAGCCTTCGTAGTGGCGAGGATAATCCATAATGGTCAAGCCATGTTCTGACAAGATATCAGCCATCACACTCCGAGTACCAACTTCACGGAAATTAAACACAAGAGAGGATGCGTCGGGGAAGTGCTCCTGCAGCTGGTTGACTACTCCCGGCATATAGACTTTGTAGTTTTCTTCTTCCCAAGATTCGGTAGAGAAGCAGCAGTCGAACACTGCAAACACACACAGAGAGAACCTTTGTCTTCAGTTCAATGTCATTTATCGAAATGAAAACAAAATCATAATTTAAACACACAGCATTTCTTGGCTTTAGCACATATACGCAGATGATTGTACAATCCCACTAAAGCTATAAAATTTATCAGAAAAACCGCAGAATGCAAGATAGATATTGGAGATGGATCAGTGATCAAACGCCCTAATGTCACAGAAAGTAAAATCAATGATTTTGCAGACACTCGATTCAGAAGACCGGGAAGTAGAATCAACAAGGCGAAAATAGAGAATATGAAGCAGAAAAATTGGGAGAAACAGACCGAAAACTCTGTCGCATATCTCGAGCAAACCATCTGGAGGTTTGCGGTAGAACAATTTGCGAAACAAGGCCATTTCATCAAATTCCTAAACCCCTTTCCTCGCTTTCAAAAATCGAGAACCTTGTGTTTCCGTTTTTATTCCAGAATTTTAACGCGAAAGTTGCCTTTTTTTATTATAATTAATCTGTAATGATGATGATGTTTGATGTCAAAACTCAAAATGGTGTTTTGACGCTCGAGTTATATCTTGGAAGAGGAAAAGGTCAGCTGGCGCGTTTTAAGACGTGGATCCTATGATCAGCCGCCATCTCTTTACCCGTCCCGACACGTGTCTTGTCATCTACGGACGAACCGGCATATATCTCTCGGCCCATTTTTTCTTATTAATGGGCTTTACAATAAGGCCCGTGAGTAAAGTCCACCAAATTAAAAGGAGCTCCTGTCGTCCCCTCTGCTCTGTTTTGTTCACGTTGTATAGATCTTGCTCTGTTTCATCCTTCCTTCCACTTCTCTAATGGCGGTGTAGATTTTTAGCTTCAGACTTTCAATCCTAAGAAACATGACGGCTCCGAAGTATTTGAGCTCTGTTTTAGCATAACTTACCTTAAAATAGTGAGTGGCTATTTTTATCCACAAAGTGAACTCTCTCTCATCTTGTTAGTTTAACTACTTTGATGGGGAGATCCGATCCAGTTTTTACAATTTGGCGCACATTTAGGCGTCAGTTTTGGGGCAAATCAGATGAATGATTCCAAATTTCAAAGACGTGACAGAGTCAGAAAGGTGTGAAACCACTTAAAAGTGACTTTATTTTTGTACACTAACCCAAATCTTGCAGAAATGAGAAACCACAACCACCCACTCCCCACTCAACCAAATCCATTTGACACTTTGGGATTTGAAATTCACAAAAAAGTCTGAGACAGATTCCATTTTCATATTACTCACTATCATAAAATACTTTACCTAATTATAATCTCCTCATGTTCCCTTTTTTGACTTTCAACGACTCTATTCTCTTCCACTTCCTCCAGAGAGCATAGGATACAGCCAAACTCACTCGGAACTCAACCCCAAAACTTTTCAACCCTTATCTTCTTCTTCTTCTTCTTCTTCTGAATCATGTCTCTTCTGATTAACCTCTGATTTTGAAGCTGTGCACGTGAAAGGTATCCCAATGTATTCCAAACTATCACATCCCTACCCCGTGATTCCATTATGTCTTTTCTTCTTTTCACACAGACTGTCTTCTTTCTGAGCTCTCACATCCACCTTTCTCCAGGTCCAGACTCCAAAATATGGGCTTCTCTCTATGGGGAACTCTCATGTTCCTCTCCCTCTTCGTCAAGCATCTCACCAGCCAAGATCCCAACACCGAGGCCTCTTATCTCTCCAGCTTCTTCACCGCAATGGGTTTACCCAATTCTTCCCAAGCTCACACATTATCTTCTTCTTCTTTATGTTCATGGCCAGGAGTGGCCTGTGACGCACGAAGAGAGTACGTGCTCCATTTCTCGGCTTCTGCGTCGGAACTGTCCGGTCCCATCCCCGACAACACCATCGGCAAACTGAGAATGCTCCAATCTTTAGATCTCAGTGGCAACAAGATTACGTCTCTGCCCTCTGATCTATGGAGTCTGAGCTCGCTCAAGAGTCTCAATCTCTCCTCCAACCGGATTTCTAAGACGCTTTCCAGCAACATAGGCAATTTCAAGACGCTTGAGACCCTTGATCTTTCTTTCAACAGCTTCTCTGGCGAAATCCCTGCCGCTATAAGCTCGCTTGTCAATTTAACAACTCTCAAGCTCGGCAACAATGGTTTTCAGTCTCTCGTCCCTCAAGGACTTCTCAATTGCCGATCTCTAGTCTCCATCGACCTCTCATCGAACCAGCTCACCGGGTCTCTGCCTGTTGGTTTCGGTTCGGCCTTCGCAGAACTGAAAAGCTTGAACCTTTCACGGAATCTGTTTCAGGGTTCACTGATAGGAGTCTTGCATGAAAACGTGGAAACAGTTGATCTCAGTGAAAACCGATTTGATGGGCATATCTTGCAGTTAATAGCCGGCCACAATCACAACTCGTCTAGTCTGATCCATCTTGACTTGTCCGATAATCGTTTCGTCGGCCATATACAAAATGGCTTGAGTTCATCACAGAAGCTGGGACACCTTAACCTCGCGTCAAATCGATTCAGGACGCAAGAATTCGGGCAAATCACAACGCTTTCGGCTCTGTATTATCTGAATCTATCCAGGACCAATCTGGCAGGTATCATTCCGAGTGAAATCTCGCGGCTGAGTCATCTCAAGGTTCTTGATCTCTCCTCCAATAACCTCACTGGACATGTACCTACGCTGAGCCTCAAGAACATCGAAATACTTGATCTCTCGCTGAATCAGCTAGACGGAGATATCCCAAGGCCGGTTCTGGATCAACTCCCCACGATGCAGAGGTTTAACTTCTCTTTCAACAATCTAACCTTTTGTGACCCCAACTTATCTAAAGGAATGATCCAGACATCCTTCATTGGCTCCACAAACAACTGCCCCTTTGCTGCAAAGCCGATCGTTCAAAAGGGAAATAAAGTCAACAAGAGGAAGACAGGGCTTAAGATTGGTTTGGCGTTAGCAGTCTCCATGGCGTTCTTACTTGTTGCGCTGTTGCTCATACTGGTGGCCCTGAGAGGTAGAAGAAAATCCAGAACATGGGCAACAAGGCAAGCCACAGAAGCCAACTTGTCAGACCAAAACGAACCAACGGATGTCTCTGTGGTAATGATCGACAAGCCGTTGATGAAGATGACGTTTGCAGACCTCAAGGCTGCGACTTTCAACTTCGACAGAGGCGCATTGTTGTGGGAAAGCAAGTCTGGTCCTACTTACGAGGCAGTCTTACCCGGTGGATTCAGAGCAGCTCTCAAAGTTATTCCAAGTGGAACCACAATGACCGATCACGAAGCCTCGATTGCGTTCGAACGCCTCGCCCGCATCATTCATCCAAATCTTGTCCCGCTCTCTGGATACTGCATAGCCGCAGAGCAAAGAATCGCGATTTACGAGCACCTAGACAATGTTAATTTGCAGAGTTTACTCCATACCGTAGATGACTCTGCATCGTGGAGACTTCGGCATAAGATAGCTCTGGGGACGGCGAGGGCGTTGGCTTTCCTCCATCACGGCTGCATTCCTCCGGTGGTCCACGGGGAAGTGAAGGCTAGAACAGTCTGCTTAGACTCCACCCAGGAACCGCAATTGGCAGAGTTTGGTTTAGCCAAACTCTTGGATGAGGGATTTTCCGGAGGTTTAGACGGGTACGCACCGCCGGAGCTGGAGGAAGACGGCTCTCCGACAGTAGAATCCGACGTGTACAGCTTTGGAGTTGTTCTGCTTGAGCTCGTGAGCGGGAAGAAGCCGGAGTGGGACTTGGTGAATTGGGTGAGGGGTCTGGTGAGGCAGGGAGAAGGATCGAGAGCCATCGATCCGACGATACGAGGGACAGGTCCGGTGGAGCAGATTGCGGAGGCGGTGAAGATAGGGTACTTGTGCACCGCCGATCCGCCATGGAAGCGACCCACGATGCAGCAGGTGGTTGGACTTCTCAAAGACATTGCGCCCAGCAGTTGTTGATGGGCCAGTTATTGGGCCTTATTAAGGGCTAATTCACACTTAACAATATTAACATGATGGTGGTTATATATATGTGTATTTTTGTTGTTGATGATTTTGAGATTTTAGAAGAGATGGAAAAACTGTGTGATGCCTCTAATAACATGAGAGATCTGTCTATGTCCGATGCGTTTATATATATGCAAGCAACTAGATACAATACAAACAACCTTTGCTTTATTGAGAAGAAGAGTTTTGCATTAAAACGAGATTCGAAGGCAGAGAAGATGAAAGGAAGAGTGGGGTTTAGAAGAGATCAATGTCAATGTCCATAGAATTCACAAGCACACCATCATCTTCCCACTTTATGTCTTTGGCATTCGGATCTTTCTCTGTTATGCGCAACGGTGCATCCAATGGTGGAGGGCTCTGCAATCACTCTTGAAGATATTAGCCACCAAACACGAGATGATGATGATGATATGTGTAAAAGCTATATTAAGTAAGTTTAGTCATATACCATGCCACGTATGAGAGGCCAATTGATCCCGCGGAAGAACGCATGCTGCTTTATCTCATTTGCTCCACCTTTGGATCCTAAACGGCTGCTCGGATCTCTATTTAACAACATGTTGATCAACTGTCTACCTACAAGACTTACCTGCACAAGTACATGGTTAAAAATGTTTACTTTAAGCGCATTGAGAGAAGCACACAGGTTGTTGTAACAAGATAGGTTAGCTCACAGGAATACTGCTGGGAAAGGTGAGATCTTTGTGCAAGATGTTGGCAAATGTCTTCTGCCTGTTCTTGCCCCTGAACGGTGTGCGACCATAAAGCATCTCGTACAACAAGATTCCTAAAACAAACATAAATACATCAGCATTATGAAAATGGAACGTGACGTGAGTTGTTATCATAATTAAGGTAAGGTGGTGGCAGACTATACCCAGTGCCCACCAATCAATAGCACTCGTATGACCAGCACCCGTGATTATCTCCTGAAATAATTTTGGTAAAACATGAATAGAGAATACCCAAAAATCTGAAACTCCCTGAAGATGCAGCTGCAAATGCAAGATTTCAAGCGATAAACATTTAAGTGGATCACCGTACAGGCGCAATGTATTCTTCAGTCCCTACGAACGAGTTTGACTGGGTGACTGGTTCTGCAAAAAATGTGGGTAATGGTTGACTCTTGGATCTCCTTCGTTTGTTGGGTGTATGTGGGATAATAAGCTGCACACCATAAATCTCCTAATTGTCACGTTTCTTTATATTACCAACAAAAAAAGTGGAGTCGAATCAAATGAAAAAGTACCTGGGGTGTGCAGGACGTCATGAATGATAAATCAAAGTCGGCTAATACAATGTGTCCATCCTTCTGGAGCAATATATTCTCAGGCTTCAGGTCTCGGTATACTATTCCTGTTTATGGAACATATACACAAATTATATACGAAACTGCTAAAATTATTGAAGGAGGAAGAGACTAATCCAAGCGTGTGGGTAAATGTATGAGCAAGAAATGTTTAGAAAAACAGAGACAATGGTTCGGTCCGCTATTTGTTACCTAAGCAGTGAAGATACTCTAAGCCGATTACGACCTCTGCTGCATAGAACCTGATGACAAAAGAGATCGATTAGAGTAACTCTTAAGGGCATAGTGCCGCATTAGGATTTGCTTCTGACCAGTGGATCTTGTAATACACATTATACATATGGATTTGGAAGAAAACAGGTTACCTTGCTGATTCCTCTGACAAAAATTTCATGGGTTGTCTGTCAAGCAGTGCAAACAACTCTCCTCCGGGGCAAAAGTCTGTAATCAAACAAACATGCGTAGATGTCTGGGGAACGAAAAGAACGATTTAGCAATGAGACGCAAAAACTGAAATGCTGGTAAAAACAAAAAGAAAGCAATCTACCTGAAAGGAAGCGTAGAGAGTGGGAAGAAAAGGATGATCCAGAAGGGAAATGATTTCCCTTTCGATGCATGCTCGGTGAGCCTGTATAACGCTGCACGTTGTCAATGAGAGATATAATATAAACTTCATTCTTTTGACTTTCCCTCTCAAAAGGGAACTCATTCTCCATCATATACCTTGTTACGATTCAACATCATTGTTTTCTCCATTGCTTTCATGGCATAGAGCTCACCTGTGCCTTTCAGTTCAACCAAATGGACACTTTGTAGCCAACCCAAAAAAAACAAAAGTAAATCATATAAGTATTATACTAAGTAAGAGGAGATTTAAGGAAGTTTTGACTTCAAGTAAAAACCTGCCAGTGTCACCAGAGCCTAATGGTTTTATTGGCTTGAAATGATGTAGTCCCACTATATCTCCATTCGCTTGGATCTACAAAGCAGAAATTAGCAGTCAAAACAGGATGACTGAGACAGAGATGTAAGAAGTAATGTGGTTTGATGCATGCCTTTTGTATAGCTTTCCAGGACGTACTCTCCTTTTTGTGAGGCAGAGGATAGACAGGCTTTGAGTGTGCAGCCCACAAGTCCTCGGGACGCTAAAACACATTGCAGATCGATTGTATTTATGATTTTACATCCTACTTAGGCAATAATGAATTAATACACCTTACCGAATTAGCATCTGGAAGTTCTCTGACAGCTTCATCTACATTTGTTGCTGTAGCTTTCACCTGAAATATATATGTTACCAATGTGATAGTCTCCTTTGATGAAAACATATTTTTATAAAAGCACAGTAGGAGATGAATCCACACACCAATTTAGAACTCTGCATCTCTGTTCTCTCAGACAAACGATTTTGGAGCGGCTCCACATGATCACTTCCATCAAGCTGCACACCGATGAAGTATTGGAGCTCTCCCTAATGATGAAATAAAAGTCATGTATTCAGCAACAATGCACGGTTCTCTTCAAGGATCTGAATCTAGATATCACACATTGCTACCTTCTGATCACGCATAGGTTGCAAGTGGAATAAGTTCCAGAATTTCTTTCCTGCAATGATTTCGAGGTTTGATGATCATGCCGAACTGAAAACTTTCAAGATAATTGTTTGAAAATGTTCATTATCAGATAACTACCGCTCTTAGTGTAGTTTATCAACTGCACAGTTATCTCCTTTTGATCTCTAATTGCATCTCTAATCTTCTGGACAGTCGCTTGATCTGTCTCTGGCCCCTGAAGAAACCTGAGGCCAACCACTTTGAACAGATTCATATCACAAAAATAAGAAAAGCACAGCCGAGAAGACTGCATAATTAAACAGGCATGACGAATCTCATGAGTAAAAGATACGAGGAGATGAATATTCGCGTACCGACAATTTCTCCCTAAAATTTCCTCGCGTGAATACTCTGTAAGTTCAAGAAAGCTGTCTGAAGCAAATATCTGCAAAGAAAACGATTTGCATTATCATTTCAAGGCTATATGCTTACCACATGTCCATAGCTAACATAGTAGCACACTTGAGTAAGAAAGCTCAATGCAAGCAATATCCTGTAGAAAATTGAACATGCTTCTCAATTTTTAGACTGAGATAAACATACAATGGGATTATCAGGAAGACGAGGATCACTGATGACGAAATTCTTCTCTATGCGCTCAAGAGTGGTAGCTAGATCAATCCCTTGGCGTATATCCCTTTCTCTTTCCAACCGGTCCCAACTGTCCCTCGGCTCTATTACTTCTGTGCTCAACATCAATGCTTCAGGTTCCACGACAGGAACATCTTCATGCTTTTTATTCGAGCTAAGCGATTTGCTCTTTGACCTGCACATTGCATAAGGATTGATCACAAATCATTCGGAGTATATATGTTCAACTTCAGAACTAACTAACCAATCAATGTCAATTAAATTAAAAATTGAGGTTACACAACGACTAGAGGTACATCTTGTTCCTTTTAGGACTGAGATTCTGTTGTACATTTAAACACTATTTGGCAATGATAACAAACAAGTTTGTTTTTCTGCAAACTTTGGCACTTCCACCACACTTTTTTGAGCAAGAGACATGCCTTTAAGGGTTTAATGTTTACGAGAGTATCATGTATTTGGTGGTGAAATAGACTCACCTCGTTGGAGTAGAAACACGTCCAGGTGTTCTGGCTGACTTTGAAGCTTCATCTGATTGTATAACTTGTCTACCAGGTGTAGTAGCACTATCAGGCTTCAACGTAATATCATTGCTCACGGAATCCCGCACTTGAGACTTGCGATGTCTTATTGTTTGCACGACCTCTGTGATGGAATCCAAAGCTTTCTCCTTCTGGCGAGCTGATACCAACATCAAAAGCATGACATGTCACTGTTCTTATCAAACAAAAGAAAAAGAGAAAGCTTAGTTATTTTTATAGAGAGATGCAGGGAAGCAGAAACCATCATATCGGATCAGAGATTTGGAGAGTCCATTAGGCCTCAATTCTTTATCGTTCACGCCTTCTGTGTATTTGCTTACTTCAACCTGCATCCTGCAAACAAACAGTGCAAAAGCAGACGGACGTGTGAAAATGATAGATAGAGGGAGACAGTCCATTAATTGAGAGAAAGTAAGGGAGGTACCCAATGAACTTGATGGTGTTGCCTTGGTCGTCCTTGATAGGAGTGACTGTGAGAAGATTCCAGAAGGGGGTTCCGTCCTTTTTGTAGTTTAAGAGCCTTCCACAGTAACTTTTGCCATTCTTGACACAGTCTCTGATTTTGGCAACCTCGTTCTGGTCTGTGTCCGGCCCTTGCAGAAACCGGCTGGGGTTTTACAAACAAAGATTAACACCCTTTTTAGAGTAAGTTGGCATGTGTTTCAAATGCAAAGTAGCGATTGGGGATGAAATGAAACTAGAAAAAGATATGAGAGGAGACAGTACCAGTTTCTTCCAACGATTTCTTTGGAAGAATAACCGGTCATGGTGAAGAATCCACTGCTGGCATACACTATGGGACAGTGTGGCTGTGTTGCGTCAGAGACAACAAAGGTCTGTTGCAACGTGGATAGAGCGGTTTTGAGCTCTTGGGATACTCTAGGGAAGGCCCCAGATTCAGAAGATGTCGATTCTTCGGATGACCTCCTAGACATCTTGCTTCGGTCCACTTCACCAGACACCTTGAAGCTAATGCCATCTTCTCCTGAGTCCGGCTTAACAGCCGACAATCCCCATTCAGCAGTTCTCTCCACTAACTTTGCAGAATCCTGAAACTCCATCCACTTACTGCTGCTGCCTTTGCCGTTGCCATCGTACGGCTTTGATGAAGAAGAAGCCGAGGAAGATGATCCGTTACCGCTCACAGGGTTGAAGATCTCAAGGGATTTGCGTTCACTTAATGGCTCCAAATCGGTCAAGGGAGAAGGAGGGGCTCTTGGCCTCTCCATGTCGTTTCTTTATCCTCTTTCTTTTGGCGAAACAGAGTAATGAATAGGCTGCAAATCAAAGCCAGACAAGTTTACCAGAGAGTTAGATAGATGGATGAGGCAGGCACACCTGTAGTTTCCCGGGAGCAGCCAATAAATGCCATTAAAAGTGTTTGGAAGCAATCAAACAAACACGTTAAAGAAGATGAAAGTCAATAAAATAAAAAACTAAAATCAAAATACCAGACGTGTAGCTTTATCAGCTGCAGCTCATGGATATATATAGTACATAGCTTTAAAAGGGGCAAAGACGATGAGAAACCTTTGAGAGTTGAACAATAAAAACTCACAACTGTAGTGAACTCAGATTATATTATTTTCATCAGACAATCATGTTTCTGAGGCTGCAAATGAGCGATGCGGAAGCCTGGGAGGATAGACATCGCTATCTTTATTCAAAACTCACATGGACCCATTTTTCTCTCTTATTAAAAGGACCACACACTCTGTTTCTCCCTAATACGTGCACTCTTGTTCATCATTCCCTCTCTTCCTTCCAAATTTTCTTCATCAATCACAAATTTATTACACCCTCTCTCTCACATCTACTTCAATTACAGCAATAATTCATTTACAAAAAAAAAAATATAGACATGCTCTTCTTCTCAGTTGGGTAAATGTAGAATCAAAAGTAGATAATTAGAGACAAGTAACTTACGAGTGTGGTATAGCACACACGCCATTTGATTAGACGGAAGACGAACACGTTTGAGAAAACGACTGTATCTTCTCTCCCAGATGCTTTCGCAGACGACGAAACTACAATTTGTTTCGTCTATTATATATCATCTACTGTCTGTTTCAAATAATGCTGAAGAAATTAAAGATATGGGGACACCAAAAACCTTCATCAGGATTTTTAGTGAGCCTCTTATTTACCCGCTAAAAGCCCATTAAGCCCTTTAATAATGGGCCTTATTAGTTAAGAACTTAAGATGTAAAAGCGGGGGAGACGAAGGTAAACTGAAGCAGCAGAGAAAAAAAAATGGAGGGAGGCGGAAGCGGCGGCGTTAGGCTTCATGTCGGTGGATTGGGAGAAAGCGTCGGGAAAGACGATCTTCTCAAGATCTTCTCTCCCATGGGTTCCGTCGATGCTGTAGAATTCGTCAGAACCAAAGGTCGCTCCTTTGCTTACATCGACTTCTCTCCCTCCTCGGAAAAGTCACTCACCAAGCTCTTCTCAACGGTGAGCAGATTCGAGCTAGATAATATTCTCTTTCCCTCTTTTCTGCTCTCTTTTTCTTAACTTGAATTCGATTTTGGCAGTATAATGGATGTATCTGGAAAGGAGGGAGGCTGCGGCTGGAGAAAGCCAAAGAGCATTATCTAGCTCGCTTGAAGCGGGAATGGGAGGAGGCATCTTCTACCCCTGATGTCGCCATTAAAGCTCCTGATAACTCCACCCCATCCACTCACCTTAACGTCTTCATTCCTAGACTCAGAAAGGTACAAAAAGCTCATTCGATATATTTGGCATGTAACATGAGATAGTTAGTAGCTAGGAGTAGGAGATTAGAGTTGAGATACCTTTCTTTTGGTGCAGGTGAAAGCTATGCCACTCAGTGGAACCGGCAAACATAAGTATAGTTTCCAGCGTGTTTCAGTGCCGTCTCTTCTTCCCAAGACCTTTTGCGATTGTGAGGAGCACTCTGCGTCTCTCACTCCTCAGGAAACCCATGCCCGTGATCTAGAAGCGCTTAATGTGGGAATAAACGAAGAAGAGGTCAGTATTATGAACTCGGTGATGAATAAGCTCTTAGAGAAAGATAACGAAGATAACGAAGATAAGGAAGATAACATCATCATCAATGTGGTGTCTGGTGGGAACGATATGATGGACTCAGAGCTGGAAATCTTGTCAAGAAAACGGGTACTTGAAGCTAAGATTTTTCAGTTTTCCATGATTCCTAATAACGTGTCATCTACCTATCTTATCCCTGGCTCTTTTCTTTGATCTTAACTCAGAAATCAACTCTCAATGAAACACCAGCAAGTGGAGCAGGATATACTGAGGGACGAAAGGGGAACAACATTCATCCAAGCAAAAAAAGGCAATCAATCATCCTAGAGGGAAGTGGAAGACAGGAATCTTCACAGGCCATACCTGAAAAGAAGAAACCTTCTGAAGCCGATCAGGATAAATCAATGGATGAACCAAGCAGGAAAACAGATGTCAAGCGGTCGAGTGACAGTATCTCCTGGTCCCAAAAGTCTTCCTGGAAAGCACTTGTGGCTAATGGGAACAGCAGTAATTTTACCGTATCTAGTTTCCTGCCAGGTCCTAGCTTCAGTGAAGCAGTACAACCTTCATCTAGCCAAGAAAATTCAGAGGAATTGGTTGTGCCGAGCTCTACAGCAAGGCCGTCTGTGACAAGTAAGATCAAGAAGACGAAAAGTAAGCGCCTAACTTCTACAATCATGGCAGAGAATTTACCTGTTACAGATGACATCGAGATGAATGATTCTACAGCCTCTGATTCTGTGGGCTCAGACCACTCAGAAGATACTGAAGATACTGACATAAGTGTGGAAACTGACCTTGTAGCAAGCACCGATGGCGATAGTGAGAATGACAGTTTGAATGTGGAAAACGACGAGAATGTCGATGGCGATAGTGAGAATGACAGTTTGAATTTGGATAAGGATGAGTATGTCGAGGGCGATAGTGAGAATGACAGTTTGAATGTGGAAAACGACGAGAATGTCGATGGCGATAGTGAGAATGACAGTTTGAATTTGGATAAGGATGAGTATGTCGAGGGCGATAGTGAGAATGATAGTTTGAATGTGGAAAATGATGAGGATGTAGCAGAGGATTTGATTGTGGAAGAGGGTGAGAATGTCGAGGGCGATAGTGAGAATGACAGCTTGAATGTTGAAATTGATGAGACTGTAGCAGAGGATTTGAATGCAGGAAAGGAAAACTTAGTCTTGAAAGATGATGTGGACGAAGAAGAGGCGGGGAAAGCACCGTTGGAAGCTTGTAGCAAGTCAACAGGTGGTTCTTCATGGCTTCAGAGGGCGTCGTGGACTCAGCTGGTTAGCGACAAGAATGCTTCATTCAGTATAACTCAGCTCTTCCCGGGTTTAGCTTCTGACAAGAGCGAAGCAGCTAAAGTGAACAACAATGGAGATAACCGGTTCTCCAACACTAACCAGAGTGAAAGTGGAATGAAACAAAGGGATTTCTCGTGTAGCAGCAATGGTTTCGAGGGTACAGGAGTCAAGGTGGATAGTACCCCTGTGAGAAGTTTAGAAGAGAATCGGCAGAGTCTAAAGGGTAAGAATGTGAGTGAAGGCTGTAGATTGGCTGCGAAGAAGCCGATTAGGAAAGAGATTGGGTCCGGGGAGACTTGCACTTTTATGAGAAGCGCGACTTCTTTGAAGGAGTGGGAAAAGGCTAAGAAGGCATTGGGTGAGCCCAGAAGAAGGAAGAAAAGTGAAGAATGAGTTGGTCTGTAACAGATTTTTAGAGGCTCTTCTAAATTTTGTATTTCTCTGCAGTTTTTGTGCTTGATATAATACAATGCGTTTTAATTTTGAGATATTCACGTACATTACTAGTATTAAAGCATTTCCCATTACTAAGTACATTGCTGACATGAACTTCATGGCGCATTCGTTTAAGCAGTCAAACATTTATTCCTTGTCTGGTTTCTAAATATGTTTAAAAAACTTCTGTGTGGATCGCTTGGAGCTACTTATGAGTGTTGTGGCAATCTGTTTCTCTTATCCTGAAAGGATCCATTTTTCAAAGTAAAATACTCTGTTTCATCTACCTTCATCGCTTTGGTCAACAATGGCAGTAATGGCCTCCCTTTGTGCTTGACACATTGCTATTCAATCTAAGTTCTACACGTACATTACTATTGAAGCATTTCCCATAAGGTAAAAAGGGTAAAAGCTGATTGATGAAATGAACTTCGACAAGCTAGATGTTGGTAAACAGATGAAGCATGAATACGAAAAAAGGTGTAAAATGCAATATTATGTTTAACCGAGTTCTCGATGCTAACTGAAAATGGCTGGATTGAAATGAAAAAGAAGATGACAATGATTATGAAACCAATCCGTATCTATCTTTGTTTGAGTTCCTGCTCGAACTGGCCGAGTTTCAGGCGTATAGGGTCCAAGAACTGCTTCATATCCAGCCTGATCCGCTGCTTCAGTTGCTGGGAAAGCTCTTTGTCTTCGCTGAGCTTCACATCCACCTGCTCATTGCACAAAGTGTGAATGCGTGTATTCAAATACTCGAACACTCTTCCCTAGTCATATCAAAGCCTATGCGTAAATGTGTTACCTCGAGATCATCAAGCTCGCCGAAAGAGAATTCAGGAATGTCGAGGCTCCCCTTCACCTTCTTCATGTTCTCTTCAAATGACCACTCTCCTGAGAAAATCGCCAATCATGTTCGCAAATGAGTTGCATTTTACGCAGAACAAACGCAATGAGAAAGATAAATAGATAATCTAAAGGCCGGATTTCATGAGAATGGAGGGCAAAAGATCTATTATTTTATCATCACAAACAACGTAAAAGACGTTTGCCATGAAGTTGTACAAGCAAAATATCAGATTTTTCAAGAGCAAAAATGGTGAAGCCAGTGGAGAGTCTTACCCTCGACTTTGAGGGAAAGTTCGTAAGTATAGCCAACTCTTTTCTTATTCCGAACTGTGACTAAGAAGGCCTAGCGAGACGGAGGAAGAAACGATCATTATCAAATTCGAGAACAAACATAAGTGACCAATACAAGGATGAAAAAGGAGAAAACTTACATCTCCAACACATCTGTTAACATCTATGATCTCAGCTTTTCCAGAAGAGAACTGCAATGAACCCACTGATCCCAGCAGCTCCTGCAATCATGAGACCAAGAACCAAAGATATCAAATTTTGCAAGACAAAGAAGGAACCAAACAAAAATTGGAAGCAAAGTAAAGAAGAAACCTTTAATCGGTCAGTGGCCCATTTGGTGAGACTTTTTTCCTCCCAAGTGCCAGCCTATTGGAACAAGCGAAGAGAGATATGAGAATGCAAGCAACAAGAATAGTAGAGAAGAGCTAACAGATATTGAAAAAGAAAAGCAAACCTGATTCCAGAGCGAGCCGAGTGCAGGAGCATTGGGAGCGACGTCGTTGTTTGTGAGCTTCTGGGGAAGAGGAGGAGGAGCTGCGTCTGCGGTGGCTTCCCTCACCCAATACCTATACGATGACCCCTCTTTCTTCTTCTCCTCCTCTCGCTCCATGATTTTACTCTCTCTCTCTCTCTCTCTCCTCACTCTCCCCTTCTCATATAATCTAGGGTTCCTCCGATGTCTCCGGAACTTTCGAGCCTCAGATCCAATTTTTCTATTATTTTTCTCACTAGTCTTTGCTTGTATGTAATATTCCTAGATTGGCTAAAGATTCTGTTTTCGACGCAGATGGGCCCACTGGTGACCCAACACATACACAAGTACACAACAAGGTTCTTTCACATTCTTGTCTGTTATTTGATTGTCCATGTTTCTCTCCAAGTACCACCAACTTCGCTTTAAGTTCTACATTTGCAATTGCAGTAACGAATCAGATACAGATTACAACAATTCTTGCCCAAGTGAGATACAAAAAGAGTGATGAACTTCACCGTTTCAGAAAGGGACAAAAAAACTTTTATGGAAATTCTTCGTTTACACCTAAAGATATCAGTTGATTTTTGGCTTAGGAGCTCTTGGCTTTAAGACAGCGTAGAGAAGAATAAGAACTATGAGCAAGGCAGGAATTGTTGTCATGTCTACTTCCACTTTAACCTTCCTATCTTTTGTGCAGTGAATTGGGTGCAAAACCCCCACCGTTGCATTCACTTCTCTTACGAATCTGATTATAAATGAAAAGCCTGATCGATTAGCAAAAACCATTCCTTAAAAACTGTAATAGCAAGTGTAAAAGGTGAACTAACCCGTTTGTGGCTTCCTCTAAGGTATACAGAAATCTCATGGCATCCCCATAACGTGTTTCTCCCGCAATAGTCGAAAGCTGTTAATTAGTAAAACATACACATCATTCGAAGCCTTCCAGCAACACAAAAACCGAAGAAAGCAAATAGATAGGAATAGATGTGTGCTCACTCGTCTCCACAGGCTGACCACGTACTTGTACTTGTTCATCAGTTCACGTTCCCTCGATTTAAAGAGCTTAAACGTTTTTTCATCTTGTTTCTGAGTCAAGGATATGAACATAATAAGCATATAAAGACGAGCAGTCCATAAAACCTCTTCATAGTTCTAAGTCAAAACCACTACTATTCTGCAGGCATAAGGCATATACAAAAAAAAAATATATATATATATATATCCCAAGGATACTCGTTCGCTCCAGCCGCAGAAGGTAAATCCCTGAATTGACTGCTTGTATTGATTCCTCAAGCGCGGTAATAATATAGCTCCGGCCAATTGTGTCCGATTGAAACTGTGAAAGTTGCCAACCTTGGGAAGTTGTGGAAAAGGGATTGCAACCCACTGACCATGTCCAGTCCTGTGAATCACAAAAAAGATTTAAGATGCTAAGACAGACCATCAGATTCTTCTATCTGAAGATTATAATCAGTGTTTGTGCTCAGTTCACAAGATTGCAGTAGTTACCACCAACAGAAAAATATTAATGAAACGTTAAAATTACAAAGCAATGCTATTTAGTAAAATCTGTAAGCATAACTCTATTATACCTCAATTGCACTTTCATGAGCTACACTGTAGACAAGATGAAGAGGAAGCAATCCAGCTAGATGTTCAGCAACAGAAGCCATGGCCGCTTTCACCGGGCTCCTATTTTATAAAGTATAAAGAATAAGGAAACATTCATCTAAACTAAGTCGCACATGACGCGCAATGTAACTAGGCGTATCACTAAAACTCTGCTAGTAAAAGCTGCTAACATGTCTGTTATAACTTATAACCTTAGGTCCCATAAAAGTGATCGCCCGTTGCATTGCAAATGGCTCTCCCATGAAGATGCCTCCGACTGAACAACAACGACCATATTTGAAAGCGCCTTTGCTTGATAATGTTTGTCAATCAACAGTGGATCCCCATTGATGAGCCAAAAGATAGGAATTTCAAGAGTAGACCTGCTGTGGGCATGACCTCCTGAGTTATATACAAGGATAGCTCACAGTGTCAATGCCAATAGCGATGTATCAATTAAGTAGACCAAATTTGCATAAAACGCGAGTAAAGACAGTTTAAGTATATTGACTGTATCAAGTCTAAACGAAGACGGCGGTAAAGAGATATCACAACTTAAGGACAGTAAATAGTACAGTAGCTCAGATCTTATGCAGTTTAATTCGTACTCACTAGGGCCGTAGGACAAAAAGTTAAATTACATATGTAAAACGAAAAACAGTCCTCAAAAGTTCTCAACAGTATTCATCTATGTGTCATACATAGTGTCTACATTAATATATAAGTTTAGACAGACAACAGGAACAGCAAATAACTTTTTACTGCTAGTAAATAGTTTCTAGCTTCGCATCAAGGAAAGGCGTCTTTTATGACTTCAAAGGTGCCACGACAAAAGGGATCAATGGTAACAATTTTTTAAAAAAACACTTATAAGTTATATTTGTTAGCTGACCTTTAAGGGAAGTGTGATCGTTCAGCCTCTGTAATTGGTACTGGAGGATTGATGAATCAAGATATGAACGAACAGTCTTCCGGTAAGTTCCATTGACAAGCAATAGAGGGACAGCTGCTGCCCTTCTGGCTACTGAAAAAGCCATAGCCAAAGCAGGATCCTCAGAGAGTGTTAACCTATCACAATTGTTATTGACATGTCAATATAGCTCGAAGCTGCATATAGAAATCAGAGGAAGGTAAAAACAAACAATTAAAAATTCTACTAGTTCTAAGTTCTAACCACAGTTTGAGGTACAGAGTATCAGAGAGGTTCAGAAAGATGAAGCCTAATAGTGACAATTTACACAGGCGGTTGTAGAGTTTATTTTCAAGACTAAAGTGCATACATATGCTGGCTGAACATAGGCTTCTGAGAAGGTAATAACAGGGAAGAAAGTCCATCCATGAGAGCCTTGAGATCCACTGGCAGCTGTTTGATTTGTCCAACTTTCTGCATCAATAAAATTACAGGGTGACGGCCTCTTATCAGCATCTATAGAAACTGGACTGAAAACAATCAGGTAATGTAACTGTTAGGATAAAGTGAATATGCCTAGTACCAATAATATTTCAATCTCACACATAGGTTTACAATAATCTTACGTTTTGTTCATCCCATACATGTCTTTACCCTTGTGACTTTAGATTATAATATTAGTCAAAGTTTTCACCAAAATATGCTTGACCTGATGGGAAAATCCTTTAAACCATTTGACATGAATATACCTCTTGTGTGATGAAGACAAGCTGAAAAGAGATCTTCTCATAATGATGAAATGCACCATCGGCAACTGAGGGTGATACAATATGTCTCATGGATCCCCAGAGAGTAGCACCTAAATGTGCAAGGAAAGTATCACGTGCAACTGTGTAATTTTGGAACTCCTGTGCAGTCAACATCACGATGCAATGTGTCACATTTCTTATACAGAACTGAAGCAATATGATATCAATCCCCTTACTGCAAGAATCCTCAAACCAACAGGGAGATAACAGCAAAAGACAAAAATCCTGGCATAGGACCAAAAAAATACCTCATGTACATCGCTAAACAAATTCCAGCTCTCCATTCGTTTTAGTGCATCTATGGCTTTTCTCTTGTGAACCTCATCATGTTCATCTCCTTCAAATGACTGGAGCTCAGTTTTTAAATCCCGCATTCTCTCGTCAAGTTCTTAGACATAAAAAATGAAGATAAAATGAGAAAAAAGCTCACAAGAAAATCGAAAGAGTTACTCAAGAATATGATGTTGGAGCTGTGCGGAATCTTTCTTTGAAACCAAGAAACAGAAAATAAGACGAGTGTACATAAAAATTAAGACTCGTAAAGCAGCGTTAGAGAATAAAAGCACCTTCACAAAGAGCAAGTTTCATTTTCCTTCCCTTGCAGTGCTTGAAAGCAAATAGTTCATATACATCAATCTCCGCTAGAAGAATGTCAACAGCCTGATGGTCATTCTGAGAAAACAAGACCAATACTGAGAAGTGTGGGCCAAAAAGATAAACAAGGAAAATGAAAACATAACTCAGAGAACTTGCACGCTGTAGACTTAAACAAGTGAATTTATCCCACGTGCATCAGGCTCAAGGAAAACAGCTCTAAGGATACTTAACAAGTGAACTGTTCACCTTTACAGTTAATGAAATAGTACATAGAGAAACTAGTTTTCGTAGAGCAGTGTCTAAGATTATTCCTTAGTTTACAGTCCTACACCCAAACTCTTTCTTACTCTTCTTTTCTCAACACCATATTTTAAGTTCTGCATTTTTGATCTTATCACTATTTTAGGGTAAGTCCTATTTTTGTTCGTACTGGAGTACAACAGGGCCCAAAATAAACCTCCTTTGATGAAATCCAGAGGTTTCTTATTTCACCGATCAAAACACACCTCTCCAAATACAGAAAATTTATCCTGAATTGCAGCTTGCAGTCTGTCCTCTGCTTCATCTTCGGATATTTCTAGCAGAGAATAAATCGCGGGCACAAAATTAACGGAAATTGAGGAAACGTTTTGTGCAAATGAAAGAAGGCCAAAGAATGGCAGAGATGTGTCCATAGATTACTAGAATTGTACATTTAAAGTAAAGGTAAATAGTCGGGATGATCACAACTTAGGAGCCACAATCCAGAAGACTTTATTTGGAATAGTACCTGCAACTGCACCAATAGTCTTTCCCACATTTGGTAAACTAAGTTCGGTTCGCACTCCTTCACCACCGACAGAAGGTCCCCATGAAAAAGGGCCAGCAGTTAAATCGATGAATGCCCACCTGCGAGGAAATGTTCACAAAGTCATGAAACATACAGATTCTTCATTTTATTGATATGCATAAGATGCGCTCTAAGCCGGAATGACAAGGTTAAATACATGTACACACATGCATTGAGAGCTTCAGAAAAGCAACCTGCCCTTTCCGATCCAGATATCAGTAAGACATTCTGCGTTAAGACTGCTAGTGTCTCCAGCTCTTAAACTCTTTTCTAGAGAAATCTTTATGTCTTCATTTTTCCCTTGAAGCAACTTGAAATTTCCATTGAGAAAGAAGCACATGTAAGGAAACCCATTCAAAGTAAAAGTTGCTTCTGGGACAAGACAGTGTTGAGCCAAAACAAAAGAAGATTGGTACCTGCAAAACCTTACTCTGAATGAGCTCGGCTGCATCTTTACCATGAGATAGCTGTTCCAACTTGTTCAGAGCATCCTGGCATGCATTGAACCACTCGGCCTGAAAGCAAGACAACAATCAACACTGTAAAACACAAGAGCCAACACTATAAGACATAGCGAAACACCAGATACTCGCAGCACAAAGGATCTGGTTCTCAAATGTCAGTATATTCATTACAACAGCATGTAGGACTAAACACATTGCCAAAATAAACGTTTGCCATATTTTACAAACAATAAGACATTATCAGTGGAATGATAAAAGTGGAGCATAAGGGTGCAGCTTAAATAACTAACCATATCAGTTTCCTCTGCATTGGTCCAGGAAAATTTTAGCATTGGATGCTTTTCGTACAATGGCTTCCTCACCATATCAAATGCTACAACAAACTCGCAGCAGGTATCAAATAAGAAACTGGAATTTACATCATCAATGGAAATATACATTTGTTATTTGCCTTTCTTTCTGTACCTAATATATTTTCTGACGGCTTTCCAGACTGTAGAAGTTTTTTTACAATGTCCTTGTTCTGCGGAATATAATTAGAGTAATATGAACATACAAGCACTTTGACAGAAAACTTAACCAAGAGATCAATTTTTAAGAACATTCTATTTTTCTGGTGAGGATAAGCATAAACAGAATTGAGAGATAGAACCACCTCTTTCAGATAAGATATCTCTGAGTCTGAAAAACCTCTCCTGCAAAATCCTTTTGTAAGTCTAGTATATTCCTCGTCCGTAATATAATAATCTGATAGGATAAATAACAGGTGCTCACCGGTATCCATATCTGCCTTTTTTCATATCATGTTTGGGATTCAAAATAAATACGTTGTATGCATCCCCAATATGAAAGTATTCAACAAGGCTAGAGAAAATGAATTCCATCATCTCAGCATCGACTTGTCTTAGAGCATTTTCCTCATCTCTGTTACCATACAAAAAAAAAGAGAAAGAATCATATAGAAATTACACAGAAAATGAGAATCAGGACAACCACTTGCAAGCAGCTATCAGGAGTGACTTTAAGTTGCCATGCATAAAAAATTGACCAGTAACGGACTTCCATAAGACATAAACTGAAACAAGAAACCCTTTGAAATGCATTACCTATTGGTCGAAATGTCATCCTTGCGTGCTAAAACATTGATGGCGCGTTCGACCACTGATGTCACCTTTTCTCCCATTTGTATAGCATGAACAGAAAAGCTGAAAAAAGGAAAACAAAAATGCCCAATTAGCGTCTAGGTAAAAGCAACACCACCATTGCGAATGAACCGCCAGGAAACAAGCTAGAAAAAAGATGACTGTACTTGTAGTTGAGGCGACTGATGATAGGAAGATGGTGTTTCGACTCCTTTTCAAAGTTAGTCTTGTAAAAAGGACTGAGAACTTCTTTGGTCTGTGGAACTCGCGTGTGCTCAAACATGTGATCAATTTTGTTGAACCAACGCTCAAGTTCCTCGGAAAGGAGTTTGAACTCTGGAAAAAATGATGGAGACAAGAGAAAATTCAGTGATAGGCTCCAATCCAAAGAAAAAAAAGCAAGATAGGCAGTAGTTATTCACCTTGGTTTCCTTTTCCATCAAAGCCTATGAAAATAAAATTGACTGGCACGGGAAGATACACGGAGTCGATTTCCATAAGCTCAAGGTAACTCGCGATGTTTCCTGAAAAGATTCAAGACAGGAACCGAAAACAAGAAGAGCTGTTTAAACCGATATTGTCAAATTTGATTGAGGTGTTGCGAATTGAGCTATTATGTCCTTTAGCATTCACAGGAACTGAAAGAAAAATGAAAGGCAATCACCTGACTTAGTGTAATTCAGCACACCGGAATTCGAGTGTACCGAAGACTCAAGATCATCAAAATCTGATAACATCAGGAAAATTAAAGTGTGATGGAAAGGAACGCGAATGAAATCCAAAAGCAAGGGAAGGGAGGCCCTGCAGACAGAACATACCGCTACGAAAGACAGACTCGCTCCAGAATCTGCTTTTGTCCTTGAGATTGAACAATGAAAACACGGAAGACTTCGCCGTCTTGCGGTTTCCATGTGGAGTTTCATATGATCGGGATGGAAGGAGCTAATCACGAAATCAATCGAACAAATCAAGCAAAATCGATTGAGAAAAGACAAATGTAATTTTGAAACCATCGCATAAACACATAACATCGCATTTCGTCATCAATTCAAACTTGTTATCAGGGGGAAAAAAAACATCAGAACTCAAGCGGAAAGCAAAATAAATGTATTTGATCAAATACTCCTCTTGCGACGGATCGAAGGAAGGAATCGTACCAGGATAGCAACACAAACGGTGAACACGAGCTTGGAAACGGATCTGTTCCCAGCCCCGAATCTATGCATCGTCGTCTTCTTCTCCTAGCAAACGATAAATCGTAGTAGGGTTTTGCTCTTTCCTCCCGCAAAATTTCCTACACTGCCCACTGTATTTTTTCGTTCTCTTCCCCCACAAATTGATATTTCTTCTTCAATTAGACCAACAAAAAGTTCCGCCTCATAAGAGAAGGACTGTTAAGTCAATATATTTGTACTTAGCGTCGAAAAATATAATAAACAAATCAGCTAAATCAACAAAACTCAAACAAATTAGTTTAAATTTCCAAAATACTGACAATTATATATATAAATGTAATTGTGTCATATTTATGTGTGTAACTAAGTTTGCATGAACTGAAACTTGAAATTCTTCTTAATCCATGGAAAAAGCCTAGAACAAAAATGCTCAATTAGTTGATACTTGATAGATTAAGCTGGTGCATAAGAATCATACACTAATCAAACCATCTACTAAGTACTAACAGAGACGCACTTGATACTATAATCTCTCTTAAACTCTGACAATTGCTCTCATTCCTGAGTCTCAAATAAGAATGCATTTAAAATTATAGATAAATGATTCATGTGCCACAAAAACTCTGGTGGCAATCTTGTATTACATGTTGGCTGTTGCAAAATCATAAAAAAAATAAGGTACATATATGGGGATTGGGGATAGTTCTGTTGCGATGGATATGCGGTGAAGTAGTGTAAAGTATTAATCACATTATTTTCCAGTGCAGAGTAAGCACTTAGGAGTTTTTTTGTTTCATTAATAAACTCTTTAAGCGATCAAATTCTATCAAACCTTTCTATTCCATCTTGCATCTTTCCTTCTCGAGGCCAATAAAGCTATTACTCAAAGGCCAATAAAACAGAAAAGCAGATAGTTCAATATTAAAACGGAAAAAAAAGTGGGGTTAAAAAAAAAAGAAGATTGTTAAATGATCATTTTTTTTTGTTAAAGGGCCTTCGATAGTTAAATGATCATATCACTTATCATCTATATATACAGTCTTGAATCCACTAAAGTCAAAAGCATTTTGAATGGATGTATTGTATAACACTCAAGAGCCGTGGATTTACTCATTTGACATTTTGTGGAGATTCGAAGTCTCTCTAGCAGAGTAAATGCATCGAATTTGTTATATTAACTTTTTAGTAAGAGAAAGTTATTTCAAATTTGCTATGTAAATTTAATTTCCGTATATAGAAATAATTAACATACATTATGAAATTGATGGGCCTGTGATACACAAGCCCGCATATCCGTTAAAGGCAAGGGACCACAAACTAAAGACATCAATGCTTACGTGTCATTTTGTCGTTGTGGGTTGCCAAAAACAGCGGTCACTCGCTCGTGCGTGGTCGCTTTAAAACGCACAGTAGTGGAGGAGACAGTACAGCTAAGCAGCTAAGCTCAAAAGCTTATAGTTCAGTGTGTTGTCTAGCTTATTGGTCAAAAGAAAGGTCAGATCGGCGCCGGAGATGGGGTGGGGTTTCCTGGTGGTCTTATTGGCTGTGGCGGTGGCTTGTCGGAGGGCAAGTTCAATCGGAGCGAACTGGGGCACGCAGGCGTCGCATCCTCTTCCGCCGGACATAGTGGTGCGGATGCTGAGAGAGAACGGTATTCAGAAAGTGAAGCTCTTCGACGCCGAGTACGACACTCTCAGGGCTCTGGGCAAGTCCGGAATCGAGGTTATGGTTGGGATTCCCAACGAGATGCTGGCCACTCTCGCCACCAGCCTCAAAGCCGCTGAGAAATGGGTTTCTAAAAATGTTTCTACTCACATCAACACCGACAACGTCAACATCAGGTTCTTTCCCCTTTTTATTTTCTTTCTATTTATCAACTTTCCTCTTTTAGGGTTCCACATTTTCACTGTACAAGTTAGAAATTGGGAATCAAGGGACTTGAATTTGGATTCTCCTAGACAGTAAAGTAGGCTTGTATCTGTAGCCGTGACTGGTGAATTGTACTGAAACTAGGTCTCTGTCTGAGAGACAAATCTACACAAATCTTATATCTTTACTGTATCAGACAGCTAAAGTAGAATACTGAATTTGATCCTCTGGTTTGGTTTATTGAACAGATACGTTGCTGTTGGCAATGAACCTTTCCTATCGACTTATAACGGGAGCTACCTTAGCACCACTTTCCCTGCGCTGAGGAACATCCAGATTGCACTAAACAAAGCCGGTCTTCAGAACCAAGTGAAGGTCACGTGTCCCTTAAACGCTGACGTCTACGACAGCTCCACCACCTTCCCCTCTGGAGGTGACTTCAGAGCCAACATCCGTGATCTCATGATCACCATCGTCAAGTTCTTGAGCGACAACGGCGGACCCTTCACCGTTAACATCTACCCTTTCATCAGTCTCTACAACGACGCCAATTTCCCAGTGGACTACGCCTTCTTTGACGGCAACTCGCAGCCCGTGAGCGACAGTGGGACTTTCTACTACAACATGTTCGATGCGAACTACGACACTCTAGTGCATGCCCTGGAGAAGAACGGGTTTGGGAACATGCCCATCATAGTTGGGGAGATCGGATGGCCTACCGATGGGGACAGGAATGCTAACGTGGAGTACGCTAGGAAGTTCAACCAAGGCTTCATGTCTCACATCTCAGGAGGGAAAGGGACTCCGAGGAGGCCAGGCCCAATCGACGCCTACTTGTTCAGCCTGATAGACGAGGACGCGAAGAGCGTGCAGCCTGGATACTTTGAGCGGCACTGGGGGATATTCACATTCGACGGCTTACCCAAATACGCATTGAACCTTGGGACGACCAACACAGGAGCTCTGATCCAGGCCAAAGGTGTGCGGTATTTGCAGAGGAAGTGGTGTGTGATGAAGCCAAACGTGAGGTTGGACGATCCGCAGGTGGCACCTAGCGTGAGCTACGCGTGTAGCCTCGGGGACTGCACGAGTCTCGGGGTTGGGACGTCATGTGGGAATCTGGACGGGAAGGAGAACATATCGTATGCGTTCAACAGTTACTATCAGATAAACGACCAGGTCGATACGGCATGTAAGTTTCCAAACATATCGGAGGTGACCAAGACGGATCCCTCAACGGGGACCTGTAGATTTCCGATTATGATAGAGCCTTATTACGGCGGGGCTGACCACGGACAAGTGTTCTTCTTGCCACTGTTTCTGGCCTTAGCCATCGCCATGCTCTCTATTATTTTTTGATGGTTTCTTGTCAATGTGTAACTCGATGTGTTGTGGCAGTTTTTTTTATTTTCTTGAATTCTAATTTATCCCTCCCAAGAACAAGTGAAAATAGTGCTGTTTTCAGGGCACATATTGACCCTAAGATGCAAGGCCATATGTTAAAGAAGGATTTTGTTTGGTGTGTAGTACATTTGATATCCTCAACATCGCAATAAATTAAAGGCCTAGATAACATCTAATTTGTACTTGGAAAATGACCAAAACTTCCCTTAATAAGGAATTAAAAAGAATGATACGGAAGAGCTTCATTCTTCTTTTTGTTTGTCTTAAAAGTATTTCAGAGCTTCAAAATCTCATTACAGGTTTTGTTAACGTGTCTCTATGTCATACTCCAAAACGCTGATCTTTCCCTTACAAGTTGAAATGGGCCATAACATGGGCCAAATTTCCTGCAGATGATTAGCAAACTTACTAAAAAGGTTTACGCAAAGGGAAACCAATCTTTTTTTTTTTTTTTTTTTGTCATCTGAAATTTATATTAAACCATACGAACAGGTACATTTGAAACCAATCTACAAACGCAAAGGGAAACCAATCTACAATTGTAAAAAAAAAGAAGAGAGAATCCGATTGTAATCTCTACCAAACACGGCAGAGATCAATCTCAATCCGAATCCCTAAGCGGCAGAAAGTAGAAGACGAATAGCCGAAGCTTCGTCGGCGGGATAAGAGTCTCCTTCTAGAAGAAAGGAAAATTTCGAAAAAGGAGTCTCATTTTGAGTTTCAGTTTAGAAGTCTCCAGAAAGATTGCTGTTACTACATCCGGGGAGGTTCTTCTGGTCATATGCTACGACCTTGACACCACATCTCGCTTCTTCTGCGTCTACAAGATGAACCATGTCACCCAAAGATGGGATCATATGGCTTCTTTGGGCGACCAAGCCTTGATCTTCCAACTTGGAATCACTGTCCCCACCAAAGATGTTCAAGGAATCAAGGCAGACTCTATCTGTTTTACTGGTCGTCCTGGTTTTGGCATTAGAGACATATTTATCTTCAACCTCGCTACTCGCAAGGTCGAACCATTCCCGTGTAAAACTAGCAAGTTCTTTGATGCTTGATGGTTCCTCCCCAGTGTCTGAGTTTTGACTTGTCATGTAATGTAACAAGAGTCTTTTCTTTTCTTCTTCTTGCTCTTTTGTTTTGGTTTGAATCAAATAAATTTGTCTGCTTTTCAGTCAAATGAAATCGTGCTAAACATGCCCCTTGACCATTAAGGTATCCCTTGAAATATATCTGTGGATTTTCTCTGGTAAGGTTCAATACAGCTTAACAATTAATGGCACGAGGCATCTTGCTTTTCTCCCAAGAAAAATGCTTTCAGTCAAAACCAAAATGTCAAAAGCATCATCACGGAACACATCAATTACGAAAGGGTTCCCACTTTTCTCCATTCATCATCATCATTATCATTTCAGATCATTGTTGTTTAGGTGAAAAGGATGGAGACTTGCTGCTTCTCTGCAAGTATCATGGTATCCTTGGCTTCCGTCTATTTTTGTATTCTGTTTTTACATGTCTATATCAGAACATGCATGAAAGCGTGAAAGATGAGGTTTTTGATTGATTTGCCAGTTACAAAGACAATAGAGATGAAGAAAGGTCTGGAAATGCTGAGAGAAGAGCAACTTGTTCCAGTGATTAATATCAACTCCTGATTCCATCATTAGCGGAAAAACTATCTGAAGAACAGCAGACCAAAATCAGGATCATCATCATCTCTAAGGAACAGATGTTTTAGCTCTTGACATCCTTGTCTATTTTCTTTCAGGTGTTTGGTTTACTTGTTACACATGTAGAGATGCCAGACTTTGATGGCTTTAAGTTTCTTGAAATTGGTCTTGAAATGGGGCCTTCCTGTAATCAGTACGTGTCCCCCTCCCTCCCTCGCATTGTTTTCATATCAACTCTATAGCCTTGGTCTAACTTTTGTTTCATTTGCTGTCAACTCATAGCGACAACGACGAGAGTGTTATGAAAGGTATTACACATGGCGCGTGCGATCTGCTCAATTGAGCATTTTGGTTATTTGTTCAGTTTTGTTGTGTTTGGAACAGCTTGTGCTACGTATATTTGAAATTTTATAAATCTTCTTTTTAACTGATCACTGGCCCGAGAATGTAATTCAGTTACAATGAAGTTCTCTTCGTGAAAAGGAAGATCTCAGGTAAGAGCCCCGTGAGCCAAAGGCTGGGCCTTGAGCTACTGGAGGCTTGTGCTATGAACTGCGTGAGGATTTTCTCTAAAGTTGCTTCTGAGAAAGTCTTGATGAGATGGTTTGGTTAATCAAGAACAGAAGCCGAGCTTGGGGACAATCCCAAGAGCTTGCTTACCTTCCTGTTTTCCAGCAGACTTAAATGGTAGATCTCTCTGAATATGATTTTACTTATGCAAAGACGTTTCCTTTCTTTTTTAAAATGTGAAACCCTCGGCTTTTTTATTTTCCTGTTTGTTTGTTTGTGTTTCTATTCCTATAGCTTAGAAGGAGAAAGCGGTTTAAACGTTCCTGGTGAGGAGAATCCAATGTCTCCGGAGTCTCTTCTGCAAAGACGTGTTCCAGTTCCTCAACTTATCAATTTTGACTCTTCACTGCAAACGAAACAATAATGGTTAATTCTTTCTGTATCTTTCAAGAAAATTTAGTGACATCAAAGATTTGGGAAAATAAGTGATGATGCTAACCTTAATGTCACCAGATTCATTGTCGAGAACAGTGTCACCATATTCATAGAAATACACTTCCTGACAGGAGAGATAGATAAGCTGAAAGTGAGTTTAAAAATTACTTTCAAATGTAGTATCTAAAATTCATGATAAAGGATAAATATGAGTCTTTCTAACAATATCAACTGTGACAAAGTAATGAAGTATCCTTCATTGCTAGATTCATGGCCTTCTCCTAGGATTCTTCCTCTCTTTTCTAAGGTTCCCTTCTCCTTGACTTCTCTATTTTATATTATCACTGTTGATTATATTTTGGTCTGTCAAGTACATGATGAATGAAATAGAAACCTTGTATGAGCTTCTGAAATTGAAAAAAAAAACTAAAAATCATCAAAGCAAAGATTTTAAACTACTTTAGTGTTTCAAAGACTTTATTCCTGCTTAACCTCAAGTGAACAATCTGAACAGTGTGTATTGGCATTGTTAATTAGGTATTTTTCTATCGACTTTCAATATATTACTATTAGATAGGGGGACTAACCTTTGATAGTGGAAATACATTAAAAAGTTTGTTCATACTTGGGATTTTGTAAGTCAAGAAAAAGTCTTTGGTTTATTTTCCATTCATGATGTGGTTACAATTTCTCTACAATGAATACCATCAAAACAAAATGCGATTAGTATTCATAAAATTTATAAGAGGAAATATATATATATATATGTTTTTTTTGAAAATTAGAAATATATATATATATATGTTAGAATTTGGTAATAGAGTTCTAGAACTAAGCTTTTAAATCGTAAAAACTTAGCTCCATCGTTTCTCTGTAATTATTTCATGGACAACAGCCCTCTCCATCAAGCCATCCTGGCAGGATTTCCAAGTTTCACATCGTTAAGGTATGTAATCATATTCAACATAACCATTTTGTAAGAGTTTTAGGTTTTCCAGTATAAAACACAATGATTGAGATGAAGACAATAATTTTTCAATTCATCTGTATTTATATAAATTTTAATTAGGGTTCAAGTTTGTTAGTGAATATATTCGGATCAATGCAAATAATTCATATCCATATTCGTTTTCCAGATTTAAAGCAATTTATCAATCTCATAAGATTTGATTAAAAGGAATATACTACAAAATCTGTAAACATTCTTCACAAAATTGCTGAAGAATCTATGATTTAGTTGTGATTTCTATAATGGTTAACTAAATGTTCAATATCTTTAAATTACAATATCATAGTATATGCGAATATCATATTTCCGTGATTTTCTAAAACTTACTCTTCTCTTTAAAATCTTCCATTTCAAAAATTTGCAAATTTTTTGAAGATTTTCCTATAAAATTTACTATAGGAAATATCATACGTGAGGTGTGTTTCCGTTTGTTGGTTTTAGATTGGTTTTTATAATCAAACCGAGATGTCGGGTTTATATCAAAAATGTATTTACCAATTTGATATGAATATTAGCTGCATTTGCATTTTGTGACCTTGTATTTAACAAACTTATAATATGAAAAAATAGTTGTATATATATGATCATTATTTGAAAGTTTAGTCTACATATTATCATGTATTCTGTTGAAATATTCAGTCCACATCATATTATCGTATGTCTTTTAAAATGATCATATATATACATTCACAATATATTATGATACGACATATTATTTGAAAGTTTATTAAATTTTGGTTTAAAAGATTTTTCGATTTCGGTATACATATCTAGTGGTCATGCAATATTTGTTTTTGTATTTATATATAGTAGTTAGATTAATATTGATTTTGGTATACATATCTTATATATGGACTGATTTTAGTTAAACATATTTTAATTAATCTAATAGATTTCAGTATGTGTATATAGAGTTTAGAAGGGACTGAATATATTGAGCAATGAAATAATTCACTGCCTAAACTACCTTAATGAAATTTCTGAATTAAATTATGAGGTTATATTAAGAATCTTTAAACAAAATTTCCGAAATCTCGTCGATCACAATGTTTCGAAAGATTGTGTCACCGCCGTTATCTTCTGCGGCGGAGCTAGAAGAATTGCTTTTCCCTTTACATGAAGATAATTTTGCAGCCCTCTGTCTCATGTTTCCGCAGATAGACAGGGAGCAGCCCTGTTCAGACATATTGGCCGAAGTGTGTTCTTCATTAGCAAAAAGAGTTGCAGCTTGTGAGAACGCCCCACACTCTGAAAATTATCTCGAAGATATGTTCCTCCTCAATGATTGACTTTGGAGAGGTTAGAAGACTTGAGGTTAGACTGATGGACTCAGACCTTAATTACATAGAAATAGATGTTTCTGATACTATTGATTGGTTAATGAATGATTAGAACATTATGGTTTTTGCTCTATGTTGTGTACCGCGTCTCTAGTCTAGTATCCTGTAACTGAAGATCCTATTCCAATTTTTGTGATATGTGCATGTTACTTGTCATATTTCCGCAGCTAGGCAGGGAGCGACCCTGTTACGATGGTGTCTCTGCATTGAGATGCTCGACGGTGTTTATATCTCTATTTTTTTAGACTTGTCGAATATTTCTCAGCTTTAAAATTTAATGTTCTTCAGGTTATGTAATAAAGAGACATATAACTAAGCTCGCGACAAAGTTTCTATAATAGAAGGAACTTTGGACAGAATACTATGAAGATACTGCATTGAAGTAGTAAATGTGGACATACTTTCAACCTCATTGTTTCTCTTTTTGGTTGAGTCTTCATTCTTGACTTCCAACTATATTAAAAAAGATTGGCATTGGTTGTCTTTTTGCACAAAGTTTACTCTATTAGAATCTTTGGACAAAAGACTCATGACATTTAAAGGAACCAATATTGAGAGCAATTTAGAAATAAAAATGTTCATAGATTTTCAATCTCCCTAAATAAGTGGATCATTGTAGTTTTGAGTTGTAAATGGTTGGCATATACATAGAACCTTGATATAACCTTGATATGTGTTCACTGATTCCAATTAATTTGAAACATATGGTTATTCTCCTAATTGCATGATTACCCTTTTAATTTTCTTAGTAAGACTAAGATACACCTTCGTTTAGCTAATCTGTTATGTGAATCTAAAAGCCAAACACAATCCATGGCTTTTTAAAATAAAATTCTGTCAGAAGAATCACATGTTGAGGGTTGATCAAATCCTTTCATTAGCAGCAAAAATTCCACAATGACCATGTTGACAAGCTTGCATCAACAAATCTGTTTATTTCCAATTTTTCCAGAGTTCTAATATTCATATAATGTGACATCAAATTACAACAGTTATTATTATCAAAAATTATGTATGTTGTATTATTTATTTTATTTGTTAATATTATTTTTTAATTAATACAGATTCAGATGCATTAAGTGACTATACAAGTGATGACTCTAACCAATTATATCAATATTTTTGATTAATGTAATTAATTTTAGCATTTTTATTAAATTGATGCTAGTATCTATCACTTGCAATAAATGATATTAACATTTGTATCAATTATTTAATATAATTGAAGTAGATATTTGCATCAATTTATACAAATTATATTACTATTTTTTCGGTTATAACAATTGATGTTATACATTAATATAGTTGATATTATTATTATTATATAAATTCATGTAAACTTCAAAATTGGTGTTAACTTTTATAATATTTTCAATTTAAGATAACTAATCATTTTGTATTTATTATTCAAGAAAATATAATTAAATACATATGTAAAATTTAACATAAAAAATAAAAAGATAGTGTTGGTGAATTCTTTTATAGAGAAGAAAAATAGCACTCTTCATCCTTCTTTAGGAATGTAGGACAAATATTTTTTTAATTAAAATTTTGTCTTTTTTATAACTGAAACAAATATTAAAATAATTTATTATTGATGTTAATTTTAAATAATTTAATTAAATTGATACTAAAGTCATGTTTCAGTTATAATATTTGATGTAAATTTATATATTTGTATTAGTTTTAAAAAGGTGATATAAGTTAAAAATAACTTGTATCAGATTTTTTTTAATTGATGTTAATCAAACTAATAGAAGTATCAATTTTATAAAATTGATATTAATTAAGTTAGTCTTAATATTACTTTTTAATTGATATTAATTAAATAAGTAATAATATCAATTATTTGAATTAGTGTAATTTTATAAGACAAAAAAATAGAGTTATTTATTTTTCTGATACTTTATTAATATTTTTTTTTTGTAGTGAATGTTCTGTCCACGGTAGTTCCGGAGATTAATATCAACTCCTGATTCCACCATTAACGGAGAAACTATCTGAATAACAATAGACCCATCTCTGAGGAACAGATGTTTTAGTTTACTTGACATCCTTGTCTATTTTCTTTCAGGTGTTTTTGTATCACTTGTTAAAAGTTATCAGAAGCTTCCTTCTCCTGATTGCTTGACAAGTGTTTTCTTTTTACAGGACTAGCTTTAACAGGTTGCTGTAGTGATTTTTGTAGATAGCGAATGAGCAATCTGATATCCTGGTTTAGCAAATGCTCTTCTTGTGTTATATATATAGAGAGAGAGAGCTCTCTCTAACTTCTTCTCCATGCACATAGTAATGTGCTTTTCTACATGTTATAATGTCGGAGACTTGGGTTCCTTTTTCTCATCATCTCACCTGCTAGTGGTCTGAGACCAAGTTGTAGAGGCTGTACTGGTCCAAGGCTTAGGTTTCATGATACTATTAGCTGCTAGATGTATGACTTATCTGTGCCACCTGACATAACTTAAGAGACAAATGAAGAATTCGATCAGCATCAAAGAGAGGATAACTTTTGACTGCAATTTTTGTAGCACATCAACTTGCAAGAAAAGCCTATATACATAGCTTTCGCATCCAACTATATATCTTCCCTTTTTAAAAGTATATAGAATTAGATGGTTGAGACTTTTTTTAATTTTTAGTATTGATTAACTGATGGATGAATGTTTTTACTTGTGTTCTGTCTCAGATCAAAAGCCACGAGCATTGATCCCAAAGCAATAGCTGAATGTAAAAGGTCTGACAAGTGGGATGTAGCCACTCATTTGCAGGTTTAATGTTCTTCAGCTTATGTTGATAAAAAGACATATAACTTGCTTCTTAAACTCACGACCTAACCTTGGGATCTATGATCTCTTCCTCTTCCGTAAGCATTGTAATTTATGGTGCATTCATTCATACACAGACATAGAAAAGGACAACTTGTCAACCAAAACAAGAAATAATATAAGTCAAGCCGATAAGGAGGAAGGAAACGCTTGGTGTAAATGGGGCATTTTAAATTCACTTGAGAAAATTTTGTCTTTTGTGTAGAGAAAAAAAGGTAAGTGAGTGATTAATGGCACAATCATTCTCTTTCTGAGTTTTTTTTTCCCTTAAATTTGCGCATAGGTCTCCTTGTCCCAAACTGTACCCATTGCATCAACTATGGACTGGTGATCGCTGAAGAGGGAAGGACTGAGCAGTTTCGGGTTGGAATGAGGGTCCTTGCCGTGTATGACAATCCAACCTGCCTTGCGAAACTTGAAGACTTGCTGCTTCTCTGCAAATATCATGGTACTAGTATATATTCTTTGCTTCTGTTACTTTGTTTTTGTTTTTTTTTTACCTGTCTATGAAAGCGAGAGAGATGATGTTTGATGTCAGTGACAAAGACAACAGAGTCGAAGAAAGCTCTGGAAATGATGAGAGAAAAGAGCAACACGTTTGATCTGTTGATAACCGAGGCAGAGATATGCCAGACATTGATGGCTTTAAGCTGCTTGAAACTGGTCTTGAAATGGGCTTTCCTGTCATCAGTACGTCCCCTTACTTCTGGTTTTCAATATCAACGCTAGATTTCTCCTAACTCTTTTTGGTTTTGTTTCATTTTTCTCAGTGATGTCAGCTCATAGCAACAACGACAATGTTGTGAAAGGTACTACTCATAGCCAGCCATTTGCAGGTAATCACTTGCCATTTTTCTTTTGCATTTTGCTTCTGCCTTTGCTAATTATATAATCTTGGATGGTGAGATGATTCGACTTGTTTTCTTTTCTGGTTTTGGTTGCAGAAGTACAGCTATTCTTGAAAAAACGGTACGAGAACATGGCTGCAGATGCATCTGGAACAAAAGATTTATCTGACCACCCATGGCTCAACTTGATGTTGAAGTGCCAATATGGTTCAGCGTCACCCAACAGGACCAGAACTCAAGCTTATCCAATCGGAAAAAATCACCATGAAACTCTGTTACCAAGAGCCGAGAAGGTGGATCTGTTTCAACCAACTCCACTAGAGCCCCTCCCCTTTCCTAAAAGCAAGCACTCAGCGTACAAACAGCCGCTCGAGACAGCCATTAAGTTACCAAACACACCAGAGGTGACCAAGAAGGATCCGGTAACGATAGAGCCCTTCTCGTACGGTGGTGCTACCAGGAGACACAGGTTCTTCTTCCCACTGATGCTAGCTGCCGCCATTGCACTCTCTACTTTCTTATGGTTTTGTGTCAGTTTGTGATTGGCTGCAACTATTTGGTTTTCCTTAACTGAAAACAATAACTTTAAAAGAATGATTTCGTTTGGTGTTTAACCTAACTTTTTTTTTTTTAGCTTTTGTATCCCTAACCTCAATAAGAGTCCCCAGTGAGCATTTAATTTGTACTAGGTGGTCGTTGAGAAATGAGCAATGATCCCTATAGACCAATAGTGCAAGAACAGCGCCAGAATAATCACTCCTCTCCTGTTGAATCCAGATTCTAACACCGAGCCAGATTTTATCATATTATAAGAATGCCAAATTCTATATCATCAAATGATCTAGTGTCCACACAAGTGTAAAGTATCTCCGAGATGGCTGAGTAACAGATTCGAATTTGATCCGTTATGAGAATACAACGTAGTGTGTCTTTAGACTTGTTTCATTTAATTAGAATAGACCAATGAGTTTTCCGTTACGTTAGTTGTGTTTGAACCATAATAAATGAAATGGGAAATGAGTCTGTGTGGTAAATTTCAGCAGACTATTTCTTCCAACAATGCATAATTTCAAATGTTAAAAGGAACAAGGGAAGATGATGAGGGTTTTAGTTAAAACATGAAATGTTGATTGCAGGAAGAATCTGTGAGAGGAGAATTTAGATATAGAAACATTGAAGAAAATGGCAGAATAATAACAAAGTTTGACTAAACAATGTGGGAGATGGGAATGTTAAATGTATCAAATCTATGACTACTTGTGTTCAATGCATGAATGTGATGCGGATCAGGTCAGTCCATTTGCCCATGTGAAATTCTCATTTTTGGAATTGATCCCATAAAAGTAAAGGTCAAAATGTCATCAACAGTTTTGTTTGGTGCATTAACGTTGATATAAAAAAAAACGGAAAGCTTGTCTATCATAATAGCAAATGAATGCATATAAGGCAAGCCAGGAAAGACGAAAATGCTGGCTTTGAACGTTATAAGGACAAAGAAAGTTGTCTTTTGTGCACAGATTAAGGTAAGATTCAACAGAACAAAAAGGAAAGTAAGAGAAGCATGTGACTGTCCGCGTCACTGTAAATGGAAACAAGAGCAAAAACAGAAGAAAATATGTATAAAATTAAGGACCGGATTAAAAGGCACAATCACTCTCTCTTTTTGGTCTCTTGTCATTTCCTTTACACATCCATATACAGCCGCATGATAAGGATTATGGTCTCCACCTAGTAAAAAAAACAAACTATTTCAGAATACAAAAAAAAAAAAAAAAATCAGATTTTACAGGTCTATGTACTTACTGTGGGGACAAGAAGGGACTTGCTATCAACCTTTGTGATTAAGTAGCAATTTTATCAGAATGGAGAAGAAAGGATTTGTGAGCAGTGAAGATGGAAAGAATAAGAATTTTCCTGTAGGAATGAGAGTACTCGCTGTGGATGACAGCGCCACATGTCTTCGAACGCTCGAAGAGTTGCTGCTTCGATGCAAGTATCACGGTACTTTTAACTCTTTTGCTTCTGTCTTTTTTTTTTTTTTTTTTTTTTTTGAGAACGAGAGGAATGTATCGGAGAGTTGATGTTTTTTTTCATTGATATCATAGTGACAAAGACAATGGAGTCTAGGAAAGCTTTGGAATTGCTGAGAGAGAAGAGCAATATGTTTGATCTAGTGATAAGCGATGTAGAGATGCCTGATACAGATGGCTTCAAGTTACTTGAAATTGGTCTTGAAATGGACCTTCCTGTCATCAGTACGTCATCGTCCCGTTTCTTTTTGGTTTTCATATATCAACTCTGTATATATATAGCCTTCTTCTTTTTCAACTTTTGTTGTCGTTTTCTCTCAGTGTTATCATCTCACAGCGACCACGACAGTGTTATGAAAGGCATTATTCATGGCGCTTGTGATTATCTGATCAAGCCTGTTAGCCTCAAGGAGCTTCAGAATATATGGCAGCATGTTGTGAAGAAGAACATTGGCTCATACAAGAAAATCATTGGCCCTTCTCGCCAGCTGCCTCCCTCTTCTGAATCCGATCTCGCCACAAGCGGCAGCAAGAAACGTAAAGAGAAAGTTAATGACAGTGGTGATGAAGATGACAGTGACAGAGATGACGAAGATGGCGACGGGAGTGAACAAGATGGCGAGGAGTCTTCCACCAGGAAGAAGCCTCGTGTTGTTTGGTCACAGGAGCTTCATCAGAAGTTCGTCAATGCCGTTCAGCAATTAGGCCTTGACAGTGAGTTTCCTCTTAAACTCTCCTCTCACCTTTCCTCTAGTGTTCATTTCTACTAATGTTTGTTTTTTAACCATTACAGAGGCTGTTCCAAAAAAGATACTTGATTTCATGAATATAGATGGTCTCACAAGGGAAAACGTAGCCAGCCATTTGCAGGTACTTAAAATTTATCATTCCTTCTTGCATTTGGACTGTGACTTTTGCTAGTATAACCTTGGAACGTCTGAAACAATTTTTGTTTATATATTTCATCTCTGGTTTTGGCTGCAGAAGTATAGACTATACTTGAAAAAGATTGATGAAGGTCAGCAGCAGAACATGTCTTCCGATGCATTTGGGACAAGAGATTCATCTTACTATCACATGGCTCAGCTTGATGGGCTAAGAGATTATACATCCACAAGACAACTCCCAAGCTCTTCACTCTTATCCCGTTCCCATCTCACCAAGTTCCATCCCTCTGTGTACCCATCCATAAATCTTCAAGGAATCAACTCCTCCAGCTTCAACAGCCAGAACTCAAGCAGCTCAGGTAATCTCTTTGGAACGTATCAGCGCACTCTGTTCCCAAGATCACAGAGCGTGAACGTGTCACCACTAGAGCCACTCCAGTTTTCTACAGCCAAGAGCTCTTCATACATGGGAGACTACAAAAGCATAGGGGATCGACCAATTGTCGGCAGTAGCTTCCTCGACAACCGTATGTCGTTTGGTAGCTCAAGCACCTCTTTTCCAAGTGCTTCAAGCAACAACAACCTGATGTTACAAGCAAACAACTATACACAACCTCTGCACAGAGCCTCTGATGGAAACCATCAGTCTTGCCTCGAGGGATCTCTCTCAAACTCTGTCTCCCCAAACATGAGCGCCGATGGGTTATCTACTAGATTCCCTAGCAATAGCTGGCAAGGGAACCTGAAAACAAACAGATTCCCATCAAACTCCTTGCCGCTGAACCATCATGGATTCGGCCATGATCAGGTGACGTATCCAGGGAACGGTCTGGGAGATTGTAGCTCTTTGGTATCTGGTGGTGGAGAGATGCAGTGTGAGACTCCATTGCTAGGTGACTTCATGCAGAACATGAACACCTTAGACGCATCGAAATGGGAGGAACAGAACTGCAACATGATGAACACTTCATTCGGTAACGTGGAGTATCCGTTACCAGCAGGTGATAACATGGTTTTCAGGGATAACAACAATGTGACGAGAAGCAAAGGCTTGGATGATTCGCTGATGATGAGTCCGATAGAGGACGGTGACGGTCAAGAGTATGTGGGGAAACTTACAATGCTGGATCATGAGATGAATTCGGGAAAGCCAGAGAATGTTCTTGTCGACAATCAGCACGATGTGTTCGATGACATTATGAATGAGATGATGAAACAGGTATGCTTTTGTTTTTTGTGTTTTGTTTCTGATTTTGGTTTAAAGCTTTTTGTAATGGTAGAAGAGAAAAAATGAAAGTGGATGTTGTTTTGTTGAATGCAGGATGAGAATAACGGAATGGTGTCAGTGGCTACTAGATTTGGGCTTGATTCGTTTCCTCCGCCTTAGGGCTCTCTCTCTGACTTCCGGTTGCATCATTTGTTCTTCAATTGAATATCTTCTTGTCATTTGTTTTTCTTCTTTTTTATCCTCCCCACATTGTTTCCTTTCGATTTGTCAATATATCAGTTTAGACACTGCACCAACCAGTTTCATACTCTCTTTTATGAATTGGAATATTTTTCCCTAGAAAAGTAATATAGGTTGAGAAGATTTTATGTACTTCGGTGAAAGTAAAATTATTGTCACTTTCATTGGGATTGAACATTCGTTTTGTGTTGTTTAGTTTTTTTTTTTTTGTTCAAAGTTTAGTTTCAAAATAGATTTTCGATATCTCCATTAATGTCATTGCGGCTTCGTTTCAAAAATATGGGCCTAATTAATTTCGTTGCATTGACGGCCCACTTATTCATAAACCGACAACATTAGTTGGGTTCTAAATCAGGTAACCCCATATGAATAGTAATCTCCATTATTTGAAATTAGCAAAATATTTCTTTATTGGAATATAAATATTTACAGTCGATTGGAAAATGACTGTTTTTCTTTTTTCTGATTTCATTCCAAAAAACTGGATTACATTCTTTCTTTTTTTTTTGTAACACATACTGAAGTTTTATGAATTTTTGTTAAGTGTTGCAATTTAATTAATTGCCCTATTATGGAAAATGTATTACGTTACAGTAACAGATAGTTACATTTCGATATGTACAGTTGGTGGGGCCTACCTAGAAAAGGCAAACGGAAATCAAATCAAAATGTGAATGTATGGCACTATGGCCCATTGTATTTTGTATTCTTTCTCCCACAGAACTAAGAAAGAAAAAAGACATTTGTTATCCCTCTCCTTCATTCGCATTGTGTAACTCATAGACGCTACTAGAACCATCTGCCCTACACGCTTCACACGTGTCAACCCCTCCTCCCACGGAAATCTCCTTTGTATTTTTTTTCTTATTTCCTATAAAGAAAAGAGAAACAGAATCCCTCTTTCTTATCCTACTATAACCTCAAAGAAAATATCTGAATCCTAGACTTAGAGAAGAAGGAAGATGACGACGACGGAGAAGAAAGAGATGGAAGTGGTGAAGGGTCTCGACCTGGAGAGGTACATGGGCCGTTGGTACGAGATTGCTTCCTTCCCCTCCAGGTTTCAGCCAAGGAACGGCGTCGACACTCGCGCCACCTACACCCTTAACCCCGACGGCACGGTGCACGTCCTGAACGAGACATGGAACGGAGGGAAGAGAGGTTTCATCCAAGGCTCAGCTTACAAGACCGACCCGAAGAGCGACGAGGCCAAGTTCAAGGTCAAGTTCTACGTCCCTCCTTTCCTCCCAATCATTCCCGTCACCGGCGACTACTGGGTCCTCTATATCGATCCCGATTACCAGCACGCCGTCATCGGCCAGCCCTCAAGGAGCTACCTCTGGGTACGTATGATGAATAATTGGCATGAAGCTAAGAGAGATTTTAGTATTTGACTCTATGTGGGGTGGTGTAGATACTGAGCAGGACGGCTCACGTGGAGGAAGAGACGTACAAGCAACTGGTGGAGAAAGCGGTGGGAGAAGGGTACGACGTCAGCAAACTTCACAAGACCCCTCAGAGTGACGCACCACCTGAGTCCGACGCTGCCCCCGACGACACCAAGGGCGTTTGGTGGCTCAAATCTATCTTCGGCAAGTGAACACAGAACACACCTTTCCATCACCTCCTTGTAACTCCTTTGTCTGTGTAATATACCACCATCCTTTGTTTCTACTCTAGTAATCAACGTTGTGTCTGTTTTCAACATTTCAGACTCTTTTGCATGAGTGACAAGAGTTTTGTATTACCATAAGAAGAAAACACATACATAATCAATCAAATAATCTTGGCAAAAGACAAATTGAAATCTGGTAGTGACAATTTATGTAGTTGGGGATAACAAACCACACGACTCGAGTCTTATGGAATTTCAAAGTGCATGCAAACTACAGACACGGAAATCATCATATATTAAAAAGAAGAACAGTCTCGCCCCCAGCAAAAGTTTGGTCGACTTTTATATATACCCAGGACACATCCAGAGTTGCAGCTCACAGAATAGTACAGCACGAATTCGTTTTCTTCGCTTGCTTGTAGAACATCTGTTTCACCCAAAACACAACACTCAGTTTCTCATGTCAGAATCATCCTAACACCACTATTTATCTACTCCTAAGGATAACAGGCAACAGTTCCTCTATTCATCTACAACACTCTCTTCTAAAGCTTGCTCATATGCTCTTCGACTGTATTGAGTTCCCCGTATTTCAGAGACCGAGACAGGGAAAACGAAAGAGAGTGTTGTTACCTGCGATGCCATGCTCAAATCTGAGCTCTTCTCCACTAGGCTGTCCAGCTTCTCACCACGGGCTAGAACACTATCAATGGTTTTATGCTGTAATACACAACAAATATTCAGTTTTTGGGAGACACTAAACATCAATCGTATCAGTAATTGAACTCATTGACAGAAGAGACAGCATTTATGTATAAAAGTATTTCTGCAAGAGTCTAGAAGGAAGGACCGGAGACTGTACTCACAAGAATAATCTTGGTCTCATCCAACTCCCTCTGGATTTTCAACAGCTTATCCGCCTCTGCTGGGTCCTGACGATTACAAATACGAGGCAACAACGAAAACACTTCAGATCAGATCAGTCAAAATCCACAATCAACTTGGTCATAAACTAATGATGGGATGATAAAATTAGTTCAAGAGGAATCATTTGATTGGGGTTTCTATGTCCACACAACTGAGCCTATACCTACAGTTTTTTTCACAAGGTTTCTCGAGCAAAAGAGTGAACACAGTTGCACAAGTGAATAACCTGAAATTTGGTTAAAGCTTCGGCTAAGTATGGCCAGGGCTGACTGGAGTCTTCTTTTGCAGACCTCCATGTCTCACCAAAACTCTTCTGGTACTCATCTAGGACCTGAGAAACAATCGAATGTCAAACAAAACGAAACCTTTCTTCCCAACGAGAACGTAAATGTGGATTATATAACCAGGAGACCCAAAATGATACCTGATTGAGAAGAGAAAAGGCACTTCGAACAGGATAATGATCGTCCATGAACCCGACCGCGCAAAGGCCATTTCTATTGTAAGCGTGAACCTTGTACTCTGTATCAAAAACAGAAACACGAACCCTAATTACCCCCAAAATCGACGAAAACAGCAAAACGTGAAATTACAACGAGGGAAAGATCTAGAATTCGAAGAGGTGAGAAAACAATCGCACATCCTATTTCACAAAAGTTTGGAAAATCGAAAAGCCGATCCGAGTCTGCAGATATCGAATTAAAAAAAAAAACCAAAGAGGCATAGATCCGAGAGAATCAAAGACTGAAACAATCGATCTGTAAGGTAGAAGAAGCAGGAGAAGAAGGAGAACCTTCGTGCTGAACGGATTGGCGCTGGGAAGGAGGTGTTCGGCTGGCGACAGTACGGCCGACAAAGACGACGAACTCCTTGACGCTAGATCGCTGGAAATAGCCAAAGTGAGAGACGTCGGAAGCGTTGGCGAGGATGACGGGATCGGAAGTTTCGGGAGCGCACTTGAGAACAAGCAAGGCGGTGATCTTCATAGCTGCGGTGGATCAAGGTTGCGTGAGAAGGAAGCGAGGAGGAGGAGGAGGAGGAGAAGAGGCGTTGGGACCTGGAGAAACTTAAGTCCGGTGGTAAAAAGGCAAAAGCTTTGAGGTGTCGAACCAGACGCCAATCTCATCATATTCATTATATATACTCTCTTTTTATACGCCTATATATTTGAGAATCATATTCTATAATATATCATCCATTTTCTAACTATATGACAAATGAATATTAGTCCAAAGTCCAAAACAATTAAATTTTCAAAACTGAGGGGTTGATACATAAATTTGGAATGTATAATAAAAACATAAAAATCTGGGAAAAACAAGAAAAGCGGTTAAGAAGGGAATGGAGGGGAAAAAGAGATAAAAATAGGGAGGGAGTAAATGGCCATAAATGGGATTTTGAAGCAAGTTACTTTTTTTACCCATTAATTAACCTTTTTGTTTGACCATCTCTTCTTTGCTTCTTTTCCTTTCTCAAAAACATAATAAACAGAGGAGAACAAGCAGAAGAGGGGGGATTAATGTTCTTGTGAGATCTCTCTTTCACTTTTTTTTTGTTTTGTTTTTCTTACTAAAATGTATGTAGATTCTCTTTATTGTAAATGTATTTGACTTTGCATTGTACACACGTACACACAACATGCAGGATCAATAAAAATAAATAAAGATGCTGAGGTTTTTCATCCTTTTCTCCTTTTTCATACACTCTTGTGTTGCGGCTCCCAAAACTCCTGCTGCTTCCGCTGCTGTTCCTGCCAAGAAATGGCTCACCCTTAACGGTATGTATCGATCCTTTTACACAAAGCCATGCTTGACTTGTTAAAAACCTTAGGTCCCATATTTTCTTAATGGGTTCTCATTTCCATAAAATCATTTGGTTTTAAATAAACATTTCTTCATTTGTCTTTCAGGACAAGAGCTTGAAACATGTATTTTAAATTGCCTTAAATCTTTTTTGATCGTAGGCACAACATTGGTTTTACATAACATGTTTTTTTTGTTTCTTGGTGGTTTAAGTCATGAATCTGCGCATATGATAATATTACATAACCATGCTACATTTTCTTTATTTGTCTTTCAGGACAAGAGCCTGCGGTTGTGGCCAGAGGTGGCTTTTCAGGACTTTTCCCCGAGTCAAGCGCCTCTGCAAATGACTTGGCTATCAGCACCAGCTCGCCTGGCCTTACAATGTTGTGCAACCTTCAGATGACTAAAGACGGTGTGGGCATTTGCTTGTCTGATATCAGGCTTGACAATGCAACCACCATCTCCACGCTCTTCCCCAAAGCCCAAAAGACCTACACGGTCAATGGCGAGGACCTTAAGGGCTGGTTTGCCCTTGACTACTCTGCCGACACCATCTTCTCCAATGTCTCATGTATGTCTTTTTCTATTTTCCATGCTTCCCACCATTATTACCACACAGTTTTCATGTTTAGTATTATTGAGCAGTGGTCCAAAACATCTTCTCTCGGCCTAGCATCTTTGACGGCCAGATGCCGGTTTCTGCTGTGGAAGACGTCCTTGGAACCAAGCCGCCCAAGTTCTGGTTGAGCGTTCAGGTTTCTCTTCTTACTCTATTTTAGAATCTGATAAACCAATTAATGGAGGGTTCTTGTTTATTAATAAAAAAAAAAAACAAATACAAATGTGCAGTATGACACCTTCTACATGGAACACAAGCTGAGCGCAGCTGAGTACCTGAGAACCTTAGGATTGCGCGGCATTAGTGTCATTTCATCTCCGGAGATCGGTTTTTTGAAGAGCATTGGGATGGATGCAGGCAGGGCCAAGACAAAGCTCATATTTGAGTTCAAAGACCCTGAGGCAATGGAGCCCACCACCAACAAGAAGTACAGCGAGATTCTGCAGAACCTCGCAGCCATCAAGGCCTTTGCTTCAGGCATTGTTGTCCCTAAAGACTACATTTGGCCCCTTGACACAGCTAAGTACCTAAAGCCCGCCTCCACCATTGTGGCTGATGCTCACAAAGCTGGTCTAGAGGTCTACGCTTCTGGATTTGCCAATGACATGCAGACCAGCTTCAACTACAGCTATGATCCTTCCGCTGAGTATCTCCAGTTTGTGGACAATGGCCAGTTCTCTGTTGATGGCGTCATCACCGATTTCCCGCCAACAGCATCACAAGCCATCTGTGAGATAACTACTTGCTATCTATATGTCTCCTCAATGATTTGATTAATAGGAGAAGCTCATGATGTATATGTATTTTTGCAGCTTGCTTTTCTCACCAAAAGGGAAATCTCCCCAAAGCAGGGCATGCGTTGGTCATAACTCACAATGGAGCAAGTGGAGATTATCCAGGCTGCACCGATCTGGCTTATCAAAAGGCAGTTGATGATGGAGCAGATGTGATCGACTGTTCTGTTCAGATGTCCAAAGATGGAATGGCTTTCTGCCTTGACTCTGCAGACCTCACAGCAAACACCAATGCCATGACCACTTTCATGTCTCGAGCCACCAGCGTTCCTGAGATCCAGCCTACCAATGCCATTTTCTCTTTTGATCTCACCTGGGCCGAGATCCAGTCTCTAAAGCGTAAGCAACTAGTTTCTTTTCTAAAGATTTATGAAACCATCTTATTCTCATCAGCCAAGTCACTGAGAGATTCCAAATGTCTTTGTCTCCAGCTCAAATCCAGAGTCCCTTCTCAGCTTCTGGGGGATTCCAGAGAAACCCAGCAAACAAGAATGCCGGGAAGTTCATGACTCTCGCTGACTTCCTTGAGTTCGGCAAAGCAAAGGCAGTCACCGGAGTTCTAATCAACATTGAGGCAAGCTTCCTTTTAATTCTCAAATGCTCCTTAACTCACTCAAAAGATCTCCACTAACGCCTTGCTTGTTGACAGAACGCTGCTTATTTAGCATCAAAGAAAGGTTTAGGAATCGTAGATGCGGTCAAGTCCGCTGTCACTAATTCGACATTGGACAAGCAATCAACCCAAAAGGTTTTGATTCAGTCAGACGACAGTTCTGTTCTGTCCAGTTTTGAGGCTGTCCCTCCGTACACTAGAGTCTTGAGCATTGGCAAGGAAATCGGAGATGCTCCCAAGCCATCTGTTGAAGAAATCAAGAAGCATGCAGATGCTGTCAATCTCAAGAGAAGTTCCCTCGTCACCATCTCCCAAAGCTTTGCCACAGGGAAGACCAACGTGGTGGAGGAAATGCACAAGGGAAATATCTCTGTCTACGTCTCAGTGCTAAGAAACGAGTTCGTCTCCATAGCGTTTGACTACTTCTCCGATCCTACGATAGAGCTTGCCACATTCATTGCAGGAAATGGCGTTGATGGAGTCATCACAGAGTTCCCTGCCACTGCTACCAGATACTTGAGTAAGTTTATATCTCTACAAAATCATGAAAGAGCAATATATACACATAATAAATATTATCTGTAATTTAATGTAAACGCAGGGAGTCCATGCTCGGATTTGAACAAAAACCAGCCCTATGCCATCTTGCCTGCAGAGGCCGGCGCTCTACTTTCCGTGGCAGAAAAGGAAGCGCAACCACCAGCTAGTGCCCCGAACCCACCTCTTGACACCAAAGACGTGATTGATCCGCCTCTGCCTCCGGTTGCAAAGTTGGCCTCCACCAATGCAACTGGAGAAGCTCCGCCACATGGCCCTGCTCGTTCAGGCGCAGTTGCCACCGCTGCTAATCTCGGCCTTTCTTTGTTGGCGATGCTGGCCTTGGGACTACTCTGTAATATCTAAGAAAGATTGATCAACACTGTATAACTTCATAGGTTGTATAATATGTTCGCCCTCTGCATCTTCAAAACTAACACAATTTGAGTTATCTATGTTTTATTCATGTTAACCAAAATATGCATCAAACTCTGTTTTGTTGTTATAGATCAAACATCAAAGCTCTAAAGAAACTTTGTTTGTTTGTCATAGAGAATGTTTGATTTCGGTAGAGATTTTGAATCTTGATAATCGCTTATATTCTATTTTAAAAACTTCTCCACGAAGCTGTCTCTAGTTTCATTGTTGTTGCTCTCTCGACATAGTAAACGTTGCAAAAAGGCAAAACACCAATGATAATGTCATCAAAGGTCGTTTACAGAAGAAGAGATAATTACTACTGTATATATAATACAGTGCCGTTTAGCGTTTTTAAGATAACATCGTTCTCTAACGAGGCGCTTAGTATGAGAGCAAAACTAAAAGACCAATAATAATAATCTTTGACAAAAGTTACATTAACTACTACAAGAGTATTTCTCTTTTAAGGTCATCCTTATGCGTATTCTCTCCCTATTCTTACACAACATAGCTCATCCTCCCACACACACTCTCCCTACACTCCTAATTAATCTTCATTGAACTTGATCCTCCATCTCCTTATCGCCACAAATGCTCCGTGGGATGAGAGAATCTCACATGTCATCCGTTTTAAGTATAGAAAGTTACATGGAGCATCAAACTATCCCTCAAATCCAGCCAAAAAAAAAGAGAGCCGAGCCAGTTCCTCGCTTTTTATTTCAACTCCAGTTTTATGACTCTCAGCTACTTGTCCACCGTCTTTTCCTTGCTGGCCGCTCTGCTTTCACCTCTGAATCCACATGGCCTTCAATTTTCGCAGAGGGCACCGTCTCAGACTCCGTTTTCTTTACCCCTGTGGTGTCTTTGTCTTTCTCCGTGGGCATTGGAAGCTTGAACCTTTCACTGCGTTTCTTGAGTTTCTCAACCGTGTCCAAGTGCCGGTCTCCTGCTCCCTTCTCGCTTCCATCTTTCGTCTCTGCAAGGTCATGACCACTCTTCTCTTCAGTTACATCCCGGTTCTTATGAACAGGTTCGCTAATTCGGCCATTGGTGCTTTTTTCCTTCTCTTGAAGTTTTGAAGAAGTAGATGATGGCTTGACAGTGAGAGTATCATCTCTCTCTTTGTGGCTTGCCCAACGCTCCAATTTCGTGCGTCCTCTCTTTGAATCTTGTAGCTCATCTCCAGAGGAAGTATTTTCCTTGTGTCTTTTGTTGGCGTTAGGCTGCTGTGGGATCTCACTCCTGTAATTTCTTACTTCGTTGGTTCCTTTTGAGCCCTGAAAGGCAATAAAGAAACATCAGCACTCTCAGTACTGTATTAAATGCGACCAAACCATAGGATATATTAGGTAAGATTGGTAACGGAACAAAAAAAACTGTATATATTGCATTCACGATAACCATGCTACGTTTTAGTTTGCAAAACTTGGATGAGATTTATAAAAAATATATTCATAGGCTGATGGAGCATACTGTCACTTCGGAATTGCCATTTTGTTCTCCTTGCTTGCTCCTCATTGAATCTGTGCCCTCTCGCTGTTCTTTTATCTTTCGTCTAGAATCTTTATGTTTTCTGTCTTGCAATCTCTGGCCATCCAAAGAATCAGTAAGCTTGTCACTTTTAGCACCTGTCCTCTCCTGCCTTTGTTTTTTCTCATTGTTAACAATGTCCTCTGTGCGTGCAGAGAAGTCTTCGTGTCCTCTATGATGGGAGGAACCTTCTTCACCAGGGTATTCCCTTCTCTTCGTCTGTTTAGTATGCCTTGTTGTATCTTTGGTGAGATGCTCATCCTTCATCCTCGATGATTGGTCTTCTGAACCTCTACGGCCCCTTGCAGCCACCTGCCTCTCTCTTCCTCGTGCTGATAAACCATCGTCGTGAGTTAGTTTCAATTTATCCAAATCCTCACGTTCTCTCAACCTCTCGTTTCCATCTCTCTGCATATAGAAATCATCTCTGTGCCTGAGAGAACCGTGGTCGTCAAAATCATCTCTGATTTTATATTGGACATCTCTCTTTTGATGGTCCAACCTATCACCTCGTTCTCGTTTCAGGCGGCTGATTGATTCTCTTTGGCCATATGAGATTTCATTCTTTTCAGAGCGGTTTCTTCTCATGTAATCTTCATCCTTCCTCCTCTTGCTGTTGTGATCATCCAGTTCGTAACTATTTCTCAAACCACCATCATCCAAATGCTTTCTTGAAGGAACATGGTCATCTTTGATGCGTATTTCACTCTCACGCATTTTACCCCTCTGCCTAGAGGCCAGATCATCTTCACGATCCCTTTTTCTAGACCCTTCATCCCCACCTCTTCTACTGAATGGGTCATCCTCTTTCCTGCGCCAGAACCCCCCATCAACATCTCGCTCTTTCCTTTTGTCAAGATCCTCGCCGGTTGCTACTGAGTAAATATGGCAGGAATCAACCTCCATATGAGAATAGTACTCCCTCCCACCTTTGCTCGCCGCTCGAGTTCTTTCCATTTCTTTCCCTCTGTCTTGATTCTTTCTGCTCTGATGCGGTGCATTGTTATCATGCTGTTTCTTATTGCTAGCTGGTCGAGCAGAATTCTTATCTTGAATAACTTCCTCTTCTGCACCATCCTTCAATTGCTGATAATCTCTGTGACTTCCAGATCTTGCTTTGCTGCTTTCACTACTTCTCTCTGTCTTTGATTCCCCTCCATCATCTTCTTGACCTGCCGACTGAGGGACTGCAGAACTCATTTTATTCTCCGGTTCCATCTCAGCATCTTTGCCAGCTTCACCTCCCACATCTTCACGATCAACACTTGATGACCTTGTGCCTCTGTCTCCAACAGGAGACGACGAACGAAAACTCTGGTCACTATCCGTGCTTCTAGAGATCTCATCGTCTTGCTTTTTGAGAAGCCTTTTACGTGGCTCATCCTGGGCAGGACTTTGTTCAGCAGATTCCGTGTCTGGTCTCCTGCTGTTAACATACGCAGTCTCAACTGCAACATTTCCTCCAGGAAGGCTACTGTCAGCTTGTTCTGCGCCATTTTCACCAGAGGGCTCATCCTCGTGCGAATCTTCACATACAATCTGGCAACAAAATAAATTCTAGTTAGTAGCAATCACAAGATCCTCACCAGTAAAACCAAAATCAATAGAGATTTGAGGCATGTTTGACCTCAATGATAGCATCTAGATCACGCATTCTTGGAGCACGTGTATCAATGGATGCCATACGCTCACCAGAACCAGTCTCCACAGGTATTGGTCTTCCAGGGGGCTGAAAGGGTGAAAACAAATCAACCATATTCTCAAATTTTAGAAACTAACAAGAAAAATGTACAACCACAATATTCCAGTCCTGATATACAGAATAGTGAGCCACATGTAGATAATGCAACATTAAATGAGAGCAAATGCAGGAGGAAACATACTAGTGAAGGTCGAACTTGAGCTGGTACTTTAGCTGAATCACCTTGAGCCGTCTCTGGCTTCACTAAATTTGAAGAGTCAACAGGTACACCCTGCGTCCCTGTTGCTGCAACTAACTCTGGGGGCAGATCTGGATCATAACCCTGCCATTGTACAAGAGAATGATTAGGCATGCAATGTCTCCCCTTTGTATATGATGCTGATGACAAAATGTTGTCCACCTGCGATGAATATTAAGAGCTCTTAAATGCCACAATATAAGCCAAGATCCACTTTACCTGATCTGTTCTACCACTTTCATAAACACGTATTCTGCTTTGCATCGTAGTCTCTATACGGTGTTGATCCTGTATGGAATTGAAAGATGTTCCTCTTAGTACTCTTTATTCCGCTGAAATAAAGATAGGAATCACAGTAATTAATTACCAGCTGTTTGCAGTAATCTTTCCAGCTCTCCTCATTCAGTCCAAAGTTGAAGTAGTCTGTGATATCAACTCCCTGATATCTCCAGGGCTTTTCCTCAAAAGTTTCAATGTCGATCTCAAATATAGTCCTAAAAATACGAAAGAGTAGACATCAAATAAAAGAACCACAGGTCTGTACTTGGTACTTACAATCAGATGTCAAACGACAAACAATTTAAAAAAGATTGATATGCATATGTAATGACATGAGCCTTGAAAAAAAAAAGTTACTTGTGAGAGGGAAGAGTAAAGTCCAGTCCCCGCCCTGCTGTATTACCAGCCCAAGTCTGGTGGAAGCCTTTCTGTGTAGCAGAAGCATTCCTCATTGCCATTGGACGCCAATCTCCTCTGCCACGACCAGGCATAGGACCAAGGTTTGCGGGTGGACGAACTTGACCTGAGGAAGTCCCACCAGCAGATGGAGCTCCAGGCATGGGGGCTGCCCCTGGTCTTACATACTGCAAGAGAAAGACAATTGTGTCAAGTAGACCAATACCATCCATATTTTGTCTCAGTGTGAATACTCGTAAATTTGGTATGACTAGTTCAAACGAAAGTATGAATTGGCTTCATAAAGTTAGTTAAAGGTCCCAAGAGATTATTATTCTTCTCACAGTCCTCTTCAATTGCTAAAGTTAGATTTTAACATAACTCCCGGACAGCGTAATTTGTGGTGGCATAGGATTGCGAAATACGAAGAGAGGAAAGTGATTAGGTTCTCATCTCCCTTTTCACATTCACACTCTTAAAAAGAAAATTCAGAAGCAGCTAAGAATAAAAGAGATGGTGTGTTAAACTCCAATTTTTCTGATTAACATACTCTGCAATTGCATTCAGGTTGAAGTACAAGTACAAAGGAGATATGCACTCAGAAATTATGAAATATAAAACGGGGTCACGACAAGAACCCCGGCCACTAAGAAATCTAGCTAGTGACAACAGTGTTGCATTGACACTGACCTTAAACTGAGAATGAAACGGATGATACCCAAGACTGCTATACCCAGCTTTGGGCGGGCCAATTGAACCTCCTGGTCCAGTCCCCTTCCCGGCCTCTCCTCCGTCTTTGCCATCTCCGTCGACCGCTTGCAGACCATCTTCTCCCCACAGCTGCTCCTCCATAGGTTGATTTGGATCCGCGTCGGCCACTATCACAAGTGGTTCTTCATCATCGTCGTCGTCGTCATCTTCGTTGTCTCCCATCCTTAATCTTCTGTCAGCTCCGATCATGGCGTTGCGGCTGCTGTCATTCAACACTATCTGCAGATCGTCTTCACTGTCGCTATCCCAATCGTCTCCTTCTTTTTGTCCTCCGTATCCTCCAGCGCCACCCTGCTCAATTGCTGTCGTATCTCGCGGAACACCGCGATCTGTGGCCAAACCGGGAAGCGCTCCAGCTCCGGAAGCGGACACGAAGAGTCCGGGAATCGCAGGTGTGGAATCGGCATCGGGTTCTTCGATATCAAAGCTCATGTCCTTGTCGTCGCCGTCGCCGCCACCATCGCCAATTGCTTGGCGATTCGCGACGTGAGAGAGAGCGATGGATAATTTGGAGGCATCGGTGTCAGAAACCCTAGAGACGGGAGCTGAATTAGCATCTGCTCCGTCTTGATCCTGGGATCGAAGGTTGAGGTCGATCGAACGGTGAGGAAGCGGAAGCGGAGGAGGAGGAGGAGGAAGAACAGCGGGAGGCTGGAAAGGCTGAAGGACGTCGGAATACAGATCTCCGAACTCATCGTCTTCGTCCATTGGAGTGAGAGATTGGAGGAAGAACGGCCGATTCGAAAGAAGCACGAGAAAGAGAGAGAGAGACGGTGAAGCTGAGGGCTTCTTCTCAAGTCTCGGCCCCTTTTTATCATCACTAGGGCCTAATTTATATTTGCCCAAACCAAATCGAATCAGGACTAATCAAATTAAAAATTAAAGTTAAAATTAAATAAAAATAGAAAATATACTCTTTTGTTCATTCATCAGACCAAAGACAAACCAAGCTGAAATAAACCGCTGCATCTCCAGATTTTTTCCCGGAAAAGCGTGATTTCCCCAGAAAACAGAAAAGATTCTGCGTTTAGGGTTCTGGGTAGCCGGTCCACACCTGAAAACCGAAGAAGACCAGCGAAGATGATCGGAGTCGGGAAAATGAAGCAGTACTCTAATGTCCTTGACAAGCCCCTAAGCAAAGGCAAACAAGAGGTTTTTCTCGCTCCCTAGATCCACTTTCCGGTTTCAATTTTTGCACATTTGCTCAGAAAAATCTCGTCTTAGAAAATTTTGACACTGAAATCGAGTGTGGAAAGTGAGAACATTGAATCGATTTGGATCCGGATCTAATAGTTCTGAAATCTCTCGGCTTTCGATCGTCTGCTTTGATCTCTTTGATTCAATTCCGAAAATTTAGTCGCTTTTGAAACTCTACGTGAATCGCAGGTGAGCTTAACCGCATTTTCTTTCTTATTCTCGGAGCTCGTTCAGTACAATCAAACCCAGGTTGACAATATTGCTGAACTTGAAAGAAGGTGAGATGATTAGTTTCGAAGAACAACATTTGATTTTGTTTTCGTAGTCTGAATCATTCACATTTTAACAAAGTGTTTTGTTCTTGATAATATGTCTCTCAGGCTCGAGGATGCTGGGTATGCAGTTGGAGCTCGAGTTCTGGAGCTTCTTTGCAACCGAGAGAAGGTACGTTTACTGTAACTTGTATGCATTGCCTATAAGACAATTCTTTCTTATAAGTTTTGCTCATGAAATAGCAACGCAGAGTCTCTTTTTGTTTGAATGAATGTATCGTCTTATTGTTTCAGGGAAACCGAAGAGAGACACGGTTACTCGGGATTCTGTCTTTCGTCCACAGCACCGTGTGGAAGGTGTTGTTTGGAAAGGTGAGTGGTGATTTCAAATTGAATTAGTTGCCTTAAAGAGTCTTTCTATGGACATGCCTGTTTCTGGATCCTACCTAACTCGCCCTTAACGAACATGCCATAGATTGCTGATTCGCTTGAAAAAGGAACAGAGCATGAAGATGAGTACATGATCAGCGAAAAGGAGCTTCTCGTGAACAGGTTTAGATTGCTCCAGCTCTTTCCATAAACACTAGAGATAAAGGCAATTGTTTCAAATCAAGAGAACTGATGAAACAAATGTGCAAAATTGTAGGTTCATATCGATTCCAAAGGACATGGGAACATTCAACTGCGGTGCGTTTGTTGCCGGTATAGTGAAGGTGAGTGCTATCTTTGGCATATTCATGAGTACAGTTTTAAAATATCAATGGTTTACGAAAGGGAAAAATGAGACAGCCACCATGTCCTCTTTGCAGGGAGTTCTGGATAACGCAGGGTTTCCTGCTGTGGTAACGGCTCATTTTGTACCCATTGAAGGACAACAACGTCCTCGTACTACCATTTTGATCAAGTTTGCTGATGAGGTTAATGCCTACATCACTCTATTTCATTCTCTTTTCCTCAAGCTTTGGGACAAAACCTTGACCTTTGACACTTGTTCTGCCTTCTTCCACCCATTCTGCAACAGGTGCTTAAAAGAGAGGCACGGCTAAGCCAATGAAAGCATGTTTTGGCTTAATGTGAACTGCTTGTGCAAATCTGCCTGTTTGTTTTTTGGATAACTTATATAACATTTGAATTGAGCTGCAAAGCCCTTGTCCGAGCATTGATGTAAACTACATGAATACCCTCTCGTTACGATTGCAGCTGATAATACAACACTTTCTATATTTAGCACAGTGGATGCAGACACGATTATGGCAATTGCGAAAGCAAAGAGAAACATGGTATTATCCAGTAGAAAATTACAAAAGCATATTAATTGATATAATATCAAATATAATCAGTTTCCAAATTACAAAGCAAAAGCAGGTAAACAACATGTGTCCAACAAATCAATTCCTGCCGAGAGGGAGTGACCTGCATGAGTAAGTCTCCCTGAAATCAGTCTTCTTCTTGGAGGAAGTAAAGAGAGAAGCATACACTTCCTTGGTAGCATTCACCGGCACTGCATCCCCAGCCTTGAATTTCTTCACAGTGATGCCATTGCCATTGCCATTACCATTCACAGCATCCATCTGTCTCTTTGCGACCTTTGCTCCTGTATCAGCCACCACGGTAACACCGTTTTTGCTCTTCTTCGAGACGCCTTTCTTCTCTCTCAGCTTTGCTTTCTCCTCCTCCATCATCTCCCTCAACAAACCCACCTCCTCCTCTGTACCGTTGATCACAATCTTATCAGTCTCTCTGACATCCGCGTGACACACCAAACACGAAGAAGACTTCACTTCCTTCAACGCCTTTGCGCTCATCACGTGTCCGCATCCCCTCAGAGCGAAAAACTTGTACTTTCCGTTGAATTCAAGCCCTGAGACCGGGCACTGAAACTGGGCACTGGTCGTATCTTGCGTTGATCCATCGGAACCAGCGACTGGCGTCAGCTTGATGTTCACCATATCTTTCAGACCCTTGATGTACGAGAACTGTTTGGGCAGCTTCTTAGATAACAAAGCGTTTACCAAAGCTTCTTTGTTGAACAGATTCCCGAGGAGATCAATCACACAGGGCTCGGCCAAGGGCTCGTTGGACAAAGCGCAGTTTAGCCATTTGGAGAGCCTCTGCTCATTCGGATCGACCTTGTCGGGTTTCTTCTCCGCGTACATCTTGAGGTAGCAATCGCGAGACTCGGCTCCCGTCGCACCGCCATCTCCTCCACCTCCACGGAGGCGAGGGTAAAGAGCGAGCATGGAGACGGAAGGCAGCTTAGATACTTGAATCCGTGTAGAGCCATTCAAGAGCTTCCCATCCAGAGCAACGCAGAAATTCGATAACGATATACGCTGCGACGATTCAATTAGGGATGTGAGACCGGGAAGAGTTAATACAGATTGCGAAGGATCCAACTGCAGAGCGACGGCTCGTTGACAATACGGAGATTTAACGAAGATCTGACGCCGGCTATGCATCGTGGCGGAGCAATACGAAGAGCACTAGGTTTCCGATCAATTTTGGTCAGTGATTAGATATTTGGGGGTCGAGGAGAGAGAAAGGTGAAAAAGGAATTGTCGATCAAAGCGTGTGTATTTATGGAGTGGACCGACTTAACAATGAAGTGGGCCAGTTTCAATTTGGTCATTGGGCCTGACATTGTATAGAAATTACAAAAACCTAAAACCTTAACAGATCAAAACGTGCGTTTCTCTCTCTTGTAGTGAACGAGTTGAGTTGTAATTTCTGATTTTATTATAGTATTTGGATTTGCATAAATTTCTTTTTAAAATAAGATTAGACGCGAAATTCGGAATATTTTTAATCATTCGAAGGGGCATAATGTTTACCTGACACGACAATTAAAAAGATTGAAGAAAGTGAAACAAAAATAAATGTTGTACACAGATTCGAATAGATCAAGAATTGGCTTTTAGGATGATTATTAACAAGAAAAACAAATATACAAAGAGGCCGGCCACGAACGACTTTTGTGAGATAATACTTGGGAGATTCGAAGCTCATATTAATATTCCATATACTTATGGGAGTAAATATTAAAAGAGGATAATGAAACGGCCAGTAAATTAAAAAAATTAGAAATCAAAACTTTTAAAAAATAATAAAAATGAGGTTAAAAATGCGGGAGGAAGCAAATAACGAAGACAGAAGACAGAAGAAGAAGAAGAAGAGATGGAAAATGGTAATGGAGAAGGAAAGGGAGAGTTCATAAACCAAAACAATAATGACTTCTTCCTTGATTCCATGTCAATGCTCTCCTCTCTCCCTCCTTGCTGGGACTCATCTCTTCCTCCTCCTCCTCCTCCTCCGCCGCATTCTCTCTTCCACGCTCTCACCGTCGACGCCCCCTTCCCCGACCAGTTCCATCACCCTCAGGCACTGAAACTATCATCTTACATCATAACCTCAATATATAAAAATGTTTCTGATTTCTCACATCTTTTGTCGTTGTTTTTGTCAATGCAGGAGTCAGGTGGTCCAACAATTGGGAGCCAAGATGGGTTGCCAGCACAAGGGACAGTCTCGACCACGAGTGCACCTGTGGTTCGCCAAAAGCCAAGGGTCCGAGCCAGGAGAGGCCAAGCCACCGATCCTCACAGCATCGCTGAGCGGGTATCTCCATTATTCAACCTCCTCCATCATCTCCTCTGTTATCTTTTGTGTGTTTCTGATTGAATTATGTTGTATGGTTTTGCGCAGCTGAGAAGGGAACGCATTGCGGAGCGTATGAAGTCTCTCCAAGAACTGGTTCCCAACACCAACAAGGTACTTAAATACTTTCATGTAATCTAACTCTTGTTCTGGATCTGCGTAATAACAGAATTGGTTGACGCAGACGGATAAGGCATCGATGCTGGACGAGATCATCGAGTATGTTAGATTCCTTCAGCTTCAAGTCAAGGTACTAAGCATGAGCAGATTGGGAGGTGTAGGTGCAGCTGGTCCACGCCTCAATGGTCTCACCTCCGAGGTTAGTTTATTAGTCCCTTAATGACTCCTTTAGATAAAGTAGCATCAGCAACAATCATCATCCTCATCATCATGGTTTTTGGTAATGTAGGCAGGAGGACGGCTCAACGCACCCTCAGGACCGTGCAGTGGCGTAAACGGGAACGGAAACGCAGCGGGATCATCCAGTGAGAGCCTAAGGACAACGGAACAGAGGGTTGCAAAACTGATGGAGGAAGACATGGGATCAGCAATGCAGTATCTTCAAGGGAAAGGGCTTTGTCTAATGCCCATCTCTCTCGCAACTGCGATATCATCTTCATCTACCCACTCACGTGGAGCTCTCTTCAACCCCACATCCATTGCCGTCGCAGCAGCAGAGGATGCAAATGTAGCAGTAGCAGCGGCTGCAGCTGCACCTGAAGCTTCCTCTTCTATGGATGATGTATCAGCCTCCAAGGCCTGAACTATAGGATCTCTCATGTGTTTCACTTTCTGACTTTTTAAGTCAAACAACTATATCTCTTTATCTATTTACTATTTTCACTGCTAAGCATTAAATAATATAAAATAATTTACAACAAAGAACATAACCGACAAGACAGAAACATTCGTATACGTATACCGTATACGTGTGTGGGTGTAGATACAGCACAGAGGTGGTGGGACCTGTAACTAAGAGACATGCGTCCCACTACTTCCCCAAATCGCTTTGTGTCAACGCTGTGCTATTGTTTGGTGACTTTGGTCAATCGAATGTAACCGGAACAAATTATATCTAGGCCAAATGCATTAACCGGCCCGGCTATTGGATACCATGGGTGACAATAGGACTTATCCATTACAGGCAGACGAAGATATACATACACTCCTTAATTTCCTTTTCAAGAACACTGAGGAACAAACCATGTCTATGACTCACTGCTTCTGTAACTGATTAACCAAATAATCATTCTACACAGCATTTTGTATACTAAATGCTTGCAGATTAATCAACAAACGTTGTGGGCAATAAACATAATGGCAAAGAATCAAGTTCTTGAAAAATGCATCCTTTATTCCAATGTTGTAGACTTACAGCTCAAAATAAAGACAAGACTTTTAGGAAAGCTATAAAACAAGTCAAATAACTCCTATAAAACAATGGCCATTGTTATCTTCCTCAACACAAAGTCCTACAGACCTGACATAGACAAACAGAAAAACAACCCCGAATCAGGAAACTTTTGATGTGACCTACTCAAATAGAAGGTAAATAATGGCGAGGACACAGAACACTAAGGAAGTGTGCAGTTAAAGAATCCAGATTAAGGTCAAACAAATATAGAGTGTTGTTGAGAACGAGGGAGGTACCATAAAAGGAAAGAATTTACGCGGGAGGGGAAGGCTTGAAAGTGTAAGGCTGAGGGAGTGACATTGGACCTTTCCTCTCGTCTCCATCATCCAACAGCCTTTGGACTCTCTTGTTCCGGCAATACTCCCTATCGAAATGTTTCACCTACGTTTTTTTTTTCATTCGTCCCATTAGATCACACACCCAAATAGGATTAAGCAAATATAGAAACGCAAAGATGTAAACTTGAACAGAACATACCCATGAGGAGCGGCAGCTTTTGACGAACTCGGTTCGAGAATTGCTGCACTCCTTAGGGTAGAGAAGACCTACGGACGCGATTTCAGTGGGTTTCTTTCCAGATTCCTTTTCCAGACAAGAGTAAAAAGCATCTCTGGCCTGCAATTTTAGTGATCAGTCCAAAGATTACTAGATTATTAAAATCACACCAATAGCAATCAGTCGCGAGTAATCACAAAGAGGAAATCATAGAGAATCGGAGAACGACCTTGTAGCAAGCATCTCTAGATTTCAGAAGAACATCCTCGTGAATCTGATTAGGGTTCGACGGAGCATAAGCATCGAGCACCATGTCTACCGATGACGGCGAGAGAGGGAGAGAGAGAAGCAAGAGCCGGTCGACACCTTACCAAAAAGAAACAATAAATCTTTCCTCTGTTCATAAATAGACGGCCCGTTTCGGCCCAACAAATCAGTCGGTTAATTATACACACATAGTTGAAACAAGAAGAAGCGTTGAACAACTTTAACAAAATTCGTATATTCAAAGAACCAGACATGACACTCAAACATTAGTTTAAGTCTTTTGCTTTGCTTTGAGAATACATTCATAATCAAAATTCAATTACATAAGCTATCTGTTCTTCCTCAAGTCTAAAGTGTTACAACATCCATCATTCTCCTTCATCCGTGACTTGCTTCTTGAGCTGCTCCAACCCAAAGTTCTCTTCTGGCTGCTTCTTCCACAGGTAGTTAGCAGCCTCTATCCACCCTCTATGCACCACAAACTTCTTCTCTCTTATAGCCCATCGCACTTTCTCTGTCCCCACGTCCATAGCCACGACGTGTGTTACGGACGCATCCACTTCCGTCGCACACGTGGCTCCCAATCCCTCAGCTATCCTCCACAGCGGGTGATTCTCAGGCTGAGACTTGGTCGGGAACACCCGACTGAACACTACTTTACATCCTTTAAGGATATCTTTACGCACCTGCTTCAATAAGGACCTCACGTCTCTGCTAGATGTGTCTTCTCCACCATCCTGAAACACAGTACTGATCAACAAAACCAGCCAGACGAAAGAAGAGTTTTGTTTATATATATATATATATATATATATATATAATTAAGCATACCTCAAAGAATAGAGTATGTGTTTGTTTAAGGACTTTAAGAACAGTGGCAAGTGCACCATCGGGTTCACTCTCATCACTCTTCAGCTGCGAGAGAGACTGGAACCTGTGATCAAACTGTCTGCAGCTTGAAGCAAAAAAGTGATACCTCTCTATCACGATCAGATTGTCCTTGTGACTTGGCCATGCCTGCGCGTCAAACCAAGTATCAGCAACTCCGATCTAACACAATAATATCATGGTTTGAAATAATATGAAACATTGACATACTTACATTCTCTGTATCGTCAAGAATCAGAACAGATCTTTCTTCTCCCAGCACCACATCTAAACTCTTTTGATGTCTCACCGTGCCATCGTCTCGAGAAATGATCCGATCGCCAAAGTACTCTCCTTTCGGGTCCAGCAGCTTGGCCATCTGTTGTGCATATGGCCTATCTCCCATTGTGTATATATACATTACAAACATCTCGCTGGCTTCTTTTAGAAATGAATGAACAAACGGCCTCAATTTGGTCATCATATGCATAAATTCCAGCATGAAGAGATTGCCACCAGAAACATCTGAGATCAAAGAAAATCCTTAGAACTATGTAATAGGTAGAATAACGAATGAACAAACAAAAGAGGGAAGTTCTATGTACAGAGATATCATTCCAAAACAGCAAAACAATGTAGAATAGAATATATCACCTTGAAGAGAATTTGTATAGCTTTTCAAGTATTCCTCCTCTGGTTTCAGGTCCTTGAGTACGGTTGAATTGAGCAAAGTGTGGTCTAAATCGAGTACTAAACACAACTTCCGCTGGCGTTGCAAGAACTTCATATCTGAATCACGCAGCCGTGAGATTTCATCTTCGTGGAGCCTTATACCCTAAGCAAACATATTTCCCCAAGCTCATTAATCATTATCTAAGACTTGGTTTAAAAGAAGCTTTACTCAAATCTGTATGGAAGTCGAATAGATTGGCACACCTTGTTTATGTATCTTAATGAAACACCGGTGGTTTCTTCCACCATTTGGCCACAAACAATGCAGATGTTTCCAAAGGAACCTGGGTGTTCGCATGGTTCCTTGCTTGAGGATGCTTCTGCAATCTCACAACAGGTTCGAAAGTCAATATAATAGAACAGATGACCGAGAACAAAAGTAAGGCTGGAGAAAGAGAGATCCACCTGAGATTTCTTCTGAAAATGTCGCAACCTGAATCTCCTCTTCATCTACGGATTCTAAATGATCCAACTTTTGTCTCTTTAACCTAAAGGATGATTAAAAAGCACGATTTAGAGGAAATATACACACTGAAGTTCACACAAAAGAACAAACACATAGCTATGGTGAATACCAGTATAGAGCTTGAAGATTCAGATACGAAGAATCGCAGAGAGATGAAAGCATGGATATTTGCGTGAACTTACCTATGATTGGCAACTTCAGCATCATCGTCGGCTTCTTCGGTGGGGAAGGACTCAGCCGAAGAATCTGAGTCAGACTCCAACTCAGTTTCAAGGAAGGCGGCAAGATCGTCACTACTTGAGGAATGCACTGGAGAATCACTCGCCACACTCATCTGAAAACCACTCACAGTAAGCCAAAATCTGAGAAATTTCGAGGAATGGACGCAAATCAAAAGCCACTAATTGACTAAACCCTAAATTAAACACAAACAAACAACGGATGAATGGAATTCGAATCGAAATCGCAGAGAAACATAGCATAAGAAAGAAGAATCGGAAGAATACCTTCTACTTCGGTGTCCGTCTGTGGCGAGAACACTCAAATCGTGATTGGTTTGTTTCCTTTTTGATGACGGAGTGGGAGATATGCTCGACGGTTACACCGTGAAGTGAATACGGTAAATTCTCCGATTGCTGCCATTTTCACGAGAGCCGAATGGTCATGTAGTGAGGCCCATTTGGGGCCCATAATAAGCCTAATTCAGATTAATTAATTTATTTTGCGTCACGCAAGCGTAACGATGATTAGAAAGAGTTTGCAGCAAGTGTTTTTATTGAAGAAAGACATCAAAATTCACATGTATAGAAGAAGCTGTGTATATTATATAGTGAAGTAACACAGGTAACAGAGGAGACCTAACTAAAAACTAAGAGATATTACATTATGTTTTACATATGGGAGGGAAAAAAAATAGGGAAATTTAAGAAATTTTCTTCAGTTTATTAGGCATCATCATATACGAAGAAGCTCTTTTGGGTTTAGGGACTTGTTCTTCTTCTTCATCGTGGTCGTCTACTACATGTTCCTCCTCGTCATCATCATCATCTTGATCAGCGGTCCAAATCATCTTCTGCTGATAATATCTTAAGGCGACGAATAACATGAATGCTGCCCAGACACGGGCAACGACGGAGGAGAGGTTCCAGACGAGTGTGAAGAGCGCCAAAGCCACCGCTTTTTTGTGGCTGCACGATTCCCATGCGTCTCTGAATCTCCTTAACCAGAACCTCCCTGCTTGTACACAACATGTTTGATCAAATGTCTCAACGAAGATGTAACGGAGAGGTAAAAAAAAGGGAACTTTAGCTACCGTAAGCGGAGAAGTGTGTTGAGTAGGAAATGAAGATTTTAGGCACTGTGAATGCTCCGAAAAAGCCTGTGCTCACACAAACAAGCACTCACAAGTCACAACAACTCCACTTGCTAAAACAAGAAATCACGAGAGGTAGAAGAAAAAGTACCAAACTTGGCGAGGTTCCAAAGAGTGATGGAAGAGCCACACCTGGCCAAGACGAACAGCACCATTCCCATCTGCACATCATCATCGTCATCATCTTCTTTGTCAGTGTCAACAGAGAGGAGAAAGAGGGAGGGAGTTCGAGAAGAGGACTAACCTTGAGGGTAGTGGAGGGATCGCCGGAGAAAAGGGCTCTGAGTTGAAGTAGAGACTCGTTAAGGTAAGGCATTATGAGTCTGAGCATCCTCTTTACATCTTCCTCTCTCACTCCAACCACTTTATGCCTCTCCTCCTCCTCAATTATTCCCCTGCGGTCATTTGTTATGACTCTTGAGTTTCAAACCCAAACATGCAAAGAGACAGAGAGAGGTACATTTATGTATCATACCTGTGGATCACAGATTTGAATACGAACATGACGCCAAGATAGATGAGTCCCATATACGCTACCACTGATATGAAGCTGCACCATGTTTATTCACATTATACTTCTGCTACTTAACCATCATGTCTGTATTTACTTAATTTAATGAGAAAAAAAAAAAAACCTGAAGTTGAGATCATTGGCGTAAGAAGAAGAGATGATGACGAATGTTCCGAAGCCGAACACAAACGCCGACCTTGATGCCTCTCTCCACATTACCAGATCCACTGTCCATTTCGTTCCATCATTTATACATATATAATTCAGACTAATGGGACTAAAAATTCTGTCTTTTTTAATTGAACTAAAGGTTTTATATCTAAAAGGAAAGCCATTGAAAATCTCACCCAGACTCTGCAATTTGCTCTGTTGATGAGTAAAGTTCTCTGCTTCCTCTGCAAATTTATCTGGAAGCAGTTGCAAAAACAGAGTTTTCAAAAGTGAGGCTGATGAAAAATGAAAATAGGGGCTGGTGAAAGAAAGCTTTGAGATTCGGATCTAAAACCTGTGCTTGGTGGGACCGAGTAAACGGAAGTTGCCTTTTTGATCACCGGAGGCGGAATTTTACGGACGGAAGACGGAGATGGAGCTGTTCTGTTGTGAAATTGACTATACTTTTTGATCCCAACATCACCAACTCTGTTATTGCTATTCTCCGTCGCTACATTCATCTCTTTCACATCAACACTCTTTTTCTCCACTTCCTTCTCCTCCTCCTCTTCTTCTTCATCTTCATCCTCCTCGTGATCGCCACTGTCGATCTGCTCATCTTCTTTCGAATTACCGGAGACGACTATCTCCTTACAGACACCAAACTCCTTCACCTCTTCTGGGATCTGCAGCTTTTCGGTTACGGCTTCCTCTTTGTCATCGCCTGGAAGTTCCGACACAGACGGTACATCTACATGCTCTGTTTTCTGATCAGATTTATCGGAATTACGAGGCGGCAATGAATTCGCTTTTCTCAACGCAACTGAATCAAATTCACCGGATTTGACGATCGCCGTGCACAGTTCCGATCGGTTTTTCTTAACCCGACCCGGAGTCTTGTCGTTTCCCTCCACGGGATCAGATCTCACCTTCTTCGCCGCCACCGACACGGTCAAACTCTTATCATTGGAGTCAATAGAGATCGATCTCCTCGGCGTCACCGGAGGAGTAGTACCGAAACTACCAACGGATCTCCTCGGCGTCACCGGAGGCGTAGTACCAAACGATCTCGGCCTCGTGAGCTTCAGAGAATCAGCTCGACTGATCTCAAGTGATGTGCTCTTCACATCGGACTTCCAAGTCCGTCGCTTTCCGTTAACCCCCAAGGAAGAAGCCTCCTTTACGCTCATGTTCTTGTTAGAATCGTTGTCTTCGTCGGCGGCATGAAGATGAATGGCCTTGACAATGGCGTTATTACTAACTTCGTCGTCGCTCTGCATTCTCGTTTCCCAAACAGAACCTGCAGCAGCAACAACGGCTCCTCCAACGCCAATTCTCCTTCTTCTGCTGCTTGGGTCCATCCTCTGACTTTATGTCACTGTCCTACTGGTAATTGAATTGAATATGGGGGCTACAGAGACAAAGTGGTAATGATGATGATTCTTGAAGCTGAAGGAAAATGGAGGTTGTTGGACACACCAAAGACAGATAATTGATTTTCATCTAATTTCTCACTGAGGAGACATAGAAAGTGGAATTGGATTGCTAGATTAGATAGAGGAGAGACTATAGATCACCAAATTGGTTGGGACTGATTTAACTAATCTAGAGCCCTCTGCATGTGGTTGCACTGCAAAGATGCTGCTTAAACACAATCATTAAGGTTTATGATCACAATCTCTACTTTTGCTTTTCTTTTTTCCAAATTAATTCTAAAACGTTTTTTCTTTTGCTTTATTTCACTTCCTTATCATAAAGTTTACCTTATCCATCAATCAACATGTGCCGTGTAAACAAATGAATTGCTTCCTCTTCCTCTAGTTTTTTGTTTTCTTCTTCTTTTTTTTAACTCACGAGATTCAAGTGAAAAGCTTCTATCCGTATTCAAATTGATCATGGAAATACTAACGTTTTGATAAAATGTGAACAAAAATAGTCTTGAAAATGTTTTTTTTTTTTTTTTTGTTAAAGGTCTTGAAAATGTTAACGTACTGACTAACTTAAGGGATTGTTTGCAAAAATAAAAAACAAAAGCGTAGGCTTTATATGCAAAGATCCTTACTTCAACCCCAAACAACAACATTTTAAGAATATTTGTTGGATCACTTGGGTTTTGACCTTTTTCAGTTAGCTAGACAAGAAGAATATGTATAAGACTTGATCTTGTGTAGTGCAATATAGAATTAGCGTTATCGACCCCAATTTAAATGTGTTTGGATTAAAGAAAGAATGACATTTTTGGAAGGAGTTGAAGAGAGTCAAATTAAATCGTTTTTTTCTCATTAAGGGTTTACGTGTTTGAGGTGAAAATGAACAGATGAATTCAAGTTAAAACGTCATTCAGATCATTTCCCTTTAAAAAAGCACATATTGCTACTGTCACTAGATCGGTGAAGTGAGTGCCACCGACATCCTTTTTGTGACAGAAAAAGTGATTATAATTCATAATTGGTAATATATATACAGACATACAAATCTTGTATATATGAAATTAATCCATTTTATAGTTCGGTTATACTCTTTAACACTCAATTACCGTTAGATGCATGCTTACTGGAATGTTGGATAAACTACTCTACCTAATGAATAAAAAAATTACTCCTAGCTATAACGAATCTTGGAATGCGAAGTTGCAATTGCGTGCGTGCGCGTGTGTCTAAATTAATCACATTAGTTAATGAATTACATTATGTTAATCAAAGTTAAACCCCAATTAAATTCTGGAATCGAATCGCGGAGTTGGATTGGGATTGCTTAGACGGCACGTGGTCGAGTGGGAGGGCACGTGACTCATTACACTTCTCCCTATGCACCTGCCTCATTGTTAGCACTTTTTAGTTTTTCGTATTTTCTTCTTTCTTTCTCTCTCTTTCTTTATGCAATTTCTCTCTTTACATTTTCTTTCTGTACAAATTAAAAAAATACAATTTGTTTTTATCTCTTCATCGCGAATACATTTCGTTTTTAAATTTGGAGTTAGCCCAACTACCGTAGTAGCAACGAACAGATGGTATATTTTAATTAAAACTGCGATTGACATTTACCTAAACCCAACACACACTATCTTATTTTTATCATTGATTATTTTGAAATTGAAAAAAATGCAATAACAAATATGACTCAATTCCCAATACTGCGCGTATCTTATGGGGATTAGATATTGAATTTCCTCATAATTTCATAATCTTAAATATATGAATACAAACGTACTTTGGAGTCTTCACCGACTCGGGATTCTTACACATGTTTACCATTTACAATAGGTGTCGGGGTTATTATATACTTCCTCCATTCCTAATTCTTAGATTTTTTGAGTAATTAAGAAACTAATCATTAACTACTTTTTTCTAATACTTTTTATTTAATTTAATAGTATTTAAATAGAGTAGTAAATGTTAGTTTTAACTTTTTTTATTTCTAATAAATTTTGTTACTTTTTATTTTCGTAAAACGAAAAAAAAACTTATTAAAAAATTAGAAAATCAATCTTTTGGAACAAAATAAAATCTCAAAACATCTTAGAATTAGGAACGAAGGGAGTATATTTTTTTTTCATTTACCTCTCTTCCATAAATTTGTGTTTAATCATAATATATCTATAAATTTGTTTGACAAAAAAAAAAATATATATATATATCTATAAATTTCTCTCTTGTTTGTCAGTGTGTTGAACTTGTGTTATCAGTACGTTGGGTTTATTTATTAAAATAAGCCCAGTCCAGTTTCTGTTTTAGTTTCCATTCTCCAAAGCAAATTCCAAATTTCATATTAAGGGGCTTTCTTAAGGCCCGTTAGTGAAACACATCTTAATACTGTTCGTTTCCCGGGTAATAATCGAGCGCGGTTCAGACCACCGTAACCGAAAGAGGAGCTTCTGTTATTTTTTTTTGGTTTTCTAAAAGTATATAAATTACGAGAGAAAAAAATTAAGTGGCCGAGTTATGTCGGGATGGGTCTTTGCTAGGGTTTTATAGTGCGTTGCAGCTGCCACTTTCTTCCTCTTCGATAGCCGTAAAAGCTTTCTTCTTCCTTCTTCACACAATTTTTGCCTCTCGACAATCGCAAACTGTATTCTTTGACCTAGAATTGTTCATTCATTTGGATTTGTAGATGGCGGCTGTCGCGAGCAGCGCCGAAACCAGGATCCAGACAGATCAGGATCCGCCGAGTAACGGATCTTCCGCACTTTCTTCCTCCTCCGCCTCCGCCGTCTTTAGGAAGATCGACTTTCACCCCGCCAGGAAACCCTTAATTGGCTTCTCTAATTCCAATTATAAGGTCGAGACTTTGAATCCCAGCTCCGCTAACAAGCGACCATTCTCCTCACTGTCCGTCAAGAAGCCCGACGGCTCCGATTTGTTGGAACACGGGCTAGATCCGGAGCTTACTTTTACCATAACCTTCCGGAAAATCGTGAGTGCTTCTTTCGATTTTTTTTTTGTGCGGCCTTTTAGTTTGATCAACTGATTTGCGCAAAGATGTTTCCTTTTTATATCAAATTGATTGTTGGTTTTTGCTGATATGTGGACGGTGTCGGGGTGATTTGTAGGGTGCGGGTTTGCAGAATCTCGGGAATACATGTTTTCTTAATTCGGTATTACAATGTTTGACATACACTGAGCCATTAGCTGCTAACCTGCAAAAGCTTGCGCATGGGAATCGCTGTAAGTTGCATTTCCCCCGTAATGCTAAAATTTCTTGCTTTGGTGTGGTCTTTGATTGTCTCTGACACAGTGTTCGTATCTAATCATTTGTGTAGGCCATGTTTCTGGCTTTTGTGCTCTATGTGCAATGCAGAAGCATGTCAGGAATGCCCGTCAAGCTACTGGCAGAATATTAGCACCAAAAGATTTGGTCTCAAACCTGCGATGTATGCTTTCTCAGACCTTGTCTGCTTGCACTCTTGTGTGCCAATTTTCGCCTTTTACTAATCAGACTAATGAGGGTTCTCTCTCAACTTGCTTAATTAGGCGTATCACGAAACTTCAGAAATTGTCGGCAAGAAGATGCTCATGAATACATGATCAATCTGCTAGAATGCATGCACAAGTGCTGTCTCCCTTCTGGTGTACCAAGTGAATCCTCTGATGCTTACAGGAGAAGCTTGGTACACAAAATTTTTGGTGGTAGACTCCGTAGTCAGGTAAAGTTACTTCTTTTGTTTTTTTTTTGTCTAGGGCCTCTTGTATCCGTTGGAGCATATATTTTAGCTATGGGTAGAATATATGACATGATTAAATGGCCTCAGCCTTCTCTAATATTTTACTTTTCCAGGTGAAATGCGAGCAGTGTTCCCATTGCTCCGACAAGTTTGATCCATTTCTTGACCTGAGTCTAGACATTTCGAAGGCAGATTCATTGCAGAGAGCACTTTCACGTTTCACTGCTGTTGAGCATTTAGATGATGGTGCAAAGGTTTACCAGTGTGAAAGATGCAAGCAGAAGGTTAAGGCTAGGAAGCAGCTAACTGTTTCTAAAGCCCCTTATGTTCTGACGGTACATCTCAAGCGGTTTGAAGCTCATAGATCAGAAAAAATCGACAGGAAAGTCGACTTTACCTCTGCAATTGACATGAAACCTTTTGTCAGTGGTCCCTATGTAAGTAGACTTGTCCTGTGCTCTATGTTCCATGAATTTGACATGTTCTAACAGTTTAAATAATCTTGTTCATGTACTTTTTTTTAATCTTTGAGCTTCATGATTTTTTTTATAACAATGCAATACTTTTGTTGAACAGGAAGGTAATTTGAAGTACACTCTATATGGTGTACTAGTTCATTATGGTCGAAGCATTCATTCTGGTCACTACTCCTGCTTTGTTCGCACTTCAACTGCAGTATGGTATGCCCTTGATGACAATAGGGTAAGTAGCAAAGTTTTGGTTTGATACTGTACCTGCACTTATTAGTTTCCTGTTGTTGTGGCTAGTAGTAACTCCCTGTTTACATGATTGTTGTAGGTTTCCCAAGTAAGTGAGAAGACTGTGTTCAATCAGAAGGCCTATATGCTATTCTATGTTCGTGATGGACAAAATATAGCCCCAAAGAATGCAGTTCCCGTGGTTAAGAAAGAGATTTCAAAAGAGAGCCTTGCAACAAGCAGAGCTTCTTCGATTATACCTTCTATCAGAAATGATAAAGTGAATGGTTCAGTCATCAAAGCATGTAGTTTTGACACTCTTGTTGCCAACGGTACACCACTCTTGAGACCATGTGATCAAGGTGCTCCTGCTGTCTTAACCCAAAAAGATCTAAATCCTAAAGAGACCCAAAATGGTTCCCCAAGCTGTGTGGAGGCAAAAGAGATCGTTAAGAGGGAAACTGGTACAGCACCCTTGAGATCATGTGATCAAGGTACTCCTGCTGTCTTAACCCCAAACAATCTAAATCCCAAAGAGACCCAGAATTGTTCCCCAAGCAATGTGATCGCTAAGAGGGAAAATGGTACATCACCCTTGAGATCATGTGATCAAGGTGCTCCTGCTGTCTTAACCCAAAAAGATTTAAATGCCAAAGAGACCCAGAAAGATCTCCCAAGCAGTGTGGAGGCTAAAGAGATCCTTAAGAGGGAAAATGGTACAGCAATCTTGAGATCATGCGATCTAGGTGCTCCTGCGGGCTTAACTCAGAAAGATTTAGATACCAAAGAGACCCTTCAGAAGGAAGTGCCACTTCCGCAGGCTAATGGGGAAGGATCTTTGCTAAAGGAGAAGTCACAGGCTGTTTGCGCTATATTGCCCGAGAAGAATTGTGTTAATAATTTGGATGAGCCTTCCAATTCACTCAAGGTGAGTGTATAATTATACCTTCACTAGTTAGCATCTTGATTGTTATATGGCTTTATGTTTATAATGGGATTGAGGATTTCTAACATGCATTTCACTTCTTCCCTCCAGGTTAAAAATGTATCGATTGGTATTTCATCTATTGAAGCAGCTCTTGTTGACCAGACTTTGGGACATCACTCGGAAGAATCGGACACTTTGATTGAGTCAATAAAGGCAACTTCTAATGAGGAGACTCTCACCCAATCAAGAAAGACTCGCAAGCGTAAGATGAAAATCCTGCCGGTGGGATTAAAATTTTTTAAGCTGACCCTGGGCGTACGCAAAAAAAAGAAACAGAAGAGGGGAAGATCAGGTACCGTTGCTGTTAATACTATCTCTGAGGAGCCCCTATCCATGAAAAGAGCTACAGATCAAGAGCATCATTCCACTTCACAGATAACTAGCGAAGTTAATTCTGGCGCTGCTTGCTTGAACGGGAAGGATAACAGTGTCAGTATCCATAATAAAAGGATGAGTAGTAGTAACGGGAATATGTTGCTTGGCTCTCGAACCAGAGAGCTCAAGGAGAGAACTAATCAAAATGGTGCCGTTCTTGCGTCCGACCAACAGCAACCGTTGAGGAGCTCTGACTTGCCTGAAGCAAGCCAAAACGCTAAAAGAAAGAGAGACGAACAAATCTTGTTAGAGAAAGAACAGGTGACCATTCTCACGCGGGGGTTGCCGGAGATAGTTGGTAAGTATTCCCTTTCTTTTAGAAAACAGGTCATCCTGACTGTCAATTGCTAATTATAATGAACTTGATACATTTAGAATTTAATATTATCATTCTCCCACTCTGATTTGTTTCTGGAACTGGCGTTAGTCCGTCATTTATGACCTTAGAGCAAGAGCTTACTCAATGTGATTGTGGTTGATGGGCTCAAGTCTTGTAACTATTGCAGTTGGCAAATGGGACGAGGAAGTTTCAGCTTCTAAGAAGATGGTAAAGAGTGAAGGCACGAGAATCGGCTATGTAGCAGATGAGTGGTGAGTTTGATAATTTGGGTTCATTCTAGCTTTTGGGTTTGGTTATATTATTGGGCAGTTGGTTTAAACGTAAATGGTGTTGGATTGTGGCAGGGATGAAGAGTATGATAGAGGGAAGAAAAAGAAGATAAGGGTGAAAGAGGAGATGTTTGGAGGGCCGAACCCGTTCCAGTTGTTTGCTTCGAAGAAAATAAAAGATACAAAGAAATGGACGCAACGTATGAATACTGCAAAGACAGGCTTGAGGATATGAATGAACAAGGGACCAGCCGTAATCTAATAAGATATGTGATCCACTTGTTGCTGTATTTGGCGAGATGGTAGTAATGTTAACAACAGAGGAAAAGAGAGGCTATAGACGCATTAGACATTGTTTGTGTTCTCTTTTCCTCTCAGTTTTGTTCTTTCTTTTGTGATAATCAAAGAGTCAAAGACAGACCTCTGTTTTTGGAGTAATATTATAATATCTTTTGCCTAGTCTCTTGTAATGGCTATATCTTTTTCCTTCTCTACAGGTCCGTGCTTTTCTTAGATATATGCTGATGAAATTTTGAACAACAAGAGAAAGAAAGAAGAAGGTATATGCACATGAAATAATATTATAGCATTAACATTATAAGAAAGAAGACAATCATGTCGTGTCGGAATTGGAGAGATTGAGACAATAATGTCTCACATAAGTGGAGTATATACTAATATTGCACATGGTCTAATATTTGAGTCCCCTAAACCCTAGTAAGACCTCGTTTACAGGCTCTCTTTTCTTACTCGCCGGCAAAACAAAACAAACAAAAAAACCAAGAAGAGAATGTCAGACGTGGATGATGAAATCACGAGGCTCTTCAAGGTGCGTCGCACGGTGTTGCAGATGCTGAGGGATCGAGGTTACACTATAGAAGAATCTGATTTGGACTTGAAAAGAGAAGAGTTTGTTCAGAAGTTTTGTAAAGCTATGAACAAAGTGAATAAAGAAGCTCTATTCATCGCAGCCAATAAGGGGCCAAATCCAGAAGACAAGGTACACCATCTATGAAGCACATGTCATCATATAAAGTCGCAAGCTTTCTACGCAATGTTCTAATCTTGTCTCCATCTTTTGACTCTGCTGCAGATTTACGTATTCTACCCGGAAGGCCCTAAGGTTGGAGTCCCAGTGATTAAAAAGGACGTGGTGATGAAGATGAGAGACGATAAGGTTCCTCGAGGGATCGTAGTTGTTCCACTGCCCATAACTGGTGCCGCGAGAAGCGCCCTATTAGAGATCAACAAGGTTCTAACAATTGAAGTCTTTGAGGAAGCCGAACTGGTCACCAACATCACCGAGCATAAACTGATCAACAAGTACTATGTACTTGACAATCAGGCCAAGAAGGAATTACTCAAAAAGTACACAGTGCAAGACACACAGTTGCCTCGCATCCTCGTCTCTGATCCTGTTGCTAGATACTACGGACTCAAGCGAGGACAAGTTGTCAAGATCAGACGAAGCGATGCTACTTCTTTGGACTATTACACCTACCGATATGCCGTTTAAATTCATATCCACCGTTTCTTTTTTTATGTTTTGGATTTTACAAACCTTGCTTCTTCATTGTTTTGGTTTGAATGTACTAGTAAACTCAAATTCGAGGCTTTACAAAAAACATAAAAGGGACTTGTTAACAAGTTAAAGAAAGTCCCTCTTTTTCAGACATACCTTTCTTGTCCGAATATACACAGTGGTGGAACCTGAAGCAACTGGTGAGATGATCGTTTGTTAGCCCTGCCGCCTGCATGAAGGAGTACACCACCGTTGGTCCTACACCGCGGAACCCTCTCCTCACTAGATCTTTGCTTATCACTTCTGCTTTTGGAGTTTTCGCAGGCACTTGTCGCTGGTATCTGAACTTGCTCACAATGGCCTTGTTCTTCACGAAGCTCCATATATACTTGTCAAATGATCCGTATTCTTCTATCACCTGTCAACACAGAAAGCATTTTATCAATCTGTGACTGCAATGGACAGTTGGTTTAGTTGCCGATCATATGCAACAAGCCTATCTGTCCAGAGTTTGATCTTCTTTTGGTTGAATCTCGAAACTATACTTTGATCTTCTTTCAGACCTCCCTTTATTTCAATTCCCAGACAAAGAGTAGAGTGCAAGAAGAGAGTTTACCTTTAAAATCTGGCGCGCATTCTCAATGACGGCCCTTAGCTTAAGATCAGACAACAAAGTGCTCCCGGTGCTTCCTGGACCGACTAGCTTCTTCTCATTCATTTTCACAATGACATTGGGGTCGAAATCAGCAAAAACTTCCCTGCATTCAACACTTTTCATAAGAAAACATAAAGCACTACCAGAATGAACTCCCTCAGAGATATGTCCATATGCAAAAGAAGGTGAAAGAAAGAATCACCTGAAGGCCTGCCTCTTGCTCAGAATCGTGGGCCACGTGTGTTCGGCCAGAGCACCCGAAAGCACAAGAAGTTCAAACAATCTCCTGAACATACACCACCAAAAAAACACAGTAAGGAATAATTTTATCAATGATAAAAAGTGCAGATACGACATACACAGAGAGTTAAGCTTGAACCGTACTTGTCATCGTGAACTGGCACACCCCATTCTTCATCATGGAAAGCAATATAGCACGGATCTGGCGTTTTCATACAAAAGCCAGTCAATATATATATTCAAGGCAAATCGATGATCGTGAACATTCATGGGTATCTGAATGTAGACAAGAGTAAGAAACTGACCGGAGTTTGGTGTCACCCAAGCACACCTCTTCTTAGTCTCTGAACTACTGGGTGGTGAATCCAAAGCGCCTTCAGAGACAACACTTCTTGGCTTCGAAGGGTAAGATTTACTTCTACTTCCAGCACTGTACGACCGAATCAGCCGACCCGTTGATGCTCGGCTCTGGAACGAGTCCATCGAGGCATCAGAGGAAAATGATGCATTCAATGACAGATTAGAGTTTAGGATTTTCTCATGCCGTCGTAATACAGAAGCTGCGTTAAGAGCGTTGTGCTTCTGAGAAGAAGAAGACACAGTCTCTGCTGGTGAAGCATAAGATACTTTCTCACCTGATCCAGTACGCCCAGACGAGGATCTTTCAAGCTTTCTCAGTGACTTAGATACGGATTTGAGTGTGATGAACGGAGTAGCCTTGTTAGCAGCAGTTCTCAGAGTTGGCCTGGTCTCTGATTCAGCCACATTCATTGACTCAACTCTAGGAACACCAGACATGGGTTTCACCAAGCAATTGACTCAAACAGCTTTCACGAGCCTGCGACCTGATTTCTGACCCTTGGCCGTATAAAAAAATGACTCTTTTATAACCCCAAAGCTTTGAATTCAACAGAGAAACACCAGAAACATGGCATCCTTTTTCCTCACAAACAGCTCAGAGGAGCTCAGAGACATCATCGGCATCGAGAGGAAGCACAAAAAGTAGCGTTTCACTTCCATTTAGCCAAACTTTCGGCTGATAATAAAACAGCTAGATCCTCCCCAAAGGCGAAATTAGCTCCTTCAAGATCACAGAAACAGTAAGCTACTACACTCTACAAAGTAGAAAAAGGGATAACATCAAGAAAAAAGCTTCCTTTTTCAGACCAAATTTAAGATTAGGTTTTTCTTTTCACAAACAGAAAACAACAGCTTGTGCAAAATCAATGAAAGCGATTCAACAAAGCCACCTGGAAACCGACAGAACCTAACTAGCCTGCATTTGTGAGTAAATGGGGGAGAGAGGGAGACGAAATTAGTACATTGACTCTCAAAGAAAATAGAGATTCTGCACACCTATTTAGTGATTTCTCATATTGAAAAAAAAGCTGACAAATTTCCCGAAAATTTCCATGAGTTTGTTTCTTCTTCCCAAGTAAATCTAGTTGAAACGAGACAGAGAAAAAATGCAAATCATATGATAATAAACATAAACTTATTGGACCAATAATTTTGTTCATGGCAAGATACAGCTAATCTAGTAACCAAACAAAAACCCGAGCAAAAATAGAATAAAAACGGAAAGCAGTTCACTTAAATGATTTATAAAACGACACGTAGTTGAAGACGTGGGTGTTAACAGTATAAAAAACTCCGCTCCACCACACTTCATTCAGTATTATCCACCATGAGCTCGTTTTTCTTTTCTTCTTCTCCGATTTCCAATCTTCAGTGGCGCGCGAACTATAATCCTCAACCCAATCTCCCAACTGTTCCTCTTAACCTCTCTCTTCTTCGTGGCAACTGCAATTCGTGGAGATTATCTTGTAACCTCACTCAGCAACATGGTCTCGATTTCGAGGAAAGCGTGGAGGAAGATGAAATCCCTCAATTTCTCGATTTCTCTGCAGAGGAGGAGCCGAATTTCGACAAGGCGACGGTTGCTTCTCCATCTACAACGCTGAGGAAGAAGAAAACAGCTGAAGAGAGCATGGAAGATAGATTCAAGCTCAGAAATGGAAAGGAGGTTGCATTCATTACCTTTTTTCTCTTCTTCGTCACTATTACCTTATGGTTTAAGTAGAAGTTAGTGGATAACGTTTGGTCATTAGCTGATTCTCGGAAACGGAGAAAAGTATTTCCCCAAATTCGAAAAAAATTGCATATATTGGCCTGAGCAAGCCATAAATTTTTGGGTTTCAGTAATGAAGAAGCATAAATCATTTGTGGTTTCCAGGTTTTTGAGGAGAAGGCATATCTAGTGGGGGTGGAAAGAAAGGGTGATGGAGAATGGCTGTTTAATATAGAGGAATCCCTCGAGGAGCTACAGCAGCTTGCGGATACTGCTGGCCTTATGGTGGTTGGTTCTACTTATCAAAAGTTAGTGGTTCTACTTATCTATGTCTTTCTCTGGAGGAGACTGGTTTCGAGGTTCCCTGTGATGCTAAAGTGAATGATCGTTTGATGGTATTGGTATACCACAGGCTGGCTTCTCCAAATCCTAGAACATACATTGGATCGGGAAAGGTCTCAGAGATAAAAAGCGCGATTCAAGCATTGGACGTTGAGACCGTGATATTTGACGATGAGCTTTCACCAGGGTAACGTTTCTTTGTAAAATTTCTTCCTAGTGGAAACATGTGCTCTTGAGTTAAGCCCACGATAAGCGTCTTGCATTCCGTTTAGCTGAAGTTTCCCAAAATCTGAAGTTATAAGTTTTTTATTCTTCATTGCAAGCTACTCTGTTTCTTCTTTCACAGAACTGGAGCGTACCTTGGTCTGATTAAATATTCATTGGATTGTGTAGTATTAGAAGTTTCATACTCTTGTTTGTTTCCACACACATGTGAATTGAGCATGATTTTCATGTTCTTATTACTTCATATTTTAAACTTCAGGCAACTGCGTAATCTGGAAAAGGCCTTTGGTGGGGATGTTCGAGTTTGTGACCGCACCGCCCTTATCTTGGATATTTTCAACCAAAGGGCCGCAACTCATGAAGCAGCCCTGCAGGCAAGATAAAGCTTACGTATAGAGATGACCACTGTGAAAACTTCTAGATATGCTCTTTCAGGAACCATGTAGAACGTTGACTCAATCTGGAGTTGTTTGCAGGTTGCTCTAGCACAAATGGAATACCAATTACCACGATTGACTAGAATGTGGACTCACCTTGAGCGTCAATCAGGTGGCCAAGTTAAGGGTATGGGAGAAAAACAAATTGAAGTTGATAAGCGAATCCTGCGTACTCAAGTAAGTAAACTATATTTTACGTCTGCAGTTCTTACTTTTTAGCTTCTTTTGCTACTGCTTGTTTTTCAAGAGATGGTGTGTGACAACAGTTTGTTGCAATATTTGTGATGAGCAGTTTCTTAGGCCCTGTCTTTGTTTAGGTTTTCGTGTATAGGTCCAGTAAAATGGAAGTGTATTTTAAACGTTTTCATATTAAATTGGCAAGATTGGAGTGCTCAAAAAAGAGTTGGAATCCGTTAGAAAGCATCGAAAACAGTATAGAAGCCGGCGTGTTGCTATACCTGTTCCTGTTGTATCTTTGGTAAGTAAAGCACTGTATATTAAACTCGTAGAAATTGATCAACACTTCATTTCATATTTGAATGTTTTTTGCCCATTGTGTTTTAGGTTGGTTACACAAACGCTGGAAAGAGTACACTTTTGAACCAATTGACTGGTGCTAATGTTCTCGCTGAAAATCGTTTGTTTGCAACCCTTGATCCAACTACGAGAAGGGTTCAGGTCAGTTAAATTTGTTCTTGTATTATATGCTAGTCAGTGATGGGGTTCTAGGTGACATGTTTAACGTAATAACCTGTGCTGCGATCTTGAGAATTTTCTTTCAATCAAATTTTATGTTAATGACATGCTTTCTGGGTCCTTTTTCGCCAGATGAACAACGGGAAGGAGTTTCTTCTCACAGATACTGTTGGTTTTATCCAAAAGTTACCAACCACCTTGGTAAGGTCCTAATGGTTATTTTTCAACTAGATGCGTACCTGGACATCTCTGCATGTGCATGCATCTGTTTGTTAATTTTACCATAAGTGTCTCTTTAAATCAAATTGAAGAAGGCTTTTGTGGCTTCTGTCAACGCGGTGTGAACTGAGCTGAAAAGTGCGTCTTGCAGGTTGCTGCTTTCAGAGCAACACTCGAAGAGATATCAGAGTCATGCCTTTTAGTGCATGTTGTTGACATTAGGTATGCTATATTCAAATCGCGGTTAAAATTGGGTCAATCATCATATGTCATTTTTTCTCTCCTGATGATAATATGCTTGGAAAATGTTTAGCCACCCACTGGCAAATCAACAAATAGAAGCTGTGGAAAAGGTTATGTCTGAACTCGATGTTTCATCAATCCCAAAGTTGGTTGTGTGGAACAAGGTAATGTATACTAGTAAAGACGGATATCATTGTATTTTCTGTTCAATCTCTTGATGTATGTGCAAAATAACGTAGGAACGTCTATAATACTCTTTACTCCTTGGCTAGGTTGATAGAGTGGATGATCCTCAAAAGGTCAAGCTGGAAGCAGATGAACGTGGGAATGTAATTTGTATATCTGCCTTGACTGGAGAAGGACTAGACGAATTCTGCAATGCGGTTCAAGAGAAGCTTAAGGTTCCAGTTTCATCAAATATGTTTTGATCTCTCTTTTGGTTCATGATTGTGGCAAACTAGAAATTCAGTTCTTAAAAATCCGTTACAGGATTCAATGGTTTGGGTTGAAGCCCTTCTGCCATTTGATAAAGGTGACCTTCTAAGCACCATACACAAGGTTGGAATGGTGAAAGAATCTGTGAGTAGATGACCGACCATCTTTGCTTAATTTCTTAATTTATTTATTTGTATAGATAACTCAACTGATTCTCATGTCTTGTGTCTGTTGCGTATATAGGAATATACAGAGGATGGGACACTTATCAGGGCACACGTTCCGCTTCGTTTTGCACAGCTGCTTAAACCTATGAGACACTTGGTCAAAGATACGTCCATATGCAAAGAAGGGTGAACCAGAATCATAGCAAGAACCTGAAGGCCACGCGTGTTTGGGCAAATCACCCGAAAGCACAAAGAAGTTCTAACAACATCCTGAACATAGACACCACAAAGAATGACAGTAAGGAATAGCAGTATTCGTCAATTAAAAAGAGTGCAGATATACACACGAGCAAAGATAAGCTTGAATATTAATTGACATTCGTGAACTGGCACACCCTTTTTGTACAGAGAGCATCCGGTTTAGAAATACGGAGTGTTATATTAACTATTTCGCTTAACCAAAACGGGCGTATGATCTCGAAATTGAGAGGAAAGATAAAACGTTCCTGTACTTAGATAGCGGGACACACTCTGATGAGTCCATTCTAAATGAATAGTGTGACAAGTAAAACGTCTTTAGTCTCTACCACCACCCAATTCTTGGTGCCGTCCGTGATTATCAGTCGGTCTAATGAAGTGGGTAAGAAACTCGAAGATTTGGGCTTCTATTATACTTTGTTTCAGTAACTCCCAATGACGTGGGTAATAAAATACAAAAACCACCTAAAACCATTTGAAGGTTAGAGTAATAAAGCCTCTTAATTGTCTTATCAAGCTTGCACGCATACTAAATATAAGTTTCTAAAAACTGACATCATCACCCACCAACTCTGCAGGACAACAGCTTTCACCATATCCAAGGCTTCCAAATGATAATCCATGGTTCATACCAAACGGAAATGGCACCTGTAATGAAAGCAGATCAGATGGGAGAAAGAGTTAACAATTCATCAACTGACACAGAGAAATGTTTTCTTCCCTCCCCTGATGTGAATAGATCAACTACTGAAATGTATTAGCAAGTATCAGTATGTACGTACCCCAATAGGCCTCTGCCTTGCCATATCCTCGGTGTGACGGACAAGTCGAATTTTGCACCTTGCCTTATAACTTCAACAGAAACTGCTTGTCCCTGGTTAGACTGAGCTTCAGCGGCAAGCCTTTGCAACAGATTGTCACCACCCTCCACGCTGCCAAATTTCACAACCTGATCTCCAAGCTGTAATCCATCCTCTGCCGCTGGAGATGACTCTGTTATCTCATCAACCATGGCAAAGGGAATACTGGTAACCACATCCACATCCATGGCACGAGTAGTAACACTATCGCCGCCTGTCTGCATGGATGCCGATAAGGAAGTCACTCCACCTGACAAGCTTGTTTCTGCTGGACCTGCATCGTTTCGTATTCATTCACAAGCTTAGTACCCGCATCGAGCATATGGTTTCAAAGTAAATGACCAGAATCAAAGTTGATGTCTTGATGATCAACCCGATCAAAGGTTTTTCAACATGAAGCTTTGGAGCTCTATGTCCAGTCATACCTGAATCTTTCGTGGATGAAGCTCTAGATGTAGGCCTCGCTGAATGAAGAATTTGAATGTTCACATTTATCTTGTCCGTTATCTCGCTGTGCTCATTCCGTAACTCTGTGTGTGCAGAAACTATTTCAGAGAAAGAAACCAACTCAAAGCTGAAGGAGCAAACCCTAACAATTTGTTCACTGTATAAGCAAGCTACACATCCAATCTATGGCAAATCGAGTTTGATTCCTTCCAATCTCATCTATTGCTCACAAAACCTATGAAAAACCCTCGATCCATGGCAAAACCCAAATATCTATGCGAACATATGATTCTGTTAAGTTTCCTTTAAATTTTGTTTAAAGTTTAATCCTGCTTTCGACTCGCGTAATCTTGCACTTGGACTAATTCAGCAAAAGACAAAAAGAGAAAGAGAAAGCACCAGCAAGACGACGGCGCTCAGCTCTCACCAGCGGAATGTCAATATCTGCCCGAGGGAATCCCTGTCAATTTCATAACCAAAAACGAATCAAAGGAGCAGAATCAGCAAGAATCAGCAGATGTTTCAGTTAAGACTAGAATACCTCCGGGTCGACGAGAGTGCCGGAGAGACCAGGACCGCCGGGATTGCAGAGACGTTCGACGATAGAGTTCATCTCTGTCTCCATTGCCGCTCTCTTGTCCATTAGAGCCATCGTCTCCGCTTTCAGATTCGCGCCAACCATCTTCACTCTTCCTCTCTCGCCTCCGATCGATCGATTTCACCGAATCGCGCAACTTTCTTTTGCCTTTGCTCTGCAGGAGCATGTATTTTGGGCTTCATTTATATATAAAAAAGCCCATCACCTGAATATTCACTAGACCCAAATCCAAGTAACATCCTGGCCGTCCATTTATCTCACATCCAACCGCTATGCCCGCTTTGTTTCTAGTAGTTCGATAATCCATACTTCAGAACATTCTCAGTATGTACAAAATACATCCTTGCATCAATAGATTGGCTTCCTCCACACTAGTAGAGTGCAAACTCAAAGGCAAATAGCAAAAAAAAAGCGTGTACTTATTGTAAAGTCTGTACACTCCAATTTTGTAATACCCTTTCCTTTACAGTGAAATAACTACTTTGAGAAAAACTGTATAACATGTACATTTATTCCATCCAAAAGACTATGCCAGCTTTCTTTCTTGTATTCTCCACACTAAATAACATTTTACAGACAGCGCAAGCAGTTCTAAAGCCATGCAATATTTGTAATTTCTACCTATAAATTATAAACAAGCAGGTCTTCAAACCGGCTCTATCAATCAGGCATCGTCCGCAGTGAAATCAGGCTCGGGAGGCTTCTGCAGCTTCACCAAATCCTTAATCTTTGTGTTCCGGTTCCTGTGAACCGTGCGCATCGCATTAGCCGCAAACTTGGTCGCAAGAAACGCAGCTCCGATGGAGTATGAAGGTCCAGTGGCTGAGCTGGGCACGGCCTCGGCCTCGGCCTCTTCCATCTTCTTCCTCTTGCAGTATCGGCGCCAGGCAGCCTGGATAAAGCAAGCAGCCCAAGTCCTCCATTGGTGAGAGTAAAACCTGAATGTGTGCTGCACTTGCCTGCTATGTAGGCGCCTGAACTGGCTTGCCACAAACTTCAGCTCCTCTGAGGTCAGAGCAAACGCCTCTACTTCTGTCAGAGCTTTCACGGTTCTGGTGGAAGACGGTAGATTCACGCCTGACTTGGGATCCAACGCCCATGTCAGAAGCTCTTCCCCGCAGAATTCTCCTTCTTTCAGGAGACTGTGGTTGAAGAAACCGCTCCTGCCTCCATCCGTTGTCACACTCTCGAGGCGGCCGCGTATTATGAATAGCATCTCGTCTACAGGGTCTCCTTCTCGGACTAAGTAAGTACGCTCTGTGAACAAGCATGGTTTCAGCCGCATACAGATCGCATCCAGCAGCTTGTCGTCCATGCTCTCGAACAATGGAACCTAATATTATTGGTGAAAACGCCATTAATAAGTTATGTGGTCGATGGTCAATACCATTATCTCAATGTGTCCTGGCTCCTGAATATTCTAAAGGTTGTGTGATATTTTTAAAATGTTTGAATGAATCAGTAGCGGGAGATCTTACCCTGCGCACTAAAGCCAGACAAAGATGCCGCTTGATGTCTCTACGGAGATCCTTGGGGAGATTCTGAACGAGATACTCTTCATCTACACCACGTGTCTCCAACCATTTGTACTGGTCATAGCGTCTCACACGCTCCCTAAGATCTTGCGGTAACATCCTGTGATGCATCCACTGTTCTGAGTCACGCCTCTTCACTCTCATTTCTTCGAGCCGGATGGTAAGAGATTGGAGATATGTCTGTCCCAAGATTCCAGATGTTGTTAGACAGTCCGTATTAATATACAGAGGAAACAAAATTAAGCACACTGAAAGATCTAACAGAAATTTTCTAATGGCCGTGGAGGTAGCTAAAGTACCTGCATGTTTCCTATGAGAAGAGCAAAGAGAATCAACCCAGAAATGGCGAGAGCGATGGAAAATATAATCTCCAATGGGTATGTACTGGTTTCAAGCCCTTGTCCAAGTGTACTGTTGTGCAGTTAATGAGAAGTAAAATTAGAATACTAAGTTAAAAAAAGAACGACTTATGTATTCGGTTAACAATGAATATCTGAAACTCATAGACGCAGAAGTTTGAACAAAACATGTTGGTGTTATAGGAGCTGAAAAGTGATAGAAACAAAAGGAGTTAACAAAGGTTACCTCAAGTTCTGAAGGCCCCACCACAAACAATAACAATATTTTGTGATGAAGTTTTGAGACGAGACAATGCCAGACGATAAAGCCTGTGTATAAATCCCAAAGTCAAATGGAGGATTAGGATCATCGAGTTCAGCACGACACTTGGACTGAAGAACAGATTCTTTGTTCATGTTCCAAACAACATAGCCGTCCATGTTTTGATTGCCACAGTACAAGAAACCTGTACTGCAATTCCCTGAAGCATTTTTACAGGCCTCCTGCCAACAGGCGTCGTTACGTTCCAAGGCCAAAAGGTACCAAAACGCTCCAACTATCTGCAACATAAGCAAAATAGACACTTGTGATCCCATGCAGCATCAATAAAGAAAAGAAAATAATGTTACAGAACATCACAAGTAAGCAGAGACTCCAGAAACCTCGCTAAGGTGCTTTACATGTTTTATGAAATTAAACATTTGAACAGATGTTCACAACATTAAAGTATTTCCTGTTTTGGCACTTTTAGTGCCACAGTCAAGAGAAAAAGCTAGGAGGCACTTACATGACTTGCAAGCATATATAACAGCAGATAATAGGCGGCACCAGCCCAAGCAGTTTCTGCAAAGACACCTGCTGTCCTTTTCAGTTCTGATGTCAAGGGTAAGACACGTAGAAATCGCGGTATATACTGAACCAAGACAATGAAAAGCAATGCCTGCTTTGTCGCCAATACATCCGACCCCCTTGACCTTTGCAAGAACCTCCAAACAACAATCTGCACATAAACAAAGTGAGTAACGTAAATGTCAAACCATCAAGCTCCGAACAGAGATCTTTGACCACCAATTAAATGCATCCTCTCAACAAATGATATTGTTGTCCAACACACAAACTACTGAAAATGATCTAAATTTATATAACTAACCTGAGGGACAGGGAGTACAGAGAGAAAATCAATGATGAACCATCGTTGCAAATATCTCTTTGCAATCTGTGCAGGATCTATCACGAGTTCACCTCTCCCAAAGACCCGGGACGATGGTGCAATATAAGCAGTCCTAAGCTGGAGAGCCATGTGCGCGAGATAAAACACGTCGATGATAGTCCGCAATGTAGTTGCGATGATAGCCAGTTTTCGGTCAATACCAAGGCACTTGGACTCACCATTGATCACAGGAAGGTAGAAGAAAAAAGGGTCCACGAACACTGAAAGAATGCATGACATAACAAACAGTTTATTGCAAAACAAAAGGGTTTTATCCTGAGGATCAAATATCTTCTTTTCAGATACTTTAAGGTCTTCTGGAAACACTGCTCGATAAACACCGAAACCAAGTGAACGGCCTATGGATTTGAGGCCCTTGGAACCCTTTTGAAACCCTTTCTTGAAGGATCCAGATGTGTTATTGCTTCCATGAATAGGACGAAGTGGTCCACTAATATTGGAGGCGTAGTTCTGTTGGAAGGCTACAGATGATGATGGTAGCCTCGAGTCAAGATTATCCACCCTATTAAGTATGAGCAACAGAGCTTTCAGATTATTATTATACACCAACAAGCAAAATATTAGGATTCATCCAATAAATCAAAACAATCGCACTACAATTTCATCAGAGAACAAGCATTACAAAAAGACAATTACAAGGGCTTATATTGATGTTCTGGATAATTGTTTTTCAGTGAAAATCAGTTTGCTCCACTAAAGTCACAAAACAAGCACAATATGTTTAACAGATTCAAAGTCTTCAAATGTCAGATCTCCATTTAAACAAAAGGGTGAACTAACCTCACAAAATTTTCTCGTTTGCCTGCCATGATTGCTAATAAGGAACCAGAGAACTCGATAACCTTCAACGACTAAGCCCACGATCACTTGCTCATATTGAGAAAGAGGGAGCTCAGCTTAACATACTCTTCTCGTGAAGCAAGCTACATCATCCAAAAACAAGACCAAGAAAACCCACCATTATATTATCTCCCATAAATGTTATGGACTCTTTATCAAATAAAGCATGTGAGAAACGCATCATCACCACATGAAGTTGTAATAATCTGTATTATTTTTTTTTGTTCTTTTCTATAAGTTGTGTATATACTACAAGCCAAGTTTCAAATTTGATATATACCGTTGGTTGAAGATTCCCTTACTCTCACCAGCAAATGATCAACTAACGAAGCAAAATCAACTAGTTAAAAAAAAGGAAAAATATTGAAGAATTGAAGAATGAATTATCGACATCGACACAAAGTAGAGATACAAATTCAGAAATAAAAATCCAGGCATGAGGAAGAAAAAGAGACATGACCCTAAGAACAGTTAGGACCATAACAGAACTTGCTAAAACAAGAGAAAAGACAGAGACTTACTTAAAGCTAATCCATGGCTTAGACGAATTGAAGGGTCCCGACGGTGAGGAATTGAGGATAACGCTTTGCAGTAAGAGGAAAAAGTTCGAACAAGAAAAAGCCGAAAGTGGGTATAAAGCGAGCAGAGCAGACAAGTGGTATCTCCTTTACCCAAAAAAGAACAAGAAAGCTATGAAGAAGAAAAGGAACCAATTTAAATGACGCCCTTGCCCTTCACTATAGCAGGAAACTAGATTTTCATTTTCCCTTTGAAGCCTCAAAAGTCAAAAGGCCCATGACACAAAATCTGTGAATATTATATGATACAAGACAAAGGTGGTGTACATAAGCAATGTGTTCCTACAACGTGAAATGGAGGATTTTGTACGGTAATAAGTATACAAAAGCTCTTCTAATATCAAACAACCATCTCAGCTTCTTTGACACTCGAAGGGATTCCAACCTCCAGCCTCATTGTAGCTCTATACTGCTCAGGTACAACGGCACCAGCCTGCGCGCAAATCTCCACAACAGCAGGTGCTTGACCGTAGAAGCTTCGTAGCTCCCGCTGCAACGGTGGCCCATTCACATCAGGAACATGCCAAACGTATCTTGGTGGTATCAAGTCGTCAAGCACCGCAGATTGCCAACCATGTTGCCCATTCCGCTGCTGGTGCTTGAAGGCACCGCAGTTCTGGGCCTTGTGTCCCGTTGGGCCTACGTGGACCTCGGGACAGTACCCGCACACCCTGACTCTGTACATCCTCATCAGCTTCTTGGCTCCTGCTCTCATTTCTTCCCATGCCTGTAAAGTTTCTTCGGCTACGGTGATTGTTTCTTCTTCGCTAGAAGGTGGAGTGATCTCTGAGACTTGTAACTCGGTTAACAATGGCACTGGAGGAGGCTGGGGCTCAGGATCAGGCAATTCTGTTTCATCTGCGTCTACAAACTCGCTTTTGCCGATGCGGATGATTGGTTTTCTTCTCCTTTTTGTTGGAAACTCGGGGATTTCAACGCCGCCTTGAATGCAGAGCTCAACTACAGCGGGAACTCGTGGAACCGAGAATCTCTCGTCATGGCGGATGCGCTTGCCAAGGCGGTCATGGAGGTGATAGGCTTCAAGAGGAACGATGACGTCTTCAATGACTGAGTTTGTCCATTCATGAAGACCTTTCCTTTGGGATGCACTAGGACCTTTACACGACTTAAATGGATGCCCATAAGGTCCAACGTGGATCTCATTGCAATACCTAAGAGACAAACCCGGAGCAACATCAAAGGTCTATGGCAAACAGAGCCGAGACGAAACAAGAAGAGAGTTAAGAGAAATTACCCACAAGCATTAACACGAACAACTTTCATGAGCCGGTGGAGATTGTTGATCAATCTGATTCTTGCATTGTATACTTTATAGGCGAGAGGCACAAGGCTCTTCACGACCATACCGTTTTTAGGTGGAGGGAGAGGTCTCCTAGGCTTGTCTTTGTTGTTCTTGACTCTCTCCCTCGCGGCTCGTCTCAGGTCAACAATGGGCACTGGAAAGGGCTTCTTCTCTCTCCTTGTGTACTCCTTAGGCGCGTCTGCATTCTGAGGATGATCACTCCTCACAACAAATGGAAGAAATTGACGCCCTTTACTTAGCACAAGTCCGGAGTCTAAGTGAATCCTGAACCCAATGCTACTTCCCTGCACAATATTGGAGGTTACACACAACTTTAGATCGTAACGCAATAAAGTAGGGTCTTATTATAGGAACCAAAACTAAAACGAACCGACGGATCATGTAAACGCCAAAGGAAGCAGAGAGGAAACGAATTGAATGATACAGAGTACTAAAGGGAACTGACCTGAAGAGAAGAAAAGAACCCAAAACTATAAAATGGGTTGAGACTGATAAACTTCCTCCTTGGTACGCTCTGAGTAGCGAAAGGTACACTTTTAGGTGAAACCCCCGAAAGTGTACCAGTATCTGCCCCTGGGGAAAAAAACAACGAAACCCAAAATCAATCACAATCTGAAAAGAAAAGGATTCATATAGAGAATTGAGGACGGTTCGAAAAACACAACGAAGAAGAAGCTTACAGGAAATGGCGGAGTAGGTTATCGACATCGTCGACAACTGCTGGGTTAAAGCATTGGGAGGAAGATGGAAGATAAGGAAGAGAGCGGTCTCAGTCTCTCCGACGAAAATTAGCTAATGGAAATCGTGAGCCTAAAATATGGGCTTTTTAATGGGTTTAGATTGTGGTTCCATTATAGGCCCACTAAGATAAACATTTGAGGTGTATAACCCGAACCGGGTACGTTTTTCAATTTCGGTTTAGGATAATACTTGTAGTATATAGAGTTTGCTGAATTAAACCAAAATTAAACTTTGTAATAAACTTCAACCAAACATGAAAACCGAATTGAATTGCCGCCTCTTTATCACAAACATCAAGAGTTTAATTAGAGTAAACCAAAAAGGCCTAATGGAAGAAGAATCAAAGCAGCAGCCGTTGCAACAAAACTCCACGAGCCGTTGAACCGAGGACCACTTCCCTTTTGTATGATCTGAGCGTTAGCAGGAGCAGCAGCATGGGTTCTGTTGTGGTTCGGAGACAAGACGACGACAAGAAGCTTCTCTCCTCTCTGGCAACGTCCTTCTTCGCCGCTGATGAAGTAAAAAGGACCTGATCTCTTTAGCTCTATCTTCGTGTGACCATTTTTGTATCCTCTTATTGGCTCTGATCTGTCGCATCTCTCGTAATCTTTTTCCCTCACTTGCAACACTGAATCATTCTCCGCATTGTACTTCCACACTGGTAAAAGACACAAGATTATTATTACATGAGAGACAAAAACAGAGTAAAGTACCAAAATGATAATTCACTACTTACAGAGAGTATCTCCGATTTTGAATCTTGTTCTCTCTGACCAATGGTTTAGTGTTTCATCTCTAGATTCTGGAACCTTCCATGTGTTTGACTTGCCTCCCACTAGAATCTCCCTGCCTTCACACAACAAACCAAATAACAGAAGCAAACAACACACCATAAGTGAAGACATTGTGTGAGCTTAATGATGTTTTTTTTTCCCTGTGTGATTAGTCTGTCAACTATATGAACATGGTGAAGAATTCGCCAGAATAAATAGGCTCTGGGTTCTTGGATCCAAACAAATCCCTTCCATGAACCAGAAAAACGTGACCATGGAAAACGAAGCTCGTGAAATGAAGAAGCTAAGCGTTACAGAGCTGTGCGTGAATTGTGACCAAACCCGACACTTTCACTATTGCGTTTTACCTTCCATCAGCTGATGATGGGGTCATCGTTTGAATCATCGATGTAAATGCGAAAAGTTATTACCTTTTGGATATTTAAAGCAGAGTAAATGGAATGCATGTGACGAGGAAGAGATGTGAATTTAAATATGGATTTTTTAACCATTGAAGTAAATGAACTTTAGAAAGAAAAGAAAAAACAAATAAAAACCCTAAAGCCCAGCACTATTTTCCAGGAAATCAAGGCAGAGTTTCTGCACAATCCGTATAATCTTTTTTCGTTTTTTTCTCTCTTCCACCATCTGACTTTTCTTGAGTAATATTAAAGTCTTGAAATTTACATTTCAACCTCCATTCTCTCATCGGTCTCTTTTCAATGGACCCATTTTGAATGGTTATATTTTTACAGACGACAATGGAACACACAAGACACAAAGAGAGAAGTTTCTTCAAGATTTCTCCAACTAAACCCCATTAAACAAAAGAAAAAGATGTGTTGATAAATTAGACAAAAGAAAGGAAGAAAGAAAAAAAGGAAGTTGCTTTTCACTTGACCCAACACCACAATTTAGTGCAGAAGTCATTTCGCACACTTACCCCTTTCCCTGCACAAGTCTGCTTCCATCTTCATCACTGCTGTCTAAACCCATCAACACCCACATCCAAAAAAAGCAATTTTGCTTTTATTTTAATTTTTCTTTTTCCTTCTCACAGCAACAACAACAACAACAACAACATGATGTGTCCTTCTTTTCTGCTTCTTTGTCCTTCTCTGACTTCTCCTCAGATTGATATTAGACTTACAACACGAAACCCAGAACCTTCCTCTTTCTCTCTCTTCCCATTCCTTCTTTCAAGCTCTTCCCCTTCATCTCTCTCCCTCTTTCCTTCTGTGATTCTGTAATTACTCACATCTTGTGTTCATCTGATGAATCGAACTCACGGCGATTTCACTTCCTCCAATCCTAATCCTTTCGAGGATCCAAAAGTCAGACTTAGGCATCATGGCCTTATGCAAGACTATCGAGAATTACATATGGTACGAACTCTTTCTTCTTCTTCTTGAGTTTAATATCAAGTTTCAGTCATCATGGTCTTATTTGTGTCTGGATCTGAGAATGTAATTTATCTAAAGGAATTGCTGAAGAATTGCTTTTTTCACCCTGATCTGTTCTCACAGCTGCTCGGAAAACCTGGAAAAGGGGATTAAAGTTTTTGTTTTAAAGAGAAAGATGAAACTTTGAGCTTAACTGATTCCATAACAAACATAAAGCCTCTCCTTTTTTTTATATCATGTTTTAGTTATGCAAATCTCTATTAGTCTTAAACTGATCAAAAGAGTGTCTTCTTAAGCATACTTTTAGGATGAGAACTTTGTTTAGGTGTTTGTTTCTCTGATCTTTTAAGATCACTTGGTTCTGTGTTATTATTAACGTGTTTTGCTGTTTTGTTGGAATACACTAGGATACTGAAGCAGTGAGAAAAAAGTTACAGGGTATGCGAGAGAGAAAGGCAACATTAATGGCCGAAGTCCGGTACAGATACTTACAATCCTTGACTATATTGTACATATATCATTATGTCCTTGATGTTTTTCTCAAGTGTTTAAATGTCTGTTTATCAGATTTCTGCGGCGGAGATACAAACATTTGAGACAAGAACAGCCTGTTATGCAGCCACCAGAAATCAAAAAGAACAGAGGAAGATCAAATGGTGGGAAGAAGAGTAAAACGCAAATCCGAATGGAAGTGTCTCCTAATAAAGGAAGCGAAGCAGAAACTAAGCGTGTTTCACTTCCTGACTTAAACCACTCAGGAAAGGTTCATGAGGAAACCAAAACCAGTCTTACGAAAAGAGTTCCATTGTTCGATCTAAACCAGATATCCGTAAGCACATCTTTCACTCTCGCAATGTTGGACAAAGAAACCAACATGTCTTTACTCTTTGCAAAACCCATTTTGACCACCTCTTAAATTGATTGTAGGGAGAAGAAGAGGAAGAAACAGAAGCAGTGAACAATAATAGTGAAGAGAGAATGAGAGTGGAAGAAAGCAGTTCATGTAAGAGAATGAGCAGCATCGAGCAGAAAGAGATGAAGCTATCGTCTTGCAGAAATGGAGGAAACGGTTCAAATAAGAGGAAAATTTCATGGCAAGACCCTGTTGCAGCTCTCAGAGCCTAAAGAGAGAAAAAAGCCTTTTTTTTTCTTCCTCAAGTCAAAGTATCTTGTAACATAGCTTCACATCAACTTAGCTTTGGTTTATCCTCTCCGTTGAAAACATATCCAATTGTGGGTTGAAAGTAACTTTAAAAACCTTATCCTTTCTCCATTCTTGAAGTGGCGACTTATAAAAATGACATTTGTATATTGAACATGTGTCGATCTTAGACGAGTATAACAAGCCTACGGAAGTGATCCAAAAGTCCAGGAACAAGATTGACGGTCATATGAGTTCACACGTGTCTGAAAGGTAACGTTTCGTGTAAACTTTAAATTCATACCGAACACAGAGACCGATCTTTTGAGTCTGAGACGAAACAAGAAAAAGCAAACACTCAAGAATAATTTTTATGGACGGAGACGGGTCTGATTGGGGCGGATTGCCTCCGGAGATACTCACAAACATCATCTCAAGGCTCACGATTCAGGAGCGATGGAAGGGACCGATGTTCGTCCGAAAATTGTGGCTAACCGTTTGCAGAGATCCGTATCTCTGGTCTAGTTTCGATCTGGAGCAATGGTTCGAGTCAAATCCCGAGTCGACTCAGTGGTGGTCCACTGATTTCGAGCGGAAAATAGACTCAATGCTCCGATCAGTCGTCGATTGGAGCGACGGAGGTCTCACCGAGATCCGCGTCCGCCATTGCAGCGACCACGGTCTCTCTTACGCTGCCGAGAGGTAATCTTTCTTCATCAAAAAACACTTGTTCACTGGTGAAAATGATTGAGTTTGTGGATTCCTCTGTTACGGATTTGAGATAATTTCTGATGTTGGACATTATCATTAGATGCCCAAATCTCAAGGTTCTCGCCGTTAGAAGCAGTCGTAACGTGACAGACGCATCTATGACGAAGATAGCGTTTCGGTGCAGGAGTCTAAAGGAGCTCGATATCAGTTACTGTCACGAGATATCTCACGACGCGCTCGTGATGATAGGTAGGAACTGTCCCAATCTCACGACACTGAAACGCAACCTTATGGATTGGTCAGATTCTTCTCGGCACATCAGCTCTGTTCCTACAGAGTACTTAGACGATTCTCCTCAAGACGGAGACACAGAAGCTGACGCGATCGGAAAACACATGATCAATCTAGAGCGTTTGGAGATTCAGTTCTCTAGATTATCTGCCAGGGGACTCGCTTCTATATGCGAGGGTTGTCAGAAGCTGGAGCACTTGGACTTGTTCGGGTGTGTGCATTTGTCAGGCCGTGACATTGCAAACAATGTGTCAAGGCTGAAGCGGATCAAGGAGGTGAAGAAGCCAGATGTGTATGTGCCAAGGTCAGGGGATGTGGCTCAAACTGAGAGATACGGACATTGGAGACTCTATGACGAGAGATTTGATATACAAGCCATGAGGATCTGATTCCATATACTACGCAATGTTCTGTAATAAAGCAACCAATAGTTTCTAACTTGTCTAGGTTGTTATGTGTTAAAACTGCTCTGTACGAAAATGGATCAAGCATTTTCTTTGGTTTCCATAACCTGTGGAAAATACCAAACTGTAGAGCTCATAATCTCAAGCATTCAAGATGTACACAGTTGTATGAAATTTATACACGCAGGGTTCTTGTTGACATTACAAAGACGCATTACTATCTACTACATCAACTTTCGTAGGAAAAAGTATAAAAGAAAACCACAGACCAAACACAAAAGAAAGAAAGAAAAACTACATAAGGAGAGAGAGTAAGAAAGAGGAGGCAAGGCAAGCAGTCATATGGATAGAGCCTGACAAAAGTGTTGAAGAAGCAGATGTGGTGGTGCGAGGCCTTCTGTAACCTCCCCTTTTCCTTATGAAAACTCCAAGCTTCCTCGTTACAATCGCTTCGTCATCGCCATGGCCTGAACACAAAAGAAGGGACTGAGACAAGAACAGGAGTAAGATGATCGATAGAATGAGTAAGCGTTTGATGTCACCCATCTCTGCTCTAAGATGAGATAAGGTTTTGGCCCTCTGTTGTGATTATAAAGAAGGAGTTGAAGAAGATACTTTTTGTTGGAATGATATATTTAATGCACGTTTGGTGGGATGATTGAGAAATGAGATGATAAGATAACATAATAGTGTCATGTGGAGCTTATAGTGGCCATAATTGAAAGATTTGACTAGCTGGAAAACTATGTGTCCAATATCACAAAGCGATCATCAACCAAGGTCAAAGCCGACAACGATCAAGTCTTTACAGTTCCCACTTTCACTGCAATTGATATAATTACCGAATCAACTATTCTTACCTTTACGACAAAGTCAAGCAACTTGCTTTCCACACACTATTTCTTTGATGAACTACGAGTAAATAGGGTTCCAATAAAAAAAAATGATTTTAAATGGTAGATACTAACCAGGAAAGGTGTCAATCTTGGTAGGCTAATAATTTGTCCAAAATGGATGGCTCCACCTCCCGGAAAGATGTGACCAGACCAACTCGTTTAGCTAATTCCCCTGTGACTCGGTCCATGTAAAGAAGATACAACCCGTTCCTTTCTTCCAAAGCAGCTACTGCTTTCCTCGCATGGACTACTGATGCTATCCACTCCTCAAACACAACTGCAAATCAGACACAAACCAATCTCAGCATCATAAGTGATTCTTTCTGTCATCCATAATTGTACTTGTGTCGGCCAAACTATAATAATCTGTAAAAAGCTATAAAATAAATTATTTATAAAAAAATATAGATGCATTTTCTATCAGAGCCAGGTTTCGATCCTGGGACCTGTGGGTTATGGGCCCACCACGCTTCCGCTGCGCCACTCTGATTTGTTGTATATGTAACATACATAAAACATTTAATATTTAGTTTACCGGTTTCAAATGCTTCACTCTGTGCCCAGGGTACCAAATAGTCACATATCAAGAACTCAATAAGCTGTATCCTGCAGGTTCATAAAACATAATCAAGATCCGAAGCCCCAAAGTATATAACAAACACATAAGAGTTTGTAATACTTACAATATAAACATGCACTCATCAATCTCTGGGAATGATTCATCAAATGGGTCCATAAACAGTAAATTTTCGGCTATATTGGATATTCTCTGAGAAACAGCAAATATTGCACGGTGTCCAATGTATGGCTCACTTCCCAGTTTACGGATCAAATGTTGGACATAAAACCCAACACTTGTTTCTAGTTGTTTCACCTCTACAACAGATTGTAAACAAACAAAAACAAACATTAGAGATGAAAACTAGGAAGAAAAAACAGAGTTAGAATCACAATTAAACTGCTAAAGTTACCATTTCCTTTAAAGGAAGTGCACATTCTTGTGATCAAGTGTGCAATCATAGAACTGATAGATTCTTCAACAGATTCTAAGTTCCTCTCCATTGATATCAGCTTCTTCAGTGAAGCTACAGTTTGCCAAAAAGAGCACATTATTCAAGACGAGGAACAAAGAACATACATTTGTTTCATAAGTGCAAAGCAAGCCTCCTAATGAAAGGAAAAGCTACTCAGGAATTAAATAAATTCTTTGCAACTCAGGAGTTTTGAATAACATTACCTAATATGAAATCTACAGCCTGATGTGACAAGTTGCTGAAATTAAAGGCCTGCAGAATAAAAGAAGCGAGTTTAAAGCAGCAAAGCATCTAAGAGTGGATATTACCAGAAAAAGCTTAAGCAACAGAGACTAACATTGGAGTCTGCTTCCGCCAGTTCCAGGAGAAAATCTATAGATATCTTTAGATGCTCTACTTCCTCTTCATATCCCGGTTCTGCAGTCAAAGTTCCAACTCAAATAAAAAAGAGTCCCAGAAGATGAAATGGTACTTCTTGGTTAAGTGGTCTCTATTCTTCACTTCTTTCTCCCATATAGTACATCTATGTCATGTTATGATATCATGTTGAATGTATGCATTAAGGACTCAAACTGGGAGATAACATAAGGTGAACCCGGCCCATGAAGACCCTTAACGAACCTGAGAGACGCAATCTTTGAGATGACCGAGTTGATTTCGTTCTGCCCCTTGCCCTCGCTAGGGATCAAATGAAAACACAAGCTGCTAAGTTAATCCCACAAACACAAATGTAACAAAGAGAATACAAACTGTTCAAACTAAAAGACTGATGAATATATAAACATGGGAAAGAGACCTAGTCTGAGAAATCTACGGCGAAGGACATCGTTAAATCTCGGTTCAAAGGCCTCTCCAATTCGCCTGCCGCTGAATTCTCCCAGGTTATCAAAGAAATAACACTTGCAAGAAGCATTCGCTGGGAACAAATCACGTTGCGAAGCACCTAGATGACAGAAAATGCATTAATAAAAGACCAGTAACTTCCAGAAACATCTTGTAGACTTTCCATTTTGAGAATCCTTAAATACACAAACGAGTTTAGAGAGACGGAAATTACTTTCAGCATCCTTGAGATCTTCCTGGAGCCTGATGATTTCTTTCTTCCTCTCTTTAGCCTAATTTCAAAATCGAAAATCCCCAACTATGTTAGAAGCTCCGTCTCGCAACCGAAGAAAACACAAGAGAACATTGACCTACATTTTAAACGACGAGCAGAAATCGAAGTGTAGCCCTAGAAATTCTATACAAAATGGTTGCAGATTTCGCCAAAGAGAAATCAGATAGTCGCGGAGAAAAAACGAGAATGCACTTAAACCCAGATACAACAAAATAAAATCGAGAAGGCACCTTGTGCTTCCAGCGAAGAGCGTCAGTTTCGGAGGGAGAATCAGAACGGGAAGTAGATGAAGAAGATTGACGGTTCTGGATCTTCGATCGTAGAAGAGAAACAGCGATCGCCAGTCTCAGCGACTCTTCCTTCTCCATGTGATCTGCTTCAGCGACGCTCGGAACTCGTTTCGTTCAAAAAAAAGAAAATTAATGACAATACTTTAATTTTGGGGATAGTGTGTGATTCCAATGCCTGCGCGGGAGAGCTTTTGTGAAGCCATACAGAGGCCCATTATGGCCCATTATGGCCCATTAATGCATCTACGAGGAGTCCACAAATTCTAGCTGTTGACTGTTTAGCTCAATCAACCGTATGGATAAAATTAGAAATACAATAACATTTCCAATGTAAATATCTGAACCGACCAGTTTATAGGGGTCTCAAGTCTGAACAACAATCAACTGAATCAAGTATCTGAGACCGTAAAACAAAAATGCAAAGGTCAAAAATGAAAAAAAAAAAAAGTCACAGAAGAATACAAAAAGAAAGAAAGGAAATGAACACATTCCCAATAATGTCACAATGAAGGAGCATTAAGAAGAGAAACCCCCCCCCCCCCCCTCAAGTTTTCTTGTTGGAAACTATCTTTGAGTTCTGAGAGTCCCTTTCTCCTTCTCCCTCAAGCTTACAACACAACATTCATCGCACAAGCCTTGACTCGGAGAGCAAAACCGTAAAGCATTTGGTTCCTCTACAGATTCCGACAAGCCTCGACGTCTGCAGCCTGTGAGGCCAAAATGGGCTTCCCCTTTTCGCTTGACTCCAAGATGCGTACAGCTGCATCGATCACCGCCTTCTGGAACCTATCATCCTCCATTTTTCCAAGGACTTCTCTAACCAATTTGAAATCCACAACACCAGCCAGAATCAGCCTTCCAACAATCTCACCAAAGTTGTTCGGTGCTTTAGGAAGATCGATTCCAATGTCATCAAGCATAGCACCGTACTCCAAGAACCCAGTTTCAAGATCCTTGGGTGTGACCACCTTCTTTGACAACAAATACTCCAAGAGTTCAGCGATTGGCGCAACAACAGGCGGGCTTTTCTCAAGGGACAGAGAAACTGCTTCCTTCACAAACTCTGCATGATATGAAGGCGACCCAAGCTCCACCAAACACTGCAGAGCTTCGTCAACAAGTCGGACACTGAAATATTCCTCCAGAAGCGACTTTGTTTTCCTCTGGAGCACTTCTTGGCTCAACTTCGGAGCACTAGGCTGTGGTTTCTCCACCGGAACAGGTACGGTCCGAGGTGCAGCCGGCTGAGCTGGCGGTGTAAGCGGGCGCGACGCTGAACCGCTACCCTGCAACAGAGCGCTCGTCTTACCACCCATAAAACCGCTGCTGCCTTGAGGTAAGAACTTGGAGTTCATTGAGGTCGACTTGCTCATTGCCGGAGAATGCACAGGTCCTGGACCATCGCGTCTAGACATTGATCTTGACCTCGGTACCTCCCAGTTATCATTGTCCGCACCAGGCATACCAGGCATCCTTCGCGTCCCAGGCATACCAGGCATCAAGCCACCTGCACCAGGTCGCCCACCAGGGTAGATAGGGCCAGGACTCACAGGTCCACTACTAGAAGCAATACCCTTTCTCATGTTTGCAGTGGCACCTGGTCGGAGACCAAGGTTCTTCTCTGCGTCCGAATGGATTTCGGTTATAGTCTTTGCTTTCATCTGCACAAGCAACGTAAATAAAACATTAGAACCACTACAGAATGGAGCAGCAAACAAGTCTCAACCTTGTATAACTCATAAAACTGAGAAAATGTAGATTTTCAAGGCCAGGCTACCTCTTCCCGCCTGGGAACCCAGCCATTGGAGCGCAAGTCGATGATATTCTGAACCATGAACCTCAGACGCAGTTCCAACTGAGGATTCTTGGACAGATCCTGTAGGCGTCTGAAATATGCATCATTGATCCGTTTTGACTTCATATTTCCGTCAAGCTGTTTGCCAATAGTTTTGAAGAAATGACATATAGCTTCAACATTTTCCTCTGCTGGACACGCTTTCTCATCGGCCCCCAGAAGCTCCTATGCTCAGAACAATTTGATAAAAGGTTACTACAGATAACAAAAACATAAATTGGCTAAGAAATTATGTATATTTATAGAGGTTAACCTGAACGATGTGATGAACAATCTTCTCTGGAACCATCTTCTGCTTTAGGAGCTCACCGATCAGACGAATATTCCCTAGAGTCTTGAGCTTCAACAACTTTTCTTTGTCCCTACGGTCAGCCTCCTGATCTGGAGCACTCATCTGTCTAAGCTCCTCCCTCAAATTGGCAGCGCCTTCAAAGGCCTCTTGACAGATATTCAGCAGAACCCTCTTAAATGTGATCTCTTTCTCCCCAGGCGCTTCAGGTGGGAAAGTGGGCAGCTTGTCGTTGATATCAGAGCACAATTCAGCATACATAGGGCAAAACGTCGGCTCAAGGACAGCTTTGTCAAAAATAAGGGTTATCACACCCTGCAAATGAAAGAAGAGAACACTGGTTAGCTACGTGTACAGCCTAGATGATTCAAACAAAACTATATCCATGCTTGGAGACAGAGTATACACCTTAAGGATATCAGCAGATGTGATGCCAGAGTCAATGAGCTGTCCCTTAAGAAGATCATACTTCTCAGGGGTAAGCTTGTTCAGTATCCTAGACAACAAAAAAGTATATCCTAATCAGTGAGCAAGAACGATTTAAAGATATCATGTTGGCAGTGAAGGAAAAATGATGCAGTAAGTAACTGTCTCAAAAGGGAATTACCCTTTCACAGTCTTCAGAACACGATCATTTTCGGAAAGGTTTCCTCTTCTAGCTGACCAAGGTACTTCAGCTTTGACAAGGGCAGGAGCTGGTCCACCCTGGTTCCACACGATACATTAGTAAGAAAGTAAAATAAATCATGCCAAAATGAAAAGGACAAAGAAAGGGGAAAAAAAAACACATTAAATGAATTGATCAATTACCCCTTGGTTGGATGATATTTGTGACCTCGAAAACTGGGAATTAGGCAGGTCTTGACGATTATATTGGCTTGCTTTGGAATCTCTAGACTCACGGAGATTTTCCCATGACCTGTCCTCCCCAGAGGGTGGAGCTTGAGCAGCAGAACGGCTGCGCCAATCACGAGTGTCTGGCTCAGCGAAGCGACCTGCAGGCTGAACCGGAGCCTGGAGCATTAAGATAACACATCTGTGTCAGAACTCATGAAACTCCATGTTAGAGGAAACAATGCAAAAGTGATGTTTCAACAAAAAAAGTATATATACCAAATTGCTTACGACACTTTCCCCACGTGCCCAAGTCTCTTCCTCACCAAACAGTTCTACTTCAGTTTCCCGCTTGACTTTCAGAATTTCCTCAGAGAGTTGAGCGGTCTGTACATATGCAGAGACGTCAGTGACCTCAAAACAAAGAAGAACAGAACCAAAAAGCACAAAATAGAACGGCCTTGATTAAAGATAAATCACCTCTTTAAGTTCCAGGAGCTGATCACGGGTGTACTTCACACGTTCACGGCCATCGAACCGTGAGTCTGCACCCTGAAACAAAAACATAAGTCAGGATGAATCTTCACTAACTGACACTGGCTAGATACACAAAAACATATAAGAATGACATAACCAAGAGAGGAAGTATTCGTAGAATCATAAGGCCAAGATGATATATGAAGTAAGAAATGTCAATAGGTCCTTTATGAGCAAATAGCAGCTGATAAAAATGCCCACCTAAAAGCCTACATATCATTTTATGTCCATATTTACAGCAGCTACACATACTTGTGTGCGCCGCTAAGAATCAGGACAAACAAATTTGCTGGCTACATTTATATATTTGATTCTGTAAGTTGCAGACATGTGGTTCTATGTGGTCGGGAATCATCCGAAAATCCAACATGAGGCAGTTAAACTCGCAAATAAAAAAACTTTGAGCCAATAACCGAAAATTGTAATTCCAAATCAAAAGGCTGTTGTTAGCTATAAAACCGAAAAAATGGATAAATTGAGAGTGACAGAAATAACGAGAAGCTCACGCTAAGACACCAGAGATCAACAAAACCATTTCCAGACAGAAGGGGAAAAAAAACTAAGTCCCGTGAGAAAGAAGAGCTAGATCCAGATATATAAGGGAGCTTTGGCGCCCAAAAATGACGGTACCTTGAAGGGAAAAGAGGAAACAGGAGCACCGCCATGGGGGCGAAGGAGAGGTAGATCCGAAGAGGAAAGAGAGCCAAAAGAGAGAGACGAAGAAGAAGAAGAGGAACCAAAGAGTCTGTTTCCTCGACCGCCACCAGGTCTCAAGCTCAGCACCGTCTGATCGCCTTGCTGCATACCTCGATCTAAACAGCCGAGATCGAATCGAATCTCCAACAAAAACGAAGAAAGGAAGCGAAGGTAGAAGAAGCTTTTTCAGCGACGATGAATCGCTGAGTCCGAGATTCGGAGAGGGATCGGCTTTGAGCTCTCTCTCTCTCTCTCTCCTGGCGTTAGCGAAGAAGAGAAGAGAAAAAAGGTTGAGATGAGGAGGAGAAGAAGTCGAGAAGGAGACACAATCCCTTCTCTTTATTAGGGTCTTATTCCTTTTCTTTATTACACGAACCAGACACATTTATAGCTTCTTCGTTTTTGTCAGTAAAATTACAGTTACATCCTTTACTTTTGTTTTTTCGTTTCTTTGTTTCATCACACCCGTTGGTTTTTCCGTCATTATGTACTTCTAAGCTTTATTAGGCCAAAAAGTCTTCCCCTTCCACGGCAAAATGTGAAAAGGCAAAGGAGCTCTCTCGGCTCAAGTAAACAAACAAGAACACTGGTATCACTTGATGGAAGTATGCGTCAATATTTATTCAATTTTCAGGTTTTCCAACAAACTACCCTCTTGCTTGCTACAGATTCAGTTAATGTGTGATACTTGTTGCATCTTCAGAACGACCAAGCTATGGCCTTGAGTCCTTGACTCTTGAGTTGTCTGACTCACAAGGACTGTAAGAGATCTAGCTCAGCATTGTAATTCACTGGAGGTTGTCACTGGATCATGCGTCCATAACTTGACTGAAAACTATTAATCTCGCATGTTGCAATCACACTTGAACATCTCAATATCTTTACTTACAACAAAAGTCTTATAACAACTAAAGAGGCGTCGACACAAACAGAGATCAATAAACAACTTGAGGCGTTTATTAGACTCCTCCTTGTGTTTGAATCAATACTTCTCCTGTTGAAGCAAAGGTTTTGCCTGATAGTACAGCCAGTTAAGTTCTTCATGAGATTGAGAAGTCGGCGGGCTGTGCGATGTTGACATCCTCAAACTCGTTACCATCTGCACAAGAAAGAATGAGATACACTCATCATCATGCCATTCATAGCTTCACAGATACAAGACCGTATCCTCGATAGTTGTGTGTGTTATCAATTACGGCTAACTAATAAGACCGATGGGATCTAAACAGGAATCACATTCAGCTATATCCGGCCACAAAGGTTTTAGAGACTGCAATGAATCATCAATGAAGTTTGAAGGGTTCCCAGACCGAAGAAGCATATAAAAACTGTGATTACTAGTTAACCAAGATCTATGTTACCTATATACCAACAAAATCTATAAGAATAAGATAAGGAGCAAAGGAAAATGAGGGCTAACCTTTCCTCAAAGTCAGAGCAACGACTGCATCATTCTCAACCTGAACAAACAACCAAAAGAATATGGGTGACAAGCTTATAACTTAAAGATACGCAAATGGTGGCAGTTTTTATATGACTAAGATAGTTCTGCTTTAAACTTGAACAAAGAACTGCTATTATCATTCCCCAACACTGGCTAGAAACATAAATGTATGATACCTTCTGCTCCGCGAGAGTTTTCGAATCCTCTAACACTTCTTCGGTAGACATTAAGACCAGACGCTGATTGCTAACTGGTTGCTCAATGAGGTCAAACAGTTTTTGCTTAACATCCAACACAGTCTCAGTTGGATCACATTGGATAAAGTAGGTGGTTTTCATGCGCTTCACACGAATATACATGGCCTGCAAACAAAGATTACGCACACTCATCAATCCTACAACCATCATGACCAGACCTAACTCTTCGATCGATTAAGAACAACAGTGAAAAAGTGCCCAGGAAGCTGAGGAGAAGGTAAAACTGATGAGCATAATAAGATTTCTAAGGGCAAGATCTCTCAACTTTCCCGGATAAATAAGCAAAGAATGATCAAAGAAAAGATTACTGTATAATGGAAATCGACCCAACCAAACTAAAGCAACGACGTATAAACATAAATGCAGTACCATGGCAAGACAAGGATGAACAATTTTATCTTCTTCTTCCGCTGCCGATTCCGAATACTTATTCCGGTCAAAATCTGTTTTAGAGAAGCCAATTATCAGACTTTCAGCAAGAATTGACAAACGCAAGTCTTTGATTTACCGAAACATGTGATATCGTTTCCCCCCTCAAATCAAATCTCCTTTTGGATATTCAAAAGAACATAAAGCACATCTTTTTAAAAATTACCAATTCAGATAACAAAGAAATCGAATGATCTAGATCAATTAAGGATGAAAAAACTGACCACAGTAATGGAAAATCTGCGAGCTTGGCTTCCTTTATTTCGATCTGTCAATGTGAAGCTGGAACTCAGCTATACAAGGTAAGGAAGAAATAAAAACTCTGTTTTCCTCGCAAAGTCTTGGTGGCTGGTTTGGCTTCACTTTTAATACTATCGTATAGATTAGGCTTCGTATTAAAAACCTGCTACACGATACAGAGGGTTTCGTTTTATCTTTTTACTCTTTCAAAGTCCCACATCGCTAACAATATAAGCGTGGAAGAAACAAGTAGTAGTATATATTAGGAGGCAAGGCATCCGAACAATTCATACCTTTCTCGGCCTTTTGGCTAAGATCAAGTGTAGTATCTGTTCTTATCAGTTTAATATCTGATATGTGGACCATCGGTCCACACGATATTAACTCTATTTTTTAAGGGAGAAAGCCCACTAAGATAGCTTGCTATCTGGGCTTTCGCGAGTCGCCCATGCGTTGCACTACTGCACGGGCCTGGCTCAACCCGCCAATTATCGAATCGAAATTTTTATATATTTTCAACAGTTGAATTAAATTATATTAATTTATCTCATTAAGGGCAACAGAGGTTCGACAACAGTAACAGATTCATAGGATCCTAGCCACTAAAGCCCATATTATCCAATTAATCTCTATGGAGTCTTTTGTTCCAATAGGCCCAGCCCATTAAACTGTGGTTCGGTCACTAAAATATCGTATGTTATATAATTTAGTACTCCAATAGGCCCAATTCTTATAACGGTCACTAAAATACCCTATTTTAATTACTCGTTTTATATTAGGAAGTATAATAAGTTCGTAACGATATATGCTTTTGTGAATGGTTCGCACAATTGCCGTTTCTTCTCTCGCTTTCTTCTTTTTTCTTTGCGGCGATTCAGACGCCACCATCACCGCAAGGTTTTGTTTCTTTCTTTTTTAATGTTCTCTCGATGGTTTTAACTTTCGCGATTCTGTTTTTTTGTGGAATTTTACAGAGTATCAATTACCCTCTTATGTCGTTGTGTTCTTGCGTTTTAGGGTTTTCTAAAAAAAATTCGTTTGCGCTTCTCGATTTTTAGAATGTACCTTTGTTGTTTAAGATTAGGGTTTTTTTATTTCGGCTTTTTGATTTGTAAAAAACTCTCTTTTGGATCGTATGTGTTGGCTTCGGTTCGAGGGTTTTTAATTTCGTTTCAAAGATTGTAAACCTTCTCTTTAGTTTCAGAGTTTCGATTAAGTTCCAGATTTTACAAACCGAAAAGACCTCTTTTGCCGCTGTATTCGTCCCTCTTGCGGGCTTGAATTTCAAAGATTCTTTTCTCTTTAAAGAATTACTTTTATTGTTTTAGATCATGGTTTCTGGGTTTTTTCGTGTTTTCGCAAATCAAAATCGCTCTTTTCCTGAGAAGAAGTTGTTATTTTGTGATTCTTTAAATTTCGGTTTTTGAAGTTTTTGTTTGATTAAAACCCCAAAAAGAAAGGGACGGCACATCATATGATTGTTGGCGGTCCGGTTTCTAACTTTGGGAAAATTGTCCTGTATAGTCCGATGTTGCCTAACAGATGCTTGAAAGCAAAGCTCGTCAAATTATGTTCCAAAAACTGGAGAAATCAAAGGTTAATTCGGTATCTGTTGCTGAGTTGGGACAGCATGTTATCATATTATAAACTTCAATACTCTGCATAGATTGCGACTCGTGTGTCCCGAAATTGGGAAAAATTCAAAACTCTGCTTAATTCTATATCTGTTGCTGAGCTGGGACAACATGATATTATAGACCTCAATGTTCTGCATAATGATGAGGGAAACAAAGTCCTTTTAATAAGGCTTGCTGAAAAATTCATTTCTCTGCTTGATTGTTTGTGTTGGGAGATTGGGAATTCATTTTTCTGCTTAAAGAGATCTTGTTATTGGTCTTGGGACGAGATGATATAAGTATTAATAATTTGCTGTGCAATATTGATGCATGATACTAACTCTCGGATCGTAAAACAAATGCATCAGCTTGGTTATAAGCTAAGAAATGGGAAATTGGTGGGTTGTGTTACATGACTGTAGCCTCGAAATACTATAAATGCCTCGGCTCGGTTATATAAGCTTGTCAAAAGGAAAAGAGTTGGTGGGTGGTGCATGATACTAAATCTTGAGCTGCTAAAAAAATGCCTCGTGCAATGATACAAATGCCTCGGCTCGGTTTAAAGCTCTAACGGGGAAACAATGTGACTGATAAACCATTCAATGTTCTGCATATTAATGGGAATATAGGTATTGTGCGATGTTGCCTATCAAAACCAAAGATGTCACAAAACTGAGGCCGTTGTAAATGATAGATTTACAATGTCAAAAAAATTAAAAATTCAATCCTCTGCTTAACTTCGTATCTTGCTTGGCTTGACACGAGAATGATATTTTCAGTAATCTGCATATTGATGGAGGAATGTTCTTTTAACAAGGATTGTTTATTGATGTTAGGAAGAGATTTCGAAATTCAGTTGTCTGCTTGAAGAGATGTCGGAGATTAGAAACTTCCATTATCTGTTGAAAGAGAGATGTTGTTTTTGATTAGAACAGCATGATAGATATCAATAATCTGGTGAAATATTGATGGGAGTAAGTAATGTCCTTTTAAGGCATGTCGAATGATGCTTAGGGGATTGGAAACACACTATATATTCTGTTGAGCTCGGGACACGTTATAATATTCAATATATTCTGCATATTGACTTTGGGAATGGATGTTCTTTAACGAGGCTTCTCGAATGATTGATCGATTACTAAATTCAATTGTCTGCTTATATAACTTTAGATCTTGTTTGGATGGGACAAGATGATATAGAGAATTCATTGATGTCTTGTGAAATTCAAGTATCTGCAGCATAAACGACAACATGATAAACCATTCAATTTTCTGCATAATATTAACGAGAAGGTATATGTCCTTTAATGGTGCCTCCGGATTAAAAAGATTCAAGTTTCTTCTGCCTTAAGTTTTGGGGTGACAACATGATACAGCAACATTCAGAGATGTCCCAAAGTATCTGAAATTCATGTTTCTGCGAAAATCATTCAATATTCTGTCTATTGTAATGGGGAACGTTGCATTATTCAACCATGTCCCAAGATTTCTGAAACTTACCTCTGGGGTGCTCTATAATAAATGGTATATCTGTTGTTGAGCTGAGACAGCATGTTATCATTATAAACTTGAATACTCTGCAAAGAGATTTGTCTTTAACAAGACTTGCGTCTTGAGTATAAACTTCAATACTCTGCAAATGTTTATCCTTAACAAAACTTGCTTCTTATAAGCTCGGTTACATAAGCTTATCAAACGGAAAAGAGTTGTTGGGTGGTGCATGATACTAAATCTTGAACTGCTAAACAAATGCCTCGTCTTAAAAATAGGAGAAGAGAGAGTCTCTTGTGGTGCAATGATATAAACGTGCTGAGCTGGGACAGCACGTTATTATGAGCTTCAGTTTCTGCATTGTGTCTTAACGATGTCACAAAAATTGGAAAATTCAGTCCTCTGCTTAAGTTCATATCTAGCTTAAGCTGGACATGATTAATATCATCATCTGCTTAAATCCTCCTTGTCGATTAATGTCCCAAGAATAGAATAATCAAGTTTCTGCACCAATTCAATATTCTGCTTAGATCCTCTGCTTAAGCTTGACATGATTAATATCATCATCTGCTGCTTAAATCCTCTGCTTAATACCTCCTTGTCGATTTATGTCCCAACATTGGGAAAAAAATTCAACTCTCTGCTTAATTATATATCTGTTGCTGAGCTAAGACAGCCTGATATTATAAACTTCAATGTTCTGCATATTGATGGGAGAATCAAAGTCCTTGACTTGTTAAAAAGTTCATTTGTCTGCTTAAACATACTCTGGCTTGTTGGCTTGAGATTGAAAATTTATTTTTCTGCTTAAAGAGATGATAGATATCAATGAAAAGACTTTGTCAAAAGGAAAAGTGTTTTGTTAGGTGGTGCAAGTGCATGATACTAGATCTTGAATTGCTAAACAAATGCCTCGGCTTGGTTGAGAAACAATATAATGATGTTTCTGTGACTTATAAACCATTCAATGTTCTGCATAATATAAATGGGAATATAGGTACGATGTTACTTAACAAAGACCAAGATATGCTTGAAACGGAGATAAGCATCTTTAAGCAAGGCTTGTCGAATTAGTCTCTCAGAGCAATTCCACATCGTGCTGAGCTGGGACATTATGAACTTCAGTTTCTGCATTGCATCTTAACGATGTCATAAAATTTAGAAATTCAATCCTCTGCTTAACTTCATATATGGACATGATTAATCTCATCATCTGCTTAATCATCCTCTGCTTAATATCGTCTTAACGATGTCATAAATTTGGAAATTTAATCTTCTGCTTAACTTCATATCTGGCTTAAGCTGGACATGATTGATATCGTCATCTGCTTAAATCCTTCTTGTCGATTTATGTCCCAAGATTAGGAAGATCAAGTTTCTGCATAAATTTAGTATTCTTCTGCATAAACCTTTAAAAAGGCTTGTCGAAACTATATACTAAGATTGGGAAACTCAAGTGTCTGCATTAACTCTATAATCTATTTGAGTTGACACAGCAGGTTATATTATTATTCATTGTTCTGCATACATATTAATTGGGGGAAGAAATGTGTAAGGCTTGTCTAAACTCTAAACATATCCAATGATTGCTTAAACGCTATATATCTTGCTAGTCCAAGACAACATGATGTATAGAGTATTCAAACCTCTATATAATCAAGAAGAATCTGGCGTCTTAGCGATGATCAGGTATGTATTTCATCTCTAACTAGATTGTACTCTTCTGTGCAGTTTTCTTATTTATTTTATCTTGTAATTTTGCTTTTGTGTCTATTAAATGGTAAAGTTCACTATTTATTCCTTATCTTACTCGTGTTAATGCCATTGAAGAATATACCAATCTCCGTTTGTCTCATTGTGTTCTAACCACTTTTTTTTATGGTTAGACTAATTCAGTCTTCTATATAATTTCGACAAGCTCTGGTCTCTCAGGTACGTTATTTCCCTTTCTATTCCGATTTTCAGTACTAACATTTGCTGGCTACGTTTAAAAATTTGCTTGATTGTTTAAAATTTACTTGATTGTTTAAAATGTGCTTGATTGTTCAACATCCTGTAATGTTTAAAATTTGTTTGATTGTTTACTTCATCGTTTAAAATTTACTATTATTTGTTGACTGCGCTTTAAAATTTACTTGATTATTTAAAGTTTGCTTGACTGTTCAATATCCCAATGTTTAAAATTTGCTTGATTGTTCAACATCCAATAATGATTAGAATTTGCTTGGTTGTTTATTTGTTGTAAAATTTTCCTTGATTTTTTGAAATTTGCTTGATTGTTTAAAATTTACTTGGTTGTTTAAAATTTGCTTGAATTTTCAACATCCTATAATGTTCTGCTTCATTGTTTCAACATCCTGTAATGTTTAAAATTTGATTGATTGTTTAAAATTTACTTGATTGTTTAATATTTGCTTGATTGCTTAACATCTAATAATGTTCAAATTTTGCTTGATTGTTTACTTGATTATTTAAAATTTATTATTATTTGTTGAGTACACTTTAAAAGTTTACTTGGTTGTTTAAAATTTGCTTGATTGTTCAACATCCAATAATGTTTAAAATTTGCTTGGTTGTTTATTTGATTGTTTAAAAATTATTTGATTGTTTAAAATTTGCTTGATTTTTCAACATCCTATAATGTTTTGCTTGATTTTCAACATCTTATAATGTTCTGCTTGATTGTTTCTAACATCCTGTAATGTTTAAAATTTGCTGGATTGTTCAACCTCTGTGTTTTAGAATTTGCTTGGTTGTTTAATGTTTGCATCTGGCACGAAAATCAGCATGAACATAACATAATTCAAATAGCTACACTACTGCACAGGCCAAATTATAAAGTTCAAATTTTTATTTAATTCATCAATTTAATTAAATCTTAGTAGCGTTAACCTCATTAGAATTAGCAAAGCGTATGCTCTAAATACCACGTGTCGTAAAGGTCCACACAAGACTCTCTTTTCCTTCTCCTTCTTCTGTAGCAGAAGTGAATGTTTCACCACAAGCTCTGTGGAAGTAAGTTAGAACTTCTCTCAGACATTCTTTGTCTGTGTGGGATCATCGGATTCTCTGTATCTACTTGCCTTATTCATCAGTTTTTTTGTGAAAACAAGAGATATTAAATTCTTTGAAATTTCTTCTTTCTTTTGAGAAGGATACAATACTTGTCTTCATCAAGATCTGTATGGATTCTTCTTGGCTTTAATCCAAGCCTTACTGTATTAGCTTCGATGTCTGGGAACATCATCTTGGTTTCAACCTATGTATTTCTTGAAATCTAATTAGCCTTTTTTTGAATTAACTCAAGCAAAGATTCAACGGAGTGATCTTCTAAGATCACTCTGGGTAAAACCAGTCCTTTCTCTTTATGAGTTGGCTACAAAGACATACATTTTGCTTTATGGTCGTAGTAAGTACTTTGGTTTTTCTTTTTCTCGCATCACTTCATATATTCAACGAAACAGTTAAGGTTTTGGTATTACTTTGCTTTTACATCAGACACACATGGCCTTGATCAGGAGCAAGATCTTAGCTACGTTAGGTGAAATGAAATTTTCATTGATTTTGTAAGTTTCCTCATTAATACTTCTTTGTGACAAACTCTTATAGTATGTTTTATTCTTGAGACTCAATCCAAAAAAAAAAAAAAAAAACAACAAAACGTGGTGGAGCCAAATTCTGATGATTGTCTAATTATTTGTTGCATCTCTTCAGATCAAATGTTATATATTTGACTTGGACATGTTGCACATTCTGACATACACAGATAAATCTGCAACGCTTGCTGTCACTATGCTCCACACACACTATGCTTACTTCACTTCAGGTGAAGCCGAATCACTCTCTTGCTTGTAATACAAGGTATTTGTTTCCCTGTAGACTCTATCCATCGAAGCACCGTGAGGCTCTTCTGAACAACAATCCTCTTCTTCTCAGGATACCCGGCCCAAACACTTTAAGACTTCCTCTCTGCTGCACCAACTCCATAATTAATTTATCAGATTGTTAAGAAAATTAAATTAATTAATAATCTTCAGTTTGTCCGAAGCTAATATATCAGATTATGGCTGTAGCTAGAGAGAGTGTAGTTATTTAAGATGTATGTGTTCTTGTTTATTAAAGTTGATGAAAAAATAAAGTTAATTAAAAATGTCCAATTGTTGGGAAAAAAAAATTAAAAATATGTCCGAGGCGATTTGGTTATTAATCCCACATCGCTAAACCTTGAATCGTTCACTTCGGAGTTGGTGTATAAAAGCAAGGCCCGATGCTTTATCCAATTCATACCTTTCTCGGCCTTTTGGCTAAGATCAAGTGTAGTATCTGTTCTTATCAGTTTAATATCTGATATGTGGGCCATCGGTCCACACGATATTAACTCTATTTTTTAAGGGAGAAAGCCCACCAAGATAGCTTGCTATCTGGGCTTTTACGAGTTGCTCATGCGTTGCATTACTGCACGGGCCTGGCTCAACCCACCAAACTATCAGTATAATTTTAAAAATTGGTTTCTGGTTAATATGAATCTGTTAAATTAATTTGAAAACGGTAAATATACTCGCTTACTGTCTGAGATGATCAGATAAGGTACTTTTTTACTAAAGCGCACACGCGGCTTCCGATGACGATTTGTTACCCAGATCCCATCGCCGGTTTCTCGCCGGAGTTGACGGTTAACACTTGGAATCTCCGCTCTCTATCTCAAGCTTCAGTTTCTTCGGGTCATGGCGTTCGATTCCCGCGTCGATTAAGACGAGGAGGAAAGACTCTCATATGTTCTGGTTCGAAATTGGCCTTATTATTATTCTATTAACCCTTTTTTTTTCTTTTATGTTAAAATATACAATTATTCTCCCTTGCGTCCTTAGTTAGTCAATGTAGGTTATCCGGCAAAGAAAATCAATTTGATGATGCTTAAAAATCCACAGTTGCTCTTGGAACTGATGAATGATGTGAATGATTTTGTTTTGAGAGATCTGATTTCTTTCCTGCACAGATTCGAGCTCTCACTCATGGAATGTTCCTGTTCTGTCTAACAATGAGGTAATTCTCGTTTTTATTTTTCATCATGTCATAAAAATCCACAGCTTGCGCTGAAACCATTGAAGCTGTTCCCGTTTCGTTATCTAATGTCTAAAGGTGTTCATTGACTCCAACAGACTGTTCTGTAACTTGCCAAGGAAATTATAGATGTAGAGGCCGTAATGATTTAAGGCATATTCGTTATCTTTTTTATGTTCTAGTGAGCCTGATTGCGATTCGGTGAACTATATTTGGTGTCCAAGGTTGCTGAGAGGCTAAAACTAGCAAGAGAAGGACATCAAGAGTTCGTGGCCATGTATTCAAGTGTTGTTGGCGGGATAACAACCGATCCTGCAGCAATGGTTCTTCCACTGGATGATCACATGGTTCACCGTGGTCATGGAGTCTTTGACACAGCCATGATCATCAATGGGTCAGTCACTTTGCTCACTTATCCAACCTTAATTAGTCCTTATTAGTTACTATTACTCAATCATCTCAGTGTTCCCTTTTCATGTGCCTTGAAACCAAGCAGATACCTTTATGAATTGGATCAGCACCTTGACCGTATCATACGTTCTGCGTCCATGGCTAAGATCCCACTTCGATTCGACCGGGAAACTATCAGAAGGATTCTCATCCAAACCGTGAGCGTTTCTGGGTGTAGAGATGGGTCTCTAAGATACTGGCTCTCTGCAGGGCCAGGGGATTTCCTCCTTTCTCCATCTCAGTGTCTCGAACCAGCTCTTTACGCCATTGTGATCCAACAGAACCTCACCGTTCACCGAACAGGTGTCAAGGTAGTGACCTCTTCCCTCCCTATAAAGCCTCCAGAGTTTGCTACGGTGAAAAGCGTTAACTACCTCCCTAATGCGCTCTCACAAATGGAGGCTGAGGCCAAGGGAGCTTATGCGGGTATTTGGTTGGATAACGATGGGTTTATTGCAGAAGGTCCAAACATGAATGTGGGGTTTGTTGTTGGTAAGGAGCTTGTGATGCCACGGTTTGATAACGTTTTGAGCGGATGTACGGCGAAGAGAACGCTTACACTCGCTGAACAGCTTGTAAGCAAAGGGATGCTTAAAAGTGTGAAAGTAATGGATTTGGCAGTCGAAGATGGAAAGAAAGCGGATGAGATGATGCTTCTTGGGAGTGGAGTTCTCATACGACCAGTGATTCAATGGGATGAAGACATTATTGGTGATGGTAAGATCGATCATAGTATTAGCATTTAGAAGCTATTCACTCTTCAAATCACTTTCATTTATCATTCTTGACTTTCATGTTTATGTGACTCAGGGAAAGAAGGGCCAATAGCCAAGGCGTTACTGGATCTGTTGCTGGAAGACATGAGCTCTGGTCCACCTTCTGTTCGTGTGCTTGTTCCTTTCTAAGTTAAACCATTCTCTTAGCTCATCAAGTACAATATATAACTCTGGTCTTTCGTCTTGCTTTGCTGTTGTTATTGTAAGTTGAAGTTGTCTTTGACTCACACAATTTCATGTATCTGTAGCTGTAAAGTTGTCTCTTTTACCACTTATATGACTGGGCCCATTTCTGACAATTTTATGTAGACACGACTCGATTGGTTGGGCAGTTGCGTCTACTCCTTAAATTTCTGTTCTTTTTTCTATCGTCCTTCCAAAATTGAGTTGGTTCATTAATTAAAGCACTAAAAAGCCTTTTTAGACTTTTCTTCTTAAGTCTCCTCCACCTTCTGTTTATTGATCAGCTCAGGCTAATCGAGTCGTGTTTTTTTAGGCGCGTATCTAATGCAGGAGCCTTTGGTATTGTGGGTGAAATGAAGATTCAGGTGAAGCAAGCTACGATCGTGAAGCCAGCCGAGGAGACACCGACACACAGTCTATGGCTTTCGAATTTGGACCTGATACAAGTGAGATTTCACATGGGCATACTCTACTTTTACAACCCATGTTCCTCCTCAAGTCTTTCCGACACTCAATCCCTCATCGATGCTCTGAGCAAGGTTCTTGTCCTCTTCTATCCTGCCGCCGGGAGGCTCCAAAAGGGTAAGAATTCTCTACAGTTGTCTTCGTTTCCCGATCGAGTCGAACCGTGCTACCTTATTTCATCTTCACATGCGTGGTTTGATTCCTCAAGGATGAAACCTGAAATCGGCTTTCTTTAATGATTTTTCACTCTTTTTGTTCTTCTTCTCATATTTATATGTTGTAGATGCGAATGGGAGGTTGGAAGTTAGATGCAACGGAGAAGGAGTTTTGCTAGTGGAGGCTGAGACTGATTCTACTGTACAAGACATTGGCTTCCTCACTCATAGTTCGGATCTCTCTCAACTTGTACCAACTCTTGACTACTCAGTAGACATCTCTTCCTTGCCTCTTCTTCTCTTCCAGGTAAAGCTTTCCTCATCTGTCTGAATATTCTTTGTAAAATATTGAAAACCTCCATTGCTGCTGGTGTTAACTGAACTTCTTCATCTTCCCTTCAAGAGTGTCTTAAAGATTGTCCATTTGATTCGTTTTGCACATGGACTCTATGAACAATTACCTAAGAGATAAGTTGCTGGTATTTTGCAAGGTTACATATTTCAAATGTGGAGCCATCTGTATAGGAAACTCAATACACCACACATTCGGCACAGCTGCTTCTCTTGAGTATTTCATGGAAGCATGGTCTAGAACTGCTCGTGGACTTCCTGTTAAGCTAGAACCGTTCTTCGACCGCACTGTTCTTCGCGCACGGGACCCTCCTTCCCCTGTCTTTCTTCACACTGAATACCAACCACCTCCTTTTCACAATCCTCCCGTGAAATCCCTGCTTTACAGATCAAATCCTGAATCTGATTCCGCAGTAGCCAGTCTCAAGCTCACACGTCTCCAACTGAAAGCTCTTAGAGCTAAGGCAGAGGTTGCTGATAGTAAGTTCAGTACATACGAACTTCTGGTCGCGCATATGTGGCGTTGTGCTTGCTTTGCCATTGAAGGTAATGAAAATCGATCTTGTTAGACTCTGGAAGACTCTGGAAGCTAAAAAGCTTAAAACTTTCTCTGTATTGTATGAACCAAAGGAAGTGATTCAACAAACGTTTCTTCTTTTTGTTCACCCACAGATTTAAGTGAAGAACACTTGACGAGGTTGCATATAATCATTGATGGGAGGTCGAGACTACGACCAAAGCTTCCACAGGGATACATTGGGAACACTCTCTTCCACGCTCGCCCTGTATCACTGCTTGGCGATTTCCGCAGAGAGCCTCTCAGCAAAACAGTGGAGAGAGTTCATGTGGAGATAAGGAAAATGGACAACGAGTACTTGAGATCAGCGATTGACTACTTGGAGAGACATCAAGATCTCGATCAGTTGGTTCCTGGTGAAGGCAACCCCATCTTCAGCTGTGCAGCAAACTTCTGCATCGTCGGTCTACCAAAGACGACGGCTTACGAGTTGGATTTCGGATGGGGAAGGCCCTTCTACGAGAGAGCTTCACATTTGAATGAAGGTAAAGGATTTGTGGCTAGGAGCTTAGACGAAGAAGGGAGCTTTCTGGTGTTCATGTGCTTGAACAACTCTCAGCTTGGTATGTTTCGGAAGCTGTTCTATGAGTTTCTCAATGTGTCTGCATTGTGACTGACAATCACAAGGCTTTTTATTTGGACTGGGTTATCTCTCACATGAACCTGTGTATTAAATCGAAAATAATCAATCAATCTTTAAACGCGTTTACTGTGTCGGCGACGTCAAAGCATAAAAATATCATTTTGCCCCATTTTTAAATAAATAATTTTTTTTGAAAAGAGCTCGTTTGCACGTTTTATAGGTCCCACTCTCGGTTTGACTTTAGAGAATATCTGGTCGGCTTCGTAGAAGATATCACAGCGCTTGATTGTCGATCTGAACTCTCCGATTTTCCGCCATTTTCCACATTCGGTGGAAATTCAATCGGAGATTCACCTAATCTGCGTTTCCCCTCGCCGCGTCGTTCGAATCATTTCTCGATCTCGTCATTGACCAGAGAGATCAAAAACCATAATCCAAAACTCTGGGAATTTTGAAAAATCAAGGAATCTGAGAGGATGGTGGAGAGAACGATGAGCCTGGGGGTGGGAGGCAATGGAGAAACCTCGGGGGTTAGAGAAACGATGTGGGCGCAGCAGGAGCTTCTTCAGAAGATCAACCAGGAGCTTGACGCTGAACGCGAAGCCTCTTCATCGGCTGCTTCCGAGGCCCTGTCGATGATTCTCCGGCTTCAGGGAGAGAAAGCAGCGCTGGAGATGGAGGCTAGTCAGTACAAGAGGATGGCGGAGGAGAAGATGTGCCATGCCGAAACCTCCCTCGCGCTCTTCGAGGATCTGATTTACCAGAAGGAAATGGAGATCGCGTCTCTCGGGTTTCAGGTCCAGGCTTACAGATGCAAGCTACTCAGCGCAGGCTGCTCCGATCCGGCCGTCATCGAGAACAAGTTCCCGGAAAACCTCATCTTCTTCGGCGATACCTCCTCTCGTGTAAATCAAAAGAAGAAAATGAAGCGAAATCTATCGGTAATCAAGCGTTTCAGTTTCACAATTTCGTTTGGTTAATTATTATAACTGAAAAACTAATTATCATTGCTATATAAAGCTTTCTGTGTTTTTTCATGGTTTCGAGATTAAAAGATCAAAAACTGGTTAAGTTTATATTATCTCTTGTGTTGCAGAGCCCATTCCATGGCATGACCAGTGATTCCGATAGTAATGGTGAAAGCTTTGAAGAGAAGAAAGGTCTCGAGGGTGCTTTATCTCCTCGTGAAGACTTGAACGCTTATTGGGAACAGATCAGGAGGATCGATGACCATGTCCGAGAGATTTCAGACTCGAGAGGCTCTCCTAAAGAAACCAAGTTCCCTTTGCTTAGGCGTGAGTCAATGTCACATGCGTTGGTGTCACAGGTGAGCAATACAATCCTCGAGTCAGCCAAGAGTGATGTCAGCTCGATCATGGAGATGATGAAGAACCCTGATAGGTACTCTGTGAAAGATGCTTCTTTCGAGTCTCCGATTCGTTCTCCAAACGTCCATGACGTCTTCGAGGTTCCTAGGACGAAGGAGAGCCTTACAATCATCTCCGAAGAAGATGAAATCGAAGAAAGAAACGTAAGTCATCATCACCAATCTATCTATAGTGAACTAACCTTTTGGCTAAGCAAACTGATCAAGTGCTAATATGTGTAGAAAGAATCGCAGCTCAGAGGTAAGATGGTGAGTAGTAGCAGCTACGAAAGAAAAGTGAGTAAGCCGCCAAGAGATATGAGCATCAAGGCAGATCATATGAGTTTGCTAAAAGAGATTCGAGAACAGCTAAATGTAATGCAAACAGAGATGAGAAGCTTAAGATCAGAACTGCATCAAACTCAACCTGTTGTGTCCCATCGCGAGGATGAGGATCGAGCCCTTAACTCAATTCAAGAGGTATAACCATCGTGTTCTTTCTACTTAGTAGAGATGCCCTGAATTATATTCGAAACTATAATAAGCATGTGTTTTTGTTTCATGAACAGGCTATGATTCACTTCTGGCTTTAGAAGCTACCATGTGGCGTGGTCCTAGTTTTCTTCTATACACACCATTTGTTAATTGTTAGTCACTTGACCTTTCAAGAGGAACCGAAGGGATGTAAAAAAGAAACTGATAGATTTCAGATTAAATCTTTGGTATTTGTATGTAATTCGATTGGCATTGTGAGGAAAAAAAAAAAAAACTCTTAAAATCTCTCCCTAATCTTAAAGAGACACTGATGGTACAAGAACCTAAAGTTGATGTATAGGTTCATTCAGTTGGAGCTGCTGATGCAGAAGATGCAGGGAGGATTAGATGAACGGTTGTCAAGATCAGGAGTGGTGCCTCTCAAGCACTTGAAGTGGTAGACATGACCACAAGCCAGCACGCACGCCTCTTCTAACCTCCTCAACTGAGATCCAGGCCGTTCTGGATCCGAGGCTAGATCTCTCTGGCATAAGTCGCACTTGTGTCCAACTTCTTCAGGAGCAAACACCTTGTCAAGCTCTGCAAAATTCCAAAAGAGAAGAACAAATAAGAAACCATAGCTCAAACGACATTGGATCAGATGATGATGATGATAATAATACCATCGTGAATCTGCGACGTCGCTGTACTAGGATGGTGGGCATTCGGAGTTTTCATGAGAAGTTGTTGCATTTGTAGGGGGACATTATGAAGACCAGGTGAAGCGGAAGCTGATGATCCTGAAGCTTGTAGCTTAGAAGTGGCTTCATCCATCTTTTGTTGAAGCTTTAGGAGCATCTCCGTTCTCTTAGCCAGCTTTTCTGCATCGTTTCTTCTTGCCGAATCCATGTTTTAGTATTCACTCACGCACTGGAAGACGAAACTTCTGTAAGCGAAGAAAGACGAACAAGAGAAAACAAAAGGAAAGTCAATCTTCGTTCGACGTTATTTCTTTTGTGTTGTGTGCAGAGAGATATATCAGGTTTACGAAGAAATACAATTAGGGTTCATTCAGGAATTGAAGAATTTGCCATTAGTAAAAAAGAAAAATCTAATTCAAACACAACAACAGAGGGAAGAGAGAAATTGGAGAACCTGTGTGTCTCGACGTGTAGGTGTAAGGGAGAGATTTTAGAGTTCTATATTTTATATTTTGCTTTGGAGTTTTTTAGCTATAGAATACATATATAAAATAAGTGATGATAATCTTGGATATAGTTATACTAGATTAGGACGCGTGTATATACGGGTTTGGAAATTGTTTTAAAATCTGTAAACAATATATTAAAACACAAATAAACAGCTTTAATTATATTTACTTCTATATTTATATTTGACTTTGTATTAATTAAAATATTTATTACACATCGTAAAATTTGACTAATTGGTTCGCATGACTGGTTTAGTCACTACCATTTTCAAACACAACGATTTCATGTAGTAGCGGTTGGTAGTATTTGATAGTGTTTGACAACAACCATAGAAAACGCTTTCAAACATATTTAACCGCTTTATATCATTTTTTTCCCTCAAAATCAAAAACTCTTTCTCTAGTGTTTGCGGTTGCGAACGATTACAGTTGGACAATTAAAAATATAAAATTAAAAAGAAATATAAAATTATTTAAAATCAAAATATACAATATTATTTCATAAAATAAATTTTAAATATTATAATTAGTTGTTTAAAAGTAATATTAATTAACTATTAATCATAATTTTATATTTATAAGATCTTTAAACAAAAAATTAGATAAATGTTCTTTTTACCACTAATAATTATATATATCTAATAAATAAAATTATTTTAATATTCAAAAAATCATAATTTTATTTAAACTAAAAATAAGAAATAAAGATAAATTTTATGCATATAATATTTTTTATAATTTTTAGTATTTATTATATTGAATTTATAAATTATCATTTATTTAATAATAAAATATATGTATATTGTTATTTTGTTGTATAATCGCCTTTTACATCCGCTGGCTAATTAGTCGCGCAAATACATCCACTCTTAATTATTATATCAGTTGTACAAACAGCTGCTTAATGCTGTTAACCACAACTGTCTAGTACTAACTTTGATACATCTAACTTTATATAATAAGATATCTCTAAATAAATAAAAACTAATGAATTTTATAAAAGGGAAAGAACAAATAAGTTAAACCATAGTCATCACATGGCTTGTATGGAAGGAAAATAAATTTTAATTCGACAACATTGTTTTGGTGCAAATTATTAACAAAATAAAACATTATTGTCTGAAATTAAAACTAAAACAATTAATTACGTCAGATTAAAATTTAATTATCATTCATATTCGTAGAATTTGTTATTCTCATATTTTAAATTTAGAGTAGATTTACATCCAAGTAAAATTTGTCATAATCGCTATTGCATTTTATTTAAAAGGAGAAGAGACTGTACTTGTGGTCGACAACTAATAAACATAGAAACAGAAAGAGGTATCGAGTATTGTTATGGTTTTATTTATTCCAAACCCAACCAAAGAATCTTCCCATATAGCCAAAAAAAAGTAGTCAAAAACACACACACAAGCTTGTCAACAATCACACGACCCCAAGAGTTTTAACCTTCAAGAACTATGTACCATTATTATTCCCTTGTGGACTTGATTGCATCTTCATCAAGATTGAAGCAACACGGTTCAAAGAGGTCCCGGAAAAGTTCCACTCTCCCTCTGCTCGTTCCACTTATCAACCTGCGATTAAGATACGCGACACACATTGTTGTGTATGAATACAAGTAAAGCGCTTTCTGATGCAACAATGTAATGTCCAGACAAAAGAAAACAAACCCATTCTCCAGGACAGAGGGCCCTGTAATACTTGGCGAACCTTTCGCAGTCATTAGACTCCTCCCCCTTTGCAGTTGTGCATCTGCAGAATGATCTCTGATCTTCACAAGAGATGATAGTGAAAGATGGCTTAAGGATGAGCTTACTGACCAAAGAGGTACCTGTGGAACTCGATGTACCGAGTAAAGCAGTGCCTGGTTTGGTTTGTTGTAGGGAACCGGAAATCAGCAGGCGCTGTTTTCAGTTCGATCTGATTCAATTCAAAAAGTGCAGACACAAGTTTAATCTGAATCACTCTTTTCTTTTTTGAATCAATGATGAATCAATCGATTCCTATGAGGTACAGATAAACCAATGACCATCCAATTTACTATAGCACACAGATTCAAGCAGGTCTCGACGGCGACAAGAGATCGAACTTCAAAACAACAAATATATATATATTTCCGATCCATTAAATTTTCTCGATTGCTCTCCTAAACTCTTGAGTTTACGCAGGATAAATAAATGAAGGAACGAGAAATCACCTCGTCTTCCATGGCTGATTCGATCGGCGAACAGAAGCGTAGAATCGGAGAAATTACAGAGGAGAGAAGAAATCAGCGTCGATTGGGGAAATCAAATGACACTTTGCATTGGCAAGTGACAAAGTCTAATGTCTCTCCGGTTCGACCGGTGACAGCGAGAACCGAAAAATAGCCCAATTTGTACTTTATTGGGCTTTAATGGGCCCCAAATTTTCATTATATAATTATATATTATTAATTTGGTTAATCGGTTGAAAATCTGATCAAACCTCACAAAAACGAATTTAGACAAACAATTTCTATTTAAATGTGAAAAGACGACTAGTTCGGTTGTCCAAAAATAGTAACCAAACAAAAATGACTTTCCTCCTATTTTGTAGATTAGATGTTATATATATTTTTGGATTTTATGATTCACTTACATATATCCCTCAATCTCGATTTGTACTATCCCGCATTTTTGGTTTATGATCTCCATGATTATAAGGACTTTGCCATCTAACTTATAAATCGTGCAATCTTTACTATCCTTGCACCGAAATTAAACAAAAGATAGATAAACAAAGGCAGAGTTTTGGATAATAGAGAGAGTTTTTAAGATTAATCGATAGTATTTAAAAAAAAAAAGACCAAAAAGGGTTTGAACAAAACAAAATCCTCGGACAGGATCTGCTTGTACTTAATCAAAGTGTCCTTAATTATCTCCAACTTACATTTGACTCTGTAAAACCCACCACACACTCACTCACTCACACACCTATACTTATGATCTTTCCCCTTTATATATATACATTCCTTATATCAAGCTTAAACACCTCCATAGAGAGCTTTCTTTTCACTATCTTAATTCATGGCTGATAACGTCCAAGTAGTACCCGTTGAGGAACCAGCAACCGCCACCGCAACAACAACAACGACTGAGCCAGAAGCTAAAAGCTCTGACAAAATGGAGTCACAGAACGATAAACCACCCGTTGGAACGTTGGTGGCAATTGTGAACGTTTTCGCCGCCGGTATACTTTCGATCTTCACCTTCGTTCTCTCCCTTACACTCCTCGGCTACGCCGTATGGCTCCTCTTCATGCGTAGCTACGACTGCGAAGAAATCCTCGGTCTACCACGTGTCCAGACGCTAGCCAGCGTAGGTCTCCTCGCCGTGTTCGTCGTCAGCAACGCGGCTCTGTTTCTCCGGCGGAAGTTTCCGATGCCTGCACTCGTGGTGATGGTTGTGATTCTTCTGCTGACGCTGTTCATCGGTTTAGAGTACGCGGGAGTCAACGAGATGCAGAACCGACGGTTTCCGGCGACGAAGACGTGGTTTAGGCTAAAAGTGATGGATGATGTGAATTGGAACAATATCAAATCGTGTGTCTACGATAAAGGATCCTGCAACGAGCTCGTTTACGAATCTCCAACAGATAAACCTTATAACAGAAGAAAAATGCCACCAATCAAGGTTTGAATCATCAGTATCATAACATGCATACCGATCAAGAAATGAAATTACTATAATGAAAGTTTTGGAATATGTATAGTTTGAGACATTCTGTTTAGATTAATTATACATTTTTTTAAGAAATGGTTGTTGTTGCAGAATGGATGTTGTATGCCGCCGGAGACATGTAACATGGATTCGTTAAACGCAACGTTTTGGTACAGAAGAAAAGACGAGGGGCCACCGTTGGAGACGGAGGTGATGTACGGTAGTATGGTCGGAAGGGTAAGCGACTGTGAGCTGTGGAGGAACGATTGGAGTGTGTTGTGTTATGATTGTAGGTCATGCAAGTTCGGATTCGTAAGATCTGTGAGGAGGAAATGGTGGCAACTTGGTATCTTCTTGATTGTCATATCTATTCTTCTTCTCATCTCTCATCTCTTGATCTTCTTGGCCACCTTTTGGGAAAGATTCAATGGTTAATCATCATTCTAAGTAGGTTTATTTTTTTTTTTGTGGTAAAATAATCTCATTCTTCTGCATCCATTTTAGTACTTAAGCAGATCTCTAGCTCTTCTGATCTGTCTCTTTTGTTATCGTCGGAGTTTGCTTGGTTTAATGTAGAGAATGTGTTTGTAATAAAGTAAAAACAATTGGTTTGATTCAGAAACAAGCTTCTTTAGTCCATTGTTTAGCATTTAAAGCAGGGGAATTCAAGGTACTTGGTCTTAAAAGATGAACAAAAAAGTCTAGGTCTGACATTTTCATATTATCTCCTCTTGAATCTTTTACTCTCAGGTCTCAAATAATAATGATGAATCCGTTATGACTAATCAAATCAAATGTAACAGAGGACAGTCACATTGAAGACACTTGGTTCTTTAATTGTCCCTAACTACCAAACAGAGGAGCGATCAAGTTGGATATAATTAAAGCTTTGTCGAAATTTTCTTGGAAATTAGGTGCATATATAGATAGATAGGAAAAACTAAAAAAGAGGAATACAGCTTTAATATTAAAAAAAAAGGTAAAACAATAACATAAAGGTGAAATTCTACATTTGTTTCCCTGCTTGCATCCTTCACCTGTACAAAGAATGGCGAATCTTGGAAGAGTCAAAGACAACAATGAAAAGGGGTGTCTTTCACTCAGTTTGTGAGTGAAGAGACAGAGCTAAGGCCGTGTCTCATGGCCGCTTTCCACACCAGATCAATACGCTCTACATCAATGGCTCCAACCTCATGATGCTCCCAACCTTCCAGCATATGGACCACTCCTCCTGCGTGGCACGCATGCACAACCCCTCTCTCCATCGTGTACTGCCACAAACGCAAACACACAGAGAGTGTTTAGTTTCGCTGGACCAATGGACTAAAACGCACAAACAAAACTCTGATTATTATTATTAACCAAGCATTCTTTATACCTCGCATGTTCCGAGTCCTTGAACGTCTTTAGGAAGCCTCATAGCTGCAAGATCGCCGTAAGTGCAGTTCCTTCTGAATTTGAGGATTGGTGGCACCACAAACTGGTGGAAATGCGTCCCTGCAGGAGCCCAGCTCTGCTCCCTCGGCGTTAACCATTTCCCAACGATCCAAGTCTGCATCAGACTCGCCAAAGTCAAATACATTTTTACATATACACAACAAAGGGAAACCAGTTAGAAAACGTTACAGTACCTTGCAGTGTTGTGCAGCGTTGTATTTGGTCACTTGTACAAGGTAGTTCTGGAACTCAGGAGGAGCCTCTTTCTGAATCTTTTGGAACCTTTCAATCGATAAGGTCAACATCTGTCAAATAGTTCAAACAGTTTGTCAGTCTTTGTGAGTAACCGAATCTTTGAGACAATGGCTAGTTAAGGATAAGTAAGAGAGCTTACGAGAACTCTCACTCCCCGACGACAGAGGTAAAGCGCAATTGCTCTTCCAAGCTTAGAAGTGGCTCCTGTCAAGAACACCTCTTTCACATCTTTTGGAATTTCATAGAGAATCACTGCTGCCGTTAAAGTGTTCCCATGGACCACACGAACTCTCAGGTCAGGATGCTTGTTGACAAACAGCGTCCCACCACCATTTAGAGCTTCGTTCTGATCAAAAACCCCCAAAGCAAAAAAAAACAACCTTTTTTATTGACTGGGCTCAAAAAGCTTCAGACTTTTGTGATTTCGATTTTGAAACAAACCTTGTTCAAAGCAGCCAAGCTTATAACTTTAACTCCAATCTTATCAGCCCTAAGAATCGCATTCTCGATCTGGTTATTAATGCCTTGTGTAGCAAACGGTAAGAAGTACTGCAAAAGAGCAAGAAAACGACTCAATAAAATGCTCTGTTCTCTCTGTTAGGGCAAAATTGAAAAGAAAGAGGCATTACTTGGAATCCAAATCTGGGAACTCCCCAAGTCTGACAAAGATTGTTCCTGAGAGTATAGAAGCTGAAAAGAAAAGTCTTTGACCAAACCCACATGGCCAACATCACCATGAACGTGAATGGCCACATGGGCAGCAAGAAGAGCCTCGTCGTGTAAGGCATTGAAGCAAACGATCTGAACACGAACGGCGCGTGCATCGCCGACATCACATCTACCCCATGAGCCAAGAACACGAACTCCGGCACTCTCTTCCGTTCCCCTGCACACGGAGATCAGTTCCGGTTAACAAAAAAACCGTACTGAGATCAACGAAGGGTAGTACTGTCATTTCAGTTTGCTTTGGCTCGAGAAGTTTGACTCTGGCCAGAAATAGAAACTTCTCACCCACTTCGGATGCACAAGTACACAGTCTACATCTACTATTATCTCCTCATAAATTTACATCATAAGTTTCGTATGGTTTTAATATTTCTTTTATAACTTGGGTTATAAAGTTCATTTAATTCCCTATTGTACAAGGAGAATACAATAGCCTAACCCACTTCCCCCAAACTGTTTGGTATGATTTACCCACAAGTTATAGCCTATATAAACCCATTTTATCTTAAACTAGTAATAAGCTTGTGTGTGACATTTTTGTGTTTTAAGATTTGGGTTAAATCTGCAAACCTAAACACTTCATGAACAAAGTTTTTGTGCTATATATTACCTGCAGCCAAACGAATCTTCTTTTGGAGTTCCCACGAGTTTGGGTTTAGCGTGTTGCCCAAAACATCAAAGAGAGGCATAAACAGACAAAAGTTGGTCCCCATTTCCTCATGGTGCAGACTATGGTACCTGCATAATCCCAACAAGAAAATCAACTTTAAACATTTAAATCGTCACAAGTAAATCATTAGCTTGTCTACGCAACTACAAACGTAAAAAACCCTCAATTACTTTCTATAGACACATCTTTGACAGCAAATACAAAAACTTAGCAAACTTGCTTCTTCAAGTAAAATATGACAAAGTCACGTTCGTGTGTTTCAAATTCAATGAATAAAGTTAGAGAGCCTTTATTGAAAACCTGTGAAGTGGAGCCAATAGATCTAACCAAATCCAAATATGGCAAACAAAAAAAACGACATGTGAAAAATTTGGAGTCTAAGTAAGATAAACGTTAACAACATACGTTGGAGTGTAGATGAGATATCGTAGGATTGGAAGAGTCTCGAATAGCTTGTGAGAGAAGATCTCAACGTTACAATGTCCTAAACATCTCATGAAATCGAACATAATAGCGTATCCGTAGATCAAGCTTATTGATCCAACCCCTAACAAGCAAGATCCAATCAAAGGAACTCCAGCTATGACACAGAGGATCAGATTTTCCAAAAACGTTGCATTTCCAGCTGCACCCAACAGATCATAGGTTTTATTCTTACGTCAAATTAACAAAGGAACAGATTTTTTTTTTGATTGATTACTAATTTGTGAAAGAAAAAACATTTACCAGTCATGGGATGTGGAACAGGAGAAGAGTGGTGGAAGGAGTGGTAATGCGTGAAGAAGTAGTTGTGACGATGGAAGGATCTATGAAGAAAATAGTATAAAGGCTCTGCGAAAGTCACATGTAGCACAATTAATGCGACGAGCCCTTTCGTGTTCCACAGAGGAATACTGTTCATCATCATCAATGGTGGAGACATGTAACAGATGATGCTAGCTATTATTGCTTGCAGGAGTATGTAATTGTCCCTGGAACAAAAACCCACAGATCAAGATTATACCTTTTGGTGGTTTTTCAGGGTATTTAAGACCATACCCAGAACAGAGAAACAAGAGGACAAAGTGGGAAGTACAGAGAAATCAAGGATTGAATTGGGAAATTTTACCAGTGCCATTCGTGATCAATCTGCTTAAAGTCTACACCTTTAGGGTTAATCCTTAGAGTCCGAGTCAAGAAAAGCAAGTTGTTGAAACTGCTCCATAAGACATGAACGACTCCTTTGATCCCACAGATGATGAGTATGTGAAGACACCAAAGAGCCCTTGAGTAATCTTCTTCGTAGGCCAACGAGTACACTACTTGTGCCGCTAATGGAGCGTACAGAAGATACTTCACAGATAGAGAAAAACCCATATGAGTTTCAGAAGAGAACCAAAACCTTTTGAAAACTCAGATCAAAAATGATTTTCTTAAAAAAAAAAACCCAAACCTTTAGATTGCCAAAGTTTCCCCAAGGCCAAGCTGATAAAGAAGCAACCATTATTCTTCTTCTTCTTCTTCTTCTCTCAAATTCTTATCCTTTCCTCCTCGAAATTCGAGATTTCCTGTTTTCTTTTAAAACAATATCTCTCTCTCTTATTGGTCTGTAACCTTAATGATTTGTCCAGTTTTCAAGCAATCCTGAGAATAAGATGTTGCTCTTTTTGTGGAAGTCAAAAAAGAAGAGAGAGAGAGATTTAACGATGGGGTTCTCTTTAATCTCAAGTAAAAGGGATGGAGATTTTAGTTCGTTGAAAGAAAAAAGAAAGAAAAAAAGACCCAGAAAGTTACAAAGCCTTATTGTGTTTATGTGACATTATTGAGAGCCTTGAGCTCTGTTTACTTATATAAGCTTTGAAGCTAGGAGGGGCCAACTAGACCCAAAATGTGTTCTTTATCTTGATAACGATATTCAAATATTATGGTAAAGAAAATCGTTATTTTAAGTCAAAAATAAATTTAAAAAAAACAACGAAATCATTTTTCGCCTGAAAATAAAACCCTTACACCCATTAAAACCTGACTGAACTCAGTGAAAATTAATTTTGACTCTGTTCATTCGTACTCAGTTACTGTTCGTACTACGTACATACACATGCTTACGCAAAAATTGATATCAACATAACTCTCTTGTGAATAGTCTCCTCATTTATCCATTAGGTTTTTGTTTAAAGTCCGTAACATGATGGTTCATTCTCTAACGTTGCTGATACTTACGATCGCTAAGTTCAAATACCACTCGGTCAATTAGATTTGTTGCTCATATTTGGTTTAATCTAGATTTATTTAGTTTGGTCCATCCAAGAAAAAAATGGAGAAAAATTTAAAGAGACCTTTACGTTCCAACTAAAAAATGTTAAATATTAAAAAATGTACCTCCAACTATAAAAAAATTCCACCAAAAGATAGACGTTTAAAAAAATATAAAATTATGTGGTACTAGATAGCAGTATGTGGAGGAACGAAAAATGAAAATTAGTTTTTTTTTTAATAAATCTATAAAATAGAAAAGAACTTTTTCGTAATTAATTGATAGCTTTTATTTTTAATAGTCATTGGTACTGTCAAAACTGATTAATGGATGCCAAAACAAAACTTGGAAAATATCTAAAACAAAATAAAGAATGTGGTATGCAACTCAATCGAATTAATAATCCAAAAATAGACAAAAACAAATTTAATAAAATATTTAGATAAAACTCACGATATTTAAATGTGAATCTGACTTCAAAATATCCAAGATTCTACTATTTGAATCCGGACGCAAACCTTTCAGTTTCAGATATCTTAATTTTCATTACATAACTCAAACCTGAACTATAATTTCTTACCTCTAACATGTGCCACTGTCAACAAACGAATATATGTAAGCAAATGTTCAAAAATAACAAACGAAAATATGAAATATGTTCATTGTTTTTAGTGTGAATGGGGACACAAAAATCGTACGTGTAGACCTAACAGATACTATTAGGTGTGTGTGTATTCCATTATGGTCCTGATGAGGAAAATTTTCAAAATATTAGTTTATTAAATGATTTGCTAAATATTTTATTGATATCTTTATGTATTTAAAAAAATAATTTGCGACATATAACCAATTGATGCAATGGAATGGACATAGCTCTCACAGCTGGATCCTCTCTCTTTCTCTCTCTCTCACACACACAACACATTTAATGTTCGGTTTACGGTTGAAGCAGCGATGGTTACACTTCTCGGTGGCTTCTTCGTATACTCTTATCATTTTGTCCAATTTCTATTCAATTCGTCCTTTTCTTCTCATATTTTCTTTTACATTTATATATTTCAAACCACAAATTAATCCGCATTCATGTCACATTGGGTACAACAGTGGTACTGTGTAAATGATATAGGGCTTAGGGTTTTAAGCTTCATATAAATGCCAAACAATCAAATATAAACGTTGGTTAAAAACTATTTCATATTAAGCTATAATATTGTCAGCCTCACTCTTTAATGCATTGACAATAAAATTCATCAAATGTTTAATCTTTCGTACGTAGTTGTTAATTTCTATACTTTATTGTTTTCGCATATAGTTGGAAGTTATTTTTTCCTAACAATTAATCAATGCGTTCATTCGAAAAGTGTATTCAGGCTAGGGAACTCCTATACTTAAAAGGTAGTAAAAGTTGTAGTCCAAAACACTTACACTAGCTAAAATCATCGGAACATTCGTGCTAAGTGATTTGCAATATTTTAACATTTTCATCTATATAGAAAAAAGTATATATACTTATATTTTTAACATCGACTCGCATATTGAATTGGCCAACTTTGTGAATTTATGGATCAGCACGGTCCAATCAGTTAAAGTAGATATTTTGATTATCATCAATAAATAAAAAAATAACATAATTATCATCAATAAATAAAAAAAAATATATATGGATCAATACAGTTCAACCAGTTTGAATCGATATATTGATCTTTTTTAACAATATAATTACAACTAATAACTAAAATTTATAAATAAATCATTACAAAAACTTAAAATTTAAAAGTTATCACAAAATGAATTAAACAACTAGTTACATCGGTGTTGGAAAACAACGGTTGTAAGTAAACATGAAAGGGAGTACCAATAACTGAGAAAAACACTATTTTAGAAAACAGGATTCATGCATAATGATAGTAATAATATTTATGTTGAATAAAAATTATTTTTTTTAAGGAATAAAACTTACGGAATAAAAGACATTGCTATCCAACGATGATTTTTGTTTTGGGTATAGTCAAACAATTAGTTAAAAACAAAAATTCCTGAAAAGCTTTACGAGACTATAGGCAATGGACCAATGGTCAATAGTATATTTATGATACATACATATTTAATTATGTATATATGAATTTGTTGAAATAACCTCCTAAAACATATATATACACGACGAGCACATGTGTTCGACTTCTTATAGGATAGACAGGAAGGTGGAATCTCGAAAGAACATATTTGAAAGGACTTAGATTAAGCATTTGTATCTTTTGCGAGATTAGGTTTTATTTTAAAACCCCTAATTACAAAACCCCCAGCATACAGTTGGTAAAATTGGGAGATGGGTGAGAATAAAAGATACAGAGCATATATATAATGTGGCTTTTCGTTTTTCGGCCATCAGGAATATTTTGCCCGGCTCTTTATTGGTATCATATCACAAGATTCACTACCAAAATCCAATTGATAACCCCAAACTCCCAATAGATAGATTTTCTTTAAAACCTTTAGTATAAATAATTAGAAAGATAAGTTGATAAAGTATAAAAATATTGTCCTAAATGAAAAATATGTGTATGGTGGTACTTTATAATGTTCTATATAAAGGTTTGGTTTATCAAAGTATGCAATATTTTGGTTGTTTACTATTGGTGCAAGTTTTTCAAAAGGTTTCACTATATTGCATCTTCGGCTATATCCTTCATAATCATATGAATTGCCAGTTAGAGTATGCTTTGAGCCATCCGTCCCTATCCGTACGTGGTTCGAGTTTGTGCTTTGAGGCATATGACGATGCCTGGTTGCTTAATATGGTTACACGTATTATATAAATTGTTTTATTTATATGTATTTAGATATAAAATAAGATGAAATCGAAAATTTAAAGCAAAATTATAGTGCAGTTGGGGTCGACACGTTTGTAATCAATACATAAGGTTAGTTTAGCCACTCTAGTTTTTGATTTATGCGACTTTATTTAGTCGGTTAGGAATTTACACGTCAAATCATATACTATTAATGTTTCTGAAGCCTCGAGTATTTTTAAAAAAAATTAAAACAAAATCATGTTGAAAAAGAAAACATGAAATATTCACCCATGGTTTGACCAAAAAAAAAAAGATATATTCACCCATATATGAACGAAACTTTTGTACCCCCCGATTACATTATTAATATATAAATCACATTTATTAGTCGGCTCGAGTCGTTTGCAAAATCACCCAACACAACATCCATTGTCCATTGAGCCTATTCGAGATGAAACCCTTTTTATATTCCCACTGGCCATTTAGTTTGTTGTTTATACGACAAAGGACAAACCGTAATAAAAGTCATTTGTCAACTATTTTCTGAAATATCAACTGTTAATTGTTTATTACGTTAATAATTTCTGTTTAAATTTGAATTAGCGTCGTCATTTAACAGCAATTATTTAACGTCCATTGTTTTTCTCAAAATTTATAAAATTGAAAAACACACATATGGGCGTAATTTCTCAACTATTTGCAGAACATTAGTCGATCATCTTGTAAATACGTCAACCAATTGTTTTTGTAACAGTCGTTTTTATTTAATTTTTGAAAATAAAACACGGTTATGTAGCATCAATGATTAACGTCAGTTATTTTTATTATTTGTTAGGTATTAAAGTAAGATGAGTATATTATATATATGAACTTGATTTCGCTCATAAGTCATAAATATGTTTACATTGACATACACTTAGTAAAAATCATAAATAGTTTATTTCTCATCCGAAAAACATCATAATGTCAACAGATTAGTGTCAATTATCCTTATCCTTAGTATTAACTAATTGATATCGATATAGATAATATTGAAACCACACGTAAGAGGAGTATACATGGGCTTAATGTACTCGTCAATCTGTTTACCAAAATCGGAAAAAGTTTATCTTTCTGTCGTAAAATGATTTTTACAGATTTTAGATCCATCTTATGAAAGATAAGTTAGTATGATTCATCATATTTCGTCTGGTTGACAAGAAAACGTCATGTGTTAAACATTTTGGCCCCACACACATTGAATTTATAACCTGTTTCTGATTGGCACGAAAAGTATGGTGATTCCTTATCCTTTGTATATTTTTCTGATAATTTGTCGAATATATTTAAATAAATAGAGGAGGCTATATCATCTAAAAAGTAAAATCAAAATACGCACTGAATCAACTTGAACCAATTATTGATCTCCTTAAAATCGCAAAACATAGAAAAAGATAGTTGTAAATAATTCATTAATTAAACGGTTACATAGAGGTTTCAGTGATTCTGAAATACGCAGGGTGTTATGCTAAGGAAATGAATTCTAATTGTAGTAACATGTCGGTCCGAGAGATAAATATTTGTATAAATCTAATGTTAGTTAAGTATTTAATGTTTGCATGGTACATTTCACCCAAACTCAATAAAGCAAAAACCTAATTAAGCGGAGAAGACCAATGACTCAATGTGTCTACGTAAGCGTACGTGTAGCCTTGAGTTTTGAAATCTTTTGTAGTAAAAAAAAGAAAAAAAAAAAGAAACGTGAAACGAGGAACTAGGTGAAGACGAATAGAGTCCATGAGTTTCGAGCTCCCCAACTAGCAACTACTATCTGCCGTTGTGATTTGATGGAGATTGATTT